TTGGTCGCCTTCCATTTGTTTCAGATGACGAGTACAGTATGTTCCACACCATTGTGAGAAAGGAAGTCTTCATTCCACGGAAGCGCCTTGTGCCCGTGATGGATGAGGCATCCGACTCCAATCAGTGGAACCTGAGGAATGATGATGAGCTCGTATATGAAGATATCGACGATGAGCTATATGACTTGCTGAGGCGTTTGTTGACGAAAGACCCAATCAAGAGAATCACCTTGAAAGAGATCAAGCACCACCCTTGGACACTTCATGGTCTTCCCAATCCTCGAATCTGGATTGAGGAGACCGACCCTGGCTACCAAAGCAAGGGCAAGCGAATTGAGGTCTCGAACGAAGAGGTTACAAGCGCTGTCAGCAAAGTTCCTTTCATTCAACGCGTTCGGTCTAATGTAGCAAAATGGTTCAGCAGCGGTCGATCGAAGGACAAGGAGACCCGCAAGCGCACCTCAAGTACAACACCATCTACCGAGACTTTGTCGTCTGCCTTGAGCAACAGCACATTCGGGAAAACCTCCCGCGAAAGTCGCCGGTCCAGTTTGCGAGGGGACGAAGAAACCCTTCGGCCGCTCAAATTTGGCGGTCAAGGACACCCGCTCGCCCAGAGTGTTACTGCAAGTCCGGTGGATGAAGGCGATTGGCAGTCTTATTTCGATGCCGCGCAACCGACTGCAGTTGCTGCTGCAGCCAAGCTTGCCAGTCCACCTCCTATCGTGACACCTCGACCTGGTCCTCCTCGTCGCGCAAAGTCCTCAATGTCTACAGCCGAATCTGCAAAGACGATCAAGCCATCGAATTTTGACATTCCATCGACTGTTCGGCCATCTTCGATCATTGAAGCCCTCGGACAGACCAACTTCGGTAGCCTATTCAGTGGAGCTACTCGGCGAGCATCACGAGGCAGTCGCAGTCGGCGCACTTCTCCATCTGGCGAGTCAGGAACCCTGCATGGGGATGGAGAACGTCGCTCTGCTGAGCCTAGCCTCGCTATCAGTAATGCATCTGCCCATGGTCAAGTGCGCATTCCCGGCCTGTGGCATGAAGAGGAACACCCGACTGCTGAGCAATTGACTCCTAGCCATGTAAGCCGGCGCCAACGATCTTCTCAACTCGAGAGCTCATCACCCGCGGAATCGTTGAACCTCACCAGAGATGCACTTTTGCGCCGCAGACGGAGCGACATCGAGGCGAATGAAGGCGGTACTTTGAGAGTTGATTACGCGATGTATTCTACTGAATCGCTCCTCCTGCCGCCCATCAATCCACCTGCCAACCAAGGATGTCCCGCCGAGAACACCAACAATGGGCTGGCCGCCTCCACTTCGGTCACTATCTCTTCCTCCTCTGCCGACGACTTCACCAGCGGCATGTCCCAAAGTGCCTCCCACCCCAGTATTCCGTCAGTCGTCTCAAACGCATCTTCTCTTTCGGGCGATGGGTACTCGGCCAAGGGTAATGAACTGGACGAAGTACCCTCCATGCTCCGCACCGGAGAGACAGTCAAACCCCTTCGTCCGATCTCGCCTCGACCGTCTGAAGAGGACGAATCGAGATACTACTGTGATGACGAGGACGAAGATGAGTCGGAAGATGAAGGCCTTGTGATTGGAAAGCGCAAGCCGCCTCCCAAGGCTGCATCGGATATTCCATCGTAGTCAGCGAACTGAAATGTGGCCGGTCCCGATCAGTCCAGTCCGCCTCTCTACATTTGACCCCGTCTTCTCACACCATCTTGGCAATACTCACGTCCACCGCTTTCTCCCACACTCGACACTTCCCAATCATACCTAGCGAAGTTGTTGTATATCACCGAATTTCGTTTTCCTTCTCTTTCCACACCGGTTCCCGGCAGGCTGATATTTGGAAAGTGTTCCTAGAATTTGTTCCATACATTCTACATGGTCTGTACATATCCGAATTCGCGTGAGCATCCATCGATGTCCCCTTGCGATGAGATCCAGGGTGCCCTCCGACCGCGACTGCATATCTGTTCTACTCTATTTTGTTGAGTTCAGTGTCTTTGCCTATGAATATGCAGAGCAGAGGATCCCGCAGCGCATTCCAGGGTTTTCTGGTCTTGTTTTCCTTTTCGTTTTTCTTTCTTGGTCTTTTGCATGGATACGGGGCCAGATCGCTTTTTTTTAACTGTATGTAATGTTGAATTTTGTCAAAACCGGGCGGTTGGGTTCTTGATGCAATATTTTGGATTCGTTGATCCTTTGCAGAGATTGTCTGAGGCACTGCGACATGACTGATATATGATGCCGGATGGCGAGACGGTCTAGCTTATCATGAAGAAATGAAACATTTGGGGGTTTGGGACTTTTGATTTTGATCCCCCTGAGATGAACCTTCTTTCCATACCTGGGTACCTTGTAAAAGAACCCTCATACAAAACGCATGCCACATCGTCATAATAGCTCGGTTCTCTTATTTCAGCGAAGTTCCGTGGTGGGCTTGTATGCCCCTTGTTCTCACTTGGCAATTTCAGCAAGGCTCCTTGGAATATTCCGAGGATGTTTGTGTACTTCCACCAATGATGATATCAGAGGGATAGAGACTGCTATCTCCACAATGTTTGAGTCTGCAGGGTGAGTACTCCACCGTCAACAAGTATGCATAAAGATCACTGATTTAGTCTTCCCGTGTCTCAGCTACTGATTCACAGGAACTAAGCCAGGAAAGGCATTTGTCCGGTCAAGTTTCTACTCTGCAGACGGGGAAACAGGCGGGATAATTCTCCTTTGAGTCTTGTGCACGTAATCGGGGAGGATTTTCGGAGAAATCTGAAACTCAACGCCAAACACTAGAAGGATGCCAAGTACATAGGACAGTAGATAGCATAAGAATCAAATATACATGAGCTCTTCCCTCTAATTCACAGAGCCATAGATCTGAAATCACTCCATTCGGCTCTAGTAAGTGGTTTTCCACCATGCTTCCCTACCTCCTTCTAGCTGCCGGACAGCTCTTCGCCTCAACATCTGCCACATTGACCTACACCGGCGCGGATATCTCTTCCCTCCTCGTCGAGGAAGATGCAGGCATCTCTTATAAGAATACAGCTGGCACATCGGAAAAGCTAGAGGCCATCCTCTCGGCCAGTGGCGTCAACTCTGTTCGCCAGCGTATCTGGGTGAATCCCAGTGATGGATCGTACGATCTAGACTATAACGTTAAGCTCGCGCAGAGGGTACAAGCACAGGGTATGGGTACGTATCTCGACTTGCATTACAGTGATACCTGGGCGGATCCGAAAACACAGGTAAGAATCTAATACTTCCCTATGAGACTGACTGTTTGGTCTAATGACTGACCTACTTGTTCAGACCACGCCCTCGGGCTGGTCCACAACAGACATTGAAGTTCTAGCCGGACAAGTGTACGACTACACATTGAACGTATGCAACACGTTCGCGGCCCACAACCTCGATGTAGACATCGTCTCCATCGGCAACGAAATCCGCAACGGCCTACTCTGGCCACTGGGAGCAACAAGCAGCTACTACAACATCGCACGGATCCTGCACTCTGGCGCGTGGGGCGTGAAAGACTCCAAGTTAGCAACCACTCCCAAGATCATGATCCATCTCGACAACGGCTGGAACTGGTCTGATCAGTCGTACTTCTACAATGAAGTCCTGGCATCAGGATCTCCACTCCTCTCCGCGGACTTTGACTATATCGGCGTTTCTTTCTATCCCTTCTATGACGCTGGTGCGACGATCGCGGCGCTGAAGACGAGTCTTGCAAACTTACACTCTACGTACGGGAAAGAGACGCTCGTTGTCGAGACGAACTGGCCATTTGCTTGCCCCAATCCTGAATATGCGTTCCCGTCGGATCTAAAGGATCTTCCGTTTTCAGTTGCTGGACAACAGACGTTCCTTCAAAGGCTGGCTGATGCTGTGGAGGACGTGGGCGGACTGGGCATTTATTACTGGGAGCCTGCTTGGGTTGATAATGCGGGACTTGGGAGTAGTTGCGATGATAACTTGCTCTTTGCTTGGTCGAATGATCAGGCTAGGGCTAGTCTGGACACATTGGGTGGTCTGTGAGAGTATCTAGCTCTCAGTGAAGTGTACAGAACTTAGCGCCGATTTTCTCGTATCAGGGATATGAAGTTAGGCAGCAAGGGAAGATCCAAACGAAGTATAGACAAGGCAGACTGGAAAGTGTGCCTTGCCCAATATCTTATATCGGTTATACCTAAATAGGACTAGTTCCCATGGGCCTCAGCTGGGTGGCTGTGCAAAAGCTAAGCCAAGTTTTCTTTAGCGTTGAACCCCTCCACTTTGGGAGAGGAAGTGCTTCACGGCATGGAGATGGATATTCAACAGGCAGCGCCCTGTTTTCAATTGAATCATTGAGAATATGTGTATAAAAATAGTTCGTGCTCGCCTATCTGTTATCAGGGTGGACACTTGATAATGCCGATGTGGGGAGACCCATTTGGGGTTTGAAGGAACTTCAGTAAAGAGGGTGGAAACTCTTCCTCTTTACGCTTAGGTCACCCACAGCGGAAGGGAATATTATATATTAAAATAAAATCAATCCCTAACACGCATATGGAGTACGAGGTACCTACGAAGTAGACGTGTTGGACCTAGACCGCCTTGCGCACGTGAAACCTAATCTTCAGCTTCCTCTCTCCCTTACTCTCTCTCATTACGGACCTCTAGTCAAACTCAAGGTATAATTGCTCTCAGGGACGATGAAGCAATCTGGCGACCGCTGACAACCGGTTCAGAAGCTCAGTTGCGTACCGGACCCGATCCTGGACCCTTGCGAATGACATCCCACCACATCATCAGACACCATTCTCCCTACATCACCAGGCGTCCACGGCCCTAGCAGATTTGCTCGTTTAATCTACCTTAGTCGCCGAATCTTCGCGCTATATCCGATCCCCACTACGTCCCTCGTCCCTGATTACAGCCCCGGCTTGGCGCTCGTTCAAGAGCCCTCACCCGCGCGCATTCGCAAATATGGCCTCGCACGACCAGAACCACGGCACGGCCTATTGCTCGGGAGATATGAAGAATCGTAGTGTGAGCCCTTCGCCGCATGGCCAACACTATCAAGACCTCAACTCCGGTGGATTAGGAGTTGACCCCTCCATGGCTGCTTATTCGACAAACCCCTCGTACCACAATCCCGACAGTAGCATCGGTGGTGCTGAATATGGATACCCAAGCTATCTTGCTGGCGCGCCCTCGACACAGACATTATCGCCAACGGACCAGAGCTATGCTTCAACCATCAATAACAACAATATTCCGATATCGCAATCCTTCGAGACAAGCCTGGTCAATCAGCTCGAGCACTCCTCGACGGGACTTAGAGCGATGCAGCGCGACGAAAACTTCTCCAATATGCTCAACTCGAATCACCCAGAATTGGACTTCGCTCTCTACCAGAATCATAGCCCCAACAGCGTTTCCACCCCCGAGTACGATTCTTCGTTGTTACTGGACCCGCAAATGCACCAGCGCCAGTCCATCAACCAAGCCATCGGCCCTGTTGATATGGTCAGCCCCATCTCCAACCCTTCAACATCCCCACATCCGTCATCGCAAGATCAGCAGCATTCCTCGCCTGGGCCCATGTCCCCTCCAGGATCCACACCGGGTACATACTATACCCCTCAGCATTCACGACACACTTCGCTTGACCCGGCTACCGCAGCGTATTTGACAGCCCAATCAGGTCCAGACTGGCAGTCGGTCATGAGTAATGTTTCCTTCCAGGGGCACCGGCGTGCACCGTCCGAGGTTTCCGAGGTTTCATCAGCGAACCACTCCCCTTACTTGTCTCAGCACGAATTCGATGGCATTGAGAACAATGCATCTCCTTCTTTGGTTCCCCAGAGTGACCCAAGTCTATACGACCACGGCTTAGGCATGGAAACATTCACCTTGTCAGAGCAGCATCAGCAGGGGATCAGCCCCCTCCACAGCCCATACATCTCTCCGCGCTTAATGCCACAGCAGGGAGGTGAAATGGTGCCAAACAATTCGTATCTTTCTCAGTTTCCCTCGGCGCCAACAGACATGTACGGAATGCCCAAAGAGGAAATGATGAACATGGGGAAATTGAATAATACGCCGGGCGACATTGGTCAGGCTTCACAGATGGCTCCTCCATCAATCAATGTTGAGTTTGCTCCACCATTGCGAAATCCAAACTTCGATCCATCAAAGTCATCAACGGCAGATTTTGACTCATTGAGCCCTCCCGCTATGCGTAAGTGCTGGTTTACGGCCGGCTTGGTTGATATGACACTAACCAGAATTTAGGATCTCGTGTTCGTAGCAAATCTGATCCTTATCACCCTGCTTCCCGTCCACGCTCTCCTGCAGCTACAACAGTGACAAGTCTGGAGCCCCATGCACCTGCCGCCGCACGGTCTTTGTCACCTGTTGGATCGATTGGCTCTCACTCGCACAGTAACCCTGGTTCACGAGATCCCTCACCCTCACGATCAAACCGACGCCTCTCCACCTCATCAATTGAGAATCGAAACTACATCCTAGATCTCGCCGATCCACAAAGACCTGGCGCAGCACCCGGGGAGCCAAAGCGAATCCAGAAGCACCCAGCTACCTTCCAGTGCAACCTATGTCCGAAGCGATTTACCCGCGCATACAATCTGCGATCCCACCTCCGCACTCACACCGACGAACGACCATTCGTGTGTACAGTGTGTGGCAAAGCATTTGCGCGACAGCACGACCGCAAACGCCATGAAGGCCTCCATTCTGGCGAAAAGAAATTCGTCTGTCGCGGCGACCTCTCGCAAAGCGGACAATGGGGCTGCGGCCGCCGCTTCGCCCGTGCGGACGCTCTGGGCCGTCACTTCCGCTCAGAGGCTGGCCGCGTATGTATCAAGCCTCTTCTTGATGAGGAGTCGCAAGAGCGTGATCGCGTCTTGCTAGAGCACCAGCAGCAACAGCAACAACAATCGCCATCTGGCCATCTTCAGCCAATCCCCCAGCCGCTCGTTATGCCCAACATGCCCGGCATGGACGGGCAATCGACGGGTAACTTCGTCCTGCCTGCTGCTCTGCTGGCGCAATACCCGGCTTTGCAGAATCTGCAGTGGGACCAGATCTCGGCTGTGGGTGATGATCCGGGTGAGATAGGTGGGCGAAGTAGCTTTGATGCTAGCTCTGGCGGGGAGTTTGGCTTTGATGAGGATGATTCGGGACTGGGTGGTAGTTATGCTAGTAACCAGGCGAGTATATACGGCGTCAATAACTCTGACCAGATGTTGGGGGTCAATCCTGGAGACCCTGGGTTTTCTGATCAGAAGTGGACTGGATGACACTGCTATGTTTGGCTTTATTCCCTGCCTCTTTCCTTCTCCTTCTTCTTCTTCTTCTTCTTCTTCTTCTTCTTCTTCTTCTTCTTCCTCTTCTTCTTCTTGTTCTCTTCTCTTATCTCTTCTCTCGTCTCTTTTCCCTTCTGTTTCAGGGTTCGAAAAGGATATTGCATGATGCATCTCATCTGCATAAAGCCGGTCTTGTTTTTCCATTCTGCCTGTATAGAAAGGCTTGTTGGCGTTCAGATACAGGATGCTCTTGGGGATGTCTGAAGATTTCCGAAGCTCGGCAATCAGGACATATGATTGTCTTGGTATTCTTCTCTTTTTCTGGTAATTCTAGACAGCGGTGTCTATTATGCCGTGCTTGATTCTCATTCTCATTCTCTTATGGTCTCTCGGCCTGCCCTTCGAGGAAGTTACTGTTCTGCCCATCTGATTACTTATGAAAGAACGAGGCATCATGATGCTTTTTTTATGATATTCCCATGCTTATCTCATGTCCCATCTGCTCTTTTTTTTCCTTTCCCTACTCTCACGAATTTTGTCTGGTTTTGATGTCACAGCTTCAAAACCATATATACCATGACACATACAATGAATGGATTGCACTCAAAGGGCCTCTCAGCCTATTATTACTTATTTACAATACCACCTTCAGTCCACTTGCACACCAGTGCATCAAGAAACAGTAGAATACAGATCACATTGGATATCATCTAGTCGGCAAAAAAAATCTAAAACCAAAATTCACCATATACAAGGCGAGGGACTGATATAATGCAATCCAAATCATCAACTCCAGATCAAACCCAACCCATTTTTATGGTGTCTAAACAGTCTGAAATCCACCACCTACTCCCCTTTTTAAGCGTGAGCCTTCTTAGCCAACAAGTTCAATGCACTACCAGCAAGGATGAATGCACACTGGTCCTTGCTGAAGGTGTGCTGAACAGGAATAGTAAACACCTCGCCAGTCTTGTGCTTAGTAACACGCAGCTGGATTTCACCCTGACCACCAGACTCAAGCACATCATAAAGACCGACAGTATCAACCTTATCACAGGCATCAATACGATCATAGTCCTCACGGTTGGCAAATGTCAGAGGCACAACACCCTGCTTCTTAAGGTTGGTCTCGTGGATACGGGCAAAGCTCTTGGAGACGATAACCCGGCCACCGAGGTAGCGAGGCTGCAGCGCAGCGTGCTCGCGCGCAGAGCCCTCGCCGTAGTTATCCTCCGCGACAACGAGCCATGAGATTCCGCGCTCTTTCCATGTCTCCGCTAGCTCCGGGATTCCGTACTGCTTGCCAGCTTCGTCGTAGGCGACGTTGGTCTCGCCAGTGGCGGCATTGACGGCGCCAATCAAAGTGTTTGCGGAGATGTTGGGCAGGTGACCCTTGTACTTGAGCCATGGGCCTGCAGCCGAGATGGTATCGGTTGTGCACTGGCCCTTGACCTTGTACAGGACCTGGAGGCCTGAGAGGTCGCCCTTGGGGAAGGGAGCAAAAGGCTCGAGGAGGGCGAGACGGTCGGAGGTCGGTGAGACGATGACTTCGGCAGTTGCGTCTGGAACGGCAGCTGTGGGCAGGAAGTTGGGGTTACCTTCTTCGAAACCGGCGCTGGGGAGGTCGAAGCCGCTGGGGGCTTGGAACTTGAATTCTGAGCCGTCTGGTGCGGTTAGGGAGTCGGTCATGGGGTTGAAGGTTGTGCTGCCGGAGTAGGCGAGCGCGGTGACGAGTTCCGGTGAAGCGAGGAAGTTCATTGTTTGACGGTTGCCGTCGTTGCGGCCGGGGAAATTGCGGTTGTAGGAGGTGAAGATGGCGTTGTCTTCGCCCTTGGGGACGCCGTCGGTGCGCTTCCATTGGCCGATGCAGGGGCCGCAGGCGTTGGCGAGGACGATGCCACCGGCTTCAGAGAAGGTGTTTAGCGTTTGATCGCGGTCGAGAGTGGCGCGGATCTGTTCACTGCCGGGAGTGATGAAGAAGTCGGCTTTGGGCTTGAGGCCTGCTGCGGTGGCCTGCTTGACGAGATTCTCGGCGCGGGTCATGTCTTCGTAGGAGGAGTTGGTGCAGCTACCGATAAGGCCAGCACCGAAAGTCTCGGGCCACTTCTTCTCGCGGACGGTGTCGGCGAACTTGGACAGGGGCACTGAGAAGTCGGGGGTGAAGGGTCCGTTGATATGTGGCTCGAGCTCGGACAGGTTGATAGTGATCAGCTGGTCATACTCGGCCTTAGTGTCGGCGCGCAGTAGGCTCGAGGGGCCGGCGGCGGCAACCTGGGCAGCGGCCTCTGCAACGTGACCACGGTGGGTCGACTGCAGGTAGGGAACCATACTAGGCGAGAAGGGGAAGATGGATGTGGTAGCACCCACCTCGGCACCCATGTTACAGCAGGTGGCCATACCCGTGCAACTCAGAGTCTCGACGCCAGGGCCGTGATACTCAATGACGGAGCCAGTGCCACCGCGGACAGTCAGCTTACCAGCCAGGGACAAGATAATATCCTTAGGCGAAGCCCATCCGCTCAGCTTACCCTCGAGGCGAACACCAAGGATCTTAGGAGCCTTCAACTCCCAAGGGGCGTCGACGAGGGCATCGACAGCATCGGCACCACCGACACCGATGGCAATAGCACCAAGACCACCTCCATTGGGAGTGTGGCTGTCGGTACCGAGCATCATCAATCCAGGGGCGGCGTAGTTCTCCAGCACGCTCTGGTGGATGATACCGGCGCCAGGGGGCCAGAACTCAATACCGTAGCGCTTAGCGGCACTCTCCAGGAAGTCGAACACCTCGCTATTGCCCTTGATCGAAGCTGGCAAGTCGGTGTCGGCACCGCGCTCACCGACGATCATGTGGTCACAGTGGATACTGGCTGGGACGGCGGTGGATGGAAGACCACAGGACATGAATTGGAGGAGAGCCATCTGGGCCGAAGCATCTTGCATAGCGACGCGGTCGGGCTTCAGCTTCAGGTTGGCCTTGCCTCGAATGTCGCGACCATTGTTGGTCCCGGTGAGCAATGACTCCTCGGCATTGTCCAGATGCGCGTAGAGGATCTTCTCGGCGAGGGTGAGGGCGCGGTCGGAGCCAAGGACTCGGCGGACCTGCTCGAGGTTGCGGACAAGCTTGGGGTATGGGGGCATGCGGGAGGAGGAGGCCTCGGTGGCTAGGCCACGGGCGAAGAGCCGTTGTGGGGAGAGCCGTGTGGCCATCTATAAGCTGTCAGTCTGTCCAATTGAGTTGTGTTCAATGTATACTTACACCACGAGAGGCAGAAACCCGCTGCCAAACAAGTTGGCTCACCATCTTTACTGTCAAGTTTGGGGGGAGAAACTGGGGGAAGACAAGATGTTCCTTTTTTTTCCTCCGGTTATACGTTATTTGTATTCGCTCTGATTGGTTGGTGATTGCGCCGATTTCGGAATCCCAGTCTCTATTATGTGGGGAAATCCCTACAGTATGTACGGACTACAACATACAGTATAGCTGCCCAAGACAAGGTCTATCATTTGAAGGAGAAAATGGAAAAAAGAACTTTTGCCAACGGGGAAATTTCATTAAACTCGAAGTAAACCCACCAGAAGGAACCAAAGTGCCCTCATTCCAATACAAATGCCAATGTCACAAGTCCCATCTCAAACGCCTATCGTCATATAAAGAAACAGAAGTGAAAAAAGGTAAGACTCTGATCATACAATCAACGACCACTGTATGCCAAAGACATTCCATGGCCAATTCTTCGTCAACATCGGCGCAAATTCACAAACATTGGCGTAAATAAAACACATAGGCAGAGAAAAAAAAAGGCATTGGTCTAGAGAACATGGTTTGTCTTAAGACTCCTCTCCCTCGTCGACCACTGCAGCACGAAGTTCCCAAACTAAATCGTAGCATTCGGCTAGCAGGTTGTTGACACTGCCCTGGCCCTCGGGGATATCCGGGCCCACATAGAATTTCCCATCAACTCGCATGTTGTCAATCGAGTTAAGCTATTTCAGTCAGCTCTTGTCCCCAAGTAGTGGTGGACGGTGCCATACCTTCATGCTGTATGGATACAGCTCGCGCGAATTTGCAACGCCTCCCGACTCCTTGACTTCGATCAAGCAGCGGCGCAAAGTTTGGAGTTGGTTATAAACTGGGAGTAGAGCTTCAGATACAGGCTCTGATGAAATCAAAAGCGCATATATGTATGCATAGCTGCGACGGATGAGGTATAAGAGTGTCTAAGCACATGTTAGCCAAGCCCATTGAGGAATGCCCGAGAAGAAACTCTTACTCTCTGCGCATGCAGGTCCGCTGGCTGACCTTCGGCATCAACGAAATTTCCATTGACACGGGCCTCATCAATTCGGTCGAGCTTTCGCTGGTATCCAAATAGATCGGTTTCGCGCAGCGACCAAGCTTGTGTTACTGACAAACGATCCAGTTGGTTGCGGATGTCTAACAGTCGCTCATATTGAGCTTGGAAGCGCTCGTCGATTTTACCCTCTCTGGATTTCAATCAGTCGATGCTCGATCATCCCGTTTGCAACCTAGAACATACCGCTCGAGCACAATTTCAGTCCACCGCCAACACCTGTGCATCAGAGACTTGAGGTCATCCTGTCCTGCAAGAACATTTCCTTCGTCATCCACAAAGTTGCCATCCTTTGCTGTCTTTTCAATTTTCTTCAGTTGTTCTCGAAGAGCATTTACTTCCGAGGCCGAGAACTAAAATCAATCATCCGTCAGTGCCGAATAGATTCAATTATACAAATATTTGATGGCATACTTTTGACCGAGTGTTCACAGCCGATGTTGACCGCAAAATTGAGACCAGTGTCTCATGGGTCTGCGCCAAAGGAGGAGCCAATACAGCAAGACCCTTCTGCAACTTCGCCAGTGACTGGTCACAGTGTTCCAAACGGTTTTCCAAGAGTGTGAGCAAAGCTGGTGAGTATGTGTTCCGGCCACGATCAAGGGTTTCCCGTGTAGACTGTAGTGTTTTAGTGATCGAGTTCAAATCCTTCGAGCTATAGAATCCAGCCTCCTCTAGGTGGTCGAGTAAGCGCTGCAAAACAGTCAGTGTTCAGAGCACAAAGCTAACAAGAAGAGCCGACAGAAATCCTAGGGATAAATACCTGGATAGTAGTCGCCAAGGAGTAACTGTAAAGTGTCAGTCAAAGTCATAAGATGGCGGGGTAAGGATATCGTCACTCACACTGCGGGAGCTTCGTTGTTCCTCCCAACTGTCAAGAACAGCAGGGAAATCAACTGGAAACAATCATCCAAGACATAGTCCACTATTGTTAAGCGTCAGTCACCTCCAAGTCGAGCGCGTGATATACTGAACTCACAGCGGTTGTGCACCAAGCGGCGATCTTGCTCTTTACGAATCGAATTGAGCTTCTCAACTTCTGCAATCACTTCCTCATAAAGTGGTAGGACATCGCGGGACTTTATGTATGAGGATTTGTCCTGTTTGATTAGGAGAAGCGCGTCGCGGGTTCGGAGCAGGCTTTCAAGGATGGGCTGCTCCCGCGGATCCAGCGGGACCGGGATAGCGGGGGACTCCATGGTTGGAGATTCCGATAAGTATGCTTGTTAGAAAACTTAAGGGTGAAGACGACTTGAATATAAGGGATAGGTTGCTTTAAAAGTAAAGACAAGAAGAATCGGTCGTACGTTTGAACCCCACCGGGATGTGATGTCAATTAATGAATGGAGCGATTGATAGGGAGATCATGCAGATACGACCAGATCGCACGGGCCCCGCGCAGGGTTTACTGGGGGATTATGTCATCTAATGCATTATGTCATCTAGGCCCAGCTCCGTTTATGGCTTAGTGCCAAGTCACGAGGAGGGGAAGACACTAAGCCCGATTAGTCCGAGCCCTAAGCGAGGGCTTTTTCCCACACACGGCGCGTTTGCCCTGTTCGGGTGTCTATCATTGGCGTTCTCCTCTCTTCTTCTTTCCCATCCCCAACTCTCTTCAAGACACCCAGTCCGGTCAACACCACCCGTCGACATGTCTACCGCCGAGCTCGCCTGCTCTTACGCCGCCCTCATCCTGGCCGATGACGGTATTGAGATCTCCGTACGTATCCAAAAATTCTTGATGTTGGTGGAATAGTGGAGGCTTGAAGATAGCACTTAAAGCTTTCTTTACTGTGTGAAATTGAGCCTTGAGAAAAAAGCAACAAGCTGCTGCAAAGCCACTGGGGTCAAACAGCGATTTTGCGAAAACTGACTGACCTTTAATCTTCATCCAGGCCGACAAGATCCAGACTCTCATCTCTGCCGCCAACGTCCAGGAGGTTGAGCCCATCTGGGCCTCCATCTTCGCTCGGGTAAATACCTGACTCCATCCCACAACTCGCGCCAATATCGAAACAACCCGAACATGGCCGCGCGCGACAATTTAAAGATTCGATAACTAATTCGATTTCCAACACAGGCCCTCGAGGGTAAGGACATCAAGGATCTCCTGACCAACGTCGGTTCCGCTGGCCCCGCTGCCGCTGCCCCCGCTGGTGGTGCCGCTGCTGCCGCCGCCCCCGCCGAGGCTAAGGCTGAGGAGAAGGAGGAGGGTAAGTTTTGATATGCATCTCTGGTTTGCGTCATGATACTAACCCCACTACAGACAAGGAGGAGTCCGATGAGGACATGGGCTTCGGTCTCTTCGACTAAGCGTCTTATCTCCATATCGAATTTTAAAACTCGTTTCCTTTTTTCTCTATTCCTCAACCTCTCTTACCACTGCCGCATGGCGGCTCCCTCGACGATTCTCTATTGTACTCGATACTCCACGACCCCCACTACGACCTAGAACCCGGGGAAGAAAAAAAAGAAAATTAGCAAAAGAATTCAAACGGACACGGACATTCATGGAGACTGGGTGCTCAGTGTGCCTCCGCTTCACAATGTGGACGAGGTAGACTCGATCGGATACCGCTGCGATTCCGAAACTATTGTTGCTTCCTGGATTTTAGGGGAATTGAAGACGTTTGGCACACTTCTTGATTTGTCCATGATCAAAGTTCTGCTTTGATCTGGCGAGTAGATGTATGATTCGTTTTCTCGCCCTCCACATGGATCAGCTAGCTTAGTTTGCTCGGCCTTCATGTCACGTCTGTCATGCGACCATGAACCAACAACGAATGTCGTCTGATTCTTATGTGGGGTACTTGCTCGTAGGCCATGTGACGTAGTGCTGTAGGGCTGATGGTATTGGATATCTTTTCAAAATGAAGTTGAACTCCCATTGAGCGCGCCACGTCTTTGTGGTTATCGCCCAGCGGGATTCTTCGTCAACCGTCCAAAGTACAACATGCACAGACTTTTTGGAACAATATCATCTTTGGACTTACGGTTGTATCGATAATATCATTGTGCACTACTTGAATTCCGAGGTCGCGCTATCGCGAGCAACACTGTACATTCACGCTAACAACCATATTTATTGGATTTAGTTGCCAGTTTACTATCAAAACGCGATGCTACACCAAATTTTCTGATGTCCAGCATCACTAACAGACGCATGCAAATCATCTCTCATCCAAAAAAATTGTTGGGCTTGAAACCGAAGTACATATTCGACGGTATATAGGCAAGATGTCATTGCTCTTAATTGAAAGAGCAAATTGCAATATTTAGGAGATTGCTGAGAGACGAGGGTCCTGAACAGCGTAAATTCGGAATTGGATGAAGATAATCACATCCTCAACCATAGTTCCTAGGGATCCAATCAACCATGGAAGATTGGTGAGGAAGTATTCTTTCTCTGTAGAATGGCAAAGAATCTATAACCACACCGTTAGCCTATTAGTTCATAGTACAATTTGCTGTATCACTCACTCCTGCACCGTACGTTAGGTTTCCGAGAAGAGAGAGAATAAAGAACAAGAGCGACAATCCTAGATAGAGGTCAACATTCAGCCTCACATATGCATCATATAAGGGTAATACAGACATACCTTCGCATGACTTCTCACTGTAGTTTTTGTAGATCTGAGGCAATCTCGCTCTGCAGACAAAGTCAATATCAATCCGTCAGCCCCAAAGAGAGGATGACTCACCCCAGATAGCATACAGCACTGAAATATCCCAGCACCAGTCCGCCAATGGCCTCCTCAGAACCATTCTTATTGTCCAACGGCGCCGGCGCCCACATTCCCGTCTGCCAAGCCATGGTCCAACCCACAATACCAATGAGGAAAATCCCAACAACACTGGTAAAATTCTTGACCCACGCCTTACGCCCATAGTCATTCTCCTCGACGATCTTTGCCAGGGTGTCCTCGACCTCGCTTTCACGCCGGCCACCAGCTTGGTAGCGGCGCAGTGAGCCCGACGACCGACGCCGTGACTCAGAAGACGCGAGAGAGTCACTGAATCGCCGCCCCAGTAATGGGGTAGTTGGGTCCGGAGTCTCCGTGGACGAGCGTCGGCGATGGAAAGGTTCCGGGCGCGAGTTGCGTGCTTTATAGTACACGCATTGCGCGATCAGCACGCCGTCTGCAATGCAGAAGTATACCGCGATCGCAACGATCACAGGCACGAGTCCGGCTAGTAGGCCGCCAACGAGGTTTGCGATATCGCCAATAAGCCAGACAGAGATGAAGAGGAGAGAAATGGCTTCTGCGTTGCCATTGCGATAGTTCTCAATTAGCTGGGGTACCTATGACAGTATTGTTAGATACATTGGATCGGTTATCAAGGTGCGAGTCTGGTGTCAAACATACCAAAAGGAAAAACCAGCAGGTCATAGAGACTGAGCCAAAGAGACCCGATGCCGCCTCACGAGCTGTTAAAGGTATAGGGCCGTGATCCATGATTTCCATGCTCTGTAACAAATGTGTGCTTGAGTGAAAGAAAATTGCACGGGAGATAAGGCTATGACACAATCTACCCAGGGTACTCCCGCTATGTCCAAGCTTTCATGGGTCCATAGGAAAATCTTTGAAATATCCTATGCTAATTGAGTATATTGTACAATGTATGTCTACATTAAAACAGATTATCGAATGTACAGACCATTTCTTTGAAAAGAAACTATAAAAAAAAATTATAAAAAAAAAAGATGTTGAAGCTGCCAGTGCGGGATGATGTGCATCAGCCAAGCATTAGAGGGTTTCTAGAGCCAATGATACACTTCATTATGGTCATACTGTCTAAAATGTAAGTGCTACACATTTACTTTGTGCTACTATGATCAAGGCATGCTAATATCCTATAGGACATTATTTCTCTGTGAAGGTTCCCTGAAGGATCGCAGAGTCGTAGATATATATACTTTTATACTTCGGTTGTATAAATCTGTCCTGGGACGATCGACATTGCCCACCAGGACAATCACAGGATTTTTTTTAAGCAACAAGCTATATGTTGACTTCTCTAGGAGCATACCTATTTGCCCTCCTCAAGGACTTCTTAGTCGACTTGGTTGGTTTAGTTGACTGGAGTTCTTAATAAACTACCAGGACTCTATTATGAAAATTACTACAATCTCACAATTATAGTACATTGAATAATTCAATTCTTCTCTATTGTACACAGACTAATACAATATTCGTCTTCAGGAAGCTGAATTATTCTCCGCGCATAATGGCGAGCTCATCCTCGAGCATGCTGACTGCAAAATCGCCAAGAGAGTCCTTGATAGTGCCGTCTAACAATCGTTGGCGGGCTACATCTGAGATTGCCGCCATGGCCTCCAAATAATTGGTCAAAGGCGCATAGTCTACAACCACTTCGCTCCAGTTGCCTCTATCGACTCCATATTGTGAAAGGAATATACGAAGAGTTTGCAACCCCTCACGAGTGAGCCACCCTTCAAGGGCCGCTGGATCTCTGAGTGGTGGGCGTGAGTGGGGGATATCGAGATGTTCGGTATTTTCGTCTTCATCCTCAAACCCAATTGGCTCTTCGTCATCCGATGGGATATTGGGAGGGCGAACATTGTGGTTGATCTGACCAAGGAGGTCCTGCAGCCAATTTTCGCCGCCTCCAGCAGGGGCTGCATAGATGGGAGTGGGTTGAGATTGTTGCTGGTAGGCTTCAGATTCATAGGGGGAAGAGGGTCGGAGGAGGACAAGCGACCAGCCACAAAGTGGTTTGGAAGATGGGTTGTCACTTTGGCTATATCGGACAAGACCACATGGCGAGCGATGTCCAAGGTGATCTCTGGCGGCTCATTGGGCTCCTCACCAGAGATAGAATCTGCGACTTCCATAATGAGAGAGATAGCCTCTGGCGTATTCCAAAGATCCTTTGCACGGGCGATGTAGAGTTCGGTAAATAACTCATGAGCGCCGGTGGGAGGCATCTTACCCCATATTTGCTTTGGAACGTGCTGGACATCAAGTTCCTGTGCTAGCCTGCTGAAGATCCATGGGTAGCGGGACATGGCGAGGTGCAGCTGTCGACGACATTCTTGGGGCTTGTTCAAACGGAGGTATGCCATTACCAGCGAGCATTGGATATTGGGAAGGTTGGCCCAGTCGCGAACAAAGCGTGTCTGGGTGCATAGCTGCACAAATTGTGCATATTCTCTACCTCGGAGCGCAAGGTGATCGATGAGCAGCCTCATGCAGTAAGGATCGCTGCTATCCAGACTGAGCAAGAGCTTGGCCCATTCATAGGCGGTTCTCCATGTGCCTTTCATTGCTAGGTTGGTGATGTACCTCCATCCAACAAGCCAGAGCTCTCGGTTCTCTGCATGTATGAAATCAAGTCTGGCCTCACCTTCCTTGAGACGGTTAGCAAATGAAGAATGTACTGAGCGTCCAATATTGAAAAGAGCTCTTTCCATCAGATCGGCAGACACAGCATGATCGCCTTGATGTTTGGCAATCTCCGATACTTGAAGAAGCGTAGAAATATGGTATGGGTTGTATTGGAGGTGCCCGATGAGTCTCTGTGGGTCCATTGATTCAACACAGAGGTCAAACTGCCGCTGTACATCTTGGTAGGCGGTATTGTGCACCAGTCGGTAGAGAGTCTCCCCGGAAGGAAGCTTCTCCACAGTCTCCATTCCCAGCCCTCCACTTGGAGCACGAGGCCACTCATCTTTGCCCTGCATAAGAACATTGCGTCGCAATGTAACTCCAGCCAGACTTTGACCTCGGCTAGCTGGACTATATCTTCCCGTCAAGGCCTGAGCAAGATCGACCATTTGTCGATTACGATCCCGACGGCGGCCTGTTCCACTATCCGCTGGTTGATCAAAGTTTTCCAGAACCACATTTCCAAACAGTTTGCGCATCTCATTCGTCGCATTGAGGAATTTGGGTTCGATGCCGAGCAACTCGCTCGTAGTCTTCGGGAAAGAGGTCTCGGGTGTGTATCTGGTAGATAGACCTGTGTCAACTGACGAGTGTCCACCTGTTGATAACTCTTTCAACGCCAGATCAATTTCATCCAGGTCTGCTTCATTTGATTTCAAAGGCGGTGCACTGGCTGGATCGGAGGTTTTGGAAGCCTTCTTCTTCTTCTTTTTCTTGTTGCTCTTTTTGGCCTTTATGGGGGTTGGTTCAGGCTCTGGTGTCTGCGTGCGAGGTTCCTCCTCTGCTTCCTCTTCCTCCTCCTCCTCCTCCTCCTCCTCCTCCTCTTCTTCGTCTTCATTTTCAGCGTTCAGCAAGTCGAAAGCATTGAACTTCGGTTTCGCGGGGCGCGGGGCTTCGTCTTCGCTTGACTCATCTTGCCGCTCAGATTCTCGCTGCTGTTCCTGTTCACGCAGCTTTTGCAGTTTTCGAATTGCTCGTGATGACATCCTATACAATTAGGCAAAGCCTTAAACGAATAGGACAGAGGCTCTTCTGCACAAGTGGAAACAAAAAAGAACGCGCCGAAACAAAACCGCGGGGAATGACGACAGAGACTAATTCGGACTAGCGCTATTTTAGATAACATATGCACGTGACCTCGTCTCGACGAGCTGGACCTCCTTGACAAGCTTGAAACTTCATCTACATACTATCTCAGAGCTATTATCTGCCTTGCAGAAGGCACAGAAGCTTATCAGCTGTCATATTCACTGCTGGTCCAATGCGTCGGGTGACTATTCAGGCCTGCCGCACTGCTCGGCGTGCACCAGTATGGAACATTGCCGCTAAACGGCCGTGCTCTTTGACATTCAACCAGCTGCGAGGTATTCGGCCATATTCTGGCAGCAAACCCTCATCCCACACCCCGGTAGCTTCTCATACATCTATGCATCGCCGAAAACTCTCCTTCGCCGTTATCTCCACCGTTGTTGCCTCGGGGGCATGGTATGCTTACCAGGGTGACAACGTCAAATCGGTAGCAACCCAGGTCCGAGGTTTCGCATCAAGCGCCTTCAGCTCCGCCTACGCAGAAAGCCCGGCCGAGTCCACGAGACGTGCATTGTTGGTCAGCGGCGATCAGTTTTACACCGCGACACTCTCCGGAGACCAGCCTATTGCCAAGACTACAGACGATTCAGATCGGCGAGTCCTAGAGATGTTGACCCCAGAGCAAGCAACCGAAAAGCTTCGCAAGAACGAGGAGTCATACCTGGTCAATCGGGGCAAGGGTGTGGTTCGTTATGATGTGGTTCAGGTTGCCAGCAATTCCCCCATTGAGGATGACCATGCGGAGAAGATAGTGGAGATTCCTGCGTCTGTGGCTGCTGTCAGCAATGGGGAGCCGAGCAGTGACTGGATGTTCTGGGGAGTTTTCGACGGTCACTCGTACGTTGCGTCTAGATTGAATACTTATCATGCGTAAATCTAACCACAATTAGGGGCTGGACCACATCCGCCAAATTACGCAATGTTTTGATCTCATACGTGGCCCGTGAATTGAATACGACTTACAAAGCTGCCTCTGCTGATCCATCTCTCCTCGTACCAACATCCGAAGCTATCGATGCCGCCATCAAGCAGGGTTTCGTCCGCCTCGACAATGATATCGTACACGAGAGTTTCAAAGAAGTCATGAAGTCTAAATCACGACGAGTTGCCGCCGAGCTCCTTGCTCCTGCTCTCTCAGGCTCATGTGCTCTTCTTAGCTTCTATGACTCTCAGTCCAAGGACCTTAAGGTTGCTGTTACCGGAGATTCTCGCGCAGTGCTGGGCCGTCGCGGCCCTAGCGGGAAATGGACTGCTACCGCTCTTTCTGAGGACCAGACCGGTGGTACCCCATCTGAAATGAAACGTTTGCGCGAGGAACATCCTGGCGAGCCATATGTCACCAAGAATGGTCGAATTCTCGGCCAGCTTGAACCCAGCCGTGCGTTCGGTGACGCTTTCTACAAGTGGAGCCGGGATGTCCAGGATACAATTAAAGCGAAGTTCTTTGGGCGCACCCCTCATCCTATGCTGAAGACGCCCCCTTATGTCACCGCCGAGCCTATCATTACTACGACCAAGATTGATCCCACCAAGGGCGACTTTGTCGTCATGGCTACCGATGGTCTATGGGAGATGCTGAGCAATGAAGAAGTTGTCGGTCTGGTTGGTCAGTGGGTTGAACAACAACAATCCGCTGCTGCTAGCACGGGTAGCAAGGCTTGGTTACAGAGCTGGTTTGGGTTCGACAGTCAAAAGAAACTGCCTGTGGAAAGCGCAACCGACGGTTCGACAGAAGGCCAACGGCGTCCCATCCGCCAGCAGCAATATGATATCTCTGGCGCGGCTACTCGATTTGTTGTTGAGGACAAGAATGCAGCAACACATCTTGTGCGGAACGCAATGGGCGGAAAGGACAAGGATATGGTGTGTGCGTTGTTGACGCTACCCAGTCCTTACTCTCGCCGATACCGGTATGAAAATCCCTTGCATGACATTTCTTTCGTTTTAAACGAGTTGGCTAATCTTTCTTAGTGACGATGTTACCGTTGAGGTCATCTTCTTTGGTCAGGGCCCTGATTCGCGCACTGTGGAAGTCAACCAGGAAGCGAGTGCCTCAGAACAGCCTCCCAAGTCAAAGCTTTAGGCGCTTTCTTCTTTTTTCTATCGCTTGTGGCATTTCCAAAGCATTTCAAACGGTGGCGGGTATCTTTTAATACGTTTTTCAATCTACTTTCTCCAATTGATTGTTGCTACTGGATCTTTGGTAAAGCCAGGAAAATATACTAGGGAATAGTTTCTCTAATCTTATAAATCATGATTGTTTGTCTGATGCATAACGCTCGTTTGCAATACCCTCATGACACATAGAAAAGCCCTCTGTACGTTGTATGATCTTTGCCATCTTCGAATATCGTATATAGTAGAGTTATAATCCCGGCATGTTTACTCTGTGAGCACTCGTATCCCATCCCTAGCTGTACTTCTACGACTAATTGTTGTTTTCCTACCTATAACACCATGAATAAGAGAGATACAGGAAAAGGACATCCGAGATCTTACATATGACGTCCCTGATATCATCTTGATGTACCTGGGGAGATGATACCGGTTCTTAGAAAGAGTCCTATCTCAATCATCAAGGGCAGAAGGATTCGGCTTTTCCGGTTTAGCAATCAATAAGCTAAGTTTGAACTTTTAAGCTAAAAGCCCAATCTACCTACAAGATGAATTACAATCAGATAATACTGGGTAGAAATAATTGAAAAATAAGACAACTCAAGCCGAAGAAATACAAGTTGGCAGATATGCTCGCGCTACATACCGCATACGCGGCCGACTATTTTCGTGAGAAGTGAAGGATATTGTACATGAATGCAAGTGGGCAAGGGAAAATGATGTTAAACAATGAGTCTCGAAACCAGTCGATGAACTATATGCTTTTCAAATGGACCCTCATCTCGCCAGTGAGTTGGACCAAATTATGAACGTTGACGTACAACCCCAGAGGCGACCCTATGGCGACTGCTTCGATTTGAGCCGGTTCATAAGGTCTGTATCAGTCACCCAGAGGCCTTGGGTTAATCATGTCTGACATGGGCTTGCTGTCAAATTTCGGTGTGATTGTGGGCTTCATCCCGATGGAGCTCCAAAATTCACTTAGAGCCAGTGCGTAAATGGTTCGCAACTCTGTAGTGGAGTATGGCTGAGCAAGCCACCGTCAAATCGATTCATTACATGGGAAAGAACCCGTGTCATCCCAAATGAAACGTTTCCCGCGGATGGAATCAACGCAAGTTTTTCAACTGGAAAGGGTCCTTGTCACCCGGTTTCTCAAAAGCGATAGATTTTTCAATGAAGTGCTGGTATGTCACTGGTGAAAACACCTTGTTGTCCAGCACCCAAGTCTGCAGCGTAGCAACATTGGTACTAGTGATCCAGTAGAGCATAAGCGCAGTTGGCATCCCTTGAGTCCAGCTGGCGAAGCCAATGTAACATGTCAAAACCACAATAAAGGTCCGCAAGCCTGTGAAAGTGACCTGCTTATACATCTCGGTCTTCGGAAGGTGCTGGATATCCTTCCAGGGCTTGACTTTCCATCCGGTCAGAACATTCCCCAAGATCGACGCAGTTAGACAAAGCGGCAGCACGCCTGTCGGGTCACCGGCCAGCAAGTCCGGAAACCAAAGGGCGCCCTCATTTGCAAGGGTGGGCTCCATGGTTAAATGCAGAGATTGAGCTGCAGAGGCAGGATCTTGCGACTCGATGAACGACGACAGCCAGGCAATGATCCCGCTATTGTTGCCACTCATCCCGCGCAAACTCTCCATGAGCGCAATAAAAACAGGAATCTGCAGTAAACCAATTGCTTTGTGCTTGCCAGAGACTCCCCAACGCTTATGAAGCTCAGCTGTTCGTTTTCTTAGATCAAGCAAAGCTTTTTTCTTTACTTCAGGAATCGTTATATTCTTGGTGGTCAGACTTCTGTAATCAGCCATATGTTTTTCTGTATATCTCTTGCTCCATGCGCTTAGAATTGGCGTTATCTTTTTTTCACGTTGGCGATGGAGTCGAGTATATGACAGGATGGGCAGCCCGACAAATGTACGAACAAGTACGGCTGTCAGAGGGATTGAGGCAGCCCATGGTAGACATGAGACATTGTGGACGCCGTGGATAAATGCGGTAGAGCCGTCTAGTGCAAGGTCAATGATGGTGGATGAGGCTGGTCTTGTTGGGTGAAATTGTCGAAATTGCGAGCGTGGCAATGGTACGGCTCGCGTTACATGTCGAGCATATGCCGAGCGGAGGGCATACATCACTGCTGGCGGGGCGACAGACAAGATAGAAAATAAATTGTAGCTCGAAAAACCGTTGCTATAGGAGTTGCGGTACGGAAATCGGATGTTTGGAAATCATCATGTGACACGTATGAGAGTACTTCATTGGCCCGATTGATCAACTTGTTGACAACAAGAGAGGGGAGCATTTTCTGACTTATCAAACAGTTTGACTTCAAATTATTTTACTATGTGTGATTTCTGATGAGGTCTCTTTAATCATTGCCTTTTCACCATGGCCCTCTTATCAAATGCCATTCTGGCCATTCTAGTTCTCACCGCCACAGCTGTCCTACTTCCGAAGCTAACAGGCGTTCTCCTCGGTCTTGTGTTTCGGGGAGTGGGTTGGCTGATATGGCGACGAACAAGAGCTCGCCGGGAATATGTGATCGCGCGGGCGCGATCTGAAGAGGATGAGCTACGCGCCTCACAGTCGAAGGGTTCAACAACTTCACCATCGCGGAACGGTGCCGAGGATGAGGATTGGGAGAAGGTGGATAGTTCAAGCCCAAGCGGGGTACAGGCATCAACTGGCAGTGTAATCAGTGGGGATACTGGTCAGGAAAACAACCGAAGTCCGGAGGACTGGGATGGGGTTATTGGGTTCTTCCACCCATTCTGGTATGGCATCTCTCTATGCATATCCAAACACACATCGCTGACTAGGTGCTACAGCAATGCCGGTGGAGGCGGGGAGCGAGTTCTTTGGGAAGCAGTACGTGCAACACAGAAGCGCTGGCCGAAGGCAATCTGTGCTATCTACACAGGCGATCACGAAGTCAATAAAGCCACGATGCTGGAAAAAGTGGAGAACCGATTCAATATTCATTTACATGCACCAACCGTAGTGCTCCTATACTTGACGACCCGCAAGTATGTTGTTAGTAGCTCATACCCTTACATGACGCTGCTGGGACAGTCGCTGGGATCACTGGTTGTTGCCTATGACGCTTTTACCCTGCTTGTGCCGGATATTTTTGTTGACACCATGGGATACGCTTTCACACTTGCTCTGAGCAAGTGGCTTTTCCCGACAGTGCCTGTTGGCGCCTATGTCCATTACCCGACCATATCAACCGATATGCTTGCCTCTCTTGATGATAAGAGTGGGGTGCAAGGGATCAATTCCGGCGCAGGGAAGGGGTGGAAAGGGAAAATCAAACGTCGATACTGGGAGCTATTTGCCAAGTTGTACGGCTGGGTCGGTCGACAGGTCGATGTTGTTATGTGCAACTCGTCGTGGACGGCAGGACATATCCGCGCGCTATGGGGCACCGGAAAGGAATGCAGCAACAACAGCGGCGACGGGACCGCATCATCGCCGGCGGTGGTGTTCCCCCCCAACAGCAGTCACAGAACTGCAATCAGATATTCCTGTTGACATGGAGAGCGAGAAGATACGCCAGCCCGTTATACTTTACATTGCTCAATTCCGACCAGAGAAGAATCACCCGCTAGTCTTGCGCTCCTTTGCGCGCTTCTTACAAGAACGAACAAACAACCCAGCCTACAAAGGCCAGCCCCCTCCACGTCTTATGCTTATTGGATCCGTGCGCCATGCCAGTCCTGATGAAACCCACATCTACAATCTGCGCCTCTTGGCGCATGAACTTCGCATCCGCGATTATACCACCTTCTTGTGCGATGCCAGCTGGCCTGCCATGCTGTCCCATCTCAGTACCGCCTCCGTTGGTGTCAATGCCATGTGGAACGAGCACTTTGGTATCTGTGTCGTGGAGTACCAAGCCGCTGGTCTCATATGTGTCACACATGACTCAGGCGGTCCACGTGAAGACATTGTCATTGATTTGGGTGATGGTGCAACTGGATTCCGAGCTGAAACAGAAGAGCAGTTTGCTGCTTCTTTCGAGGCTGCTCTTGCTCTTCCGGAGGCAGAGAAACTCGCCATGCGGCAGCGGGCTCGTCGCTCATCCCAACGGTTTACCGCAGAGGAATTCTCCCGCAAGTGGCTAGATCAAGTACAGAAGCTTGTTAGGGCGTCAAGAGTCTAACTTTGTGATACCCCCCCTTGGAAATCAACGAACGGAATTTCCATCTAGTTTAGTAGTTTGCCAAAAGAGGTCAATTCTATGATAACAGCTCTCAGAGACTGTACTTGATTCGTAGTAATCGTAAAATAGTAATAGAAGACGTGGCCAAGTCTAAGACTCGTGCATAAAACCAGACCTCTCAACTAGAGCATCTCGAGCCTTCTTATCAGAAACAGAGAATCCTTGCAATTCAATGGATGACAATGCAAATACCAAAAGGTTTCCTTTTAATCGCTATCACTGGCCTCTCCACCATCCGACTCGGCTCCATCGCCAGTATTTTGAATACCTTCAGCCATGATATACTCGGTTTGCTGAAGGGTCTTCTTAATCTCATTATTGTTGAAAACCAGCTCAGCAGGCTTCTGACCATGCTTATTCCGCACTCGAGGATCACAGCCAGCCTCACACATCATCTTGATCATGGCCTCACCCAGTTCGGCGTCCTTATCATTGGCATACCGCACTGCGATGTGCAACGGTGTGTCCTTGTCCAGCCGGGTCAACGGGTCGCATTCAAAGTATTGGATATCAAACAACGCATCCATGGTGTCATCTGACCATTCAAGAAAGAGTTAGCTTCTGTAAGAGATGGGGATTGAGGAAGTGGCAAAATAAACACGTACAGCTGCCGTACTGGGCACAGATGTGCAATGCGTGATTTCCCATAGAGTCTGTCACCTCATTGAAGAATTGTGCCACTTGCTCATTTGATTTCTCTTCCATTGCGTTCAACACTTGCTCAATTAATTGGGGTTGATCCCGGCGGCAGGCCTCCACGACCAGCTCGCGGGGTGATGCGCCCTAAATCATAGTAGTGTTAGCGTTGATTTTAAGCATGGATCTGGTGACCAGTATTCACCTCATCAGCCATCTCTGTATATGGGTTCACAAAGTCCGGAATACCCGAAAGTGAAGTCGGTAGTACAGGAATTGGTGCTCAGCTGTGATAGGACGCGAGGAGCTAGTTGTGACAAGAGTCAGGCGTTTTGTATGATATTTTGGTGATCAAAATGAATCTGTGAGTGATCCAGAATATGTATGTACAAGCTGGTCTGTCGGTTCAAACAGGCTTTCAAGTTCCTGGCAAACACTACAGGTTATGGAGTTGTTCCCCAGGGACATGCCACACGCGGGCCTCCCGGATATATAATACTCCGTGGTTTAGCCGCGCGCCTAGATCTCTTATCATCGACAGTGATGTTCTGCACCTGACAGGGACTACGATATATAGCTGCTGAGGATCTAACTTTCTCCTGATATAGCTGTCTAACACTTTCTTAACTTTACCTGCTGCGTCCTCCAGTCAGATCATCGAGATGCTAGTCTGTATGTTCTATCTCCAAGTTAACAGTGTCCAGTCACAGTCCAGAACAGAAGCTGATTTTTCTCTCCAGTCTGCCCAAATTGCAGCAATGCGCTCACCATCTCCAAAGCGGACTCGAGCACAAGATTTCCTGCGGGTGTGAACCGCTTCGAATGCCGCGTCTGTCCCTATGAAGCCCCGATAGACAAGAACTATTTCGAGAAGAAAAGCATGAAGCAAAAGGAAGTGGACGATGTCTTTGGTGGCAAGGAGGAGTTTGCCAATGCCGACAGTGTTGGCAGTAAGTTTTTCCTGTCATCTGTCAGAAATGACATGTCCGTCGAGACATACAAGGCTGACATGCTCTCTTTTTTACACTTGCAGCTCAATGCCCCGCCGAAAGCTGCAATGGGGAACGTGCGTACTTCTTCCAGCTGCAGATTCGTAGTGCAGATGAACCGATGACTACATTCTTAAAGGTATGTTTTTCTCCTTACGTACAACGTGAGGTACCCGTGTCTGACAGCTATAGTGTACTTCGTGTGGTGCTCGGTGGAGAGAAAATTAGACCTGGGCAACGAGGCTGGGAACAAGTACTTTTTTTTTTTTTTTGGCTTTCATATCTATTACAGCGAGGCGAAAATGGCGCATTTACTAGGCCTTTGGGGGGAGGCGTTGGTTGTAGCTCAAAACTATCAAGTTGAGACGATACCCAAATTGATCGACGTCACAGCCCAGTGCACAGATTATTTTGCGATCAGCGGAAACTTTTTTCGGACCTGGATCTAGCTCTCTTGTTTGCATTTCATGCTCTTTCTTTTAGCTCATATTTATTGTGGTGGTTAGCATGACTGTTATCTATAAATACAATTGGCCTAGTACAAATGTAGAGCCCGACATTGATTTCTGCCTACATGTGAATCATTGTGGGCGAAAAAAAAAAAAATATCCTACATGCATGACATTGTTAGTGGGATGATTTGGCGGTGAGAATGTTGCCCCTCACCCGCGGGGCTGAGGCAAAAGAGAAGGGAAAAAAAGTGAAAAAATGATTGAGATTGTTCTAATCGCCACAGTACAAGGCCGGGAAGAGAAAAAAACACACCAAATGCGTAAAGTAAACAATGCAAACCCAAAGGATTCTCACCCAACCACTCTGCGTTGCTGCCCAGTTCGAGCGTTTAGAGCCACAGAGTGGGCTGGGACGGAGATGAAAAAAAAAAATTCGCACCGAGTGGAGTGCCGTGGCAGGACAAAACCAGGGAAACGGAGGGGTGTTTCAAGCAAAGAGGTAGATAGTACTTGACAAGGTATGTGTAAGTCCATGTTGTAGGAAGTACATGTACTTAATCCCTCCCACCCACTTTGAAAAATCTGCGTACACGGCTAAGTGCTTGAGCCAATCAGAGGTCATACCCAAAGAGGGCTTTGCCCCACCTGCTGACTCGCCTCGCTCGCTTGCCCCTCCATATAAGGAATTCCCCTCCTCCCCCTCCCACAGTCTTTTCTTTCTTCCTCTCGTCTGCTACAGTGAGTATTCCTTGACCCCCTACTGCTTTTCAAGCTCTCTCTCCTTCGACTCTTTACTGATTGCATTTGCTCAGTACCTCTACGCGTTCTGCCGTAGTCTCTGAGCAATTTTTCCACAGATTTTTTCTAGTATCTTACAAAGAACTACAAAAAGTTAAACCGTCATCATGGGGTATGTGATTACTCTCCTTTTCAGGAACGAAATTGAGACTGACTTCAAACAGTAAGGAAGAGCGTTCCCACATCAACATCGTCGTTATCGGCCATGTCGATTCCGGCAAGTCTACCACCACTGGTCACATGATCTACAAGTGTGGTGGTATTGACCAGCGTACCATCGAGAAGTTCGAGAAGGAGGCTGCTGAGCTCGGAAAGGGTTCTTTCAAGTACGCCTGGGTTCTTGACAAACTCAAGGCCGAGCGTGAGCGTGGTATCACCATCGATATCGCCCTCTGGAAGTTCCAGACCGCTAAGTACGAGGTCACCGTCATCGGTAAGAGAGTTTCCTACTCACCATCGCCATACATGTTACTAATCTCTCCTTACAGATGCCCCCGGTCACCGTGATTTCATCAAGAACATGATCACTGGTACCTCCCAGGCCGATTGCGCTATCCTCATCATTGCCTCCGGTACTGGTGAGTTCGAGGCTGGTATCTCCAAGGATGGCCAGACCCGTGAGCACGCTCTGCTTGCCTTCACCCTCGGTGTTAAGCAGCTCATCGTTGCCCTCAACAAGATGGATACCTGCAAGTGGTCCGAGGATCGTTACAACGAGATTGTCAAGGAGACCTCCTCCTTCATCAAGAAGGTCGGCTACAACCCCAAGGCCGTTCCCTTCGTCCCCATCTCCGGCTTCAACGGCGACAACATGCTTGAGCCCTCCCCCAACTGCCCCTGGTACAAGGGTTGGGAGAAGGAGACCAAGGCTGGCAAGTCCACCGGAAAGACCCTTCTCGAGGCCATTGACGCCATCGAGCCCCCCGTCCGTCCCTCCAACAAGCCCCTCCGTCTTCCCCTCCAGGATGTGTACAAGATCTCCGGTATTGGCACAGTTCCCGTCGGTCGTGTCGAGACTGGTATCATCTCTCCCGGCATGATCGTCACCTTCGCCCCCGCCAACGTCACCACTGAAGTTAAGTCCGTTGAGATGCACCACCAGCAGCTCAAGGCCGGTAACCCCGGTGACAACGTCGGCTTCAACGTCAAGAACGTGTCCGTCAAGGAGGTTCGCCGCGGTAACGTCGCTTCCGACTCCAAGAACGACCCCGCTGCCGGCTGTGACTCCTTCAACGCCCAGGTCATTGTCCTCAACCACCCTGGTCAGGTCGGCGCTGGATACGCTCCCGTCCTCGATTGCCACACTGCCCACATTGCTTGCAAGTTCGCTGAGCTCCTCGAGAAGATCGATCGCCGTACCGGTAAGGCCACTGAGACTTCCCCCAAGTTCATCAAGTCCGGTGATGCCGCTATCGTCAAGATGGTTCCCTCCAAGCCCATGTGTGTTGAGGCCTTCACCGACTACCCCCCTCTCGGTCGTTTCGCCGTCCGTGACATGCGTCAGACCGTCGCCGTCGGTGTCATCAAGTCCGTTGTGAAGAACGCTGGTGGCGCTGGTAAGGTCACCAAGGCCGCTACCAAGGCTGGTAAGAAATAAATGATTCTCGGATGATACTCATTATGCCGTGATGATTTTTTTCTTTTCAAAAACAATTACTTGATGGAAGGTAGATTTGCTGTGTAGTTGATCAAAATGACTACCCACATTTTTATGACTCAATTTGTTCCCAATTCTTTGTTTCTCCGTAAACATGTAATAGCGTAGACGAGGATCTGTAGAGTAGTCGATCGACTCTGGTAGTGTTTTCCTATCGTGGGTTACTTTGGATCCCGTCTGTGGGTATGTCTTCAGCTTAGTGAAACTGCGATAGAAAAGTCCTCTGCGACCATGTTCCATGCACGATGTATCCCGCATCCCCATAATATTGAAAATTTAGCCCCAGGTTATCTCGTCCAACTATTGATTACCCATGCATGTCTAGTCGTTCGACTTCAATTTTCTATTCCCATTTTGTCACCCCATTCATTCATCAAGCAATATCAAGAATTAGAACCATCTCCAATCTAGAAGCTAACTATGGATCAGTCTTATCCTGACTTGGTGTAAGCCTATTCAGGGTTAAGATATATATATATTTGACCCTTTTCGATTGCCAGAAAGGCTTCTGAGCACCCAGAAACACATATTCCGTCATATGAGTACATGCAACGGCTCGTATATCGAATATCGAATAGATACAATGTACACAATATATACACATATATACACATGTATACACGTGTGGCCTTGGGAAGACAGGCTCAATGAATAAACCCGATTGAGACCATGATTATCAAAGTGACTAATATTCAGAACCCAGGGCGTTATACACAGTACTCTAAGCATATACGTATATCCAAGCCAGTCTCGATTTCCATCTTAACCTTGAATTAGGTCCGTCCCAAAATCAGACCCAATTCAAATATACGAACCTACGCTTCAAATCCCATCAAATTGGCTGTAAGTATGACGACTGGGGTATTAGAGCTGATTGTGGTTGCCGTAGTGAGGGGTCCGTAGTCAGATGGTGTGATCAGCAAAGTGGAAATCGAAATTTTACGAGGTAGACAAGTAGTTCGGTTCGGTGTCTAAGTTGGAGTTGATACAGTGCTGGTGTAATTCTTGAATCCAGTCATTTTTGGCCGAGGTTGAATGAATCTGTCGGCGTGAGGCTAACCGGCCTACAGCGCAAATATATCCCTTGACACGATCAGGTTGAGAGATATTGAGTGTCCGCAGTATATCTACCCAGTCATTGAGGTATCCACTACAAACTTGAATGTTAATGCTGCCCCAGAGATGTTCAGGTGACAAGTAGACTAAGGAAGGTGAGGGCGGATAGTCTTGTCATGGTGGATTGATTCACAGTGGGAGAGACAGTAGGGGAGAAGATTGTTTCAAGCTCATTAAGGCCTGTACGCCCTCCAGAGCTTCATCTCTTAAGGCTGACAATAATATAGCTTGGACCATCAGTCGCACTCCGTGATAAATACTACTTACTTACATAGGTATAGTCTTGCTAGCTGTCACAAGCAACGAATGGAAGGAGCATGAGATACTGTTTGCACATGCGAGCATCGGCCAGACATATCTCACTGTGGGCAAGTTTTCTTCCTTCCAAAGGCCGGATCTATGATGCTTTCTAGTATCATATTTGGCGCTGACGAATGCGCTCGATGCAAGGATGAATTCACCATCGAACACGATGAGCTCTGCTCTTGACTATTCAGAACCGAGTCGCCTACCTACATTCTACCTTGGATATCCCTGGCCACTTTTATAGCTAAAGAGGTCGGTGGCCTGTGAGCTAAATCATCAACATTCATGTGAAGTTGACATGCCACAGCAGGTCTATAGAAGTCCATTGCAAGCGTGCCTGCTTGGAACTTTATTTACGATCATAGATCTTTGAGAATTGATATCCATTTATCTCCAGGGCTGAACGGTACTATGTCAATTTCTTGCAAAACACCTGTAGTCATGGCTTGGTGATTAAGATGGAAATCATTTATTAAATAGCTAATCCGTGCAATTAGCCAAATGTGGCTTTATTGTAAGACTACGTTGAACTGGAATCAAGCGACAATATAGAGCGCAGAATACTGCCATAATGATAATCGACCTCAATTAAGGGCATGAGCACTCACGGGCATGAGCACGTTCAAGAGTCCACAATGCGTTATGGTCCTCAGTTTCAAACTATATATCGATGAGTAAAGTAGCGAACATTGGTCAAATGTACTTGAATGACCTATCGTATCGTGGGTATCAAGTTGGCAGATACCTACATGTAGTATGTATCCCTATGTTATCACAGTGTGCCAATCAAACATAAATCAATCACTCTTCCTCATACTCCTCAGAGTCAGAATCTTCCTCCTCTTCTTGATTAGCGTCACGCCTGGAAGACCGTCTTGGCCCCGAGCTCCGCGGCACTTCATTTGTCTCCCCACTCCCATGGCCCTGAACATCTCCATCCGCATCGCTAGCATTATCCACTCCACTAGCTCGTATCGTCGCCGGCTCAATCCCAAGACTCCTTCCAAGCTTCGCTTCGAAGTCCTCGAGGTCTTCCCTCTGGAGTTGAGTCAAGCTCTCATGGTCATCCTGATTTTTCCCATAAACAGTTCGCACAAGACCCGCCACACCACCAGTCCCAACCTCAATTTTACCCCGCGGCCCAAGAACATACTCGATGACCTCTTCACCACCATCCATCTCCCGCGTCCTGATAATGTAACCTTCCTTACATAGCCGCTGTAGCAGTTTATCCGTGCGGTCGACCGGCGTAGCAACCTCGGCGTTTGTGCGCGTTAGGTACCGGTCAAGTTTCTGCTCAGCCAGGGTACCGCCGTTCAGCACAATCAACGCTATTATGAAGCTGTACAGGCCTGTATATGTGCTTTCGGTGTAGAGAGAGGGTGCCTTCGTTGGAATGAGAATATCCGGGGAACGGTATGGGAGCGGCAAGGTGGTCGTAACGATCCAGGACTTATTAGCCGAGGAAGGTTTTTCAGTTTTTTGCGCGGCTGTTGTACAGGATGTCAGTAGTGATTACATAGGCATAGCATAAATCTGCAACAAAGAAAAGCAAGACGGAACTCAACTCACCTCTTCGTTGGGTGACGGTGATCTTTTCTCGCGCCGGTAACTCCGTCATTTGCATACCAAACCGCTGTTTCAGTTGCTGCTGCGCCTGCTGAAAAACACTTTGGAACTGCCGTGAGCCCTGCTCGCCCAGCACTTTGGCGCTGATGTCGTTGCGTCGGATCGGAAGCCGCGAGTACTCGCTTGCTATGGCGAGCCGTACCATTTTCTTGACCATTGCATCGGTGCTCGTTGGTGCGCTTGATCCGTCATCGTCGCTGTCTGGTGCGGATGAGTCGGATTCTTCGCTTTGTCTTCTGCGCCGACGCGCGCTTGGGGTTGACTCGGTCTCTGATGCGTTGGTCTGGGGATGCAGGTTAGTTGGTGGATAACTCGAATGGGATTTGAGGTTACGTACCCGTCTTTTGCGATTTGACGACATTTTTATTATGTGGGAATGGTGATGAGTTGCAGATGGCTTTGGGAAGACGCGACGCGATAGAACTATTTTACCCCATCGGGGCTGCCCAGGTGGTCTGTGCATTGGCCTTATCAATGGTTCTTTGTTCCAGCAAATGCGTTTGGAGGTCAGTCTTCTTATTTTAGGGCTTATTTCGTGGACTGTCTTTGTGAGCTATTAGATAAAGAACATAATCTGCAGTATCTATATGAATGGAGGGTTGTACATTGATTAAACCCAGTAAATTAGCGTTAGGTTACAACGCCCATCGATAGATCTCGAACTAAATACACAAGAGGCAACACACACAGAGCAGCGACAAGGTATCATTTTCTCTAAAAGAATAGAAAAAGCAAAAAAGAAACGCCCCAAAAGCTCAAAGAGATCTAAAATCAGTTGCTGTTTTTCTCATTGACAACTTCCTTCGCTTCCTCCTTCTTGGTCTGGAGGAAAGCGCTAGCCCAAGCCAGCGATTCCTGCGACAGAACCAAGCTGGTGGTCACAACAGCCTTGCCTGAAGCGAAGATGCCATCGCCACCACACTTTTTGTACTCAGAGCCATAGATATCGAAGACATGATGCTTGACGTCACCGGCGACGCGGACAGGCAGCGAGGCACTGTTGTAGATGGAACCGCGCAGCTTCTGGGTTTCCTCCTTGATGATAGGGAAGCGGTTGTCGATCTGGGTAAGACCCTTGTCACCGAGAGAGTCGGCACGGGCTAGGTAGGGAGCGACATAGCTGTAGGGAGTAGAAAAAAAGGGTAGAACGGGTTTGGCGAGACGGGTGTAGCCTTGGTCGGCGTATTCGAGGGACTTGGCCCCGTAGGGGTTGCCCTTGTAATAGGAGATGGAGTCAGAGACGATAGGGTAGGAAGTGAGATGCTAAATCAGGGAGAATGTCAGTATGGGCTAATTCTGGGTGTAGTTCTGCGTTGTGGTGTTGGGCTGTAGTGGGGGTGTACATACATCAAGGAACTGCGAGTAGTGCTTCTCGCCGTTGACAACCGGTTCACCCATTTTGTTTTCTGCGTGGGGCATAGAGATAGTATTATGAGTATGAAGTATAGTAGTGATTCAGAAGAGAAAAGAGAGAAAGAGAGAGGAATAAATTGGGTTGTATAGAAAAATAGGATTTTCACATGTGATTGCGCTGTCATTATGCAATGGGTCCTACCGCAATCGCCTCATTGCAATACATCGTACATAGTATTTTCGGCTGGTTATTTTGATTGCTCATTTTCGCTCTCTGCTTTGTATAATTTCCCCCTATTTCCTGTCTTTTCTTGTGGAAGAAAAAAGGGCTCAACAGCCCCAAGTTCCAAGTGATGCCCCCACGCCAATGCGCCATTGACTTTGAGCATTATGCACTGCAAGCGTCAGAGCAATTGAACTCCTATGGCTAATTATAGCTATATATATAGGTATTAACATGTTCTATCCTATACCAAATATACATTGAATTGCAAAAAAAAATCGGAAAAATACCACATGCAATCATAGGTGAATTTGTGATAAGCTGTTTTCGCATGTGATTGCGGGTCTGATGCGAAAACGCCGTGTGGTTCCACCTGTATAATCTTCTATCACATCTATTCTGTCTCTTATAGCGCTTGCAAGGTGTTCATCTCTTATTACATTCCAAGCTTCTAAGAGTTTGATATTGAAGTGAGGGATGACTTCGCAAGATAAACCCTGTTTTCACCCCCGGGGCCGTTTCGCCGTTCCCCGTTGGACAAACCTGCTTATCTGCACCCTATAAGAAAACTGCCCAGGCAGTGGCCGCAGATGGCTGGCCGGGACATGTTAGAATATGACTGACGCTTCGGCTTCGAGCTTCTGCGAGCCTAGGCCGTCTGCGTATGCATTAGCGACTCTAGTGATGTACCCACCCATTGGCCTGAGCGTCGGCCCCTTGTACTCTTGCCGGGAATACGTAACGGCTTCCGGTGCAAATGTAGGAGGGGTAAAACATTACGCAAGGTCCTAGTCGGGTTGAATATCGAACCCCCGGCCCCCGGGTGTGCGACGGGCCAAAGGAGCTGTCGTTGATTCATCCGAATCTCGGCGCTTGATGTGACGATGAAATGGCTATAGTACTATGGTCATACTATATTTACTAGCACGGTCAGTTTGTGTGAAGGTTAGGAAGTACCTTGGCACTTCGCATCTATCCAACTTGTGCTCCTTAGATCAATATAACCGGCTACGAAAATGCGGAATCGATATTCGGTTCGACTATCAGGGTAAGCCGGGTGGTGGCCAGACTTCTCAAACTTATGGTCGGCATATGAAAAATTGAATGTGTCCACCGGAGATAGACATGTCTTGAGCATTATAATGTAAAGCCGGGGCGGCGAACTTTTTGTTTTTCTCCTGGCTTTTTTGTACTCCTTCACTCAGACGAACTTGGATTGCGGCGATCGACTGATAACCCACTCGATTAAGCTACTATGCAGATCCCTGTATATCGTGGGTCTTGACCAGCACGGTTGTCTCAACATCTACAAAGTACAACCCTTGTTCTCTCTGTTTATTAAAAGGATCACTACTCATAGATTATGTATCTTTGCTCTCGAAGCTAGAAGGATATGGGTTATAAAGTTTTGCAGTGAGAATATCCCTAATCAATTCAGACTGTGGCAAGCACGCCACTCCATTTTGACTTTTGATGTACAATCGAGCTGAATTTGCGAGAATGTTGCATCTCAGAAAACTCCGGGTGGCGGACTTGGAATATCTCTCTACGTGGGAAGGTGGCGTCTCGGTTAGCCTTACGAACATCTAGCGTCGTGGAGGCCCGTGACCCGCTGTTAGCATGTTCACCGTAGAGTGCGAGGGTATCCATTTCACATGCAAACCGAGCTGTCATTTAGCGTTGGAGCTCTAGACATCAAGGGTTCAATTATGTTGCCTTTAGAGATTGGGATTGGTTGATTCGGGTGATGATCACATGAAATGTTTTTTTTGTTTTGTTCTGTGCCTACAGGGTTTGGTCTATTGATACATAGACATTCAATTGTGATCAACCGTGCCGGAAGCTAGTGCCCTCGAAGCGCTTTGCCCTTGACTTGGCAGTTGTTAGCCAAATCGACTCTGAAGGAAAATACCACGTCAAGTGTGCCAAGGGAATTAGCTGTCGGAAGTGTACCACGCATTATTTTGTGTATTTTATTGTCGCTTTGTTGTCTAGATCGTGCCACTCGACAAGTTGAGAGAAACCCCGAGCTTCACATCTTGATACTATCATATGATACATCTTAGTCACTGGACTATTGTACCTGAGTATAGCTATCCACTCCAAATATGACAATGTAGCAGGAATCTTTGTTTTTAGTGTGCGGACTCGCGCTTTATATTTGTGGAAATATGATAGTTCCAACGAGACTTTGGCAGTCCTCATCTTCGTATCTCATGTGGATGCAATCCAGCACCTGTGGTACTATAGATATCGGTCCTACTCTTTACGTTATTTGTAGGTAAACCCTCACTCCGTACTTGCTATACCATATTTTCAGAAAGATCAGTTCGACAATAGACTGCATTTAACGTGAATATAAACTTGGGGGAGGGGAAAATATACACTAGGTTCGAGAAACAAGAGAGCTGAACATACACTACAGGTTGCTCGTAAGGTGATATCCCCCCATTCACGATAGTTATTGTTCACCTCTTCAAGAGCTGAAGGGGTAGTGGAGTGTTGAGAAATCGCAGTGGACTTGTCGTACTGCTCAACACATCTGTGGAAATGCCCCTATATTTTAGAAACATACGATCTCGCATGCGCTGTGGCAATTCCATCTTAGCTGAGGTGGAGCACGATCGGTTACGGCTAGCTGGAGGGATATCATCTTAACGGGCCCCTTCCGAGACGTGCATGAACCCCAATTGAGCGAGATTATTGCATGAGTGCTCAGGACCAAGAATGGAAGCATCCTCACGACTGATGACACCAGGTCGATTGTTTGTCGTTTGGGAGAGACATGTTCCAAGGAGCGATAGGATCCTCCCCGGCAGGAGTATGTAAGGGCACTTTGAGAACAACATCAAAATGGCCAACAGCGGGCGAGTCCTGCTGAAGAATCAACTTCCAAAGATGCCAAAAGCTCGTGTCAATCATGTGTTGGCCTGTGTTGGCACGGAGCCGCCAAAAGTACAGGAATCTTTTAGCCTTGATCTTCACCTCTGCTACCTGGAAAGGCGGGACCGGAACCTCGTGAAGGAATCTCTCGGGCAGATCGGCTAGGCTCTCGAACTCGTTCTGGACCTGCACCCACTTTTCCTTATATCGTTCTTCGAAGAGCTCTGTCCACCGCGGGCATACACCGCTGTCAGCTAGTCCCGCGGACATCTCCCAGATGAAATATTCAGCGTTAATCCATTTGTCGATACTAACCTTCACATTTAAAAGCGAAGCAGTGTCACGGCACACGTTGCAGTGCATGAGGACACGAGGTCTGGCTCGCACGGCTACCATGGGCATGTTGTAGTAGGGATGAACCTCGTTGTCCGCCCATTCCTCGCTTGCGTCCTCGTAGATAGTTTTTAGAGGGAAGGGCATTGTTATAGACACTAGATGACTGGCGATTTATTGACTCGTAGTTTGGTATGTGCCTTGTTCGTGTTCGGGTAGTTGCTCGAAATGACAGCTCAATGGTGATTAGATGATATGGGCAGAAGATGGGGAGCCATCCAGGTGGATTATATACTTCCTATGTATGGATTGTATCAACTAGGAATGAAAGGTCTGAGGCCATGGATGCCATGATAGAAAGAAGACAATGAGTATAAAGAATGTGTTGCTCTTATCTCGAAACTTATGTCGAGAATAGTATCCAAAGACCATTGTCCCCTTGTTTACTAGCGAGAGTAGGACCAGGGTGTGCCGATTATCCATTGAATCAAAGGAGCTCTTTGTTTGGATCGCATGTAGATAGAACATTGTAGGGATCTAGAACCTTCAAGGCTGCAATGTAGGCAGAATAGCAGCACAGGCACAGATACTGCATGTTTTTGAAGTGCGTTCAAGTTTTAGACGTGCTAGTGTTGAATACCTTGCAAGCGATGATGTCTATATGGCTGAGGTATGATATATCTATCTTCGCGGGGGCAGGGTTCACATGTGGTAGGAAGAGAACCTATAATTGCATCTCACAGCACGGATGTGAGGACCTAGACCAATCTTGGGGACTTTCTCGACTTAAACTTCGAGAAGGCCGAGCCCTCATTCGAAACGATAAGGATTACTCAAGTGAGAGGGCATCTAGCGCTTCCATCCAGGGTACAAGCAATTGCTTTTTTGAGAACTACGATCACGCATTATGAGTGGACATGGATACATCAATCGTAGCAATGACACCATGGAATTGGAGGACCTGGGACAAACCACATAGCTACAAGGCCATACACCGACGCGGAAACGATCTGTGATGAAATGACAGACCAGATTTGTTCCCGGCCTATGGGAAATAGGGAATATGTCGACCAATGCTCAGGTGATAGACAATATTGATTTTGAGATAATTGTTCATTTTCCATTTCATTCAGACGGACACCAGGTATGGAAGTGGCGTCCCCGTTAAAACTGGAGTTCATCGATACATTCACGAATCTGTTTCCAGCCATGGTATATGTTTTCCCATCCCATGCTCGCAGGGACCGAATGTGCTCGATGGTTTTTCGACCTCGCCTTCACCTAGACCCGTGCGCTCAAAACGACAAAACGCCCAAGTAAACCGTTTAGAAACCTGTTCTGGAGTATTAGTGTCGAGTTCCAAAGTAAATTTAGATTTGTATCCCGAGAAAAACGTACGCAGGGCAGTGAAGAACCAACGGTTCTTTCCGCTGGTGTAACGGTCCTCAAGGGCCTTCTTGATGGTCTTCTTGGCGTCCTCGCGCTGGGAGACCTCCTTGAAGGTGTCGTTGGTGACGGTACCCTTGAGACCCTCGAGCTCGAGAGTGTAACGAGTGGGCATCAAGTGGTTGTAGTTGACGACCTTGATGAAGGGCTTGATGCGGCTGCGGCGGTCGACGAGCTTCTTGCCCATACCACGGGTAACCTTGAGGGGGTAACGCTCGATACCGGCGACGATGGCGTAGGAGAAGGGGTGCGACTTGGAGCCAGCATCAACGGGCTGGACAATGACGACCTATAAAGTCGAAGAAAAATGCCTGATTAGCACTCCGAATTTTTTTTTTTGAATTGTTGCGCAGTCCTCCATGTTGCGTTGTGCTCTTTTCAAATCTCGAGTCTTTCGCTTCCAATTCGTTCGCATCCTTCCATTCTTCTCGTGCTCAATTCGGGAGGATCAGGATCTTGTCGTACCTTCTTACCGGCGTAGCGGCCACGGGTGATGATGGCCACACGGCCCACTTTCATGACTGTAACAAATCCGTCAGCATATATATCGCAGGGTGAGTCGAATAGTGAAGACGTACACTTCATTTTGAAGGTCCCGGGGGCGGCGAGGATGGGTGGTTGTCGAGATACGGAACGGTCAAGATCGAAGTATTCGTTTTTGCGGATGTGAGGTAGAGGGTTTCAGGGCACAGTAGCGATTTGTGTGCTGTGGATTGATTGGTCGACTTACCGACAGGTGGCGACTAGTATGCTTTCGGATAGTTTCCCCATCGGGCCCGGATCAAATGATGACATAATCGATATGGTCACCCGTGGTGGATGGCAAAGCCCACCATACCTCCATGTAGTGGTGGGCCCCCACCGGATAGCGAATTGTCACCAGATACTCCATGCTCCATACGCCGTACTGCATTCTAAAGATAAGTATCCTTTATATATGTACGGAGTAGTAACACCATAGAAAAGGCACCTACACTCGATATCATCTAACGAATGTTTTCTTATCCCTCAGACTAGCTAGGGATAATATAGGAAGGTAAATAGAGTGTTGATCAGATCCTACTTACCCAGTATTAAACTTGGGAAGAATTATTAAGTATCAAACGTTAAGTATGGTGAAGGACTGTTTTGTAGGACTTTGCAGACACTCTTCACCTCTACATTAAATGTATTAGTCGTGTTTGGAAGTCAATCACAAGTGACCTATGTTAGGTCTTCATTTTGATTTTTTGTTCTTATGAGAGCTACTCCGTACTTAGCCAAAAATCCATACTTGGATATATAATCTCTATTTATGTAGGTACATTTTGCATGAATTTATTATCCAGTGTGGGGCCACCAACACTACTCCGTACAATATAGAAACTCCCCTACGGAGTACAACATAGGATGTGTTGGCGGGCTTGGCTACGATTATCGGCCCAGCCCCTTCCGACCTTAGTAGGTTGGTGCCCAGCGTTGCTCACCGCCTTGTTTGCGCTGAGTCAGGTTTTGTTTACATGACGATCGTAGTTGCCCCGGTTGCTATGGCCGTGAGTGATGTGTACAAGCGTAGCTCCTCTCTCTCTCTCTCCATATAACTCTCATCTCCACTTGCTTTCTTCCTATCAAGCTGATCTCCCGGTGCTTTTCTCTCCTCCACCGAGTTCTGAGATTGTTAGCTTTTGCTTTGTTCTTCCAGCGTTTCCTCCCTTGTGTTGATATGCCTTGATGACCTTGCTTCTGTTTTTACTTTGAACGCATTCTACACATACCCTGCATACATTCCATCCATATTGTCAATACCTCTCTGAGACACCTTGACAATCCATTCACGAAGACATCATGCCGTCCCAAGACAAGGACATCCCCCGTGACCGGGAATTGGTCCGGCATTCAATGACATACTCCGAGTCTAAAGTTCCAATGTAGGTTGTGCAACTAACGCCTCCTGATTCATGTTTAGGTGGATCCCATGGGTGATTTCAAACAAATGCTAAAACGCGGCCTACGCAGGTGGGACAGTTCGGATCCCGAGCGTGCACCTCCGCCGCTACCGATGAACCCTCGTTCTATGAGCCCAATGAGCCCTGCGACGAGGTCTAATGTCTCTCCCAACATTCAGGCAGTGGCTGCAAAATTTACAGAGAGACCCAGCGAGCATGCGCCGAGCTCTTACACAACAAATCCAATGCCACTCAAGTCTTCCTCTCCAGAGAGGTCGTTGGTCAAAGGCCAGCACCACAAGCGCATGCAGTCACTGCAGCCTGAAGATACCCGACAAGATGCGCGCAGTGACTTTATGAATTACCTCGAGAACAGATCCCCAGAGCGCCCTCTTCGTGCGACGATCACTGAGGCGGCCAAGCCACGCGATCCTACCAAGTCTGTCAGCTCACCAGCGCTTCGTCAAGACGCGGACCGGGAGATGACCTACTCACTATCGAGTCGGTACTTATCAAAGCCAATATTGGGGGAGAGTACTCCGCCATCAGCTACAATGTTAGCCCTCCAAAACATGCAACTACCTTTAGAACTCGACCCTCCATCACCTTCCAAACCACCGAAAATGATCACTGCGCCGGTTGAGCCGCATCCCCATCCCACCAAGACCACGAGCATGGATACGATCTCAAATCAAATCCACAGTCTCACAGACATTGCAAGCGGCTTACAGCGTGAGATGATGAATTTGAGCCGACGCAGCAAAGATAACGCGACCGACTTGGTCAGCCTCAAAGCGGCAACCAATGCACGCGACGAAGACATTCGAAAGAGTCTTAAGGACCTATCTTCTCATCTTACTAGCAAGTATCTTGATGCTGATGCTACAAGGTTTGATTTCAGTAATCTCTTTAAGGGTGGTGATGGGCCTAACCCCAAGGATCCGGATAGTCCCGTTTCGAAGAGGAGCTACTCAGTGCCTCGCATGCCGAGCCCCAACCCCTTCGCGTTTGATCGGGACTCTTGCGTCTCACCTGCACCGATTTCCGACGGCTCCGCAGCCCTCGCTTTGCTCGAAAAGGTATTGCGCGAGATGGCAACCAAGGAAGGTGAGGAAAGGCTATTAGAGCTCGTTGAGGAAATCAGATCTCGACCCGCAGCTACCGCTTCTGACAAAGATGCCGATGACAAGATCACTGTCATGCTTGAAGAGATCCTCAACCTCGTCAAAGAGGATCCATCGAGCAAAGCCCTCGTCCGAGCTTACGGCACGGCTGCCAGTCCTGATAATATCGAATCTGGGGATGCTTCTCCCGAGGCGACACGATCTGGTTCGATGGGGTCGGTGGATCCAGAAATTGTACGTGCACTTGACCTTTCCAAATCTGACAAAGGAGATGGTTCTTCGCCGAATTCCGATGAAGTCTTGTCAATTCTTAGGACTGTCAAGAATAGCGTCCTCGAGGCAGGTGGAATGACCAACGGTGTGAAGTCCTTGGTACGCGAACTACGAGGTGAGGTTCTGGGCATGGGTCGAGAACTCGGCCGGCGATTAGACGGGATCGAGACCTCCCGTGCCATTGACGAGCCTGAGGAGCAGCCTAGGGCTGTCGGCCCAGAAGAGATTTCCGCTATTGTCAACCGCAGCCTGGACGACCTCAAAGAGCAGCTGGCTGCTACTATCAACGAGAGTCGGCAGCAATCGTCTGACTTGTCCGAATTCCGATCTACCATGAACAGCGCCGCAATCTACTCTGTTGTGAAAAAAGCCCTCGATGAGCTTGAACTTCCTCAACCTCAAGCCGAGTCGCGAGGTGCTGAGATGGACAGAGAAGATATCCTTGAGACTGTTCGTGAAGCCTGGGAGACCTACAAGCCCGAAATCGAGTTTAACAACTTTGGTTTGGAACGAGATGAAATCCTCACATGTCTTGAAGAAGGGCTCAAGTCTTACCAGCCCCAGCACGAACAGGCGGTCACTTACGACCAGGTCCTCGCAGCCGTGGAGGACGGCATGCAGAAATTCATTCCTCCACAAATCGAGCACCCACCGAGTATATCTCGAGACGAGATAATCTTGACCATTCGCGAATGCCTGGAGAAGCAGCCCGAACCTGCCCCCAGATCCCTTGACGAGGAACATGTCGGTCATCTCCACTCGGTGCGTGACGAGATCCTCGATGCTGTTTCAAAGGCCATGGCAAGTCACAACGAAGGCTCAAGGTCTCTAGACGAGGAACATGTCAACCATCTCTACTCCATCCGCGATGAGATCCTCGATGCGGTCACTGGGACGATGGCAGCCAACGATATGCGGCCAAAGTCTTTGGACGAGGATCACGTCAATCACCTCCACTCTGTTCGCGATGAGATCATTGAAGCTGTTACTGGGGCAATGACAAGCCATGCCGCAGGTTCCAAATCCGTGGATGAAGACCACGCCAATCATCTAACTGCTCTGCGCGATGAAATTCTTCAAGCAGTTGCTGGAGCAATGGTTGCGAACAACGTGGGGCCAAAGGGGTTGGACGAAGATCATGTCCAACACCTATACTCTATCCGTGATGAGATTATTGAAGCTGTTACTGGAATGATGGCAAACCACAGCATCTCCAGGTCTTTGGATGACGACAACGTCGGTCAACTAAATTCTATTCGGGACGAGATCCTTGGCGCATTGGCCGGATCCATGACACAAAGCACGCTGAGCAAGGACTCTTACGACTCTGGTCTTGGCCGGGATGAGATCGTCAGTGCTGTGTCCGATGGCCTCGAAGCCCATTTCACCGCAGCTAAAGAGATGGATGAGCCACGAATTTCCCGCCATGATGTTATGAATGCTGTCAATGAAGCCTTCAATGCTCAGCAATCGGCTCTCACGATCTCTCACACGAACATCTCTCGTGATGAGATCTTGAATGCCATTGCGGAGGGCATCGAAAGTTCAATGAAGGCCCAACAATCATCTCTCAGTACCACCGTTCAGCAGACCGTCTCTCGTGAAGAGATTTTCAGCGCCATCGTGGATGCCATCGAACACTCGCAGTCTTCCCTGCGTAATAATGAGGACCCTAGTATTTCTCGAGATGAGATCCTCGGTGCTATTTTGGAGGGTATGGAGCACTCGTCAAACCGCCAAGAATCAAATATCTCCAGAGACGAGATCTTGAACGCCATTGCGGACGGTATTCAGAACTCGAGTAACTCTTCGTCGCGTGCTCTCACATCGACTGAGCATGAGGGTGAGGATCACCAGTCCACTCCCTCCCGCGAGGAAATTTTTACTGCAATAGTCGAGGGTATTGAGCACTCTCATGCCTCGCTGGGCATTAATAGGAATGCTGGCGTTTCCAAGGAGGATATTATGAGTGCTATCGCCGAGGGCATCGAGGCGTCGACAAACAGCCAACAGTCAGCACTCAGCACTAATGTGCAAGAGCCGGCTATCTCACGGGAGGAGATTCTGAGCGCCATTGCAGAAGGCATTCACAATGGCAACTCCATCACCCGGGAGATTGAGCTGAATCAGGACGATCTCATGGAAGCAATCACCTCTGGTCTCAACGAGGCGATCAGGACCGCGAATACTAATGTTGGTGGTGAGATGACGGAACGTCTCCAGACCTTATTCGAAGGCATGAAGGAGGAATTCAAGCAGTACTCGGCCGCCGGTGGAAGAGACACTGAGCAAGTCCTTGACGCAATCAAGGATGGCCTCGATACCGTTCATAGGGAGATTGAAACTTACGTGGTTACCGCTGCCGATCTTTCCGGCAAGGACGAAGTAATTCATACAGTCAAGGAAGGTTTCCGACTCCTTCAGGCCGACATGGAGAAGACCATTACGGATACATCCCTCTTGGCTGCGCCGCGGGGCAATCCGGATACACCTGAGCTCCTAGACGCAATGGAAAAAGAGTTTGAGCACCTACGGGGAACAATCACCAGTCTTCTTTTACGAAGTAACGTTACTGAAGACAAAGATGAAATCCTGGATGCCATTCGAGACACTGCCGATCGCAACAAGAATGAGTCTACCGATCAAGTTGTCAATATCATCAAGCAGGAGCTCGAGAGTCTTCGAGAGCGCATGGACATGAGTGTCGTTCGTGCTGAGCCTGGCACCGAGAAAGACGAGATCATATCGGCACTTCGTGAACATTTCGACAATCTACGTGAAGAGACAGCGCTCAAAAATGGCGCCGAAAATGATGTGGTCAACATCATCAAGCAGGAGCTCGAGAGTCTTCGTCAGCGTATGGAAATGAGCGTGGTTCATTCGGAGCCTGGTGCCGAAAAGGATGAAATCATTTCGTCACTCCGCGAGCATTTTGACATCCTGCGTGAAGAGACCTCGCGTAGAGATGGTAACGAAAGTACCCTAACCGCATCAAGCGAGCTACTCGACGTTTTTACAGGTGGTGTTGACTCGATTCGTGACGACCTGAAGAAACTACTGGAGAAGCCAACTGAGTTCGACAGTTCTGAGATTCTCCATACCATCAGAGATGGCCTTGCGGATCTGAAGCTTGAGGTAGATTCTCTCCGTGAATCTACCAAAGGACTGGATGATGCCAGTACCGCCCGCGGAGGCGAGCTTATGCTGGCAAATGAGCCTAGCATTGGACCTGACATTGACGGGCTGAAAGTGCTCATCACTCAGCTTCAAGAGAAGGTCGAGGCCATTGAAACTGCTCCTCATCCCGCAGAGGCTGCCGAGGATGCACTCAAGCGCTCCGACCTTGATGAAGTCCTTCTTGCGCTTCATGAAATTCAACTCGCCATGGGTGAGATGAGTACTCAACAGAATACTGAGAAAGAGGACCGCCTCCGAAAGGAAGATACCGAGGTTCTCGAGCAGTTACTATTGAGCACCAAGACCCAGATCGACGAGCTTGTCTTCCCCTCGCCGGATCAGGTCGCCACGCCTGAGCATATTGGAGCCCTAGAGACCATAATACGAGAGGCCAAGGATTCGATCGCGGAGTTTTCCAGTCGCGTTGAAGCCGAGGCTCCCACGAAGTCTGAGATCGGCACTTTGGAGGGTCTCATTAAAGAGGTATGGGTTGTCCTCGATGAGATGAAGAGCAAGACCAAGGACGGCGAGGAAGACGAAGCTTCTGAGAGAATACTCAAATCCGATCTCCAAACAGTGGAAGCCATGATCTTCGAGGTGAAGACTCAAGTCGACGAGCTTAAGCTTCCCGATGTGGATACTCTCCCCACCAAAACGGAGATCCAGGAGCTATCGACACTTGTATGCGATTTCCGAGAGAAGATGGAGAGCAGTAACGAATTGACCGCCCAAGGATTCGATGCCCGCAAGGTTGAGCACGGTGGTCTTGCTGAAAAGATTGACGAAGCCAAGTTTGTCGTTGGCGAGCTTGGGGAAGAACTCAAGAGCAGGCTTGACGGCAGTAACGAAGGTCTTGCTGAGCTTAAACAGCTTCTTGAAGGACTGGCAATGACAGCAGAGAGCTTCACTACCATCGAGAGCATGAAGGAGCTCACAGACCTCATCAACCGAGAGTTCGACCGTTCTCGGAGCGAGGAAGATGCTGCCAAGGTCGAGAATGAGGAGCGAGATGCTGCTAAAATGGTCAAACACGACGAGACGCGGGCCGCCATCATTCTGGAACTTGGAACAAAGATTGACGAGAAAATTTCCGAAGTCCTAGCCAAGTATGAAGATGCGCACATGTCCCTCCACTCGAAGTTCTCAGAAACTGAAGAGCGAGACCTGGCACACACCGAGTCTTTGACAAGTACAAAAAATCTCGCGGAAGATATAAAGCTTGTCATCGGTGCTATGGGTGATACGGTTAATGAGACCTGTGAGCGGTTGAGTGTGGACACAAAAGCTCTCATGGAACAAGTCGACCAGTCCCGCCAGAAAATGGAAGACATGCACAACGATGTCAGATCGCACCAGGAGCAGTCTCATGCCGAGAACGAAAGGGCCGCAGCTGCCGCTGATCGGGTGGAGAGCAAGCTCCTTGAATTCCACCCCCGTATTCTGGAATCTGTGCAGGAGATATTGACACTCGTCAGCCAGCACTATGATCACTCCCAGAAGTCAGCAGAGGACCTGAAGTCGGAATTATCAGCATTGCCTTCAAATATCCCAGCAATGCTACCCGCACTACCTCCACCAGAATCGGATCGTGCTCTCGCTATAGAGGATACTCCGTTGCACAGTAAAATTGACGATCTTTTGGAGCATGCCAAGAACAACAAAGTCCATGAGGTTTTGAGCACTCTGCTTGATCACTCAAAGAATGAACAGCTCCATGAGAAGCTCGATCGCGCTCTGGATCAAGGCTCAGGCTCGAATGATCAAATATACGAAAAGCTCAACGAGCTGCTAGACCACACCACCAATGGGAGTGGTCCTGTTCATGAGAAACTGGATGCATTGCTCAGCCGTCCGCCAAATCCGCCGGAATCCGATCATTCTGTTGCCCAGATGGCGAAACTCGACGAAATGCACAGGGATATCATGGAGAACTCCCGCAGAATGAATGAGATGTTCGCCGCCCAGTCAGCGCTGGTCGCTGAAGATACCGAGCGAAAGCGGCGCGAGGCTGAGGAGGCTGCCGTCGCCCTAGCACGAAGAGTTTCGCAGCGTGAGCAAGTGGAAGCGGAGCTTATCGGTTTGCATGAAGAAAAGGATTCTATGCTGAATATGATCCATCGTCTAAGAGCAGAGAAGGAGGATATGATCAAGCAAAACAATAAGCTCAGCAAGGACCTGTCCGGCCTTGAGACGGCCCTGGAGATACGTCACGAAGAGATGCGACACATGGAGGAACGCGCGGATGGCCTTGAAAAACGCATTCTGGAGGGCGTACTCGACCATGCTCGTGCTGTTCTCCTTGGGCGATCCAGTAGCTCGCAGGCCATGAACCTGAAGAGAAACCGCAGCACCAGAAGTACCCGTTCTTCTCGCGCAGGCGCCCGCAGTCCCAGCGTTGCGAGTACTACCAGCACTGCCAAAGAGTCCAAGGACAGCCGTAGTCTGGTCGGAAATGGCGTTGGGATGGCTTTGAAACGAATGCCGACCTCGCTTCAAGCTGGCACGGTCGCTGTGCAGCCCAACATTGGGAAAGAACGTCGGATTCTCAGCTTGAGTCACGTCACAGGCAACCGTGGTGTGGACCGGCAGGTGAGTGCTAAATCTGGCATCACAAATTTGAAGCGCAGCCACTCTGTCAAATCAAATTCTCTTCGCAAGACTTCTTGGGCTGGCCCAACTTCTGTTGCCAACAAAGAGAACGAGCCGTTCCACGAAGAAGACGAGCTTGCCAGCGAAGCGGAAGATGTTGGTCCGCAACGGAAGACCAGCCATGCGGAAAACAACGCACCTACCGACCGTAAGACAAGCTACGCAGAATCTGACTTTGGCAATCAAACTGAATGCAACTATGCCCCGAGCAACGCTGGCACTGACCGGAGAACCAGCTACGCAGCAAGCAATGCAGGCACGGAGCGCAAGATAAGCTACTCTGGCAGCGTGGTCGACAGTGTGGTCACAGATGCCACGGATCATCGACGTGTTAGTGGAGTGAGCTCAGCAAACTCGTACAGTGTGGCAGAGAGCTCAATCACCGAGCATGACCACGAGGACCGCCATGATGATATTTCTATTGATGGATCCGAGTCAGAAGAAGGCGCGCGGACAGCACGAGAGGATGCAGAGGATTCAGAGAATGAGCACCAGAATGAGGATCACGAAATGTCCCGTCAGATTAGAGAAGCCAATGAGGCTGCAGAAGCCGAAGTTCTTAAGCTGTTGGCTCCCCCTAGCGACAGTGGACTTGGCACTAATCTTACGGTGTGATCGCATTGTTTTTTTTTTTGGATGGAGTTGGGGTTCTTGCACCATTGATTCTTTCTTTTTCATATACCACCTCTTGTTCTGTTCTTGTGATTGTATGACTTGAATGACTTTCGTTTGTGACCATAAATGGGTATTGCTTAATGATGATTCTCTTTTTACTCTCCCAGAACTCATGTGATGTAGTTAGATTGGATAAATCCATGTGGTCATGGTCACCAGCCTATTTACGAGTATTTCTTTTTTGAATCACGATCATATTTTTAGCTTGGAATCTTTGTAGACCCCATGTTCTCTTTTCCCATCACCTCTTGGAATTCTACAAGCCTAGGGCAAGTGATCAGGTGACCCTCAACAAATTCATTGCTGCCTGAGGCGATGCCGAGGCGCTTCACCTGGTCACCTTCTACTCCATTCCCCATGGAGTACGTATTTCCCCCATCTTGCTAGCTCTTTGGGTTTCCTTTAATTCCTTTCCCTCTTTCTATTATCCCTTCTTCATGTTAGATAGGATAGGGTGCTCTCTCAACTGCATATAGATCTACATTCCCCCGATCTCCGAACCTCCAAGAGCTTTCCCCCACATCGGGTGATCACAGCTAGTTGAGGGGAACTCCCACGATGTTGGACCCCTTCCCACCGCCTCCAGAATGGCTGCGGAGCTTTGCAGAGCCCTATGCCATCCGATTCAACAGCCCGACGCTTGCCGACCATATTCACGAGGCTATCGCAGCGTTTGCCTTCTACCTGTTAATCCATGCAGTTCTCTCACCTTACCTATCGCCAATCCTCTTCAAGTCGTACAACAAGCTTACTCCCCGGACGAAGCTGAATTGGGATATTCATGTTGTCTCTTTTGTCCAGAGCATTGTCATTAATGCTATCGCCCTGTGGGTTATGTACTTCGACGAGGAGCGCAGTTCCATGACCTCTGGCGAGCGGGTCTTCGGATATACAGGTGCCTGTGGTCTCATTCAAGCCTTGGCCGTGGGATACTTTGTATATGACTTGATTGTCAGCATTGTTCACGTGCGCATGTTTGGCATTGGCATGCTTTTCCATGCTGTCAGCGCCTTATGGGTGTTTAGTCTAGGATTTGTGAGTTGCCTCTTCAATCTGCCTGATATAAATACATTCGGTATCAAGAAGACCATCAGCGCTTATGCCTTTCCCCATCTTACTCAAGACATATCTAACGTAACTCTCACAGAGGCCATTCCTAAACTACTTCGCTCCGACCTTCATCCTCTATGAGCTCTCCAGCCCATTCCTCAACATCCACTGGTTCCTCGACAAAGTCAACATGACCGGCAGCCGTGCCCAATGGTACAACGGTATGGCTTTGCTCTTCAGCTTCTTCGCCTGCCGTCTCGTCTGGGGCACCTGGCAAAGTGTTGTGGTGTACGGGGACATGTGGAACGCGCTTCAGCAAACCTGGTCCGCCGCTGCAGCTCCGCTCTCTGAACCCGCGAGTGTCAATGCAAATGTCTTTTACCCGGCCCGTGACGGCAGCTTATGTGTCAACGAAGCATGCGCGCGCGCCAACGCCGAGATCGCCAAGTTCAAGGGGTACACTGCGGGAGGTGTACCGACGTGGCTGGTTGTGACCTACGTCGGTTCGAACTTGATCTTGAACTTCTTGAACTTTTTCTGGTTCTCCAAGATGGTCGAGACTGTTCTCAAGCGTTTCCGCACTCCGGCTGAGTCTGCTGCTGCTGGTGAGAAGAAGGGAAAGAAGGAGCCTATCAGTGCCGAGAAGGCTGCGCAGCTCAAGGAGGATATTATGCGTGATGTTGTTCTCGAGGCGGCTTCCAAGCTGGAGCAGGAGGAGACCGCCGTTTTGCAGGGCGATCTTTCCTCGTTGCAGGAACATGTCTCCTCGGGCGTGGACTCAGGTCTTGAGGAGTTGCGGAAACGGAGGGCAGACCTTGTTGCAAAGGTTCCTTTGCCTGGCGCTTGAGGTTTGGGTGAGAGTCTAGATTATAATGATAATCTGTGAGGGCTGTTCAGTTCTCTCCCCTCCCCTGTGTTTCATGGGATGTTTGCAAATCCTCTCCATGTTGCTTTCCCTTGGAGCTCTGTGGGTTAGCTTCAGTGCACATTGTTTTTGCTCTCTTGGACCTACTTCTTTTATATTGGACGCAAAGATACAACACCTGGCGTGAGACATCCATAATCCGAAGTATCTCTAATTTTACAATAATTTGTCATTTGGGCCAAGGTCCATATCTAGAAATTATAAAGGTCTTGGGGTCGTGTCGATAATATGTTATCAAATATACCGGATTCTAGAAGGGACACACAATGAATAAAATCCGGAATCATATTGCATCGTATCAGATTCTTGAAATACGGATTTTGAAACAATTCAATCCTGCCTTTCATACCCCGGCTACACCAGTCCGAACACCACACAAGCGCCCGATATCAGATAGAAAAAAAAAAAGAAAACATCAACCCATCTCCCTTTCATGATGGTCGGCAATGTGGAGATGCGAGTCCAAAGGGGAATACAAAGCTGGAAAATCTACCGAGCAGCCGCAGCTTCAGGTTTAGCCAGCATGTACCGCACAGCTTCCTTGGCAACCTCAGAGTCCCAGGGACCATCGACGCCGCCATAACGAAACTCAGGTCCGCTACCATCCTCGCCGCCTCCCCGCGTAGCTTCGCCCATGATAGTCTCGAGGTCACGGCGCTGAGAGCTGATCCAGCGACGAACGAAATTGGCTGGGTCCTTGCTCAAAGCAGTATAAAATGAGTGGCGGGCACGGGAGTGTGTAAGGGCCTGCACAATCAAAGCAACTTGGTCATCAAGCGAGGAAATCTGGCGTAGGCCAGCTGTGTACGCGGGGTTCTGAGTAAGAGCCATCATCTTGGTGCGCAGCGGGTCCTCAACTGCGACCTGGATATCGTAGATGGTCGGCGTTGGATCGCTATGGAACTCTTCGTCGACGCGAATGGTGTAGGGAAGCTTGATGGGTTCCATTGGGCTGGTGTGAGGACCGACGCTTTCAGGGATCTGGGGGAAGAACATTTGCTCCCGGCCAAAGATCTGTAAAACTTGTTAGCGGGGTTCAGAAAGACTGAATATTCAAATGACATACTGAGCGTAGACGGTGATCACAGCGCACTTGTCGCTTTTCCTCGTCCTCCTGTAGTTCCATGGCTCGGATGTAATCCCAGATTCCGAGAACAATTCCACTCCTGGTTTCCTCTTCGACATCTAGAACCTCGGCCAGCTCCTTGCTCAGCTTGTATCGCTCAGGGACTTCATCCCGGACAAGGCTGATGGTGACATTCAAATTGTCCTGCGAGGCTCGGGAGAACTGTAGACTATCGAATTCGGTAACTGGGGGCGCTGGTGTGTTGGAGTGTGTGTTTGTTTTAGACCAGTTCACTGGCTTGACCTCCTCGGGAATTGCTGCGGCGGGCTTGTCAAAGTCGATGGTGATAGTCTTGAAGAAATTAGAGAAACGCTGGGACTGGCTCTTCGATTCGGTTTTCTTCGCCTTATCCTCCTCAGCGCCGTCGTGATCCATCGCATCTTCATCTTTCTCGTCCTCGTCGGGAACCGTAGGATCGCTTTCATCGTCGAGCAGCCGTCCTTCGATGCGCACTTTATAGCGACCTGAGCCTGGATTGTTGCCCGGGCCTTGCCATGGTTGGTTTTCGACAGTATTAGAGATCCATATGCGCATAGTCCGATACTTCTTCACGGTCTTGTTGATGGAGTCTTGGATATCCAGCCTCTTCCGCACAACAGCGGCATCCAGTCGCTTTTCCAAATCGCGAAGGTTCTTGTATTGCTGAACGCCCTCGCCGATGATCACGTCTTCAATCCCGTCGGGAAGGTTCTTGTCGGTAGGCTTGCGGCTGCGCCGAAGGGCAGCATCGTTGGGGTGGGGGATGGGGCGTGCAGCCATGTACTGTTGGGCAACAGCGTGCTGTGGCATCGGAACAGGCATTGCGCCACCTATGAAGATGTAAGATTGGGGCCGAGACGAGTGGGTGGGGACCGATGAAAGGGGACATACCTGGCCCTGGGGGGCGACGGGGCGCGGCTGGAGATCGCTGCGCATTTGGGGGCATGGCCCGAGCATAATGATGTGGTTGCATTGGCTGCTGCATTGGTTGCTGCATTGGAGCTTGCATTGTGGAGAGATCAAGCACCGAAATGGTGGTGGGAGGATGACGGATGGGGGAAAAGATGCGAGATGTTGGAGATGCGAGGTCGCGATTCTTTTGCCCGTCGCGCTTTACCCTTTTCGGACGATCGCGAACAACACCAGAAAGACAAAACTTATTGTTTTACTTGGATTTTGCAGTTGACGTTGCATGAATAACTAACGCTCAATATCAAGAGCTACTCTACATGCTCTGGTTATTAATTACGTGCAGATTCAATGGGTATTGAGCGTGATCGTGCATTGTCTCGATTAGTTCCTATCAAGTCGTCGTCTCAACGGCATTGGACATATCCCATCTTTTCTATTCCAGGAGAGACGCCTGATTAGTATACAGACCTTCCACCACATTTCCAAGCTTTTCAATTGTCTCCAGAGCGGCATCGTAAGCCTGGTCCCGTTCTGTCTCATCGTACACAATCAGACATCCCGAGCCCTGGTCCAATACACCGATGATCACCTTGTCCAAAATCATTTGAGACAACTTCCTTTCCACCTGCTGTGTGTCTAAGCCCACCATCTTCGCAATGTGGTCCAGCTCAACCCGGCTGAAGGGCTCAATGACTTTGATCAAGTTTTGTTCGAGCATGGCATCGTAAAGACGACGGAGGTGGTTTCGGATGAATACATCACTGCCAAGTTCGTATCTGTAGTCCGAAAGAGCTTTCTCGTACTCCTCCAGAGACCGGTTGGCGTGGGCCCGTGCCACAGCCTTCATTGCCTCCAGGCGTGGACTGGCATACTTTTGCGCTTGTTTCGAGCCCTGCAACTGTGTGACATCATCCACCAGGTTCAGCATGATCTTGCACAGAAGCATGTACTGCAATGTGGCCGTGGCCAGATCACCCTCATCGAGCGAGCTGTACCCTTCAAGTGCCTCGATGAAATAGGAGTATGAAGTGGTGAAGTCCTTGTCTTCAGCGTGTAGCATGCCGCTCTGCATATCGAGGCCGGCCTGCAGGTTCGGTGGGGTGTAAACGGAGGCGGCCGACGTCCGTGCTGCCGTCAGAGCAGCGCGTGCCTTAGCCTGGTTGCCCAGAGCGTGGTATACACGCGACTCAAGCAGTTGTACCTCCACCAGCATAAGCTTATCATCCAGGCGCTTCAGCTCACGGAGAAGTGAGTTGATAAGAGTGAGCGCATCGTAATAGGATTGCTTCTGCATATAGATGGCAACGAGTCGGGCTTGGAGGGCCTGGCGAAGGAACGATCGTCGCTCGGCAATAGCCCATTCTATGCATGATTGGATGACGCTGCCTTGGAGTTCGAGTGTGTTGGGGATTTCGCTTATCAGGTCCAGAAGTTGACGGACTGAGCAATTACGGTTAGTCGGTTTCTATAATCGTAATGAAGCGCACGACGTACCCAGCTTTGCTGTCTTCGCTTTGGCAAATGACGAGAAGGTATCACGGCTGGTCTTGATGAGGTCCGCGATCTCCTGTGGCTTCTTCGCATCCCGATACAACTCGCCCAACCCAATCAAGGCATGTTCGTAGTCTCGTGAGGAGGCCTCTGTAGATCCGGGGCCCTCTGAGAGGATGTTCTGGAAACTGGTCGCTGCTTTCGAGGGATCCGACTTCACCAGATCTCGGACTTCTTGGATCCGTGGTGAGACCTTGGATGACATGATAAATGACAGTGAATTACGAGCAAGCGAGGTGGGTAGTTAAAGAATAGGAGATCGAGAGAAGATGGTAGTTTGAAGAGAGGTTGATGACCAGGTCGATGGGGAGCTTGAAGCTGGCGGCAGCTCATCGTCCTCTCACCGCCCGCTTGGCAAATCAAACAGAAAAAAGTTCCATCTTGGCGTTTTTCTTTTCCTCTCTACATTGTTTTCACATCGGCACAATGGTGAGTTTTTTTCCTTGAAAATCTGCTTACTGGATAGCCATGCTAATGAATTATAGAAAATTAAAGCAATTTCCCGCTCCACGGCATCACAGCAGGCCCCCGGGTCCGCTGTCGTTCGCCAGTCGCGAAATCTCGACCCGACTCAGCATCCTTTTGAGCGGGCCCGTGAATACACTCGAGCCCTGAATGCGATCAAGATGGAGCGCATGTTCGCTGCTCCGTTCTTAGCCCAGATGGGTAACGGACACGTTGACGGTGTTTACTCTATGGCAAAAGATCCCGGCTCGCTTGAACGCTTTGCAAGTGGCAGTGGTGATGGTGTAGTGAAGGTGTGGGATCTCACAACACAGGGTGAGGTTTGGAATACCCAAGGCCACGAAAACATGGTCAAGGGTCTGTGCTGGACTCCGGAGCGAAAACTTCTGTCATGCGCGAGTGACAAGACGATCAAATTGTGGGATCCTTATAACTCATCATCTGAGGCCCCACCGGTGGCAACCTATCTCGGAAATAGTGCATTCACCAGTGTCTCACACCACCGAACCCTCCCTTCTTTTGCTGCTGCTTCTGGTGTCATTTCTATCTACGACCTTTCCCGGCCCTCCTCCACACCATCTCAGACTCTGCACTGGCCGACCAGCGTTGACACCATCACTTCTGTTGCATTCAACCAGACTGAGACTTCTATCCTAGCTTCGACCGCCATGGACCGCTCAGTCATCATGTACGACCTGCGTACTTCCCAGCCGGTGCATAAGACGACTTTGAGACTGGCATCTAACGCCATTTCTTGGAACCCAATGGAAGCGTTCAACTTTGCCGTGGCAAATGAAGACCACAACGCCTACATCTTTGATATGAGAAAGATGGACCGTGCTCTCAATGTTTTGAAGGACCATGTGGCTGCTGTTATGGATGTTGATTTCAGCCCCACAGGTGAAGAGCTGGTGACTGCCTCATACGATCGGACAATCCGCCTATGGAACAGATCAACTGGTCACTCGCGCGACATCTACCACACCAAGCGAATGCAACGTGTCTTCTCAGCAACATTCACGCCTGACAACAAGTACGTCTTGACAGGATCGGACGATGGCAATGTTCGTCTCTGGCGTGCCAATGCATCGGACCGCAGTGGAGTCAAGACTGCCCGTCAACGTTCCAAGCTGGAGTACGATCAAGCTCTGATCAAGCGATACTCGCACATGCCCCAAATTCGCCGCATCAAGCGCCAGCGTCATGTTCCCAAGCCTATCAAGAAGGCTGGCGAAATCAAGCGCGAGGAGCTCAATGCTATTAAGAGACGTGAGGAGAATGTGCGCAAGCATACTAAGAAGACCAACCTGGCGCCGAGAACCCATGAGCGTGAGAAGATGATTCTAGCCAGCGAGCAGTAAATCGGTCCCTTTCATTTATCACATTTCATCGACCAGGCTAGGGCGCGAGACTTGCAATCGAAACTATGGTCGAATGGGGAATATGTTCAATGAAGCAGATCGCTCTGTTCTATAATACATCTCGTTGGGATTGTACGAGCGCCATTTTCCTCATGATTTATGCCAATATACACCGCTCGGCTCCATTCGAACACCTATCAATCTGTCTTCCCAGATGTCTGCCGGCTTTGAGTCACAGCATCATCTATTCCACTCAGGTATCTCGCAACCCGCTGCACTGTGGCGGGTAGCACGGCATACCAATTCACGAGCGTTGCATAAAAAGGCAATCTGATCACACCACCTCGACCACTATCAATCGCTGCCACCATCTCCCGAGCAACTTCGACCGGTTCCAAGACTGGCGCAAAGAAATGATTTGGCGCGCGCACCCAGTCGAACAACGGCGTCGACATCTGCCCAACTTCAACCAGCAGCGTTTTGATCAACGGGTTACCTCGGAATTCTGCTTCTATCGTCCGATGCAGCGCGCTCAGTCCAGCCTTGCTGCCTGCGTAGTCTGATAGTCCTGCGGCACTCAGCTGGCCTAGCACAGAGCTGACTGTGACAAGCGTCCCTCCGTTCTCTGCTGCGATGATCCCAGGTAAGAAGACCTGGTACAGATGGAAAGCTGCCAGGAGGTTAGTGCGGATGGTCTTCTCGAATGCGTCCGCTGGCACGTCAAGGAACGAGAAGCCGTTGATCCTGGCCGCGGCACAGTTGATAACGATCGTCGGTGTTCCTAACTGTAATATATTTAGCGAGTCAGACCCCAATTGAAGCAAGCCATAGAGCGCTATGAAAATCATTTGTCCGATCATTTAAATCCCCAGAACCGTAGTACTAGTAGGATGAGATGGATTCGAAGCTCACACAACGTAACCAAAGCAGAAACAAACAAACCTACCTCTTGCAAGATCTTCCCCTTGGCAACCTCCAACGCGCTCCTCTCTGCGACATCACACGTAATATACAAAACGCCCTCTCCGAAGACCTCATCGCGACTATTTTCTGGAACATCTTTAATATCCAGTACAGCGACACTTGCCCCGCGCATGCTATACATCTGCGCAATCAACAGACCCAGACCACTAGCCCCACCGGTGATCACCACGACCTCATTCACGAAATTGACTGTGCGCGGGGCGCCGTGAGCGACGCGCTGGTTGAAAATCCGCGCGATGAAGAGGAGGGTGAGGACTGTTGCATAGCTCACGGTGAGGATCCAGGCTGGATCTGTTGATGGCGTTACCTGGGCGCGCAAGCAGAGGACGAGAATCCAGGCTATGAAGGGGTGAAGGAGGGATTTGGAGAGGATGCTTATCAGGGTGTCGATTGTCACGAGGTTGGTGCGTGGATTGGCTGAGTCGGAGGCTAGCTGAGGTGGTTTTGCTGTTGTTTTTAGGAACTGGGGGGCGGAGGATGACATTTTAATGTCTGCTTTGGCTTTGGCTCCGGCTCCAGGAGATTGGATGTCAGAGATGTGCAGTGAGAAGTGCTGATGATCTCGGGATATTCAAGGCGCGTTTAGTTTTGCGGGGCTGATAAGACGATCTATAGGATCACCGCAGCAACTCGGGCATTGTTGACACTTGTTCTACAACTTCACTGCTAATTAAATCGCTTCTTGGTGTCTCTCCTAAAGTAAGAAAAAGGAGGAAATGACCCTCAAAGTAATTGCGAAGTATGTACATATACATCCTACCTAAGAGCTATCTCTGTGATAAAAGGTCCAAAATTGAATCGAAGGAGATGAGAGATTCGAATTGAACCCCCGTAGGGAAGCCCCGGTCGATTAATTATCGTCAGGTAGCTATCTCATGTAGATGTGAAAGTATGAAGCAAGAAACCCATACAAATCCTGTCGAACTCCAGCCGGATCATAAAGACGGAATAATTGTAGCCGGAGACATAAAAAAACATGGAATATTTGAAAGACGAAGTCAGATCCACGAACCCCATTTGATCATATCAAGCATCCCTCCCATTGCCGAAGAGCAGAGACCAGCATAAATCCATAAACTCCCTCATGATTGCGTCAGACAGCGCATTCCTCCCTGGTTTGAGCAAGAGAAACATCGCGGGTCAATCAACACTGCTTGTGCTGACCCCGTGGCGATTAAGGCTTCTTGCTCCGAGCCTCCTGAGCCGAACCTCGGATAGAGTGACTGAAGGTAGGGCAATGCCTATCCTCAGCCATGATGTTGAGATCGCTAGGGGTCGATGGCACCTGAAAGCCTCGACCAGCTTCAGGGTAAGCACGATAATCTTCAGGGTCATAATCCGATTCATGCTGGGATTCGCCGTGTGAAGCCTGAGACGCGGATGGAGTAGGAGACTGTAGTCGAGATTGGGAGTATAATGACTCCTCGTCGGTGAGCAAGTCGGAGTTTGAGGAAACAGATGAGGCCTTGCGAGCACGCGTAGCTGCAGGCGCAGCTTGAGACGTAAATCTGCGTGCGGCTCTGGAAGGAGCCTGCGAAGTCATGGTGGTAGAAAGCTGCGGAGCAGTTGTGGGAGCATGTGCGTGAGAGGTTCCGCTGAAGATCTGGTCTGTAATGATTCCACCATGAGACGCTGGGGGAGCATGACTGGGAGCAGCATTGGAGGCCATTGCTGCAAAGAGTTCATCGGCGTCCACGGCAGTAGCTTCGGGCGCTATGGTATCAGAAATCTTACCGACTCGTTGATTTGAATCCATAGCGTTGGCGTTCTCAGACGCGTGTTCCAAGCTTCCCCAATCAAGTAATGCAGAACGTGGGTTTTTCTTCGTTGTAGCGTCGGAAGCCCGATTATTGTGTGGAGTCGCAGAGGGTGATGGTGTGAAATCGGCCACGGGTCGCATGTCGTGGGGAAAGATAGGAACCGACGGCCACTCATTTGAGACTTTCATTATAAGCTGGACTAGCGAACCATGCGAAAGAGATGACAGATACGCCCGTCGTTCTTCCTCCGAATAACAATTTCCACCAATTTGAGGTTCAGACACAGGCTGCTTCTTTGGGCGTCCAACCTTTTTCACATTTGTTGCAGCCTTCTTTTGAGATTTGGTCTGGGCTGTCTGACGCTGCTCAGGTTTACACTTGATGCAAAACCAATCCATCTCCGGGATTTCGATGACCTCACTATCAATACTCGGATTGTGGCATTTCTGATGCCACGGAGCATCACATGAGTCACATAGAACAATCAAATTATTCGAGGGGCTGTGTCCTCGGTAGCAGCCAGTGCAAACTATATTCACCTGGCGGTTCAGACGCTTCCGCTTTTTTGCAGTCGCTTTGACAGGTTCCCGTTTTGTTGCCACAGACTCGGATTCTCGAACAGCTGGCCGAGTAAGACGACGGCCAGATCGAGTTCGATTTGATGCCAGGGCGGCGCTGGCATTTTGTTGACCCGTTTCCGTGACGCCAGCTGTTGTCCAAAGTGCCTCTTCCTGAGGCAGTGCTGGTGATCCCCAACTTTCCCAGAGTACATTATCAGTCAGAAGATCCATAGGAGAGGGTAGTGGCTGGATCCCCTGGGAGACACCCTCGTGGTCAAATATATTGCCCTCATGTACGTTCTGAGACCGCCCCGAGTTCATATCGGGAGCGGGAGGGTCCATGAATGCCGTTGAGACTCTCATGATGAGTTTTCTTGCAAACAACTGTTTTCAAAAAAAAAAGACTTGGCAAGATTTCTCCGGGAAACTAGTTGATCTCCAGTGTGAAAGTCAAGAACAGAGCAACAGATGATGGCGAGGGAAAAACACACACTGTGTTCTTCTAGGGCAGTGCGAGTCTTCCAGCCTGATACAAGCCACAATACACACTGGGCAGTTTGGTAGACGGGCAGCCAGGCATAGTTGGGCTTCTCTCAATTCTTCAAGTAGAAGTAGGGTTGAAGTGAAGTCGTCCCATGAAGACCTTTGTATATCAGTCACGTGATATCCATATGTAACCTTAAATGGCTTTCTTCATCAATTAACTGACGTGTTTCGCTGAATTCGAGGCTCTTTACAACCCTAGAATGTTCAGTTTTGATGATTTTATTTGAGATAGAGACTTTTTTTTTTTTTTTTTTTATCTCTCATATGAATATAGTGAACATTCGTCTTATGCTCGAGTGGATCGCCTCTTAGCACTAGTACTGGCATGTTTCTATCTATATCTACAAGAGTAGACGGCCGCTTATGCGGCCTTATAATGCCCTACAGGTCGTTTTAGCAGTCGTTTCAGCGGTCTTCTCAGCGAGCTTCTTAGATATCTTCAAACCCGCCTTTCCAGTGTTACTAGGTGGACTGCAGGAAAAGGCGGAAAAGGCACACTTTGTGCAAGTGACTTTCTTATGTATAACTTCTGATGATGAAGGTAATATCTAGCAATAACAACACATTTTGTGAAACTTATCATGTTGTTTTAAGAATGTCTCGCGAGAGGGGCAGTTCTCACAATACGGAGCTCCCAGTTATGTATTACACCCCATTTTATGATATGCAAAGGGAAAGCCAAAGGGCTTATGGGGTGCAGTGAAGATGTTCAAATGGGACCTAAAGATGACAAAAAGAACCGAAGGGATAACTGGATTGGCTTTAATTCTAATTTTGCTTATATACAGACCTCAGAAGATGTCTTTCATGTTTCTCATAAATAATACAAGGTTTAGGATATGACTCCCTCGTCCTTCAAGCGAGCGATATCTGCCTCCCCATAATCGAGGACACTGCCCAAGATCTCATCTGTATGCTGGCCCAGAGTGGGAGGAGGCGTGCGCACACCCGGTGTTGCTTCGGAGTACTTAATAGGCGTGTTGACCATCTTGATGGGACCACATGCAGGGTGGTCAACCTCTGTCACCATGCCTCGAGCCAGAACTGTTGGTAGAATCAATATTAGTATCTTTGTTATCACATGTGAATTAAATAGGCAGGCTTACCATGCTTATGATTGAGGGTACCCTGAATGTCGTTGACAGCCGCATAGGGCATACCGCTACCCTCAAAGATATCCAACCACTCTTGTGTGGTCTTCTGCAAAGTGGTGCTTTCAATCATACCGTCAATCTCCGCCCGGTGTTGCACTCGGTCACTGTTGGTGATGAAGCGGGCGTCTGTCTTCCACTCAGAGAAGCCTAGTCGGTCACACAACACGCCAAAAAGCCTATCATTACCACCACCGAAGAGAATATCCCCGTCGCTTGTCTTGTAGCTTCGGTATGGTACAATGGATGCTGGGATGTGTCAGTTTGCTTGTCATTATACTCGACACAAGAGACTGTTTGCTGCTTACGGTGTGCTGTGCCCCAACGGCCGGAATCTTTTTTCCCACTGATAAGCGCGGAGCTAGCCAGGTTCGCCAGTGTAGCAACTTGGCAATCACTCAAGCAGGCATCGATATGTTGGCCTCTACCAGTCCGACCCCGAGCAATCAAAGCTGCCATGATGGCATTTGATGTGTATAGTCCAGTAGTTAGATCGGTAACAGCAACACCAACCTTTACTGGCGCACCATCTCGAGCACCGGTTATGTGCATCAATCCCATTTCAGCTTCCACCATGACGTCGTAGCCTGCACGGTTGCTATAAGGGCCTGTCTGCCCATATCCGGTGATACTGGCATAGATCAACTTGGGGTTTATTTCCCGCAGCGTTTCATAGTCCATGCCATATTTTTTGAGACCCCCAGGGAGATAGTTCTCGACTAAGACATCGCATTCCTTGGCGAGCTTGTGTAGAATCTCAACGCCTGATTTGTGTTGGAAAGATAGACCGAGGGATTTCTTATTCCGGTTGACCTATATCCATGATTAGTATTATGATAAGTTGTTTCATAGTCTCAAGAGAGAAGGTTTCGTACAGCTAAGTAGTAAGCGCTCTCACCAGGACCCTTTTTGGAAGCATCTTCGTACTTCGCATACGGCGGACCCCAAGCACGAGTATCGTCGCCGCGCACAGGATGCTCGACCTTGATAACGTCCGCTCTGCGTTTAGGCTTGTTAACATCTTGTGAACTACTCATTGGAGCTGTTTCACGGCTTCGAAGCTGAGCACATACCCTAAATCACCAAGAATTTGAGTGCAATAAGGCTAAAGCAAGTCAGCTTGGATTACAGACACACAGGAGCGCCTCTAGGGATGTACTCACACCGGCCAAGACGCGTGTCATATCGAGCACCCGAATACCAGCCAAAGGTAGCGATCCATCAACTGAAGCTGCACTAGAGTAGCTCCGTCCTGGTACCGTGCGCCGCAAGGCATTGCTACCCCAGGACAAGCCTGATCGACGGGCAACAACCTGGAACCTGAGCGCAACTGTCATGATAGTATACACGAGCGCAGCGAAACAAAAAAGAATGGAAGCTCAAACACAAGCTCAACTAGCAAGAAACCCACGTTAAATGGGATCTGGGGAAACCGGCGAATCTCCGTCAAAACGCCGACGCCGACACCGCTCGGAGGGACCAAAGCCGAGGCCACAATCGCGGGGGGCATTTTCCTTATAGATCATCAACCGCAGCTATGTTCACAGGTCTTGTCGAGACGATTGGCAGTATGTATATCTTTCTTTCGTGAAGAGAGTCAATCGCTAATGTTGTTTTACTAGCTGTCACGGCCTTGGAGCCCATCGATACCTCGTCGAGTGGGGGCGGGGGAACGTCGCTCACCATCTCCGACTGTGAGGAGATCCTTACCGACGCGCACCTGGGCGATAGTATCGCAGTGAATGGTATTTTGCTCTTTACTTGTCTATAACGCATGGGATATTGTCTAAAAGTGGGCTGAAGGAACATGTCTTACGGTCACTGCATTCGATAAGACCTGGTTCAAGGTTGGCTGTGCACCGGAGACGCTGCGACGCACAAACCTGGGCTCCTTGCAGGCGAATTCACACGTAAACCTCGAGCGCGCTGTTTCGGCCGATACCCGGATGGGAGGACACTTTGTGCAGGGCCATGTCGATACCGTTGCGGAGATTCTGTCCGTGACGCCCGATGGAAATTCGTTGGTGTTCCGGTTGCAGCCGCGCGATAGAGATATTCTGCGCTATGTTGTGGAAAAGGGATATGTGACCCTAGATGGTGCTAGCCTGACTGTCACTAAGGTCGTCGATGGACAGGATGGATACTGGGAGGTTATGCTCATTGCCTACACACAGGGGAAGGTAGTCACTGCGGCGAAGAAGCCCGGTGACTTTGTCAACGTTGAGATCGATATTGTGGGCAAGTATGTCGAGAAGAGTGTGCAGGGATACTTCGCTGGTACCTCCGGTGGAGATTTCGCCATTCTGGAGAAGATGGTGAACAGAATCGTCGATGAAAGGCTTAAGAAATAGACCAGATTTATGAATAACGAATCTCCCCCACTCAATGCCCTTCTTATATTGGCACGAGGTGAAATGTATCATGTACGGTTTCCAAGGATCTTTTCAAAGAGGAATTTCCTCTTCGATTCCAGCTATAAGAGACATACTGCTAGAAGTGCGATTGTGTCTAAGCAGAATGGGCGGGACTGCATTTCTTCCGAATTGAAGTGCTTACCGACTGTAACGTGAAATGCTTGACGGCCTTCTCATTCGTTTCTGCGAACTGTTGAAAGTTAGGAACTTCATTTGAAACTGATATCTTCGGCCGGTGTGGTGTGATTGTGTTGCAATATGCGATGGCACATTGTATGTACATCAATTCGCGTGTGGATGTGATGGGATTCGAGGACTTCCTGGAATTGATGGGTTGGTATAATGAACTGCACTGTATCAAAAATGACTGGATGTACGTCCAAGTCCATGAAGCCTAGCACTTACACGAGGTATATATTTGGGGATGCTCGTAGACTAAGTTCGATCTAAGGATGAAAGATGAAGGATAAATTTGCAAGATTGCATTATATGAAGACAAAACCTGAAGTAACGCCTAGATGCCTATCGGGTATGTGACAGTGACAGAAATTTTGGTCCATATGACATGGATATAAGACATGAAGACGGGTGTCATTTTGGATACAATCCAGTATGATAGACAGGTCAGCGCGAAGTGAATTCTCGGGGGGCCGAGCCGGCTCTCCATCTGCCGAAGGAGTAGGAGCTTTCGAAAAGGTGCGGTATGACTTCAAACGGCCACTTACTCCTCCATAGACTCATCCGAATCGGCGTCAGAGTCGTCATCCGCCGCTTCACCCTCACCCTCAGCATCCTTGTCAAAGTCATCATCGCTGAGCCAATCTTCATCATCCATATCCTCATCCTCATCCTCATCGGCCACTTGTTGGCCATTACCCCTAGCCTTGGCTTTCTCCTGCTTCTTCCGCTCAATGTTCGCCTTCTGCAGCTTCTTTCTCTGCTCCTTCTCCTTCCTCCGAACATCCCAGCTCTGGTCCATTTTCCGCATCTCCTTTTCGGATTTCGTAATGAAGTCGTGCCACATAACCTTACCATCACAGACTCCATCCTCAACCTTCATCAAGCGAAGTCGCAAGCGAGGGCCCAGTTCTACGAGCTTCACAGCCCGTTTCTCAACACCGGGGGTATGGGCTGGCTTATCCTGGCCCTTCTCTGCAGCCTTTTGGCGCTGCATTTCCCGCTTGTTCAGGACTCGGCGGGTTGTGGTCTCTGCAACTTCGACTTCGGCATCCGTGTCTAGTTCGGTCTCACTTGCTGATGTGTAGCCTGCAGCAGAAGGGTCAAGCAGATAATCGGCGGCATCTTCTAATTTTCCAAGGTTGGGGACGGCGGTCTTCTTCTTGTCTCGATTCCGAATCTCTTTGGGGTCCAGGCGACGAATTCGTTTCGATACACCGGTCTTCTTCGTGGCAATAGCGTAGTGACGGAGAGTCAAGATATATGAATCGTTATCTTTTTCGGCAGGCTCTCGGTTGAGAAGCATGACACGGCGGATAGAAGAAAGAGGCTGGCTTTGGGGATTGATGGGAGGGAATAGGGACTGGAAGATGGTAGTTGTGAGGGTCTCGAGGCGCTTCGGGACTTTGGAATCTTCAGTTGCGTCTGGCGTAGTGAAATTGTTCATGACCAATAGGGGTGGTGTCTTGTGGTCCTGTCCACCACTTTTGGGGCGTTTCATGGATCTCTCAACATCCTTGCAAAGCGAATAGTTCTCTACTTTGAAGTGAAGGGTGGGTCCACGGGGGGTAACAGCGAGTCGCATATTTGTGTTGCCAGTTGCCGACTTGGAAAACAGCATAAGATGAGTTACACCGAGGGGACCAGTCATAACGGTATAATCTCGCAGTCGGTTGGATTTGCGTTCCTATAATGTTTGTTAGAGGGAGCGAGCGGAGCATTTGCTGTGAATCATACCTTCAATCGCACAGCGGTGTCGGGCTCCATCATACGACGAACATCCTTAACCAACTGAGTGACACTGCTACCGACTTGAGAAGCGCCTACTCGAATGACCATAGACTTTGGGGTCTTGGACATTGAGGCAGCACTGCCCTTCACAGCCGAAGCATTTTGGGGCTTCTGGTGAGTGCGCTTCTTAACACGTTGCTTAGCCATTTCGATGTTAGAAATGAAAGAAAAATAAGATTGGAGAGGAAAACCAATGAATGCTAAATCGGGCAGCTCGAGGTTTTTTTTTTCTCCAAAAATTAAGAAACAGCGCCGGATCAACAATCTTGCGGCCCCACATTAAATTATTTCTTTTGAGATAGTTGAACATCGACAACAAATCTTTTGTTGAAACACACAAGTCAAACATGCCGATTACCAAGAAGCGCAAGGTTGCACATGCAGCACCTGCTGCGCCCGTCGAAGAAAGCGACGTTGCATCAAATGCCAGCGCGTCAAGCCCTCAACCCGCCGCTGAGGATCCTGAGGTCGAAGATGCTTCCTCCGACACTGAGCCCAGCGCGCCCAGTGCCCCCAAAACGTTCAAAGAGCTGGGTCTGATTGACTCTCTCTGTGAGGCCTGTGACAAAATGGGCTACAAGGCCCCTACACCAATCCAGGCCGAATCAATTCCGCTGGCGCTTCAGGGTCGTGATATTATCGGTTTGGCTGAAACTGGATCTGGAAAAACCGCCTCTTTCGTTTTACCCATGCTTCAAGGTTTGTGCATCTCTGACGACGTATACCTTCACATACAATACTAACAAGTCCTCTAGAGCTCATGGAAAAACCCCAACCGTTTTTCGGACTCGTAATGGCCCCGACCCGTGAATTGGCATATCAGATTTCGCTCGCATGCGAGTCCCTCGGCGCAACAATCAACGTCAGATCTACCACGTTGGTGGGCGGCATGGATATGGTTCCTCAGTCAATCGCTTTAGGAAAGAAGCCTCACATTATCGTTGCCACACCCGGCAGACTTCTCGATCACCTCGAGAACACAAAAGGATTCTCTCTTCGCAACCTAAAATTCCTAGTCATGGACGAAGCAGACAGACTCCTTGATATGGATTTCGGCCCCATTCTTGATAAGATTCTCAAGGTCCTGCCGCGCGAGCGCAGAACCTTCCTATTCTCCGCCACTCTGAGCTCAAAAGTTGAATCTCTCCAGCGAGCCTCACTGTCAAATCCGGCCCGTGTATCGATCTCTTCCAGCAAGTACGCTACTGTGGAAACCCTCCAGCAAACTTATATTCTTCGTCCTTTCAAACACAAGGACATCTACCTCGTCTACCTCCTCCACGAATTCATCGGCCAGTCCGTTATCATCTTCATGCGTACTGTTCACGAGACGCAGCGTGTTGCTTTCCTGTTGCGTGGTCTGGGCTTCGGTGCAATCCCTCTTCATGGGCAGATGTCTCAATCTGCACGTCTTGGGGCACTGGGCAAATTCCGATCGAAGAGTCGCGAGATCCTAGTTGCCACTGATGTTGCTGCTCGTGGTTTGGATATTCCCTCTGTGGACTGCGTTCTAAACTTTGACTTGCCAACCGACAGCAAGACCTATATTCATCGAGTAGGCCGTACAGCACGTGCTGGAAAGTCTGGGACCGCCATCTCCTTTGTCACACAATATGATGTGGAAATCTGGCAGCGTATAGAAGCTGCGATGGGCAAAGAGTTGGAGGAGTACCCCGCCCCGAAAGACGAGGCCATGGTCTTTGCCGAGCAAGTGAGTGCCTCGCAGCGTGACGCGATTCAGGCAATGAAGCACTACGATGAGAAGAAGGGAGCCAAGGGCAAGGGAAAGTTCTCGTTCAAGGGCAAGCGAAGTCGCGACGCCATGGACCAGGAAGAGGGCTAGGGTTTCATTCCGGCTCGTTTGCTTTCGCTTTGTACATGAATAGATGGGTTATTTTACGAATTTGGGGCGTTTAAGCATGTAATATGAAAAGAATCCATAGATCTCATTACTGCGTCAAAATGATATCGAATATTTTCCTGGACCATATTTCCGGGGGCCCATAGTGCTGAAAAGGTATTCGCTGCCTAAAGCCATCAAGGCCAGGGTAACAATTGCAATATAGCCCAGAGAAAAAGTGATTCCAATCGGCATTTGTCAAGGCCGAGGATCAAACCTGGACTAAGGAATCTATTAGGCGCTGCCTGCCTCGCTAACAGCGTTGGCGACGCGAGTGGCGAGATCGTCAGCCTCAGAGCGGCTGGCAGCCTCAGCGTACACACGGACGGCATCCTCGGTACCACTGGCACGGGCGAAGCTGCGACCCTTGTTGTACCGAGACTGAAGAGACTCGATAGTGCCCTGTAGGCCGGGAGGAGACTCGAGCTTACGCTCGGCGTCGTACGCCTTGAAGATGGAACGGTCATTGACCTCGACCCGCACGAGGCGTGAAGGAAGGTCGGTGTAGGTTCCAAGCCACTCCTTGGGTGACCAGCCCTTGTGAGCGAGGATGGCCTCTACAAGAAGTGCGTCGGACAAGGCATCACCGACGGCCTGGTTGATCAAGTCGGTAAGGGCCTGGAGACTCTCCAGGGCGTGCTGCTGCGCCGGCGATTGAGGCTCAGTGTTCTTGATAACCTTAAGGGCATTCTCGGAGAAGGTGACGGTACCGTGTCCATTGGCCTCGAAGTAGACACCGACATCGAACCGTAGCGCGGCGTGGTGCAGGTGCTTCACGCCAGTGTTGGTGCAGATAATGGGAAGCTTGAGGACCTTCTCAATGTAATCTGTGCTTGCACCGTTAGCATAGGCGGTCTGGACAACACCAATCTTCAGCTTCGAAGCAATTCCAGCATTGCGGGCAAGATCGCCAATGAAAGACGCCGCAAGAGTGGCAATGCGGTCACCGTCCAGAAGACGGAAGACGTTGCTCTCATCCTGGAAGTAGTAAACAAGACGATCCGCGTCACCATCAAGCGAAGCGCATCGATCAAGCACGGCAGCCTTGGAAGAAGGAGGAGCGCGTTGCTTGGTCTTAACATAGTCGGCACCGCACTGTATGAAGTGTTAGGGTGATCAACAGTTGTGTGTTGGCCTGGTGGAAGCATACATCAAAGTTCAGGGCGTCAGGGTTGATCACATCATCATTGACAATTTTAATATCGATTCCACTGAGGTACTTCATCAGTTCCCTCAATTTAGGACCTCCGACACCGTTGGCGCAGTCCACAGTCAAGGAACCCTGGACCTTGACTCCGCGCATAACCTTCTTGAAGGAGTTCGCAAGCTTCTCATAGTATCCTTGCTCGGTCGGCTCACCATACTCGTATTGTGTTCCAAAGGTGTTCTTGCAGCGAACAACGTAGTGGAGCTGCGGGGTGGTCATGTATTTAAAGTCCACAAACTCGACCTCCGTCGCAGTAAGGGCGGCATTCAGAACGCCTACTAGACGGGAGCCAGAAGCACGGGTGTCACGAGCGAAGACCACCCGAGCAGGGTTGGTCATCTTCACGTCGATTTCCTTGACAAGTTCGTCGTAGACATCGGCAATCTTATCCAATGGGGCATTTGCTAGTTTTGTCGCATATGCCTCCCACTCGGCCTAGTGATGACAGTGAGCACGTTATTCCAAATTCGGTTGTGTAAACGCAAGTCAATCTTACTTCAAGCATCTCACCCTAGAGGGAAAAAATAAGGGTTAGACCTGTCTTAATGGTTTTGTACTCGGGGATCAATGGCTCAAACCTACCATGGGGTCAACCAACTTAACACCATTGTCCTCCGCGGGATTGTGACTAGCAGTAACCATAACACCAATCCATTGTCCACTAAGTTTCTTTGACCGCAAGCTTGCAAGCAAGCCTACTGCAAAAACAACAGTGTTGAGGAGGTCGCTGCGCAGCCAGATAGGTCAGAACAAGTCGACATCAACAAAAGGACAATCGCGGGGTTCCAGAGGATGCGGAGGCGGGGTGGATCAGCCATAGAAGAAACTTACGCTTTCATGCGAAACTGTAATGGAGAGAATAGAAGTTAGTCGACCTACTCCTGAAGTTGAGTGTCTAGCAAACATACCCCTGCTGTGCCATACTCAAATACCTTGCCCTCGGGCTTTGTGTATTGCAATGCCGCCTCGGTGATCGCTTTTTTGACAGCCGGAGAGGCCATGGCGGAAATATGCGATTACTTGTAAAGTACCTTATTGGGTTTCAAGAGGAGAGGTGCTCTGAAGCTTCAGGTAAAGTCGAGGTCGAAAAGGAGGGGAGTACTTGAAACAAAAAAAAAAGCGGCTGAGGGGTTTGGGGTTGAGACATGGCTTATTGCGACGGCCTTAGCGGTGAGAGAATGGCAGGGAACACAGACCAGGGTACGTTGTGGGACGTGGCAATAAAATATTGATCCGCATTAAGCGCCGTGGAAATTGACTGCAACGGTAAACACTCTGGTGGGGAGCACCCCAATCTTCATTACTGCTACCTCCACCTCTAAGCTACAGCCAAGCATGACATTTTAACATGTCTATGCTATCCTCAGTATGTATAGGTATGAGAATCGCCAGAATTTGCCGAAATTCTTATCCTCTTCATGCCTTTAGCCTGTGCGCCGCAATATCGTCCTGTGTGTCCCTGATCAGGAACCTGTCGGGTGCAACCGATGCATTAGTCATGAGAACATATTAATGGTCAAAGTCGTACGATCGGGGAGGACTTACGAGTACCACCATACAGCAGGGACCACTGTACCCAGATGCCAGAGGCTGTGCGCGTCAATCAACCCATGCCAAGGAGGGAAATCGAGCAACTCCAAACTCATAGCCAGGATTATCCACGCCACAATCATACCAGGCCAGGCGGCCCAAGACTTCGAAAGCTTTTGGTATCGGAAGATACTGAAGCCGGTCCATAAGAGGTTTTGAATAATACCAACCACCACGTTCGCTACCATGTTGTAGGTGTAGTCCCAGGACCAGAAGGTAAGATAAGACACGTGCAACGTATATAGCAGAAGACAAATAGCGGTCCAAAACCGACGTAGAGTCGGCCGGTATGGGGTATCTTCAAGATCCAAACGGAAGATTCGAACAACAGCAAGGTAGAGACCATACAGCACGTTGGCACCAGCCCCCCAGTAGTCCAGCTTCTCGGTCAGGGGGAAATCGCGCATGTGGAATATCATGCTGAAAGTCCAGCTCGCAAGTCCAATATATCCAAACATCATGTAGTATGGGCGGAGCGAGTGCCAAGCGGGGACCGATTCCTGGATACGGGACAGGCCGTGCCAATGCGCCGCGAAGTTGAAGAAGGAGAAGAGCACCGAGAAGGGCTCCTGCATCCCTAGGAGCCTACGAAACGGCCATTTTCCGTGGAATTGGACTATCGGACTGATCATTGGAGGATCACGCGACACTCGACGGTCGGTAATAACATGCTGACAAGTGTAGTCACATTCAGCAGGGCAGGTCCATAGTAGTAAGCGGAGGTGCAGAGCTAAAGAGGTCAGTAGGGGAAACGCGGAGAACTGTTGGAACATTGATTTCACGTACGTAGCACTGAATTGCCGTTCTGACAATTTTCCGTTTTACAAACCTATTCTGGTTAGTTTCCTTTGCAAGGGTCCGTTGTTCGCCGAGTCGTACCTGGACACATTCTTTGAAGTCGGGGAGGTGGTCTCCCAATGACGCGTCGGACCTGCCAATAAGCGAGGCTAGAAAAACTAATGCGAAAAGAGTGTAGAGATTCACTCTGGCTCCACCTAGATTCATTGTGGCTCGAAAGTTTAGTTCCGAGGTCTTAGGCGTTCAACGCGTAAGCTTGGGGAAGAATGACAGGTTGGAGCGGAGCTCCCGGCGGCATCAAAGAGCCTCCCTCGGTGGTCTTGGCAAGTTCCAAACAGTCCTTTATTTACCCCACAGGGCCATTGATCTGTGCTTTGTACAACTTCAACAAGTGAGGTAGATTGGTCCTTATTTACCATGACTATTACGTGGCATTATTGCTCAGAGATATTGCCAGCTCACTCTAAAGGGAGATATAGTTCATAGTGCAATTGACCTATCCTAAACATCAAATACCATCAATTGGAGCTTGCTATCCTTGTGTAAGTACCATTCCTCCACAGAGATACCATTCTCATATGACGCAGGTACACATCATTCTCCCCGGAACCTTCCAGTTGTACAACTATACCACGCAGATAGCCCTATATAAATGAGGGCAAGCAGTAGCACGTGCCTACCCACGTGATACTCGAATACGGCTAGCGCGGGCGGGGATTGGAGTTAAGCTTGGCGGGCGGGCAAATAATCCAGAAAAAAAAAGTTAAGGATCGATCTCTGTTGGACTTTTATCTTTAACATCCTTCCCATTTGATTTTTCCACTCTTTTTTTACTCTCCCTTTTTGGCCTGACCTTCTTTTCCACACAGTCAAGATGGACACCGATTCCGATAATCCTCAGGGAATTACGAGCAGTGCTGATCGCATGGTCGGCATGGAGCACTCTGAAGTCCGCTACTTCACTAGGTAACTTATTTCTCCATTGATTAAGTCTTTTGGTCAATCATACTAATAAATTGATAGTTACGACCACCATGGTAAATAATCTTGATCAACGATAGCAAATTTTCTGTGTGGTTTTGACTAACGATCTTTTTCTTGGGCTGCCACAGGTATCCACGAGGAGATGCTTGTAAGTACAAATCCACCGGCTAATGGCTATCTACGGTGCTCTAATATTTATTCTCTACTTTCTAGAAAGATGATGTGCGCACACGCTCCTACCGCGACTCCATCTACCAGAACCGCCACATCTTCAAGGACAAGGTCGTCCTCGATGTCGGCTGTGGAACTGGTATCCTCAGCATGTATGTATCTGGTTCATAATCTTGTGTTGTTAGATCTCTTGTTGACAGTTTTCTTTAATAGGTTTGCTGCCCGTGCTGGCGCAAAGCACGTCATTGGTGTCGATATGTCCTCCATCATCGAGAAGGCCCGTCAGATTGTCCACGTCAATGGACTGTCCGATAAGATTACTCTTCTCCAGGGTAAGATGGAGGAGGTTAACCTTCCTTTCCCTAAGGTTGATATCATTATCTCCGAGTGGATGGGTTACTTCCTTCTGTACGAGTCCATGCTGGACACCGTGCTCTACGCCCGTGACACCTATCTCAACCCCGGTGGTCTGATCTTCCCCGATAAGGCCACTATGTACGTTGCTGGTATTGAGGATGGCGACTACAAGGATGACAAGATTGGATGTAAGCAATCATCTTACCTTGAACTTTATTCTTGGATGTACTGACCAAATCCAGTCTGGGACAATGTCTACGGATTCGACTACAGCCCCATGAAGGAGATTGCTCTTAACGAGCCCCTCGTCGATACCGTCGAGATGAAGGCTCTTGTGACCGATCCCTGCCCCATCATCACCTTTGATCTGAACACTGTCACCACGGCGGATCTTGCCTTCAAGGTGCCTTATGCGCTCACTGCCAAGCGCCCCGACTTCATCCACGCCTTGATCGCCTGGTTCGATATCGAGTTCAGTGCCTGCCACAAGCCCATTCACTTTTCCACTGGTCCTCACGCCAAGTACACTCACTGGAAGCAGACCGTGTTCTACCTCCGTGACGTCCTCACTGTTGAGGAGGATGAGAAGGTTACTGGTTGCATCGAGAACCGCCCCAACGATAAGAACAAGCGTGACTTGGATATCAGCATCTCGTACAAGTTTGAGACCCCCGATGCTACTCGCGCCGCCGAGGGTGGCTGCTTCTACCGCATGTAAGTTCTGGCATTTTCACTCTTCTTTAGGTCCTAAAACTAATGCATCATAGGTGTTAATTTTGTTCCACTTTTCTAATTTGATGTCATTGGGATGTACAACTTCACGTTTGCACGATCTGAGTGAAATATATTTTCGTCACGCAATGCATCCTGGCATGGGCATGTATGAAATTGCCCGAGGCGGATTGGACATCTAGTTTCGCCTTTGTTTATTTCGGCGTTTAGTTCTTGGGAGGCAGGAAAAAAGGCATTTTGTGGCGCGAACGGAGGGATATCATTCTGAAGCTCCTCGAATTTCCAGGTAGATACCCGAGTCGATGCTTAGTCTAGCAAACTCCAACGCTCTTCTTCTGGACATGTTTCTTTCGTAGACCTTCGACTTTGCAAAGGATTATAATCTGCAAGGGGAACCTGTGCCAAGGTGGTGTCCCTTCGGCAAGACCACGGCAACAAATCCAAAATTTATCAGATCCTCGGCTCCTTGATGGACCCCCCGCAATTACCGAAGCTACTTAGGTACTTGACTCTGCCATCGATCCTTTGTTTTCTCTATCCTTCTTACTTTCTGGCCCTTTTCCCTATGAGAATAACTGATCATACGTTCAATACTCCATACTACCATCCCAATGTCGGCCCCTGGAACTGGTCACGAATTCCCCGCCCAAGAGGTCTCTTGGCAGAAGCGTGATGTGCTATTGTTCGCCAATAGCATTGGTGTCAAGGCTGACGAGCTGCACTTCCTCTATGTAAGCCACAGACTACATAGATACCAGTTTTGATATCATAATTTAACTAGTATCCAGGAACTTCACCCGAACTTCTCAGTCTTCCCAACCTATTCTCTCATCCTCCGTATGTGAAGTGCCCGGGGACTTCTGAGCAATTGTACTAACTCTTGAACTACAGCATTCAAGCTCACTGATCAAGAAGTGACTGATTTCTATGCCCGCCAGAAGGCAGTTCACATCCCAGGCGTCCCCGAGCTGGACCATCGTCGTGCTGTCGATGGCCAGCGTAAGATCACAATCCTGAAGCCGCTCCCTCCAACTAGTGCAGGGCGCAAGTTTGAGTTGCGCAACAAGGTCATTGGAGTATATGACAAAGGCAAGCCTGGCACTGTGATCGAAACCGAGCAGTCTATCGTGGATAAGGAGAACGGCGAAGTGTACACCAAGGTCGTGAGTAGTGGTTTCCTGGTCGGACAGGGTGGCTGGGGTGGTCCTAAGGGTGAGGTTATAGTTCAACTTCCCACCCTGAGGTATCAACTGACGCATTTGAGCAGGACCTAGCACTGTCAATTACCCCCCGCCGGAAGGCAAGGCCCCTGACGCTACCCATGTTGTTCAGACCAACTTGGAGACTGCCCACCTTTACCGGTAAGTACTGAGTGTATAGCTCGTACATAGAACAGCTCTATGCCATTGAACAAAAGTGGATACTCGTCGCACTTCATGCTAACTCCTTGACTAGTCTCAACGGTGATTACAACCCTCTCCACGCCACACCGGAGCCTGGCCAGAAGATGGGCTTCGGTGGTACTATCATTCACGGTCTTTTCAGTTGGAATTCTGCTGCGCATGGCATTCTGCGCGAATTGGGTGGTAGCAACCCTGCCAATATGAAGGAGTTCCAGGCTCGTTTTGCCTCGCCTGTCCGACCCGGTGATAAGCTTACCACTGAGATTTGGAGGACCGGCAATATTCAAGATGGCTATGAGGAGATCCGATTTGCTACTAAGAATGACAAGGGTCGGGTTGTGTTGAGCAATGGGCGCTGTCTGTTGAAGGTGACAGGCGTAAAAAGCAAGCTGTGATTACCAGTATCTATATACATCGAATTTCGGTTAGACTGTGTATAGTCTGCGTTTCAGAATTGATACCTGACAAATACCTTATTACCACCGAATGCTAGGGTTGTAGAGAATCAAACTATCTAGGCCAAAATAGTTCCGTTTTATACCCACACGTGACTATAACCTCGGTTGTCGGAGTCCCAAACTTGAAGCTCTTACAAATTGCTACCCCGGATCTATCCACTAGTGTCGTCCTTTTCTTGTCCTTGTCCTTATCTTTGTCCTAAAAACCGTCGGTTATCCATATCATGATCTTCAGCTGGCGCGCAACACTCAGGTCGAGTGAGCTGTGGACTCGCGCCGGGTAAGACGTCCTTTCATTTCAATGTTGAACATTCAACGCTAAAACCCTCTCGAATTAGACCAAAAAGCCTGTGGCCCCGCTATTTCCCCGCTGGCCGTTTGGTATGAATATACTCTGTAGTGCATAATATACACGCGGTCAATCATTCAAAAAACTAACTCGATCTCCTTGTCCCATTGCTCATAGAAGACTGGCCAGCGACATGCCACGCCTACCTCATCGAGATTGTTGCACACTACGATGAGCGTTAACGGTCCTCGAGTTGCCTCTTTCAAGTCCGATATAGTCAATCTTCCACCCAAAGACGAAAAGGATAGCAAATCCTGGTATAATTTGTTAGTTTATCGCAACTCCACAAAGAAGGCGAATAACGACTAACTTGTATTTTATAGCGGCCGTTTTGTCCTCAGGTAAGTGACAAAGACACACAAAACTAGAAGCTTGGTCTTTCATTGACACCTTGATGCCTGCGACTAGAGAAAACTGCCAGTGTCCAAAATGTATTCACCCGGATACGATGCAGAAGATAAGCGACACTTTCTCGGTAGGAGATCTCACTACTCTTCTTTGACTGCACAGCCTCTGATGCTGTCACTACAGATCCCACAGAATGTTAAAGTAGAGTCAATCGAGCACGGTGATAATATGGTCACGATCAAGTGTGAGACATAATTTTGAGACCTTGACTATCAGAACTAACACCCCCACAGGGTCTGATAATCACACGGGGCTTTATCCGCATGCTTGGCTTCATGCACACTCGCAGCCCATGCCTGACCTTATAGACACCAAGTCAGTGTCTGATCCTCAATCAGAAACGCATGGCCCCAGGTAAGTTGCCCAAAGCCGACGAATCAGTCACGGAATGGAGTTGATGTAAAAAAAGGTATTTCACCCCAGTCGTGGATCCAGACCAAAGTCCCAGAGTCAAATATGATGATGTTATGTCAAACGATGAATCGCTTCATATTTGGCTAAACTATATCGTAAGCCCCCCCTCTCTCAACTTCTTGACTAAACTTGCTAATGCTTGTGAAGTGGAACCATGGGTTCTGTTTTGTAGATGACGTTCCTATCAACCCAGAGGCAACTCAAATTCTCATCGAGCGGATTGCGTTCATCAGGAACACTCATTATGGTATGTACCTAGATACAAGGTTCGACGACGCAACATTTCGCTGACATAGCCTCAGGTGGCTTTTGGGACTTCACGGCCGATTTGACTTTTAAAGACACGGCATACACCAACGAATTCCTGGGTGCTCATACAGACAATACTTACTTCACAGATCCTGCAAGACTTCAGCTCTTCCATCTACTATCTCATACCGAAGGATCTGGGGGAGAGAACCTCTTAGTTGATGGATTTGCAGCCGCAGCTCAACTCCGCAGCGAGAAACCCGAGCATTATGCCTCATTGGTAAATCATAGGCAGCCGTGGCACGCAAGCGGGAACGACGACACATGCATCCAACCCTCCGCCATGGCACCGGTATTCTCAATGCATCCGGACTCGAATAGAATGTACCAGATCCGTTGGAACAATTATGATCGGGCACCAAAGAGCAATTGGTCGATATCGGAACAGGATGTGTGGTACAGCGCTGCGCGCCACTATAACGAGATCTTACGGAGCAGAGAAATGTGGACGAAGCTAAAGCCAGGATCGGCGCTCAGTAAGTCTTTCGTGCCATTTTGAAGAGCATTTCGGCTTACATGTTGGCCTTAGTTTTCGATAACTGGAGAATGTTACATGGCCGCTCCGAGTTTACTGGAAAGAGGCGAATGTGCGGTGGCTACGGTACTTACTATCAGATAACCCTTCTTTCATGATTTTCTGCTAATAAGATACTAGTCAACAACGATGACTACATCTCTCGACTTCGTCTGCTCAAGTTCGGCCGGAAAACGGTGCTGGACAACCTTGGCAACGTCCAAAATCAGCCCAATAATCCTTATTGGTTTATCTAGAATGCATGGTAGCTGACGCGATATAAATCGACAGAAAAGGCTCACATTGTGCAAAATACAAACAGTTTCAAAGTACAATATAGATAGAATCGAATCGCATTTGATTAGAAACGTATATCACATCACGTGACGCTCCATGGCTGACGTTGTTGGAGCTCGGCCACCAACAGCTCTTCCTCCTAGCGACCTTGTCTCATCCTCCCCCATCCTTTTTCAATCTATCGACCTGCTGGCTTTTCATTTTAGAGATTTCCTTTGATCTAATTCTATAATTCCCAATTTCTCGATTCCGCCATGTCGACTCTTGAGGACCTCGACGACCTTGAGCAGGAGCAGAGAGAGAAGAAGCAAGACCAGAACGATGGCGATGGCAAGAAGCCCGAAGGCGACGGCGATGCTGATATGCAAGACGCCGACAAAAAAGACGAAGAAGAAGAGATGTTGGACGAGGATATCTTGAACTCAAGCACGACAGACATCGTTACGCGACGGCGGATGCTGGAGAACGAGATGCGAATCATGAAAAGCGAGTTCCAACGTTTGACACATGAGCAGAGCACAATGAGGGAAAAGGTGAAGGATAATCTAGAGAAGATTGAGAACAACAGGTGTGCTTTCACCGGACCCTGTATTCGTTGTTCTGTAAGCCCGCGGAGCTTGGTGCCCGGCTTGCGGATCGGCGAAAAGACACTTGAGTTTCAACAGTCTACTGACATCTTTATGTGCGACTATCTAGACAACTACCATACCTTGTTGGAAACGTCGTCGAGCTATTGGATCTTGATGTGGAGGCAGAGGCAGCAGAGGAAGGTGCTAATATCGATCTGGATGCCACTCGTGTAGGCAAATCCGCTGTCATCAAGACCTCCACTCGCCAGACGATCTTTCTTCCACTCATTGGCCTTGTCGACCACGAAACGCTGAAGCCCGGTGACTTGATCGGTGTCAACAAGGATTCATATCTCATTCTGGACACACTACCGGCCGAGTATGACAACCGCGTCAAGGCAATGGAGGTCGACGAGAAGCCTACGGAGAAGTACACAGATATTGGTGGTCTGGATAAGCAGATCGAAGAGATCGTGGAAGCCATCGTATGGCCTATGAAGGAGGCAGAGCGCTTTAAGAAAATCGGCATCAAGGCCCCCAAAGGTGAGTTATTCCCCATTTTCCCTGTACTCCAAAGCTAACCTATTCATTTCTCTTCCGCAGGTGCTTTGATGTACGGACCCCCAGGTACCGGCAAGACACTTCTGGCCCGTGCCTGTGCCGCCGAGACGAACGCCACATTCCTCAAGCTCGCCGGACCCCAACTGGTGCAGATGTTCATCGGAGACGGCGCCAAGCTTGTGCGTGACTGCTTTGCTCTGGCCAAGGAGAAGGCGCCCTCTATCATCTTTATCGACGAGCTGGACGCCGTAGGTACCAAGCGTTTCGACTCAGAGAAATCCGGAGATCGCGAAGTGCAGCGAACCATGCTGGAACTACTGAACCAACTGGATGGCTTTGCCTCGGATGACCGCATCAAGGTTCTAGCGGCAACCAACCGTGTCGATGTGCTGGATCCTGCTCTCTTGCGTTCTGGCCGTCTGGACCGAAAGATCGAGTTCCCCTTGCCGAACGAGGAAGCCCGCGCCAATATTTTGCAGATTCACTCGCGCAAGATGTCCGTTGAGGATAGCGTTAACTGGGCCGAGTTGGCCCGCAGCACGGACGAGTTCGGTGGTGCCCAGCTCAAGGCTGTTTGCGTTGAAGCTGGTATGATTGCACTCCGGAAAGGTCTCAGCAAGATCGGCCATGAGAACTACGTCGACGCTATCGCCGAAGTCCAGGCTAAGAAGAAGGATACCAACATGGGCATCTATGTTTAGAGTAGACCGTCTTGCTTCTTATGTCCTGATCAATACACGTTTATTACTGCTTTTTTTGCCTCTTTTTGACGTCTCGAGTCATCTCGTGTATGTATGCTCCCTCGGCTTGAATGGAAGCCGGTAATTCGTTATGCATGAATGGCGTAGACCTCCTATTACGATTTTTTTTTCCGGGTAAATTGTGTTTGATCATTTGCCATGTGACAAATGTACTGCCTATATGGCGGAATTTTACTCGGAGTCATAACTAGATAGTCAAGAGTCAAGAGATCTACTTGACCACTGCATTGTAGAGTATATCAATAATACCACTATAATCAATTATGCATAGTGAAAATCACAACAGCCCAGAGAATCTCCAAGAGCCGAAAAAAGATAAAAAGACACGCAAAGATGCAATGGTCATAAATCCATACCAACAACAGTGGCTCATCACACGCACGCACACAACTTCCACCATGTGTTTTATATAAAAAAAAAGGAACAGGGAAAGAAAATAGATAGAGAAACTTAAGAGTCATGGACGAAGAAGAAAAGGCATTCTGATCAGAAAACCCTCAGTTCTAAGCCTTAATTCTTACCCTGGGTATCCTTCAGAGTAACGATGCGATTAAGCACCAGCTTCTCATCAGTAGACTCGCGATCAACAGCAAAGTACGCAACACGCATACCCTGGAAGCGAATAGAGTGCTTATTCTCACCAGGCTCCGTGGCACCTTCCTCCTTAGGCCACGGCGCTGAGCGGGAGATGTCTCGGAACCCAGTCTCGACCATAGCATCCTTGAAAATCTCCTCGGAATCCGGGTTGATATCGGCGAGGAAACCAGCCGGGTGGGCAGACGGATCCTCCGACTTGAAGAGCGAGTTGAAAGCGCGAACCTCAGCACGGATGGGGCTGTTGTGTGCGGGCGACTCGGCGATCCAATGGATGAAGGACTTGGGTTTCTTGGTGGCTTCGCCTTCGGCAGGCTTCTCGTATTTGGCGTGCACGCAGGTGACCTCACCGGTGGTAGGGTCGGTCTCGAAAGAAGTCGCCGTGATGGGGTAAGGGGCTTTGAGGAGGCCGACTGTTTTTCCTGGGGCGAGGCGGAAGTAGTCTGGAGAGTCGACGGCGCGGAAGTCAGAGCGCTCGATGTAAACTGTCTTCGTGAAGGGGATGTTATGGGTGCCGAAGGCTGGGTCCTTAGAGAAGGGGCAGTCGAGGAGCTCGAGATGGTCTTCCGGAAGGTCGTCGATGATGACCTTCAGCGGCTCGAGGACAACCATCAGGCGTGGGACGGTGGTTTCAAGGTACTGGCGGACGATCTGCTCGAATTTGGTGACTTGGACGTTGGTGGTGTTCTTTGTTACGCCGAGGTCGTTAACGAAGGCGAGAATGGCACCGGGGGGCACGCCGCGACGGCGCAGCGCGATGAGTGTGTACAGACGTGGGTCATCCCAGTCACGGACATGGCCTTCCTTGACGAGCTGGATGATCTTGCGCTTGGACAGGACTGTGCCGGTGATGTTAAGACGGCCGTACTCCCGCTGGTTGGGGCAGTAGACCTCCAGCTTGTTGCAGAGCCATTCGTAGGAGACACGAGAGAGCTCGAATTCAGTTGTGCACAGGGAGTGCGAGATTTCCTCGATGCTATCGCACAAGCAGTGCGCGAAATCGTAGGTTGGGTAAATCTTCCACTTGCCGCCAGTGAGGTGGTGCTGCTTGTCCTCGGTGCCCATGATGCGCCAGGCGAACAGATCCCACATCTGCGGGTTCGGGTCTGTGATATCCTGCTTCATACGCAGTGCTGCCTCGCCAGCCTTGTACTTTCCGTCACGCATGGCGCGGAACTCAGCCATGGACTCCTCGATGGGTCGTGTGCGGTGGCTGCATGAGAAGCGTGCTCCGCCACGCTGGCCGCCCTCAACCTCACCACGCTGGGCCTTGATCTCGGCCTTGGTGCAATGGCAGACGTATGCGCCATCACGATTGATCAAATCCTCTGCGAGCTCGTAGAGGCGATCAAAGTTATCGCTGGCATTGGTCTCACGCACAGGTGTGAAACCGAGCCAAGTCACAATCTCCCGGATGGCATTGTAGTATCGCTCCTCCTCACCTTCTGGGTTGGTGTCGTCAAAGCGCAGAATGCACTCGCCTCCGTGGTACTTGGCAAATCCAAAGTTGATTGCGATGGCCTTGCTGTGGCCAATGTGAAGGTATCCGTTGGGCTCGGGCGGGAATCGCGTGCGGATCTTGGGGACGGTCTCGGAGAGGGGCTTTTCCTGATACACGTCGTGCAGGAAGCCGAGCTTGAACATAGCATTAGGGTCCCGGGGCGCAGGAGCCTCCTTGGCCTTGGGTGCCTTTGGCTCTCCCTTTGGTTTGGGCTGGTCCTGTCTTGCTAGCTTGGCCGCCGCCTTCTTGGCCGCTGCGGCCTCTTTCTTCTCTTGACTCTTGGACTTCTTGGGTGGAGCCGTAGGTTCGGTGGCCTCCTTGGGCCTCTCAGGCAAGTCAACGGGCTTTGCGGGGTCCATTGTGACGAATAGCGATTGTGAAAGCGAAGGTGGGGGATATTTTTTTCACAACGAGGGGCTCTTTGTATTCAATGCTTATCAGTTAACATTCGCTTATCGGTCCGATTTAGCCCGGGATGAGTCATCTTCTATACTGCCGAGACCTACCGCTTCAGAGCTATAGAAGTCATGCCACATTCTCCAGGTGTCAAAGTGTGTGGCTACAATGTAGATCACACAATGTAGGGCTATAGGGCTATATAGCGGACAAGAATAGTTGGCCGTTGATGCGGTGCTGTGGTGTCTCTTTGATAGAATCTTGGTAGTCGTCATAAATGTGTTCTTCAAGATCGCCTGAGGTGTACTTTTGAAAGGATAAGAAGAATCATCCGCACTTGAAGTGTGCAAAGACGACTTTCCCATGTACAACCTTCGATGATCAATCATTTAATATGCTCTTCAATTACTGCTATGTGGCAAATGCTGTACAAATATGATACAGAGAGTATCCAGACTCAAATGGGACAGAAAGAAGAACACTGCACATTAACCTTCCACCAACGCGCCAATTATGATAGAACAATGAAATCACTTAAATAGCCAAGAGCCAAAGCACATCGAATCGTTAGGCAATGCTATCTCCATCGACCTGAAAAATCAGCGTGTGTACCAAGAATATAGTACAATGAGATTAGAACCAGTGAATCGAATGATCGAAGCGAGATGAAGAAATGAACAAGGAAAAGACGAAAAAAAAAAAAATATAACAAGTGTGGGGTATATAGCAGAGTATGTAGACAAGAAATAGAAGGAGAGAAAAAGAGGATCGAGGAGTGGAAAGGTTTAGTTAGAAAAGTTGTTTCACGTCGACGAGCTCAGAGTTGGACGGACGATCGCGCTCCATATGGAACCACCAGTCCCGGCCCATCTTGTGATTCCAGGTCCCAGTACAGGTATCCTTGTCCCAAGGCAAGGCCGAGCCCATTACACTGCTCAGAGGCGTGATTGGTGTCGTTGGAGATGTACCCATTACAGATCGTCCACTCAGACTTCCCCAGCCAAATCTAGAAATGGTGGATGCGGGCGACATGGGCTCTTCTGGAGGTGGGATGGAATGGTTTCCGCTGCCAAAGCAGTTGACACCTACTCCGGCAGCATATGACAGTGACTGGTTCGAAGCTAGCACTTGCTTCCACCCAATCAAGCCACCGTCTAACTCCTGGCCGGTGATATCAGGACGGAGAACGAAGTGAGGAATCGATGCACCAGTTGCCGGATCCCTGAAGCCACTACGGCCCATCAAGGTTGGCATACGAAACTCGTAGATCGTTTTGGGGCCGCTGTGGTCATTGTCCTCATGTCTGAAGCGCTCATAGGCAGCCCAAATCCCGTAATCGTCCATTTCCTGGTCGGGCTCATCCTCGAATTGCGAATTCTGAGCGTTGTCCGGCACAAACGCATCCGAGTAATCCTGGATCAGAACCTGCATGCCGGCCTCGGTGTCCTTGGCGGCCATGTCGATGAATGTCTGCGCACGGATTCGAGCTGACGTCAGATTATTCCCCGCCGGCAGAGCGAGCGGTCGAGTATTCACAGAACCGTGAGAGCTGCGGGGCAAGCTGTACCGGTCTGGTCGGAGTAAGGCTTGACCCTTCAATATAGGCCGGCAGACAGCTTGGAGCGCTCCTGGGGGCTCCACGTCGGAGGGTGCGCGAAGAGCTTCCAATTGAGGAAAGCCCCCGGAGATTATGCTTTGAGCAAGATGAGAGTTGGGGGTATTAGAGAATTTTGTGGATTTATGGAAAGGGAGTGTGTCAAGCTGGGTGAGGGCTGTGTCTGGGTCTGGGCATGCCACATCCCAGTGAAGATATTTCAGGGTCGATGAAGCTAGGATAGGCTGGAAAATCATATGTTCATCTGGCAAAGTTGGGCACTTTTCGGTCTGGACTACCTTGAACCTTTCAAGTTGTCGCAGTGACGCGAGAATTTTAGAAATGACTAGAAGTGACTCGATGTTCTGCTCGATCAAGACGAGTGTTTTGAGGGAGAGTGATTCAGGTCGTGTCGTATACTGCGAGAGACCAGCATCTGTAACCCCGGGCAGATTCTCCAACCTTAGCGACTCCAATGGTGGCAGACACATCAATGTGCTATTGTCGAAGGAGTCTTTGTTGAAGGAGGTTATGCAAAGATTGCGCAATGAGGGAAGAAGATTGAATATGCGCAGGGAGATGCTAGGCTCCAATGCGCCATTTCCGTTCAACCCGTAAAGCATTAGTGTCTCCAGACTTGTCCACGAGGTGTGGTAATTCAGAAACTCAAACATCTGGGAGGGACCAAGGCTCCCAGGACAGGAGTCGTCGCGTGGTGACAGCTCCGATGCTTGTGCAGCCTCGCCCAAAACCCACGTGTGCTCTTTGAGCTTTTTGCGGGTCGACAACGCATGGGTCAGACGATCGAATTCATGGTGATATGGGATAGACAGGCCTAACAGGCGCTCCAAGTTTGGGCACACCATAACGACAGACGCTACCAGGTCTCGGTACTCCTGCCATTGCGTACCTTGCTTCGTCGTGGTAAAGAGCAAATCTAATTGGGGCACCCGTAGTTCGTATACAAGATTAGCCAGCAACTTTCGTTCACGGAGGGTTCGTCTCAGAAGCTTCAGGCGACTCCCTCTCTTCAGACGATATTTCTTGAGTTGGGCCGGGGAATCATTTCCGACAATGTGTATACTGTGGTATCTAGTATGTTATGTTTCATCAGCAAACCGTGATTTCCCTGCTACCCTCGACTTTGTCAAGGGGGAGCTGGACTCAATACTTACAGAGGACCTCTAACCGCCTTTTCCCAAGACCGACAGGTCAAGGATAAGGCGTGTAAGTCGCGTTGAAAACACGTGGTACATCCTGTTTGATGCTGCCCTTTGTGTAACTCCTCTAGATGGCGGATGATCACTTCGTAGACCTCGTGGGGTACTCGGCGTTGAATGGGTTCGGATAATTTGGTGAAAGAATTGACTGAGTCCGATTGTCGGTAAGATGAGGATGGGGAAGATGGAGAGTATGTGGTGGGCGCGGTTGAGGCGCTATAATTGGTTCTGTAAGATGATATCGAGGAGGTTCGGGAGGCATTTGAATGGACGGAAAAGTCGACATGATTTTCAGGGATTGAATTCTGAGATACCGCAGGGGTCTCTGTTCTAGTGACGACAACACTCATTGTGAAGTTGCTTCTGGCATCGGAGTAACCGCGAGGCAAGAAAAAGCAAAGTCAATTCCCAATAGGGAGGGGTTCGGGAATGTAGGTTATTCGGAGAATGGCGTAGTATGTTGTATATGGAGATCGGCAGATTCCACTGTCTACAGTAGTCCTGTGAGAACTTCAAGATATGAAAAGGTGAGAAGAAAGCAAAGCGCAGGAATAGAAATCTCGAAGATGATACTAGAAACTAGCATGGAAAAGGGAGAAAAGGGGAAAAAAAAAGAAAAGACAATGGCAGTCGATCTCCCCCACATCAGGAATGATTTGAAGGTGGACCTTTTTCTTTACTGTACAAGCCGTGCATGCTTTGAGCGGAGACGGGAAGGGGGCGGTTCAGGGGTTGCCTAGCATTTTCTTTTAACGTAGATCGTATATCGGGAGAGAATTGTATTCTCTTCTGTATGTTGTCTATATAAGAGACTGGTCGATATATCCATTGTGCTCCGTAGATCAAGATACCCTACATCCCTATTCATCCAAGGCAGATGAATATCAAAAAGCATCCGAGTGTCAAGGGTTCGTGCCTTGACGACGCTATTGCCCCTTTAGGCTTAACCTGGTGGGTGTTTTACCCCTTTTCTTTTGGTTTTCTTTTCTCTTGACTTTTGTTTGGGTATTAAGTCTTATATATATTATTATCACTCTGTTTTGAAGGTGATTTAGATTGATAGTTGTTTCATCGAGTCTAAACGGAGTACTCTATACTATATACTCGCTAAATGTCCCCTTTTTATATCCGAACGGCCCATGCGCATATCATCCTGCACGCCAATGAATTAGGCAATTGACCGGCTCAGCCCTGGGGAACGGTTCTCTTATGTTGTACATTGGATCTTCAAAGGATTACAAAGGACAGTGGCCTGTAGAAAATGCATCTAGGCTATAAGGGGAGAAACTTTTTGAGCCAACCCTACTCAATTCACAAGTCCCTTCCCCCATCATGTTGAAACCCGTGCTCTTCACCAGTTTCATATTTTCACCTTGTCCTGCACCCCTCTAGTTGAAAGCTCTGTGTTTGAACATTTGAATTGAAATTTAGGGTATTTTTTCACCGCCCATTCTCCTCCTCTTGGCCTCATGTTGACACGCTGAACTCCCAATTGGGAGGACCGATGCGTTTAATTCTACCAACTAACTCTGTAAAAGAGAGTAGTCAATAAACTGTGTATCAAGGTACTTGAATGGCCGTGAAGAATTGACCTGGGAACAATGAGTGAAGGGATTCCAACGCCGCTCCCAAACTTCTTACCCTGTCTATATTGTATTGCGCACTTTGACCCTTCTCACCGCGGTCGCGCGACGCTAAAGCGGCGCTCACCCAAAGCTCACCCGGGCGATACCCACCCAACTATTCTTAGCAAGTAGTATGGTCTGTGACTGTGACTTCTCGTATCGTTTTGACTTTTGTTCTTTTGGATGATGGAACATGTACAATCGAACTGCCCCGAAGGCGTTCTGGCGCCAAGCGAAACCAAGATTTACGATAGCCCGTGGACGATCACGAGCCACTCGCCTAAGAGATGCGAGACCAGAAGTTTGAGAGTGGACCATTAATGAGTTATATTATTGTTGAATACGATGCCTATTACCTAGCAGATAAACACTAAGTTTTCAAAGCGGCTGATCACGCTCCTCATAGGTTCAAGTCCTGTAAATAGTACGGCTGAGAAACTGATTATTGTTTACTCTTAGCTACTAGCTTGCCTATACGAACTGTGTGGCTGTCTGCTGTCTATGGCGGAGCCTTTCTAACTTGGCACGAGATATGTATATATATCACACTTGCCAAGGCCCATAGGATGGATTAATGACATAGAACAAGCACAGCAGTCGAGATTGTAACCACCTTATTCACTCCAAATGCTTGCCTAGTTGAAGAGGCTAATCACCTCACTGAGCTACCGCAGGTCGATTTCAACCACAAAGGCATTTCAACACACTTGAGCGGGCAAACAAAGGTTACGACTTGAATAGCGATCTCTTGGAGTGGCAGTTTGCTTTGACAGTTGTCAATACCACGTGCGACTATTCAAATCTGTAACGTGCATGTATTTAATACAGTCGATATACAAAAGCTGACGTTTGGGGGCGTGCTCCCCACTTATCATTAGTTTGCTCCACTATTCCGGGTTGCGTACAACATACCTAGTATAAACCATAGAATTCCAATGCGATTCTGCTTTTCATAGCGTTTCCTTCTGGCTTCGCCGGTACATCCCTGTTTTGTGCAGCTACCCCAATTTCGGTTTCAGTCCTCGCTTTCTCACTTTCCGCGCCTAAAGATGCCTTTCAACCCTTTAACAGCGACGGCGGCATCTCTCCAGGAGAGATTAAGCAACGGTTTCATTACCAGCAAGGATATTGTGGAGCAATATTTGGGCCAAATAGAACGATATAATGGATATTTGAAGGCTGTCATTGCTACCACTCCCGAAGATCTGCTCTACCAGCGAGCCAGTGAGCTCGATAGCGAGCGTGCCAGTGGCTCTGTCCGTGGACCTCTTCATGGAATCCCAATCCTCGTCAAGGTGCGCATATACCCTCTAGACTAGAAACAATTGCGTCGCAAATTTTGCGCACATTTCATGCGCCCTGACGAGAGTTCCAGGACAACATCGCGACAGGCCCAGAATTAGCACTTCCAACCACGTGTGGCAGTCTCGCACTCGTCGGCTCAAAACCACGAAAGAATGCATCTCTCATTGATCGGGTACGTCAAAATCCTGGATTCAAAGATTGACTCCTGATAGTTCTAAAGCTTGTAGCTGCCGGCGCAATCATTCTAGGCAAGGCCAACCTCTCGGTAAGTGGCCACCCTCGGTATATATGATTCTGCGGTTGCCTCTTTCTCACTTTCATAGGAATGGGCGTGGTACAGGTTTGTTTATGAAGTTGTCAAGAAATAGGATGATAGTTAATTCTTTCACCAAGATCCGACTTGGCCGATTCTGGCTGGTCTGCCGTAGGTGGCCAGACTCAGTCCCCATATGTTCGAGGCGGTTTCCTCGAAAATGATACTAGTGGTGGCCACAGCGTATATTCAAAGCTCCATACCCATGAGAAAATGTTTCTGACTGCTCCATAGAACCCCGGTGGCTCTTCCTCGGGCTCTGCTGTCGCGGTCGCAGCGGGCTTTTGTCCTGTCTCGATCGGCACTGAAACCATGGGATCTCTCATCATGCCAAGTGACCGAGCGGCTCTTTATACAATCAAACCCACAGTCAAGCTTATTTCGCAAGATGGGATTATTCCAGTGAGCCACGAAGCTGACTCTGCTGGCCCAATGGCCAAATCAGTCCAAGATCTTGCGGATCTTCTCGATGTTCTTGTGGACTCAGAAAGAACGAATATACCTGAAGGCGGCTATCGATCCGTGGTTATTGGATCTTGGGGAGACATTAGGGTCGGTGTCGTAGAGCCGGAGGAGTGGTTGTTCTCGCATAAGGTTGAAAAGTATGAAAAACAAGCAACGGATCAAATGGTAAGTGGAAGCCTCGCAACTGCGGAGTCACAGCTTATATTTCCTTCAGCTACGAGATTGGCAGTCCGCCTACGAAAAGCTCAAGACCGTCGCCAAGGAAGTCAAGCCCGTGACCCTGATATCGATAGAAGAATCTACAGAAGACGGCAAGATGGACATTTGGAAAGCGTTCGGTAGGTAATCCTCCACATCATAAGGGTCACGCTTAACGGTACATAGATACAACTTTCAGCTCCCTCCTCAGAGAGTATCTTGCTAGCATTGACGACTCCAAGATTCAGACCCTCGAAGATCTTATTGAGTTCAACAAGGAACATGCCGAACAGGAGCTTCCACCTAGTAAGCTGCTCGTTTTTGCAAACCAGTACCATCTCACTAACTGTTACAGGTGCCGATAACCAGGCAGGGTTAATTAGAGCCCTCAGTGCCAACATGTCGGATGATGAATATCATAAGCTTGTCAACTTTGCTAGAGATGCTTGCGGCCGTCGAGGTATTGACAAAGCGCTCGAGGAGAATGGTGTGGATATTCTTATGGGTCCAGGAGATGGGCTACTGTTCCAAATTTCCGGCACAGCAGGTTAGTTACCTTAGCATGCCAGGTGTCTCAGCTCTTTACTCTGATGATTGTTTAGGATATCCCGGTGCAACATTGCCCCTAGGGTATCTGGATTTCAACGGAAGACCCTTTGGGATGCAGATTATCGCCAAAGCACACCAGGAAGCTCTTTTGATTCAAGCCCAGAGTGCATGGGAGGCTACCTTCCCTGAACGTCACCCGCCAGCACTGGGCGAGTCAGTTGTGGAAGGGTAGGTTCCCCATGGTCCAAGGGATGTAAGGGCCAAGGTGGTAGGTGGTAGGTGGTAGGTAATGGGTCTTGGGAAAGAATGTGTGTCGCCATAGTGTACCTCTTGTGTGTTGTCCTTGGTTATGATGGTTGTTTTATTATTGATGGTTCTGTAGTAGGGGCTCGAGATCAACGCCGACACAAAGCGCAACTGGGAGAAACGATCATGTCTAAAATATGTTTTGAGAAGCAGCGCGGACAATTTCTTCAAATGGTTGAATTTCCCGAAGAGCAACAACGGAGACTTTTCACATGAGATGCCTTTCACTCCGTCCATCGATGAGTTCTCACTGAAGACGAACATTGGATCCACTTCTAGGAGCTGATACCTTCATGAAGTTGAGTGTTCCAGTCACCGGGGAGTAATCCAGCCAAGAGCACGTGAAAGGACATCCTGGACGAGAACTAACTTCACATAGACCAGAAGATAATGGCAGTGGTTGGGATCCAGATAGTATTCCTTGAATGTGCACCTGCTTGGTAGTGTATGTACAAAAGGGGTCACATATGGATCTAACATCTTGCATAAAACAACCTCGTACCCTCACAACTTCGCCTTCTCCATTCCCTTCCCTTCCGCCTCTTGTCCCGTAAACCGATAAACAATATCCTCAAAACTCCCCGTAGGAAAAACATACAACCACCTCAAGTCCACAGTCCCAGTATTCACAATCCCATGCTCAGCATCCGAAGGAATAAAAACTGTACTCCCAGCTTGCACCCTACTTGAGACCCCATCAATCGTCACCTCGCCATCGCCTTCGAGGATATGGTATATCTCAGACTGCATGTGGCGGTGCGCGCACAAGTGGCCCGACGCTGGCGGACATGTTGCTATTCCTGCACAGAGGTCTGTGGAGTCTGTTTTGGGGGATGAAATCAAGGTGTGCCAGTATATATCGCCGTGATTTGAGGTTGGAAATGTTTCTGGTGGTGTTCTTTGTGTGTAGGTTGAGGGGAGGATTGTTGGTTTTGGATGGGTCATTTGGGATTGGATGTGGATCCTGACGTTGGAGTGCGACTGAAATCAAAGTTGAGGAAGGGAGGGGGGGGTTATAGTATATTTCTTGGATGGGGCTGTGCCTTCCTATCTACATGTGTAGGACTAAAACGGAAGGAACAGATGAAGGAGCGTGTCGAGGAAATATTTTCTGAAAAGAGTAATGTGATCCCACCGAACATCCATGGATGATCTAGACTCTGAACATGCACTGCTTGAACAGATGACGGGATCGGAGAGGAATCAAAACACCCGGATTTAGTGTCATTATTGGTTGACAACCCCTCTGTAGACATGATCCTGTACTAAGGGTACAAAGGATCGAATCAAAATAATGTAAACAAAACAATACATGAGATGCTACATACAGAGTTGGGGAAGCAGCATTGAGTAGAAAAATTCCACCGCAATGATGGATGAATTGAATGGAAGAGTCTGATATTGAACTAGAACAGCGTACCCATCCGGCCCAATGCAATGCAGATCGAGCCCCATATGATGCCGATGCCAGTCTTAACGCCATGAAAATGGAACTGGAATGAAATACTCTGTTACGACTCGGTTGTCATCCGAATCCGAGTAGCTTCAATCGAGCCTGGAAATGCAAGAGAAAAAAAGAGAAGAAAAGTCCGTGAGGAAAGATCCCTCAAATTACCACCGTACCGTGTTGAAAAAAGGAAAACTCCGCAAAGAGAGAAAACAAGTATAGCAGCAGAAGAGAAGATCGGAGGAAAGATCCAAGAGAAAAGAGCAGGTATCAAAATTCAGGACATCAATCCCAGAGGATAGAGAATAAAGTTATCAACAGTGCGCCGGAGACAGGATAGAAGACAAAGACAAAGAAAGCTCGCTTTGACTAGATAACCGCCCCAGAACATGATGACCGACAATAAGGGTGCACAATGAACATCACCCAAACCCAACTCCACCAAACACGCGAGATATCCCCCATGGTTTCCTCAGAAACGGAACGTGAAGAAACTGACCGAAACCCGGAGGGACGAGTATGTGACTGGGAACTGGCTGACGAACCAAGCCAGGGGCTGTGACCACGACGAGTAGCGAGGCTCAAAATTGATACCAGGACCACGATCAGAGAATGATCATCATCTCAACTCGGCATTCGACAGAACAGGAAACAGACTAATAAGAACAAAAAAAAGGGAGTGGGGGCAGAATCTGCAGAAATACCAGCATGAGTGAACAAAACATGAATCAGAAACCAAGGCGAAGACAAATGGGAATGGAAACGAAAAGGGATACCCATATTTGCGGGTTGGAAGTGATGCAATCCGAAGGCATGTACAAGACAAGACAAGAAATAAAATGTATGCCAGATCGAGACTCCATGGTCATGCAGTAGAAGAAAAAAAACGTAATCACATGTCAAAGGTATCATCAACGTTGAAAATCCCGGGTTCCGTGCCGTCGTGCGATTTCTGGACGCCTGCCATGCGCTGGTCACCTGAGTTGCCTGACCGGTGGCCTCGTTGCCAGTAATCGTCGTGCATGGAATCTTCTTCCATATGGTCGCTCTCGTCCATAAGGTGGTGGTCGATAGAGCTCTCATTCACAAAGGTGAAGCCCTTGAAATTGGCTTGCATCCCGGGGGACAAGGGTGTGGAGGCTGGCATCAGGCCGTTGGCGAGGTTGGCAGCGCGGAGATTGAGCGAATTGTTCAGGTCCATAGCGTTTGTGAATTCGGGATCAAAGTTCGATGTGTCGGTTTCAGACTGCAACTGCGGTTTGAACGGGGGAATCACTTGCTTACGACAAAGTGTCTCCCAGTTGATGTCGTGGAAGAATGGGTGGGCCATGAGCTCCTTGGCGTCGCCGTTGGCGCCCAGTCGATGCTTGGGATTCCGGTTTAGCAAACCCTTGACAAAGTTCCTTCCCTCGGTGCTAAGCGCATCACGAGGGAATCGGACTTTGCCGAATGCGATATTCTTGTACATCTGCTGAGTGTCCTCGGCATAGAACGGACTCCAGCCACAGCACATCTCAAAGACCAAGACACCCAGGGACCAGAAGTCGACCATCTTTGTATATCCTTGCTCATCGAGCAATACTTCCCGGGGCCAGATATTCTGTGGTACCACAGAAGGTATTAGTAGTGTCATTTTGGGACAGGTTTGCCTTGGATAGACCGAAATCGCAGAGCGCAATGTGACCGTTGGCATCTAACAGAATGTTCTCCGGTTTGAGATCCCGATATACGATGTCGTGGTCGTGCAGATGTTGCAGAGCCAGAATCAACTCAGCAATGTAGAACTTCGCTCGAGCCTCCTGGAACCGACCCTCACGCTGCAAGTGCCAGAATAATTCGCCGCCCGACATATAGTCCGTGACTAGGTATAGATCTGTTGGAGTTTGGAACGAGAACTTCAACCCAACAATAAATGGAGACGCCGTCATCGCGGTGCGTACTAAGATATTGCGCTCTCCAAGCGTGTGAATCACCTCCTTCTTTTGGATGATCACCTTCTTCGAGAGAACCTTCATAGCATAGATACGCTGTGTGTCCTTCTTCTTGACCTGATAGACCTGACCGAAAGTTCCTTTACCGATAAGTTTGAGGACGAGGAAGTCATTTGGCCCGACCTGCTTTCGATCTGTCTTTTCGAACTTCATCTCGAGGTGAATTTCTCCGGAGACTTGATTGTCGCCGGCACCCCGCGCGACCAAGGGGAACCAGCCTTCTAGTCGACTGTGATCCTCCTTGAGGTTGATACAGAGGCGTACGTGACCCAAGAAAGCTTCCTGGTTGTTACGGTCATAAACTGTGACATCAAGTTCCGACTGATCTCCCATAACATCACTTAACAGGACGTGTTAGCGTGTGATCCAAGTTAAGGAGGCAGGGTTGGAGTAACATACAAGGTGGCCTCGTGATTCCAGTGCGGGTCGGTCACGGGTGTCCGCCCCTTGTGATCACCATCGACAGCACTGTTGTGAGAGCTGGATCGGGACTTCAAAGGAATAGCCATAGGCCGACCAGCAGCCTCCTCGGCATCTGACTCCAGCTGACGCCGTTTCTTTTCCTCCTCACCGTCACGAGCACCTTTGGAGATGTACTCATTCCATTCGAATACACACACCACATAGGGATCGAAACTTGGCCGCAATCCTCGACCATCCGTGATCTTCACAAACAACTTGCCATTAATCGGGCCTGTGGGAGCGCCATTAGCTGGGGATGCTGATGTTGCAGCTGCAGGCGTAGGCACAATCTCCGCCTGGGACTGGGATGGGAATGCTTCATCGAGTTTCATGGTGATCTCGTCCGTGGAGCTTTCGATGTCCGGCTTGGGCTTAGACTCTGAAGCCTCTTGTGAGCTCTCTTGCGGGGCCGGAGTGGCGGTCTTTTCCTGGGCGGCTGGGATCTCGTTGGACATGGCCCGGGGAGTAAGAGGTGGGGTATTCTTAGGACGCGACCCATTGGGCGCGTATTCAGTTAGCTTGGCCAGGTTCTCGGAAGATACTGATATATGCGGTTTCTCATGGTCGAGGAGGGGAGCTTCAGTCAGGGGAAAGGCATCTGAAACAGGAGGGAGGGATGGGTTGGAGAAATGTATGGCAAGAACAGGGTCGTCAGAGACACTGGATACTGGGAGGGATGTTTGACGGCGGGAAGGTGGGTCTTCTGGAGGAGTTTGTGTGGGTGAAATGAGGTAATTCTTCAGCGTTTTAAAGATAGAGGACACTCCTGGACTCGTCCCGAGTTCCATCTCATCCGAGTCGTGCTGTAACAAGGAGTGTGGAGGGGTGGGCAGATTGGGGTGTTCATCCATCTTGTCAAACCCATCTTCCTGCTCCATCATGACAAAAGACTCGGGATCGGAGGAATGTTGGGGATGCGCATTTGATTGAAGGTTCTCAGAGGGTTTCGACAGACACGACCATAACCGCGGTAGACTCGCTTTATCACCGGAGAAAGAACCAACCTGGAAATAGTTGTGCATAATGGAAGGCAGACGCTTGTCGGCCGGATCAGGCTCAGGTGTTGCGATTCCAGTCGGCGTGGGGGTAGAATCATTTGACCCGATCTGGTCTGGAGTATCGTCTTCCAATCCGGAGCTATCGAGATGAAAGATTAGCCAAATGATACAAATCTTCCATTCAAAGGTTGTAGGCAAATTCCGACAAGGTCCGATATCAAAGGCAGAGAGAGAGACATCCTCGAAACAGTTTTCATGCAGGTTCAACCCCAAGAAGAAGTGTAATGCAATGCGGTGTGAGGGGATCGTGGACCCTCTTTTTCCCTCTACAACCCCGCTGTAAAGAAAAGAAGTTGACTCACTTCATTGTCTTCATGTCGTCGCCGTGCAACACGGGTCCACTCTGCGCAGCCATTGTGTTTCCATTCAACAAAAGTCGGGAAATGAGGAGAGAGAGGAACGGAGAGAGTGGGGGGTTCGAAATTCCAAGGGAAAAAAAAGGATTTGATGAGCTAAGGGAGTTTGCGGGATGGATTTGAACCCGTTTGGATATTCCCCAAGAAATTCGGGTTCTTTTTGAAAAAAAAAAAAAAAAAGATCGATAGAATTCTTTTGGGATTCAGACGTGGAATTTTCTTCGGTAAAAAAAAGGTTCACTGATAGTCAATGTTTCTCGGGTATTATTAAGTCTGGACATATACCTAGATACCTTAGGTAGCCTAAGATTATATCACATATAAGATATAATACTCCGTACGGAAACTAAGGTTGGGAAAAAGACTGGAAGAGAAAAAAAGAAGAGGGCATTGATGCATTCTTGTAAGGTAATCAAGTCATCTATATTGTACGTACTTTCCTAATACATCAAAAATCCCAAATTATTAGAAATCAGAGATCAGATCAAAAAGTCCAGAAAAAAATATAAAAAAGACCCAACGTCATGTGGAGAATATGAGGTGATAATGTTCGATAGCCCTAGATATCAGCCCTTGTGGTATTTCTATATAAAGATTATTAGATTTCCAGGTCGTCACTAGTTAGGCTGCAGTATGTGAACCTTTTCAGTGATTTGCGTCTTTCCTTCTGGCGATTTTTTCTTATCTCCAAATCTTTATCTCCACTTCTCAGCTCATTTTCTTTTGGATTACATAGGTGTACAATGTTTCTTATATTCGGATGGTTTCCGTGTTCTGGTATATATATGACTTGAAGTACAACATAGTAATAAATCTCCTATATAATCAAGACATGGACACCTTTCGCCTAAAATAATGACAACTGTGAAACCCATAGATCGAGTCTCGATCGCGAAATCGTGTCGGCCTTTCAGCTTTGAATATGGCCCAGGTCTAGCTCTCAGCTCCCCTTGCATCTGCATACCAGGTGAAATGTGAGATATGCTGTGATCGCAACAGGTGCTTCAAGGCTGCCCTCCACATGCGTCATCGGGGCCGTGAGGTCCCTCTGCGCTAACATGTGGTTCGGCGGATTTAAGACCCGCGTGAATGATGTACGTGCCACAGAACTGAGCTTGTTGCGATATATATTTGTAGGAGAAGTGACGCTAGAGAGCTATTGTCATTCTCCGTTTTGCCCCCTCAGCTTGTAATATCCAAGCCCTCAAATAGGTCTTGGGGTTGGGGTGGGGGAGCGGGGGGGGATAAAGAGGTGATCGGCACCTTCCTCAACCTCCCTTGGGCTTATATATGACGAATGACATGCTATGGAAATAAAAATCCAGGGCATTGGTCCAAGAATGATATCTTATCTCCTTATTATCTCCTGATACCTTGGGTTTGCACCATTGAAAGTTCGTATTAATTCGCATTTACTGTGATTTCATGCGTGATGCTTGAATTTTAGGCATCTCGGCCACTATTGTACACAAATGTACAGTCAAGACCTGCATGATTTCAATGTGCATATTCCGTTTATGCGCAAGACCGAGTCCGAGTTTGGATTGAATTTGTAGGTCATCTGCACTGGGATATGATCTGCGGGTTTGTACTCCGTACAACAAAGTAGGCACATCTCTACCCAGTATGTTTCTCAAGCTCCCCGCTGTGGGCTGAGAACATACTTGATCAGAACAAGTATATTTCCCGGGGCGTTCTGTATATTAACTATTCAAAGTTTCCCTGGCTAATGGGCGGGAAAAGGTGATATGGCTTGTAATATTTTACAGTAGGACTCTTGCGGGGGTAACGCTACTAGTAAAGCCAATCTTGATGTTCATGAGTACCCTGGTCCAAACGGTGTTTTGCTATCATTGAACCATGCCCTTTTGTCCCAAGTGACTCTGCTACTGACCCGGGATATGGTTTGCTCAAGCCACCTGGTGGGTTGGAGTCAGGAGCTATCTCTCACATGTGATATTGGAAATTGGGATTACACATAGGGGCAGAAAATGAGGTCATTGGTTACACATAAAATTAACCTATGTTGTATGTGTTTCGATGTACGGAGTAGTCGTCTCTATGTTGGATCGATGCAATTGACACTCCATATTGATGATCTAATTCGGGAGAGAACGGTGCATGGAACGACCGGTGAGTATTTACGGGGTTTGTTAACGTGTAGATCCCATAGATGAACGCATCTTGAGCATCGAAACCCCGCACTCTCATACTGACAAACTAGACGGTAACACGCCCGAGATGCTGTCCTAGGCAGATAACCTATGATATCAATTTAATATAGGTATTTTGAAACGGCAATGGCGGTTGGGGGTCTAGAATTGGAAAAGAACGAATATCGAAAAACAGTCAGAAGCAGAATGTTCGCCGATCAACGGCCTAGCAGGTGTGCAGCCCGAAATGCTCCGTTGGAGTATGTAGGAAAGATCGTATGACGTCATAGAGGATATGCCCACCAGTTTGCCTTGTTTGCACCATTTGGTTGTTTGCCGCGTTTGCAGCCTGTGGAGCACTCGGAAAAACCTCGGCCCTTCGCAAAACAGCTATTCCTCCCCATTTGCGCTTCCCCAGCATATCGACCAACCATCGACAAAATGCCACGAAAGCTCAGGGCGGCCGCCCAGGCGGCTGCAAAGTCGATAAGTGAGTTGATCCCAACCTCGAATTGATCCACACCGGCCACAAGCACCCATATCTCCTACTATGCATTGAATTTCATCCTCCCTTTAAGACGCGTTTACGATTAACCAGCTTTAGAAAATGTACCTTCGATTCCAGATGGGTCTGATGAGGAGATGGTCGACGCTCCTTCCTCTCACCCCTCTTCGCCTGTAGCCGAACCAGCAGACTCCCCAGAGAAAGATACCAATGTCGAACTCGAGGCTGAACCTGAACTTGAGCGTGAACCTGAACCTGAAGTTGAAGTTGAGCCTGAAGCAGAGCCTGCAGCTGGAAGCGCAGAAGTTCAGGCTCCTGAAATATCTGATACACCCAAGCCAGAGGAAAAATCGAGTATTGCAACGCCCGCAGAAGATCCAGTTCTTCCCGACACAGACAACACACCTTCCTACGGACCTGGTCGCCCATCACTTCCGCCTCGTGGCAAGCGTCGCATTGGTCGCCCACCCAAGAACCCTCGGCCTGAATGGGATCCGGCTGACGGCGACCCACCACTCCGAGTCACTACTCCAGTCAAAAGACGCCGAGGTCGGCCTGCTGCTAGCGGTGGACGTTGGGCACGGAATCGTGGCCCCTCCCATCTCACTCAAGTGCCCGTCGACAAGGAAGGAAACATGATGGATGTAATCAACGACGAAGTGTCGATTCCGCCCGACCCAATCGGCGCTACTAAGGTCGACGAGAATGGCCACCTGCAAGGCGGACGCGAGTATCGAGTCCGTACCTTCAAGATCCTTGGTCGCGGGGACCGCCTCTACATGCTGTCGACCGAACCGGCCCGTTGTATTGGGTTCCGTGACTCGTACTTGTTCTTTCAGAAGCACAAGATGCTGTACAAGATTATCATTGACGATGACGCCAAGCGTGATTTAATCGAACGCGATCTTATCCCTCACTCTTACAAGGGACGAGCCATTGGTGTTGTAACCGCACGATCAGTGTTCCGTGAGTTCGGCGCAAAGATTATCGTTGGCGGCAAGAAGATCATCGACGATTATGACGAGGCTGCTGCTCGCGAGCGCGGCGATGTGGAGGGCGAGCTGGCCGTTCCGGAAGACCGATTGCCTGGACCTGGAGAAACTTACAACAGAAACCAGTACGTCGCCTGGCATGGCGCAAGCAGTGTATATCACACAAACGCGCCCGCGGTCCCGCTTGCTGGCGGAAAACCAGTTGACACCAAGAAACGCCGTGTACCAGTCACCGATGACAACTGGATGCTTGAGCATGCGCGTGCTGCAAGGTGAGTCTCTATCTGGTAGTAAGCAACTCAATTGGAACTGTCGACTAATACATTATAGCAACTTTAATGCGAAGCTTGCCGAAATGCGCCGTGCGAATCTGGGTGGTGTGTACGATGTACACACAAATATTATGCAGCATCCGAAGATCATGCAGCCAACCCACGCCCGCTGGGAGCGCGTTTCCCCAGCCCCGGCGCCCGCCCCAACCGAGTTGACGAGTAATATGAACTCATTGAACCTCTCCAATGGGGGTTCTCCTTCCGACCATGAGAATCAGACCTCCCATAAAACCCAAGAAGCGAACGAGGCTGCCACTAGCGAACCCTCCACCGAAAAAATGACCGCTACCTTTTCCCCTGTTCCCGCATATCTCCACGACCGCTATGTCATTCAGGACATCGTCTATGAATCCCCGCCATATTCAAACATGGGCATCCCGGGGCCTGACGGTGATGTGCATGACATTGGCCCCAACGGCCTAGTCAGCGTCGCCAACCCCGAGCATCCCGAGTTCATGTCTCCAGAGATCCTCGAGTTGCTTCCGCCCGAGTGCAAAGAAGCTCTCATTGATGCTGCGGCACAGGAGGTTGAATGGAAGTCCAAATGGACCACCGAGACCAAGGACGGCGAGCGTACTCAGCCAACCAAGAGCTATGCCTGGTACCCATAAATATTGAAATTGGTTTCTTTTTTTTATTGAGATTCTTGCGCGTCGGGCGAAATTTATGGGTTAGCATGGGCTGGCTGGCTGGACATGGCAGGCGAAAACCGCTGGAGTTTTTTTTTTCCCCTTGTATTTCTGCTGGGTCTACTTTCACATTCTCGACTTATGCCTCGGATAGATTTTTGCCTATCTCCATGATGTATCAACTGGGTTTTCTTCTTTTTGGCTCCTCGAAGCTGGATCTCCATATGACAGCTTTTAGTGATGGAGTTTCAGATAATAATGAACCGCTTTTTTTTTGTCTCCCAGAATTTGTACTCTTTTTGACTATATCCCTGACGACGTAAGACTGAATAATGTGATTTATCTGCCTGAAGACGATATTCGGGAAGTTGTATGTAAGATGCTGGTCTTTTGCATGTATTTATTATAGATAAAGTTTTTTACATTTTTAGTTAAGATGATCATTAGGTACTATCTATAGGAGGATCAATGAGTAGGAATGGAAATAATAGCACAGAGTAGACTCGAAGATGTACAACATACGAAGGCACGTACCGAGGACAATTCTATGTATAAACAGGAATATCCCAAGCTGAAAATTCAAAATTAATAGCTTGGCTTACACGAATAAATAAAAGAACAACTGAAGTCATCTAAAACTCCATTTCAAAAAAAAAAGCAAAAATAAACATGAATCCAATAGATCGATGGAGTCGGCTTGTGAAAGGGTGTTGAGTGGAACAGCCAGGGGGAAAAAGTGACAAAAAACAAGACAGATCAGGGTAAAGTAAGACTTCGGAGATACCTGGGTGGCGTCAGATCATATGGAGGGGATGATAGAAACAACCTCAGAAGAGAGATAGAGGTAATAAAGAAGAGTGAGGGGGGCGTCAGCGGGAGCGAATGGAAGTAAATGCCTTGATCAGACGGCCGGGTCATGCATGCAAAGGTAAGTCAAGGAACAAGGAAGAGAAAAAGGGTAAAATTTCAACGGAAAGGCTGCATTGGTCGCGTTGCTGGAAGAAAGAGGCCGTCACATTGCCATTTCTGCGCGCAACTTTGCCAGCTCGGCCTCCTCGTCGTCTTCCTCTGCCTTGGCAGGGTGTTTGACTATACACAAGTTAGCGAACGATAATGTGATGTAGGAATCTGTTCTTACGATCCGTATTCCCTGCAGCTGGCAACCGGTCCAGTTGACTGCCCACCGGTACGGTCCCAGTGTGGAGCATCTTTGCATCCATGGCTTCCTGCTCCAGACCCTCCAATTCATTTTCGAGCTCATCCTCGTCGGGCTGTTCGCCGATAGGGAAGCCGGTAATGGCGTTTCCGATCTCGGTGCTGAGCGCATGTTGATCTTGAAGTTCCTCCCTGCGAATTATCAGTATATGGCCGTTCACATAACTAACAAGGACCACGATAGAGGTAATAGTAGGGACAGACTCGGTCCCCGCAGCAACGTACATCGTCTTGTCGACATCCTCGAGCTTCATTTTACCGTGGATATGTTTCATAGCGTCGCCGGCCCGCACCATAGCAGCCAAGGTTTCGTGGTTTATATTGGCGGCTTCGATGGAATATACCTGCTGCTCGAGTTGCATAATTTGAGCTGTTGTCTGTTCGAGATTCTTTTCGTGGACCTTTTTCCGTCGGAGGGCATTTTTGGCGGCTATTCAACACAATAGTAGAGGACCATATAGTTAGCCACCACACACAACTCTCAAATAGATGCCCAGCAACACTCTGCCAGATTCGCAATCGTACCATTCTTATCTGTATTAACGTGCTTCCGAGCCATAGCATCCTGCTCTGAGATCTGGGTCTCGAGATGCTTCTCGCGCTTTTGCAGCAAACCCAGCTGTTCGCGCAGCTGTAGAATAGCGTCCTTGGGCGCATCCTTCCGCTTCTGAGCGGCGGCCCCGCCAAACCAGGACCACATGGTGATGTCGGTGTCTGTGTAACTGGGAACCGGACAGAGTAAATAAGCAGGATAAGCCCCTTTGCTCAGGTAATATGCCCTAAGGAGACCAGGCAGCAGCTGAAAATCCGGAGTGAGTGAGCAGTGGAGAGTAAATTGGTTGTTTTCTTGCTGCAAGTCAGGTGGAGCGATAGGCTCCAGGCAATGTCAGTGAGCTGACAGGCGAGTACGGGCAGTGCGCGAAAAAAAGCTCTGAATAGCCAGTCTTGGACACACGACTCGTTGAGAGCGCTTCCAAAGATAATGTCGGGATGAATGTAAAGTGGAGGGGAGGAGCCCGACTTTCCCCTCGCTGAGCCTATGACATACACGGTAAGGTCAGTCACGTGCGCCAGCAAGACCGTTCTGTTTGTGACATTTTGGGGTGTCTTCTTTTTTAGAAAAAGTACTCGCATATTTACAATGCGGAGCATCTTCTTCAACTAGCGCAGGGATGAATGGGCCGCGCCCCTCAACTCGCGTGTTCCTCTCTGATCTCCCATCTCTACAGGCGGACTCGAAGATCCGCTTTCTTGGCTGGTGCGTCAGGCTCAGAGCAGGGAAGAAAATAGTATAAAGTCGAGGCAATCCAATACTGACTATGAACTACGTTCCTGTGTATACACAGTGTAACAAGTTATACCATCTCCACCGGCCATTTAGTACTGGAACACAACTATCCACGCAGCAAGATAGCTCCAAGCTCTGTATCTGTCGATATCAATGCCCTCCTCGAGGACCTGACCGCTGAAGAACTGCGCGTAGGGACATGGCTGAATATTGTGGGCTATGTCAGAGACTCGGAGCCGGTGCCACAACCATCTTCATTCGATTCGACTCCCGACGACGCGAATCGGCCAAGTCAGAGGCCTTCTACGGTGCCCCCTCGTCCGGTCTATGTCGAGGCAGTCATGGTCTTCCCAGCGGGAGCCATCGCCATCGGGGAGTATGAGCGTATTCTTTGCAATTCTCAGCGTATCGAGCAGATGATACAATTTACCCATTGAGAAAACATTTGTAATGGCTCAAACGACTTATGGAACTCAAAGCCACCCACGTATTAATGGAGTGCTTCTTTTGCATTAGACATTTGCTATATTGATTTTCGAGCACCTCAGATACAAGGCGAGGGGTATCCCAATCAAATAATCGAACAAAAAAAATCATTAAAAAACGACCCTAAACCGCCTCTTCTGCCTTTTCATTCGACTGATTTGCCTGCTGAAGCTGGAGTTGCCTCCTAGCCCGCTTTCCTTCCAGCTTCATCTTCTCTTCCTGCATGCGCAGAATGAGGGGACTCTTCATGCGAATCTTATGTCCATACCTATAAAACACGAACGGAATGGGCACAATAACAACCTCCAACACCCCCAGAAGGGTGCCTGCCCAGTTTGGCCCCAAACTGGCATACATAGAAGAGCCAGCAAGTGGCAGCACACCACCAAGGATACTCCGAATAACCGAGTTTCCCGCCAAAGCAGAAGCAGCATACATGCCATAGCTATGAGTCAGATAGTTAGACGCATAGATGAAGACACCTGTATTTCCCGCGCCGAACGGGATACCCGCGAGGAGGGGCACGATCCAGGGGATTGAGGCTGGAGAGCAGGTCCATGCGAACCAGAGCTCGCCGACTGGGATCATGGCTGCACAGATGCAGACGAACGAAACCATTGCTTCTGGGTGTGGTTTACCAGTCTCGGGGTCTTTGGCGTGGCTGTTGATTAGCCGTCGGACTAAGGGCTCACAGGCTATTGTGATGAGAACGCCGATCCCGATACCTAGGAAGGCGAGTCCGGACACGCCCAGTTCCCATCCGCGGATGCCCCGAAAGACGATTGGGTAGGCTACGAAGCATAGGTATAGGATACCGTAGATGATTGCGATGTAGATGTTCCAGAAGATGCTGGTGAGGCTGTCAGTTTCATGTTTTGTGGGTGTGAAATGTATAAGTGGAAGGAACCTACCAGATTGGCTCTGTGACTGCCATTACAAATGGCCGGCTGAGGTTCAGCTTGAGGATCTCAGGAAGGCTTGCCTTTTGGTCATAGCGACTCCACCAGCGGGACTCGCCGCTCTCCTTGCGGAGCTTGGCCGCTTTCTTTTGTAGAAGGGTTGGTGCATAGGTTTCTTTGAGAATGATAGCAAAGACCAAAGCAACAGCGGAGAGCATGAGGGCGATCCAGCACATCCAGCGCCAGCCAAGATATTGAGTCACGAAGCCTCCAATAACAGGGCCGATGACTAGATCCCGTTAGAAATGAAATATCAGTAGGAAAAGGGAATGAAGCACAAACCTGGTCCATTGAGTGGTCCAATACTCCAGACAGAGATCGCCAAAGCACGGTGCTCATCGTTCACCAAGTCAGCCACCATACCGGGCGCGGTAGAGATCATGACACTGCCAAAGAAAGCAGCAATAAAGCGAATGACTATCAGTGCCGTAACGGACTTTGCAAGCGCGCAGGGGATGATCAGGACTGTAAACATAGCCAGACAGACTACACAGACAGGTTTCCGTCCGTAGACCTCGCTCAACGGGGCCATGAACATGGATCCGATGGCAAGACCAAACAGATAGAAGGTCAGGCCGAGCGTGACAATAGTCTCGGACTCGCCGAATTCTTCGGCGATCAATGTAAGTCCTGATGTATAAGATGTTGAATATAACACGCTTCCGAGTGTATTAGCCAAAGAACTTTGTTTTTTATCACCTGGATATATCAACTTACACGATAAGAGTATTCCATGACAGGAACAAGATGCCCATGGCTTTATACTTGAGGGTCCAGTTTTTGGGGTTCTCGGGGTCATCGTCACCATTCCAATCAACCTCATAGTCGGGGTCGGCAGTGGCATTGGTTGCGATTGTGGTTACTCGCTCCGACAATGACATGTGCGAGGTTCGCGAGGCGCGAGCTGTCAATGTCCTTCCTAGTGCATCGCGATCGGTCTGCGTGTCTACCGTGGAAATGGACTCGATGGAGTTTGTGTCTTGGGACACCCTCTCGGTGTTCTCGGGCCATTTATCTTGGCTCCCCGAATTAGGGCATTGAGTTGCCATGCCCACAAGCTTGAATTGCCTTGGAACGAGTACACCAATGCTCGGGGAGGCTAGATTGGGTGTGTACCGGAGATCAAGTGAACAAGCTACTCCAGTGTGAGGGGCTGTAATGAAGAAAATAGGGGGAAATGGCAATAAGAGAGATTATAGTTTCAGCTCCAAGATTAAACTGTAGTAATGTAATAAAGTGTGTCGTTCTCTAAGATTTTGTAGAGATATCTTCTGCAAATGGATGCCCAAACCCCGAACCCGATAGGTTTAAGTATCAACAAGACCTGCAAAACTGATATAAATTACAAATCGAAGGCATCGAAATCACGAAACTCGGAATTTCCCAAGGTGGGGCCGAAAGCCTGTGATAAGCATACTTCGACGAGAGCTAGGCTTACAGGGCCTGAAGAGCTTCGGGGGCTTCGGGGGCTTGGAGGGCTTGAATGGCTTGAATGGCTAACTAGATCTGTCGGAGCAAAAAGAAAGGATATCACTTGAGTGAAGCTACGTATAGTATCAGATATTCCCTACAAACCCTTGGCATGGTTTCCCCATGGGCAAAGAGGTCCATAAAACAGAAGTTGTGTTTTCCGACCCAACTCTCCACACGGCTTAGGCCCGAAAACATGTGGGATTCAGCCTGGCTAGTGTGCCGGTTTGCCGAATACTCTAGGCCCAAGCTGCGAGTGGTATTATATTTGGTGTTAGGTGCTTGGCACGGTTGTATATGAGTTCAAGTACTCCGTACATTTGATGTGGGTTTATCTGAACGGTTTATGTAAAGGGCTTTACAACCATTGTAGGGCAATTCGAAAATGATAAATTTCTTCAATTCTTCATTCCTTACTCCGAATACTCTACTACCCAACAGCGGAGTGTTCCAAACCTGTTGTATAGGGTATTCGACCTATGAAACCGAAGAAATCCCCGATCAATGTGATACATCATACAGGCATATAAGGGATCCTCAGGTTTATGAAACCCAACCCTATTCTGTACTTCTAACCTAGGATTTCTTAAAAGCTGTCCTGGCAAACAAGTTTTGTTTGTCGGTTTGATTCGACTGTTTGCTGACACGTTCTCAATGGCCATGGAGCTCAGGGGCCACAGAGCTCAGGCTCGCTTAGCCGAAGCGAACTCAGGTCTAAGCGACCTGCCGAGATCTGATCAGAAATGTTTCATCCTGACTGAAACAAGTTGCTTTAAATCTAGACTTTCAAACAGCATAAATTTTTGAACTTCTTTGTAATTTTTAAAGTCCTGAAATCACAACCTTGAAAGAAGTATCCTGTAACTATCCAATTATCATGGTGTTGCTTATAGTAGCCGCCCTGGCTGGACTGTTCGCTCTCTATCTGTGGCATGTGAACTCTGCTATGCAAGTAGTCCCCGAAGAGGCACAGAGACTATCACCTCATCGCTGGACAATTGAAGAAATCAAAACAGCTTATGAAAAGAGCCTGGTAGCCCCCATCGACGTGACCAAGAGCCTGCCTCCAAAACAATCCCGACGATATGTGGTCGTAGGCGGAACTGGTACGTATAGATACAAGTCGCTCTTCATATACATCTACTAACTCGCCAAACTGTAGGTCTAGTTGGCGCTTGGATAGTCTCGCATCTCCTTGCACGGGGCGAAGACCCCAAGGCCATTCGTATTCTAGACCTAATCTCCCCAGAGCAGGACGTCCTCAACAAAGGTGTGGGCTGGGTGAAAACCAACATCACCGACAAGCTCGCAGTAACAACAGCTTTCGAAAAGCCATGGGCTGCCAGTGTCACCAGCCTATCCCTAACTGTCTACCACACTGCAGTTATGATCCGACCCCAAGACCGATTCAAGAGCTTCCTGCCACTCAGCAGCAAAGTTAACATCGAAGGCACACGGAACGTCCTGAATGCTGCAAGAGCTGCCGGTGCCACAGCCTTCATCTGGACATCTTCAGGCTCCATCGCCCTGCACCAGCCAACTTTCTGGATCGCGCCGTGGGAGACTCAACCCAAGCGCGCAGTCCAAGTGATCAGCGACGACACCAAAATACCGGAATCCCACTACCAATTCTTTGGCAACTATGCCGTAACCAAAACCGAAGCGGAGCGCCTCGTCCGCGCAGCAGATGACCCAGAAACAAATTTCCGCACCGGCTGCATCCGCCCTACAAACGGCGTATATGGCACAGGCGGCCAAGCCAATAATGTCATCACGGGCCTTTACCTCCGTAACGGAGGCAGTCCGACCTGGGCTCGCCCGATCCTCCAGAGTTTCGTGCACGCCGAGAACGTCTCGCTAGCACATCTCTTGTACGAACAGCGTTTGATCCAGCAGAGCGAGCCTGGCTCGCAGCTCCCGAATACAGGTGGCCAGGCATTCATCGTCAGCGACCCCAACCCGGCGATTGCTTTTGGTGATTTGTACACACTGCTAACGACGTTGTCCAAAACGCCGGTTTTGTTTCCGGAGGTGCCACCCGCGCCATTGTTGGTATTAGCGTATTTCCTTGAGATGTATGCTTTTTTGCAGTACAAATATCTCCCTTGGTTGCCAGCTTTGTCGGGGGATATTGCGCAGCTTCAGCCCTCAGTGTTCTCCATTGTCAATGTTCATGTCTTTGCTGATGATTCGCGCGCAAAGCTAGCGCCTGAGATGGGTGGGTTGGGGTATAATCCGCCTCTGAACACTCTTGATGGTCTGTGTCGGCGGCTTGTAGATTGGAATACAGAGGCCGAAGGGAAGAAGATGAATTTAGGTCCCGTGAAGGTTTCGGATGGTGTTGGTGTGGTTGCGCCGAGGGTGTTGTGAAATTTTGTGCCTGGCCGGTCTACTTGATTTGAGCAGTCACGGGGGGTGGGGGAGTTCATGAGCAAAAAGTGGCAAGCAGTTTAGTCTTTACTCGTTCTGGGGAGTTTCTTATAGGAACACGTAATAGCGTGGAATGGAATTGTATTTTGAGAGAAGGGATCTGGTAGAAGATATCATTCATTCAGTCTTCTAGCTTGGAATAGCCGGAGCCGACCAGCAGAACCCGGCCATACCAGGGTCTCATTCCTTCCCAATCTTAATTTAGGCTCAAAGGCTGTTTTTTGTTGGAGCTTGGTATGAGGATAAATCCCCATAGGTAGTCGTAACCTCAAAAATGGTAGTTTTGGGGAATGGCAGAAAGCCCACGGTTAAAATCCGTGTAAGCGAGAATAGGTCCTCGGCGCAAAAGTAAGAGCGACACACATAGGCCGTTTCCCAAAATTCACGGATGCAGGAACAAGGACACCCTCAAGTCGCACATATGGCACCCCACCATGCAAGCGTTCCACCAAACAGACTGTGCGACCAAGAACATGAATCCCTCAGCCAGCAGAAGGTCGCTAGAATGACGAGCTTTCATTTCTCAGAAAGGTAGTACACAAACAAGATTGAGAGCTCTCCGTTAGCGAGCCTGCTGCTGAGCCATTTGGCGCCTGTAGTCAAGATTCTGCCTGCGCAGACCCTCAGATGCCAACTCAACATTGAGAATCGCCCCAGGGCCACGCTTCCACGTCTCTTCCAGACTGACTAGCTCACCTTGGCTCGCCTCCTGTGCAATTTTTCTCTGCTTATTCACCTCCTCAGAAGCCTCCTTCGTCTCTGCCAACTCCTTCTCAAGAGAGCCGAGAACTTCCTCAAGCTGCGAATTACCAACCAGCCAAGCGTTCTTGCCATACTCTTCCAGCAGACCCAGGCTCTTGTTGCGCTCGGACAAGTACGAGCATGACACATATGCCTGTTGTAAAATCTGGCCCGATTTGGCTAGATCGGGTGTCTCGGTGTCTGGTGTGGGAGTTGGTGCCTCTGGTGCTTCGTAACGGGATAGATCGATTCCTCCTGTGAGAGGTGCTCCTTGCGCTTTGCGCGAAATTTCTTGTTGCATGAATTGAGAAAATTTGGGTTCTGGCGCTTCCGGTATCCAGGGGTGCATTGTGGAGGCGTGCTCTGGGGATAGCTCTGCGTTGATGAGCTGCTGCGCTTGCGCTCGCGCGGACGCAGTGGGCGCTGCGTCGATATCTTAGAAGATTAGTGAGTTTGGTTCCAATGCATAGATCTTTTCCACCCTGAGTACATACATGGCAGCGAGTCATGCGATTCGTTGATTAACGGCATTTTGGAGTGAAGGTCTTGTATGAATGTCAAGACCAATAGTAGATTAATCTGAGAACCATTGCTATATGAAGGCGGTGACAAAGGCGGCGACACAAATGCAGCTGACTCAGCTAGTACGCGTCACGTGATTCTTCTATATCCATCGAGGTGAAAACAAACCAGGCGAACAGTATACCTGATCTGTCATGTAATCGATATATCTATGTTGTAATGTGATTGCGCTCAAGCTGTGATCGAGTCATGAGATACGTTGTGTATGTGGCTGCAGCAGAAACCAGGGTCTGGGAGTCCGGGGATATACTTGGACGAATGGTATTGCTCTCTAGGATGCTCCCAACTTGCACGATGATCCTATCCGGTTCGAACTGGTTTTACCCGAGGTCCCTGAAGACTAATGCAAGTCTCCAGCTCTCTGACTGGCTATACATCAAGGCAATTCAGTCTTCACCTGTGCAGTCACATCAGCACCTTCCTCCCGTGCGGGGGCAGTGAAAGTCCATCCCCTTTTTGGGTGTGCCGGAATTCAATGGATGACGATCCCAAGCCCTTGCACATCGCTTAGACGAATGTCACCTAAGCACTTGATGTACTTTCCACTAATGCTCAGCTTCGTTCCCAATCTTGGGGTACTTAGGCAATGATCGTATGTACTTGCAGCTAGCTCCTCTTCCCACTGTATTCCCCACTGCACTTGTATAAGAACCCATATCGCCCGAGGGGATTTCAGCTTCCCAAGGCTTTCGAAGGAGTCACTCGGCGCAGTCTTTCTGCTGATATCATAACAATATATATCTATATATCAATATATATATATATATATATATATATACATTGGCAAACCGTCCTAACAATGGCTAACTTTCGCCTGAGCGTTACTCTTGCTGGGGTGGCTCTTGGAGCGCTGGTGTTTTTGCAGCTGATTGCTGTATTCAAGCTCGATATCCAGTCGCAGGCGCCTTTGCCGAGCTTTAGTTCAAACTTCAACCAGTGGAAAAGCAGAGCAAACGCGGCGACAGCTGATGATATCTTTTTGGTAGGAGCAGGCAAGGCAGATGTGACTGGGTATCTTCATGCTTTATTTGGACATTCAATGTATTCAATTGGCTGATATATTTACTAGACCCGTTGTGGAGCTTGCCCTCGCTGGCTATGCTAGTTTGGACCAACTAGGCACTGGTCTAAAGCAGAGACTGTATTCTCGCGCCTTCATCTTCGCAGACCCAAACAAGCCCGATGATACTTTCGTGTACCTAGTTCTCGATACCCTTACGGGTGACACGGCCGTGCGACATGGTGTCCTGGAGGGTCTCAATGCACTCGGTGGAAAGTATTCAAGGTACGGTGAACACAACGTCGCAATGACGGGGACACATTCGCACTCCGGGCCTGGAGCGTGGATGAACTACTTGCTGCCTCAGATCCCGGCATTAGGTTTTAACAAGCAAAGCTATCAAGCCATTGTCGACGGTACTATTCTATCAATCATTCGTGCTCATGAAAACTTGGAGCCGGGTCGACTTTCTTTTGGATCCATCGACTTGCAAGACACCAATATCAATCGCAGTCCTTTCTCATACGATCATAACCCCAAGGAAGAACGAGCACGGTACTCTGCCAATGTTGAAAAATCGCTCTCGCTCATTCGGTTTGATCGCGAATCTGATCACAAAACAACGGCTGTCTTGACATGGTTCCCTGTTCATGGCACATCTTTGTACAACAACAACAGTCTGGTCAGCGGCGATAATAAAGGTGTCGCAGCCTACCTCTTCGAGCGCAGCGTCGAGGGCGATGCGAGGTTCACTGACGACGCCGTTATTGGATTCTCTCAAGCGAATGTCGGGGACACATCCCCCAATATCCTGGGGGCTTGGTGCGAAGACGGCTCTGGAGAGAAGTGTCGTTACGAAGATAGCACTTGCGGTGGCAAAAACGAGGATTGCCATGGTAGAGGTCCTTTCTTTCGTGAGAAGGATAACGGAGCGAAGAGCTGCTTCGAGATTGGGCGCCGCCAGTACTCCGCAGCAAAGAAGCTTTACGAAGAAATGGACACCACCTCTATCAAAATCACCGGAAGTTCGGCGGTGAAGGCATTCCATGTGTACCAAGATATGAATGGATACACTTTCCCCTCGCCGTTCAACTCCAGTATACTGACGACTTGTCCTGCGGCTATGGGGTACTCGTTTGCCGCTGGAACTACGGATGGCCCAGGTGCCTTTGACTTTACCCAGAATGCTACTGGACCAGCTGGACGAAACCCCCTATGGCAAGTTGCGCGTGCAGTTATTCATCAACCAAGCAAAAAGCAGCAGCAGTGTCAAAGCCCCAAGAACGTGCTATTGGATATCGGCACTCTGACTGAGCCTTATGCATGGGCCGCGGACATTGTTGACATCCAGGTCTTGCGAGTGGGTCAGCTGTTCCTAGTCATATCCACCAGCGAAGCTACCACGATGTCTGGACGACGCTGGAAAGAGGCTATTGCGAAAGGGGCAAAGAGTCACCTTTCTGTTTCCGATCCTCTTGTGGTACTGGGCGCCCCGTCCAACAGCTATGCTCACTACGTGACAACCGAGGAGGAGTACGGCGCTCAGCGCTATGAGGGCGCTTCCACACTCTACGGCCCAAACACACTAGCGGCCTATGTTAATCTGACTCTCACCTATCTGCCATATCTGGGAAGCTCCTCGCAAGTTGCCAAACTTCCAGCCATCCAACCCGGCCCTACCCCACCAATCAACACCAACCGTTCATTGAGCTTCATTGCGGGGGTTGTGTATGATGGAACACCCATTGGCAAACGCTTTGGGAACGTGATTTCAAACCCGGGGAGTGGACCATACGGGCCCGGGGATATTGTCAAGACGACCTTTGTGGGTGCCAACCCTCGCAACAATCTACATCTCGAGTCGACCTTCGCTGCAGTCGAAAGAAAGACCGATTCTGGTGCATGGAAGGTCGTGCGCAACGATCGCGACTGGAATTTGGTCTATACCTGGAAGCGGACCAATGAGGTTCTTGGCCACAGTGAGGTGACAATTCAATGGGAGATTGAGGATGAGTATTATAGTGTGGACACTGCGACCCCCCTGCAGGCTGGGACCTATCGGATGCATTATTACGGAGACTCGAAGAATGCTCTTGGCCAAATTTCGCCATTCGAGGGCATTGGTGGGACTTTCACAGTTAAAACTTCGTAGTCCGACTTATTTATAATATAGCGGAGTGACAAGTTGAATGAAAGGTGTCGAACAATCTGGCCAAAGTGCATGACCCCCGGAGTAACCAAGTCACAATAATTATATCTCAACTTACGCGCCCGTACACGTAGCAAATGAATTGGCCAGACCCATCTCCGTCGAAAAATCTACTCAGTCCATAAGTCAACATGTAATCTTCAATCAAATAATAAAGTGGTCCTACTCCTGCAGCTGGCCAATCACCACGCGTCATCGACCAGGGCTGGGCGCCTACTGCAACGTCTCTTTGTCGCGCGATCTATTTCTAGAGATTCTGTCCCACAAAGAGCCCCTTGCAATGGCGGTTACGTCTGAAACTGATGGTATTGGGCCACTGTAGATTTTATGGGACAACTTTCAAGGTTGAGAACAATGGGTGGCTGACAGGAAGCCCTAAGCCCAACTCGGCCCATGAAACCCCAAATGCAGATATACCAGCTGGGATCCTCGATGGCGAGGCGTTTGAAAGAAAAATCTCTTTCCTTTTGGAGTCTCAGGCTGCTTCATCTTGCCCCATTCTTTTTTTTCCCTTCGCTTCTGTGGTCCTTAGTGATCCAGCCATTCTTTCATTTGCAAGCCATCAAGACGCCTCCAGGCCTTGGATGCACATTAATTTCATAATATTTTCTTTGACCATGCTTTTCTATACGCGAGATTGTTTCCATCCTATTCGGGCGATCTATTATATCTCTATCTGAGCATCCGATTTTCTTTAACACCCTACTTTCTCCGTGGAAGTTGTGTCCTGGCGATCACTTCCAACACTCTCGTTTCTAGATCAGGATGCATCACTCCCAGTTCTTTTTGTTCCTTCTTTTGCCATGGATGGCTTTAGCTGGTCCGATATCTCGATTGCTATCTCAGTCATCGGAGGCACCTGAGTCATCCTCTTCTCTCCTGTTGCCAGATATCAAACGGCGTGAAGCTGGCGGTATCACCGAAATCACGCCTGTTGCGGGGCCTATTTCGGCGCCTACTCAGATACCATTTACGTACGACGAGTCAATAGTACCTTTGCCCTTTTCTAAGCCAATAAGCTATTAAGCTAACCGTCATGTAGAAGCCAATTACATCGCATGTGTTAACGACGACTCAGAACCCCACGACCTCCCTAGAGCCAACGACCTCTCTGGAGCCAACGACCTCTCTAGAGCCAACGACCTCGCTGAATCCATCGACGTCGCTGAATTCATCGACCTCTCAGTATGCACAGACTTCGCAGAAGCCAACAACCACCTCTCATGCGTCCACTACGACTCGGCGATACACACCCTCGTCCTCAAGCCCGGAACTGCCGCGTTCATCAAGTAGTCTCTCACCTGTCTATACAGTTCCCCTCTATATGCCAAGCATAGCACCCTCCTTTGATTCCTCAATCATACCGGGTGCATCCCAATCTTCATTGGCTGGGCTTTCAGATGCAACAAACAGCACCAAAGCCGCCACAGCCACACCGTCATCGATAGCACCACTACCTACAGTGCCCACAATACCTAAAGTTTCCACAACTAGCAGCCCAGCTGTGGGAGCCATTCCATCCTCAGGAGGAGCAAGCAGTAGCACTTCTTTCACATCCGCATCCACACCCATGATTCCAACCTCCAATCCCATCCAGCTAGCGAATTCTACGCAGGCAAAATCTACACCAGTACAGCCTGTCACATCAGGATTCAAGCCATTGATGACTGTAACCGAGCCTGTGATTGTCTATGTGACAAAAGGCGCACCAAGTCCATTTTCAACAAGCGTTGGTCACCACGCAACCAATGTCAAAAACTCATCGGTGTCGTCGGCAAATCTAACGGCAAAACCGTCTATTGAACCAACAACTACGTCTTTGAAATTTGTGACCATTCATTCCACAGCCACGTCGGTTGTTCATGTGACTGTTTACCCAACATCACCACCTGCTTCTTCGGCCTTGCTGGCCCCAACTGGAAATGCTTCGAGTGTCAATGCAGCGCCTATAGACAATGGCCCTGCGAATACAACGTCAGCTGTGCCCCTAACTGTCCAGTCGACAACATCATCTCTTCCTTCGTCTTTTTTGTTGTCGTCCTCAGAAGAGATTGCTCCTGTGGCGACAGCTCATGTCACTTCCACAAGTGTTGTTCCTCTGACAATTTATTCAACTACACCGTTATCTTCTTCTGTGTCCTTATTGCTACCATTCACAAGCGAGCTTGAATCTATAACAACAGTCCATGTCACTTCCACAAGTGTTGCTCCAGTAACAGCCTACTCGACAACATCGCCATTGCCTTTGTCGCCGTCCAGTGAATATGGTTCTACAGTGACAGTACGTGTCACCTCCACAAGTGTTGTTCCGGTAACTGTTTATTCGACAACATCGTCTCCTCCGTTGTTGCTGTCCAGTGAGACTGCTCCTGCAGTGACAGCTCACGTCACTTCCACAAGTGTTGCTCCAGTGACAGCCCACTCGACAACATCGCCATTGCCTTTGTTGCCGTCCAGTGAATATGGTTCTACGGTGACAGTACGTGTCACTTCCACAAGTGTTGTTCCGGTAACTGTTTATTCGACAACATCGTCGTCTCCTCCATTGTTGCCGGCCTTGAGTGAGACTACTCCGCATGAGACTGCCCCTGAAGTGACGACCCATATTACTTCGACAAATACCCTTCTCGTGACCCTTTCAGAGTCGGCTGCTACACGACCAGTGGAAACTGCACATACATTTGATCCCACATCTACCGTAGATGCCAATATCGCTACCACGACCTCCAAGCCAGGCAAAGGCATACTGACTGTGAATCCGGTTACACCGTCTGGCTTTATCACAATCACTGAGACCGAGACTGAGACCGAGACAAAGACTCAGACGGTAACAGATCGCATTACTGAGACTGTCACTGCCACTGTTACTCGAGATTGACTGTAAGATTGGGAGGAAGTTGTCTATATTATCTATTTCCTAATTATCAGACCTTTCTTTCGTGAGAGGGTACTTTTCTTTCGTATACAGACTATTTCCACTCTTTCAAGGAGGGAAGCTATTTTAAAGATATCTAAGAATGATAAATGAGGAACCCGCTGAAAAGACCGCCGAAAAGACTACTTAACAGCCCTGTAAAACATCACAAGACCTCACAAGCTCTCGGCCTTCTACTGTTGTAAGCTATATTACCGATATGTGACACTAATTCCATCACGTAAAGCCCTTCCTATTTAGATCCCCTATCGAAAAAGGGCTGGCGCAGTTAACGTGGCCGTTCGTTCTAGCGGTCTCCAAAGTAGATGCGGTATACTCGGCATATAAAAACCTGCGCGTAAAATGAAGGAGAATATGATTAATTAGAGAACTACTTTCACATTCACTGTGAGATATACGGTACTGACCAGGAATTGTACTGCGATGCATAGAGGATGAGTTGTGGCGACAAGGCAGTGACACAAACCCACAACTCTGAGGCTATAAGCCCTCTAGGACCATTGAGTCTTTCAAGTCGTGCCCATGGCACACCTCCCCTTAGGCGGATAGTTATCATCACAGCACAAAATGGTGGTTATCCAACACTTGTACCAGTGCGGAGATCAAACTCATGAAAATCGGCTCCGAGGTCTGAAAGCTGCTTGTCCGTCATAGGAAGCTTCCTATTCTCGCGAAGGGTATTTTAGATCCGTTCCATTGTTTGAAACTAGTTATCGGCGTAATTGAATGCTGGAGTGGAAGAGAAGTAGAGAGTATAGAGGAGTATAAGAATAACGATGGACACAGTATCATTGCCGCCAAACCGGTCCTGTGAAATTCGGCCATCGAATCGAATTTTCCTGGCCGATCTTTCATGGGAAGGTCAACTGGTATTGATGACGTTTTTGCCTGGAAGGACTCATAAAAGACTCCCTATGTAAGGTCGGTACATACCTTAGCTTTCGGTGTTATTGCATGCGTGATACTGGTCTGTAAAGATCATTGCCAATCTAAAGCCGTACAGGGCTGTGTGCTATCACTCCCATGGTGCATCCCCTCAAGTCTCAGGTAAACACGTACAATCGAATCTTATAACCACAAATAAACATCGACTACCTCTACCTCGCCTTCCACCTAACCCTCCCAACCCACATAGCCCAATCCCGCACATCCTCTCTTTCACAAATTCGCTCAACAGTAAACCACTCTCTAGCTAGCTCCTCATTAGTCGCCATGCGATGCACAAAACTATGACAAGCGCGACAAAGCCACGCCACACTATTCAACATCCACTCATCATGCCACCCTTTCTTGAGAACCTTGGCATGCACCCCGCGCGGGATCAAATGGTGATACGAGAGCGGGATCCAGTCACGTTCGCAAATCTCGCATGCATCCGCGCGCGTGCTCGCCCAAGCCGGCGGGCCAGTCGTCACGCTCGATGTGTACTCTGTCAGCACAGGTGCGAGGAAGTCCAGTAAATCTGCTGCGTCGGGTATTATGCCGTAAACGAGTAACGAGTCGGTCACGCTGACTGGGATTGGGGAAAAGAGCGACTCAAGTGTGGCGCGTGGGAGGGGGGTGTCGGCGTCTGGGGGAATGTAGAGGGTTGATAACGTTGGGTCATGCTGAATGGCTGCGTAGCTTAGGGTTTGGAGGGAATTTGGGAAGGTAGTGAAGGTTTCTGAGGCTAGGAACTGGGGTTTGTTAGCTTTGGATCTTGTTAGTTCTTGACTGTAGTGTGTAGATTTCGTTGGGCCTGAGGGCTAGTCGCTTTGCGCTTGATTGGCCTGGTTGGGTGTATGTACATCAACAAATTCAGCGAGTTCTTCGGGGTCTGCTCTCACAGTGGAGACTGTTGACGCTGTTGTCACAGTTGTTACGTCTTTGCGCTCGGTGCGTTTGCCCTTGGGCTTCCGTCGCATTGGCTTTGGTTTTTCCTCAGAGCGGGCCACGATGGCATTAGACAGACATTCGCGGAATACAGCATAATTATCATTGGAAGTCATTGGAATCTGACTGGGAAGAGTCCTGAATATTGCCCCTTGATCTCGGAGAGGTTGGGCAGAGAGTCTGTTTTGCCCCACGGAAGATTGACATCATCAACTTGCATTCTTCAGCCTTAACGGCCTTGGCTTACCCGCTTATCTGTTCCAAGGTTATTCTATCATGGCAACCAAGACAATTGTCGCTTTTGATCTATATGGCACTTTATTGTCAACTGAATCGATCGTTAAACAACTTGAGAAACACTTTGACAATGCCAAGGCGCAGTCGATCTCGTCGCTCTGGAGGCGGTATCAACTGGAGTACACATGGAGATTAAACAGCATGGGCAAGCCATCCTTTTAAAACTTAGTGCTCCAAGATATTGACAATCAACAGGCCGCTATGAAGAGTTCTCAGCCATCACACGTAACTCACTGATACACGCGCTGGCCGACAACAACGAGCAGCTAAGCAACGACAATATCGAACACTTCATGCAAGCTTATGACAGTCTCTCTACGTTTTCTGACGTGGATCCAGCTTTGAGCCACATAGCTGCAGACCCAACCATCCAAGCCGTGATATTCTCCAATGGGACAAGAAGTATGGTATCCAACTCGATGTTGCGGTCTAGGGACCTTTCGCCGCACGCGAGTGTCTTCCAAGACATCGTCACCTCAGACAAAGTCAAGCAATATAAGCCATCACAGGCAAGTTACAAGCACCTAGCAAAGCAGACAGGCCAAGACCCATCACATATGAACAAACTTTGGCTGATTAGCGGCAACCCTTTCGACATTGTCGGGGCGCGCGCTGCAGGCATGCAAGCTATATGGGTTGACCGTGTTGGTACGGGATGGAGGGATGCCATGGCTCCAGATCTACGGCCAACGGCCATTGTGCACAGTTTGGAGCACATTGTGAACGAGATTCATAGACATCGGCTTTAAGCCGGGACGTCCAACATGGAACTTCTAAGAAAGGCTCCAAGCACCAGTACATGCTTGAAAAGAGGAATGTACAGCTGAATATATTCCAAACGCTCCACGCTTGAGTAGAAGAGTCTGGGGTAAGCCAGCGGATTTGGTCTTTCCTCCCATTTCCCCTCCAGAACAGTGATTGTAACAAAAGTTCAGAGTGAATAGGGAGGAGTTCAGTTTATGTGAAGAAGAAAAGAAAAAGGGCGCTCGGCGAAAAATTTCTTGATGAAATAGTACCAGCTTAGTCATCATAGCTGATATCCATAGATCACGTGAAGGCTTATCGATAAGGTGCTGCCTACCTACTTTCGAACTTGTCCATCGCCGTTGGCAGGGATTCTTTGAAGTTGGGAACTTGCAAGCCATGTCGCGATTCCTGGATCCTAGCCGGGCTGCTTGGCTGTATCCTCTTTGGGTATGTTATTATAGGAGATTCTATAGCTCCAGGACTAATCTACATAGGGAATTTACTATTTTGCGTCAAATCGGTTCCTATGGCCTCTCTTCAAGGCCCGCCTTCTCCCCATCGTCCTTCTTTCGTCCTTCATATACTTTATCCTCTTCTTTTTTGCTTACCTGCCCCAAGTTGCCTTCCTTGCTATCTTTCAGGGTAGCTCGGCATGGGTAAGCGGCGCATTCCTGGTGCTTGGTGAAGGAGCAGCGATCGTTGCCGCACTCTTCGAGGCATTCTTTGTCGATGAGGCTCTAGTGGATATCTTTGATGCAGTTTTGGTAAATGAGGGCCTGGAGGAGCTTGTTACCACCTCGCGGGTCATTTATCCTGAGCCCGGGGACCCGGCCAAGCGTCTGGGTACGCCGACCACCAGTGCCGTGTACTCTCCATTTTCGTTCCGGCAGATCGCCGAGTTTATAGTTCTGCTTCCGCTTATCTTTATTCCGGTAGCCGGCACCCCTATGTTCCTAGTTTTGACTGGCTATCGTGCCGGTCCCTTCCATCACTGGCGTTACTTCCATCTGTTGGACATGTCCAAACAGCAGAGAAAGGAAAGTATTCGTCGGCGTCAGCTGCAATACACCACGTTCGTCACATCAAGTCACTCTATCGATATGAGATCTAACACAATCTAGCTTTGGAACGGTGGCTCTGATCCTCCAGCTAATTCCTCCTTTCTCTATGTTATTTTTGATGACAACAGCTGCTGGCTCGGCACTTTGGGCGACGGACATTGAACGCAAGCGACGAGCTATCCACCAGCAGTCTAGTCGACTGGGTGAGCAATACCATGACGATATTATGCCATGATCTGTGAATGATACATCTCTTTCGGGTTGACCGAGATTATTGCAAAATGCGCCTAATTTTCCATTTATAGTTCCCAATATAGGCGATTTATGCGACACCCTTGGTCTATGCTATGAAGAGAAAGCCGAGAAAATTCCAATATCCTTTGGTAAACGCGATTGTAATTCCCTCTGATTAATTTCGTAGGAAAAAAAGGGTGCATAGCTTGTTAGATCATGAGTGACACGTGACTGCGCCTCCGCGACGTGCTTTTTCTTTTCTTTTTTTTTTGGCGATTGTATTCACAGTATAATATTACAATTTTCATCCCTAGCAAAGCATTAGAAATGCCTGATAGTTGTCCTTTGCACAGCTCAAGTACCCCAGATTTTCCTAGAGGTTTGACCCGCTTAGCAATCCGGAAGTGTGACCCCCGGACTTCGAATCAGAGATCCGGATCTCTTCCCGAGGTTTCCAGAGCTTCAGCTTTTAAAGTTGCTGGCTTTATTTCCGACTTTCGGGACTGGGATTTCCGCATTCATTGTGTTCAGAGTGGAACCTGCAGCCTAGATGCTCTGACTTGGCTTTGGGCCGATGAGCATGCCCTGACGGTTCGCGGCGTGGTCATCCCGGCAATTTGCTAATGGACCTGAAAACGAGGCTGCGCAAGGCCTGTGATGCCTGCAGTATTCGAAAAGTGAAGGTATGGCTTTTTTTTGTCAAAGTCTGCGGGAAATTACTCATTTTTATGCAAGTGTGATACCAGTGGGCCACCTTGTCGGTCGTGCGCTAGCTTAGATATTCCCTGCACTTATGAAAGACCGAGCAGACGCCGCGGTCCTCCCAACCGCCATGCAGAGGCATTTAAGAAACAAAAACGGGAGCCTGAAGATGCAGCGTCGCTGAGCCCGACAGACTATCCGTCGGCGGCGACTCCCCTGGCAACGCCATTCACCAACCCCCAATCTACATCGTTCCCCCTTTCGGTGGAATCAATTTGTTCTTTGCACACGATGCAAATGCTGCTTGATGACTTTTTTACTTACATTCATCCTTTGGTCCCAATTCCACATGAGCCTTCTTTTCGGGCAGCCTTTGAGCGTCGGGAAGATGTAACCAATCACACATTTTTGGCACTACTGGCCTCAATGATTGGACTCCTAGTGGTTTCCTTTCCCCGACGTCCTAAGCTTCGGCTCAACACTGAAGCTGAGCGCACCGCTTTTCCCAATTCTATAGCTCTAGTAAAGCGGTGCCTTGACGTTGCTATTCAAGCCCGCGGGACTGGATACCTTGATCGCAACGCCACAGTCTATGACGCGGCGATCAGCTATTTTCTCGCTGTATGTTCCGGGTATATTTACAACATGCGCCGGTGCCGTGTGTACTTATCGGAATGCCGAGCCATGCTCCAAGTGTATGATCTTTGCCGGTCTCCGACCACCACCAACCGCTCGTCCTCGACACTAGGGCCCGTTAGCCCACTATCATCGGTGTCAATAAGGGCGCATGATCAATTACCACATACTTTCACGGAAGCCCAAGGCGTCGACCTCATCACTCAAGAACTTGGACGGCGTCTATTCTATGTCACCTTAGTCGGATATCAGACATTACACCAGATGGGCTCTTCAGATATCAAGGTTCATGTTCCTCCAGAGACACCAACGGACCGTTATCCACCACTCCCGCTGGAGATCGACGATGAATTCTTATTCACAACACACGTTGAGCCGCAGCCATCAGACCGAGTTTCACAGCTAGTCGGGTTCAACGCAAACGTCCGCGTCTACAGCTCATATACTGCCCTGCTAGCTTGGGAAATAGCATTTGGTAGTGGTCAAATATTTGACTGGGAACACCAGCGCAACAGCATTTGGAACTGTCTCAAACAGGCAAAATCTGCACTAATCGATGTTCCTGCCGAGTTATCTCTCTGCCATTCCCAACACATATCCCCGGCGGGTTTATCAGGTCTTGGCGGAGATGACACAATCTTCAGTTACTCGAATGATCACATACACCAAGAACGACGTGCTATACAGTATGAGATACAGAAAGCCAATATTTACGCCAGTCAACTATCCACCAGGTCCTATCTGGTTGAGAAGTACTGGAGCCTTTTCGAAACGTTTTCAAAGTACGGAAATTCACCTACATTCACTACCCCGGACAGCACTACGCCACATATCAAAATCGAAGGAGGGCCCAATCCGGCACCTAATACGACTGCTACCGGCGCAGCGCCGTCAGAAACCAACACCCAAGCTCAGCCCCCCCAGCACCCCCCCACACACGGACTATATTGGCTGCATGATGGCCGAAGAGCGCAAGCTGGTCATCAAAGATCTCTTCGTGCTGCTACGAACAGTGAATGAGGTGAACATGGAGCCGAACGGCGCAAGCATTGTACGCTATAGACCGCTATTTACCACTACTCGTGTTTGAACTAACAAAAGGACCCTCCAATAGACCAATAAAATCCGTCAAGTGGCATCCACTCTCCTAAGCCTCTCCCACCGGCCGAATCAATCGGCAACCGAAATCCCAAATCTCACCACTACTGCCGCACCATCACCATCACCAACGGCCGTCCCACCAGGCCACATCCTCACTGCCACAGAGGCGGAGTCCTACCTACAGGCATTCATTGAGACGCTTGTCCGGCTTGAATGTCATTCACCCATGAGTGATGCAGCCAGTCCTACTGACGGCGTCGGCCCGCAGATGAACGGCCGCGCTATGAGCTATCTCAGTGATTATGAGCGAGATCAAGAAGAATTGAGTCAGTGGGCGAGCTTGAAAGAGTATCAGCAGAAGTTTGCGGAAGCCGGTGGTGTTTTGTATCAGTTGTAGCGTTTTCAGCATCTTCTTCGTTTTTTTATTCCCCCGTCAATATTCGTGTGTATTACTTTGGGATAGAAAGGCCAGCGGCCATGGCGCGTTGGGGCGCGTTGGACCACGAATGAATGTCATACCCTTCATAATTGAAATATGAAAACACGAACAAACTTATGCTTGATATGCTCTCAACATTATGGCCCTCGTCACCCTGAGCTAGCTGGACTGGATACTCAGAAATCGACTTCGACAGTTTCGCATGAGTGCAACAAAGCGGCGGCTATAGTCTTAGCATGTCACAGTCCTGCTCCTGCTTTGTGAAAAGCAAACGCCACATACGAACGGCGGACTATTGTTGTTTTGCATAGAAGAAGTGAATTATAATGCGGCCATTCGGCCATGATATTTGAGAATTTACACATGCGCTGCGACAGTACCATCCTCCTCAATGACAGTGATCTTTTGCCTTTCTTCCGGTCCCTAGTACATAGAGATGCAACAACGCCCAGACCCTGAATGCAAGTCAACCACATCGAGAGAAAAAGGAAAATATAATACAAAATTTGAATGAAGATCATGAGGGGAATAGGGAGTGCTAGATGGAACAAATAATACAAGCGATCATCACGACGCACAGATGTTAAGATCACCGAGTATCTCACAGATAGCGCTTCTCAGAGATCTCTTCGTAGCACTGGACATGGTCACCAGGTGCGAAATCTGTCCAATTCTCGAAAGCGATGCCACATTCTGTGTCTTTGCGCATTTCAATGACGTCTTTCTTGACGTTCTTGAGGGAGATCATTGTGCCTGTTGTGAAAGTTAGATTGGTCCAGGTTGTTCGTTTTAAGTTGCTTGTGATATGCTTACCATCGTAGACTATCTCGTCCCCGCGAAGCACCCTGACCTTGCGAGTTTTGTTGATCAGACCGTTGCGCACACGACTTCCAGCAATGGCTGTCTTTTCACGTCCCTTGACAGTGATCTCGAACACCTGCTGGATTTCAGCTTCTCCAGTCACACGCGTAGTGATTGTTGGAGGTAGCTTTTCACTGAGAATGGACTTGATATCATCAATCAGTTTGTAAATGATGTTGTGGTCCAGAATCTCGACGCCCTGCGTCTCTGCAATACGCATAATATTAGGCTCAATAACCTGGTTGAATGAGATAATCTTGCCCTTGGCACTGCCAGCATGTTCGATATCGAATTCGCTGACTGGGCCAACACCTGAACGGATGATATTGGCAAAGACTTCGTTGTTCCCGACTGCCGCAACAGAGTTCAAGACTGCCTCCACCGAGCCGTCTACGTCGCCCTTCAGGACGAAATTGACCGACTTGGGCCCAGTTGATTCAACTCCATCTATTGTTTCTTCCTCTTCATTCTCGCGCCTGCGCTTGTCGAGAAGCTCGCGCCGAGCCTCATTGATGGCAACCATATCGATACCCATCTTCTGGGTATCAGACCGCTCCAAGCGGTAGTCCACAACGTCCTTGGCTTTCTGCTCATTTGGTGCCTGCAGGATTTCGGTGCCAGCACCTGGCTGCTCTCTCCAACCATCAATTTCGACGGGCATTCCAGGCGTGGCTTCACTAATGGACACACCAGCTTCATTACGGAGGGTGCGGACACGAGCCCATGCGGTACCAGCAACAATAATATCGCCTGGCCGCAGAGTTCCACGTCGAATGAGGGCGGATGCTACTCGACCATAACTCTTCGTAGAGGCCTCGATGACCCAGCCTTCGACGTTACACGTGGTGGCTGCCCGGTGGTCAAGCAGTTCTGAGAGCGCAACAATGGCTTCTTCCAGCTCGACCATTCCTTGTCCGGTTTTGCCGCTGACGCCGATGGCCTGCACGTCACCTCCATAGTCCTCCACATGAATACCATGAACAGAAAGATCACCCTTGACTCGATCAGGGTTGGTGCCCTCCTTGTCAATTTTGCTGATGGCGACAATGACGGGAACCTTAGCTTGGGTGGCGTGCTTGATGGCCTCGATTGTTTGCGGCTTGACACTGTCGTCCGCAGCAACCACAAGCACCACAATATCGGTCACATCGGCACCTCGGCGACGCATTTCCAAAAATGCAGAATGGCCGGGGGTATCAAGGAAGGTAATGGCTTTTCCGGAAGGCATCATTACGGAGAATGCACCAATGTGCTGAGTGATACCACCATGTTCAGACGCTGCGACAGATGACTTGCGCAGCCAATCCAAAATAGTGGTTTTGCCGTGATCAACGTGACCCATGATAGTGACCACAGGTGGCCGAGATGGCAGATCGGATGTGTCCTCTAGTTCAGGGGCAGCGTGTAAATCTGCCTTGCCACTGTCGAAGATGGCCTCGTAGTTGAACTCGGCTGCCACTAATCCGGCAGTTTCTGCATCGAGAACATCCTTGTAGGTAATTTCCTCGAACCCCATCTCCTCCATTCGCTGCACAAACTGCGCCGGTCGCACGCCGATGACATCGGCCAAGTTGCTAACACTGATAAATTCGGGAAGGTAGAGAGGGGCCGGTGCTGCTAGCGCGGCGGCCTTCTTTGCAGCCCGTTGGGCATCTTTCTCTTTCTTCTGGCGTCTCCGCTCTACGCGTAGTCGCTCGCGATCTTCCGAGTCAAAATCAGCCCCATCGGAAGACTCGTTCTGACGTCCCTTGCGTCCATCACGGCGCTTCATAGGCTTCGGCAGCTGCTGTTCTTGTGCTTCTAGGTTTTCTAGATGCTCCAGAGCAGACATGTCCCAAGACCATTGGTTCTTCTTAAAATCTTCTGCTCCCTCTTTTGTCTGGGGTCGATCGGATTCCCCTAAATCGTGCCCTGTGGTTTCTGTTGTTTTCGACTCATCTTGTTCCAGCTCGGATAACACCGAATCCCCTAATCGCTGGAACTTTGAGGGAGATCGAGCCTGTTTAAGGTGTGTATGCCCGGGAGAGTCGTTGTAGTCTCTGGTCATGCGGAACTTTGGCTGGGCATCGTCGGGTCGAGAGGTTTTACAGAATGGGCATACTTTCTTTGTGGCAAAAACTTGTGCCATGCACTGAGGGCATTTCCAGTCATCGCGGGCCATTGAATGGTCCCTAGTCGCCCTGCTCTGATACTGGCTCGGGAATCTGTTTGGTGTCTTTCCAGCGACGAAGGGGTTATCTCCTTCAAACGCCGGGTTTGTTTCGCGAGCAGACGTATTTCTTTCCTGATAAGGTGGACCCCCTCTTGATCGCTTCACGTATCCACTTGAATTCTCTTTTTCAAATGGGTTACTTTCTTGAGTGAACGAGTTTCTTTCCTGGTTCCGTGAGGTTCCTCTCGGCCACCTCATGTAGTTACTGGTATTCTCTTCTTCAAACGGATTCTTTTCTTGGGCAGACGAATTTCTCTCCCGATTCCGTGGGGATTCTCTTGACCACCTCATGTGGCTACTTGAAACCCTTTCTTCGAGCGGACTCTTATCTTGGGTGGACGGGTTCCTCTCCTGATTCTGTGAAGGTCCTTTTGTTCCCATCATGTGTCCCTGATTGTCTCGAGGGCTCACGCGCCGCATGAACGGTTTCCTCTGCTGGTTTGATTGCTCTGGCTTCCATTGCTGATTTGGCTGCTCTCGGTTGCGTTGTGATGGTGCAGGTGCAGGTGGCGGCGACGGTTGACTATTGGCGACAAGAGTTTGGCGCATCGCTTGTTCTGCGAAACTCAAGCCCGTCGATGGCGTAGTATGCTTAGGACCCCACCGGCTGCCGAACTTGGGCTTCGTCTGCGCTGGATTTGGAGCGGCACCATCATCATTTCCAGTTGATTGATCTGACGAGCTCCATTGCGCCGTGGACGACCTTAAGGCCCGTCGAACTGTGAGGGCTGTTAAAGAGGGTGTTCGGTAGACTGAATTCGACCATTCAGCCCGACGCGATAGCTGTAGTTTCAGTCAGATAATGTCTCGGTGATTAGCGACTGTAAGCTTACCCTGCATACTGGCCGACGATGCATCATGCACTAGTCTCTCCACATCTAGATCCGTCAACACTTTTTTTTCCCTTTGCAGAAGTTCAAGAAGACGAGAGGGCTTATGTCACTGCTTAGGTCAGCTGTGGGTCCCGCCCGTTCCTGCCCAGACACTAGTTGACTAAAGTCAGCCCGCTTATGTAAGATTCCCGTCGGAAAAGTCACGTGGCTCGGCATTTTCATCGAATCAGAGGGCAGATGGCGCAATAGCGATAAGCGGGCTGGATATAAAGTCTGGAGTCTCCAGATTGTGTCCCTGCCGATACTTTTGGTCCAATTATCTATCACTCTAAAAACATGGAGACTGAGGTAATTGACATGATGGACAAGGGTGGCGGTGCCCTCCGCACCGTCAAGGATTTGGCAGCGGGCGCAGTGGGTGGAATGGCCCAAGTTATGCTCGGTATGTGTGCAACCTACTTTGTTTGAATTCTCAGGGAAAGCCATGGACGTCAGGATATGAGAATGTGTCATAACTGGTAGTTCTTTTGGGGGAAAATATTTCAAACATGCAAAATCAAAGCAATTGCTAACGAAAAACTAGGCCAACCCTTTGGTATGTGATCTGCTCAAAGCACAGGAGCCACTGGTTAACAATTTGGCAGACATCGTCAAGGTGCGCCTACAAACTACCACTCAATACAAGAGTGCAGCAGAGTGCGCTACCCAGATCTTCAAGAAGGAAGGTCCGTCGGCCTTCTATAAGGGCACACTGACCCCGCTTATCGGTATCGGTGCTTGTGTGAGATGCCCTTGCAGCCAGAGTCCATTATAGACGATTTCTCTAACCGATTCAGGTGTCTGTCCAATTCGGCGCCTACCATGAGGCGCGTCGCCGTTTGGAAGAGCTGAACAAGAAGAAATACGCCAACTCGGCCCTTTCTTACACCCAGTACTACATCGCCGGTTCATTCGCCGGTCTTACCAATTCCGTGCTGTCAGGTCCAATTGAGCATGTGCGTATTCGCCTGCAGGCACAGCCTCACGGTGCCGGCCGTCTGTACTCCGGCCCCATCGACTGCGTGAGCAAGCTAGCTGCACAGGGCGGCGCCCTCCGCGGTATTTACCGCGGCCAGGTAGTTACTCTCCTCCGTGAGGCCCAGGCGTACGGTGCTTGGTTCATGGCCTTTGAGTTTATGATGAACCAGGATGCCAAGCGTAACAATGTCAAGCGTGAGGATATCTCCAAGGCTAAGATTGCCACCTATGGTGGTCTGGCTGGTGAGGCTCTCTGGCTCTCCAGCTACCCGCTCGATGTTATCAAAAGTAAGATGCAGACCGATGGATTCGGTGCACAGCAGAAGTACAGCACCATGCGCGACTGCTTCAAGAAGACATATGCTGTTGAGGGTCTCGGTGGTTTCTGGAAGGGTATTGGCCCTACTCTGCTGAGAGCTATGCCTGTTTCTGCTGGAACATTCCTGACGTATGTTGACCCTTTACTTTGCCCCGTTCATAATCCTTGTGTTTCTAGAATTGCAGCTGACCCACCTCTCTAGTGTCGAGTTGGCCATGCAGGCACTCGGTTAATGGTCCAGTGAGGGCACATTTTATGATGAAAGTTGACGCATTTGGTTTTTGTTCGGTTTCACTTGAATTCTTTGATATCCAGGGCTCTTTAAATACCCCACCGTTGAATGGAGGTCCGCTACGAAAGTGAACGGCATTTCAAAGCTTATAGAGATCTATTATCCATGTCTGGCACTGATCAATTGTGAGGTTAGATATACGTATACAGTGTTTCCAAATTAGAGTTAGGATTTCCATACGGCCAATGACAAGTCCCCAAAGAGACAAAGAGACCCTAACAAGCAGTAGGAAACAAGCCAAACACACCGGGGAGGTTACTTCAACAACAAATCATACTGCTACAAGGTACTGGATATCTGCTCGTGCGTCAAACAACCCCCGAACGGGACATATAGCCGCAGGGCCCTCCGACCTTAACTGTTGTGTCTCCTGTACTACACTTCTTAATAACCTTCGAAATCTGCAAGTAAATCCGACCAGTGCCAGATTGACTGCCACTGGCTTCGGCCATACTGTCTTACCTACAAGTACGACTGCACGTCTTGTCTAGTTCCGTAAGAGGGGACACTCCCAGGAGCAAAAGATATGAGAATACGCATTTAGCCCAGACGAAGTCGTTGCGTATTTTAAGACGCCTGAGTCAGTGGGAATGGATCGAGACTGGAGGTAATGGCACTAGCTTTAGGTCAACTGTAATCACGAATCAAATATATACCGGGTATTTTGGGTATCTCCGATGAACTGGAAGCAAGTAAGCAGTAGATAAATACATAATTGAGAGGTTCGGTGTTCTTCTCAAAGATTTTGTATACATGAAGTTTAGACTGGAGAGAAGAGCTCTGATGTTGGGAGGTTGATGTTTGGTTAAACGCCTGAGGCATTCTGAGGCATTCATGCAGCAGCCTCGGCAGGCAAACCCTGATGTCATCTGTCCAGGTCATCGTCAAGTTATCCTGCCTCGACCTTCCCAATTGCAACAACTATGCTTTGTGGTCATATTTGAATGTCCCGGTGAATTTTACTTGTGTATTTTAGAATAGATCACCTGCTGCGCGAATCTCGCCTTATGCTTACGACCATGGCCACATCTGCCGCACGACCTCCCACTCTCCTATCGGCCGTCCTCCTCATATACCCTGCGACACTATTACTGGGGTCTTTGTTCTCAACAATATCCCCAACAGCACGTCATTCCAGAGACCCGTTCAGCTCTTCCTCACCCCCCGCAAGCCCTCTGGCCCCATCCCTGGCTGCAGACCTGCACCTATCCGAAGGCCCCGTCAACTACTTCGCCCGAAAAAATAATATCTTCAATGTCTACTTTGTGAAGATTGGATGGCTATGGACCACAGCTGCCTTTGTCTCGCTCCTCATATTCCAACCTTCATACTCTTCATCTCGCCGGGAATCTTCCGCACAACAAGAAGCACGTTTCCGACGCATCCTCCAAGCCATTCTACGTTACGCACTCATCACAACAGTATGGTATCTTGCAACGCAATGGTTCTTCGGCCCAGCAATCATTGATCGCGGATTCGTGGCCACGGGCGGCAAATGTGAACGAGCCCTCGATGAGGCCGGGAAAATGGCCGCTGGCCAGAGCAGCTCCACCAACCTAGAAACACTATTCACGGCAGCGACGTGCAAAACTGCCGGTGGCGCATGGAGGGGTGGTCATGATATCAGTGGACATGTGTTGATGCTAGTTTTGGCCACGGGATTCCTGGCTTTTGAGGCTGTCGGGGCTAGCGCACCAGCCTGTTTGTCACGTTTCAGTTCTGCTGGAGACGTGGGACGTGAGCGCAAGGCCAGTGATGCGGATAATACTCCAGTGGCCGATTCAACCGAGACTGGTGGGTTCGCAGAAACGTGGTCACTCCGTCTTGTCTGGGGCGTTGTTGGCCTGGGCTGGTGGATGCTCTTCATGACCGCAATCTGGTTCCATACTTGGTTGGAGAAGGTATGTGAATTTTGGCGAAATTCTGCCACGGCATGCATTTCGATTGGCTGACAGTTTCTCTAGTGGTCTGGTTTGCTCATTGCCTTGAGTGCTGTGTATGCTATCTATATACTCCCGAGACGAATAGCACCCTTGAGGGATGTGATTGGACTTCCGGGAGTATAGATATCCGTCTTGCCACGAGACCTGATTCTTAGCAGCTGTGAATATACCGAAGTGTAATGATAGATTGCATTGTCTTGAGCATGGAGCAATGCTCAAGCCGTCTTCATCTTGATGTTGAAATGATTATACGTGGCAAGTTCGCCTGTACATGTTATGCTTTCATGCCTATGTTGTGCATCGTAGAGTGATAAGCCCAACATGTCTACGTCGTCTAATCATTCCCATGCATCCCCACCATGATTCGAAGCGCAGCATTGGCGGCACTGGTGGTAGCACTATCATTGTCAACGGCCACATGGTAACGGGTCACTGGGATAGAACGAGAGAAACTAGACGAAGACTCCGCCAGGAAATTGACCCCCCTACGACCGAGTATGCAAATCGTGTTAGCACTCGATCCTGATCCTGATATCAACGGAACGCTTTGTATGATCTGCCTACCTGGAGGATGATAATGGAAAATTGAATTACCGTAGTGTGGTAGGGTGAATTTAACGATTCTGTGTTGACAACCCATGGGCCCTAATATCTTCGCAGAAGTTCGTCAAGTCAAGCTTTCCCATGTCTTCATGAAAAACAAGGGTAGACGGCCGATTATGCGGCCATATGATGTCTTTTTTACAGAGCTCTTGAGTGGTCTTCTCAGACATCTTTTAAGATAATTCCTCCTCTCCAGTCTTATAGGTAGACGGCGGGAAAAGGAGGGGAAAGCATACTCCGTGCAGGACTCTTCTATATGTATAACTTCTGATCTCCTACATAGCACCCCACTGAGAGTCATTGCCCTACTCGTTGATTCTTATAGAACAGCTAGTCTATTCCCAAAATACTTGGGAGTCCGGAACGAGGCTGTTCACCTCTCTGAATTTTTATCATTTCCAGAGTGTTGGTGTTGGTTCCTGTCCCAGAAATCCTGCTTGAAATGCTGAAAAGGGTCAAAATACCGAACTCATCATATGGGATAGTTTCACTCACCACCTGGGATCAATGCAGACGCATACATCACCCGCGTGATAGGCCTCAAGTCCACTGGTGTCAGATCATCGGATATAGATAGCTGCATGTACGGATCCCAAGCAGCAATGATAGCATCGGAGTAGCATTTCAAATCCACCGAGCGTTCTTTTTCAGCGTTCACCTCGGACTGGCATTGGATGCCCATGCAGGTACCGAATTCGCGAAAGGCCAACCGGAATCGGATATTGCGCTCCAAATACTGATTGATCTCGAACAAGTTGTCTGGACTCAGCCCCAGTCAGCTTGGTTCTTATCATATATTTCTTCAGGATGGACACAAAGGCGACTGACATATTTGCTCGAAGCATTTTCCCGCCAGGTCAGCAGCCCATGTCTCTCGCTCAGAAAACCAATGTGCCGTCCATAAAGTCATACCCAAATCCAGTGGATCACTTGAAACAAAGTGCTCTCCTTTGCGCTCCATCGTGCGTCTATAGTCCTCAATCTCCTCGGTCAAGACCGCGCCATCACCTGCTTCCATGGCTGTAGCCTGCAGGAGTCGAAAAATAACAAAGCCATCAATCGGATCAAGATTACCCTCTGACTTGACCATTGGCTCTGACAGATCCATGCTCATTTTCCATATCATTCTCGGCCGAGCCGCCGCGCGATCCACAAAGAACCTTGGGTGTATTGCCTTTGCGAGCTCTGCAGCTTGCCTGTTGTACTTCACATCCCCCGATGCTTTGGCCATTCGGTTCAAGGCAAACATCCAAACCGTGAGGTAATGATGATATTGCCCATCGCCGTCCGGACCATGAGCATCTGTCTTGCCAATTCTCAACCCACCGCTTAGTGGGTTTGTGTCTGTCGCTCCTCGCAGTCTTGAGCGGCCATCTCGCGTTTTACCCAGAACGTCATGGACAGTCTCAATTAGACGAGCTGCCAGTATCAGATAACGGTCGTCACCAATGGTGTCATTTCCAGTCCGTCTATACTCGCTATGCATCGTGAGAAAATTGACAACCCCAAAGGCATCTGTCCATAGGTATCGCCCCCGGTGGCCACCCGACCTTGGTGGTGGAGTCCACTCTGTTGGATCGTCAATGCTGCTAAAACTCCCATAAAGAGATTCCATGGCCTGTCCGAAGCGGTCGAGGCGTGGTGACGGACTGCATATTGGGAGAGCCATTGTCGAGGTTTGTGCCTTCGAAACAATTTGGGCATATGCGTCGGTGCCGGGATGAACTTTTGCTTGCCTAATAGTGTGCCGTTTTAATAAGAGGAGATGTTTGAATAAGAGCAACCTGGACGACTGCATCTGTTATCGATTTGAATCTCCAGATGTCATTTATTCTATTATCATCGGAATTGAAGCTCGGTAGTTTGCCTTCAACGATGAAGTCATGATGACTGTTTACCTGGCGGGAGGTAAATAATTCGCTGGGAAAAGCCCCGAGAAAATAAAGATCATATGTTGTATCGATGAAAAAAGAACAGAAATGTTATGGGTAATGTGGGACCTTTCAGTTTCAACATACTCATCTACGTGAGACATTCCATGTGAAGATATTCACAACCACGGCTTAACCGTTCATGCGATTGGCATCTATATTCCGAACTTCGAAAAAGATGCCTCAGCTACAGGAGCTTTTCAATTCAGCAGTGCAGCCCCTGCCTGTAATCGAGGACAAGAACTTCGCATCTCACTTCGATACATTTGCGGGTAATCAAGTGATTCTCCTAGGCGATGGCAGTCATGGAACATCTGAGTTCTATTCTGCACGTGCAGAGATCACAAAGCGACTCATTGAACGACATGGCTACACTATGGTCGCAGTCGAAGCAGACTGGCCAGATGCAGAAGCCATTGACCGATACGTGCGCCTACGCCCAGGCCCCAAGGCGCAAATTGGAGGAAGTGCAAAAGGATATGAACCATTCAATCGATTTCCTACCTGGATGTGGAGAAATTCTGAGATGCAACAGCTAGTTGAATGGATGCGTGATCGAAACCAGGCCCTCCCACCAGAGCAAAGAGCCGGATTCTACGGGCTGGACCTGTACAGCATGGGTGCCTCTATCGGTGCTGTGATCAACTACTTGGACCGGGTAGACCCACAGGCAAGCAAGCAAGCACGTCAGCGGTATGGTTGTCTGGAGCCTTGGGTCGACGATCCCACTTCGTATGGTCTGGCATCCCTTCGAGGCATGGAAGATTGTGAAGGCCCAGTGATGAAGATGCTTGGAGATCTTTTGGAGCGACGGCTTGAATACATCGGTTCGCGGGATGGCGATGAATACCACAGCGGCGAACAGAACGCCCACCTGGTTCGTGACGCGGAGAAGTATTACAAAGCAATGTACTACAGCTCAGCGAGTTTGTGGAACTTGCGTGACATGCACATGTTTGAAACTTTGGAACGCCTCTTAAAGCACAACGAGGGAGAGAAAGCCATTGTGTGGGCGCACAATTCCCATGTCGGGGATGCACGCTATACAAGCATGGGATTTCGTCGCAAGGAGCTCAACATTGGGCAACTATGTCGTGAGCGACTGGGACGCGAGAATGTGACCATTCTTGGATGTGGCACTCACACTGGCACAGTTGCAGCTGCTCACGAGTGGGACGATGATATGGAGGTCATGAACGTCCGTCCATCCCGGGACGATAGTTGGGAGATTGTGGCTCATGATACTGGGGTTCCACGCTTCGTGCTCGACCTGCGTCAAGATCGTATAGATCCCACTCTGCGCTCGGCTATCGCTGCTGAGCAACGCCTACAGCGTTTCATTGGTGTCATATACCGACCTGACACAGAGCGTGCCTCCCACTACTCGCAAGCTTTCCTTCACAAGCAGTTTGATGGTTATGTCTGGTTTGATGAGACCAAGGCTGTTCAACCCTTGGAAGTCATCCAGCCCGATACACCGCTTGGGAAGGGAGAAACTTATCCATTTGGCCTGTAGCGATATACTGTTCATGTTGTTCAAATACAAACGAATTTCATTGAGTATCTTCATTTTTTAATGTCGATGTTTTTTTCAATGATTATGGCGTAGTGGCTGGCCTTCTTGGGCCAGTCGCTGATATTTGACTGCCTTCCGTAACACCATGCCATTGCTCAGCTGGTCAGTTTCCTGACGGAAGATTTCCTGCCATGGGGTACCACTCGGTGTAATGGGATATCCCTCTGTGCCCAGTGCCTTCCTTCGTTGTTCGATCTCATCATCGGTAATAAGAATATCAACCCGTCGTTTGCGCAAGTCAATGCGTAGTCTATCTCCATCTTTCAAAATAGCAAGATTGCCTCCTGCTGCGGCCTCGGGGCTAGCATTCAAGATAGAAGGTGATCCAGAGGTTCCAGACTGTCTGCCATCTCCGATGCAGAAGAGTCCATCAATACCCTCTTTCAAGAGTCGGCCTGGTGGATGCATATTAACGACCTCTGCTGCTCCAGGATACCCTATTGGACCAACACCGCGCATCACAAGAATGGTCTTTTCATCAATATGTGGTGTGGTCTCTAGGCGATGCTCGTAGTCTTCGGGTCCGTCAAAGACCACAACTGATCCTTCGAATGCCTCCGGGTCATCGGGGTTGGAAAGGTATCGCTTCCGGAATGCAGGTGAGATGACACAGGTCTTCATGATTGCAGAGTCGAATAGATTACCCTTCAAATGGGCGAATCCAGCGTCTTTCATCAATGGATCGTCATATGGTCTAATGACTCGCCGATCCCATGCATGCTTCCCGCGGACATTCTCGGCAAGAGTCTTGCCGTTGCAAGTGAGCACATCGCCGTTCAGCTTGCCCTGGTCCAATAGCTCAGCCATAATAGCCGGCAATCCTCCAGCACGGTAATATTCTTCACCAAGATATTCCCCCGAGGGTTGCATATTTAACAGCAGCGGGATGGTTGACCCAAAAGTATCCCAATCATCCATAGACACCTCTACGCCCGCGTGCTGCGCGATAGCGTTGATGTGAATTGGAGCGTTCGTGCTGCCGCCGATTGCAGCGTTCGCTACAATAGCATTCTCAAAGGCCTCACGTGTCATGAGATCACATGGTTTCCGGTCTGCCTCTACCATTTCCACAATCTGTTTGCCTGTTTCATAAGCGCATTGTGCTCTGTGACGGTAGGCAGCGGGGATGGCTGCTGACCCGGGAAGTGCCATTCCTAGGGACTCTGCAAGGGCATTCATCGTCGAGGCAGTTCCCATGGTATTGCAGTGGCCAACTGATGGGGTTCTGGAGGTCGTATTAGAGTCCGTGGCCATTAATCAGGGGTATGAAAATGACTTACCCTCGGGCAACGTAATCCATAAATTCATTTTCGTCAATTTCACCCGTGGCGTAGAGCTCTCGCCCATGCCACAGTACAGTGCCCGCTCCGGTCAAAGCTCCCTTGGAGTAACCGTTGAGCATAGGTCCCACGTTCATGCAAATAGCAGGGATATTCTAGAAGCATCAGCATGGGTCAAGGGATCTTTCAGGTCTGATACCAACCATTGTAGCCGCAGCCATCAAACAAGCCGGAGTTGTCTTATCACACCCGGTAAGCAACACAACGCCATCAAGGAAATACCCCGTCAAGATCTCCACCAAGCCAAGATACGCCAGGTTACGATCAAGGGTAGCAGTAGGTCGTCTCGAGGTCTCCTGAATAGGATGTGTGGGGAACTCAAATGGAATACCGCCAGCAGTCCGGATACCCTCTCGAACACGCTTCGAGAGTTCAATGTGATGACGGTTACAAGGCGCAATATCCGAGCCCGTCTGCGCAATTCCAATCATCGGCTTACCAGACATGAGCTCTTCTTTGGTGATACCATAGTTGAAATACCGCTCCATGTAGATAGCTGTCATACCGGGGTTGCTGCGGCAGTCGAACCAAGCAGACGAACGAAGTGTTCGTCCTGGTTGTTTGACGGGGATTTGGGCATTATCTGCCTCGCTTGTGACTCTCATGCGCGTTTCTAGTTCCTGGTTGCGTCGTCGCAGGGCCTGCAACTCACTTAGACAGTCCTCGATGTTGATTTGTTGGGGTTGGGCGTCATCACTGCACGAACAGCCCTCACAGGACTTCTTGTCAGAACACGCCATGGTGTTCTATAAGCACTGTGTATTGGGATAGTGTGGAATGAACGTCCCGTTCGAGGGGTAATGGGTTATATACGGCTCCCCATTTGTCTCCTAAAAATGCGGAGTGTAGTCGGGAGACACTTGCCGAGCCCATTTGGCGTCAAATCATTCAAATTGTACTCCGTAGATTTTGGTAGAAAGCCCCGCGTGGTCACGGAGATGAGCCGATATTTTACCCCCTCGGGATGTGATTATCCGGACATCAATTTATCTCTGAAATATGACATCGGATCTGTTCTAAATTGGTTTGCCATGAATATCATTTTTCAATAACTCATTATGGTATCCTAACTAGCTCGCTGGTGAGTAAAATGAAGATTGTTGCTCAAAATTCAAGCAGAACTCTACCTCGAGACCTTACAGTAGCTAGTGCATCCTATATGCCATTGAAGCAAATTTTACTTGTCTCGCTATTGTTCATTGCATAAACCATGAATTGCTATCCATGTAGGCATGTTGGGAGGATATGGCCATTCTCATACCAGAGAATTCCAGAACGAATGCGACTCGACATCCACCTGAAAGCCTTGAGCAATTGCATCCAGGTCCAGGTCTGATAATTCCAAATTCATGATAGAGGATCCAAATTCAAGTGCACAGTCTGCGACGCCACCCCCGGCAACGTTAATAGACTCATCTATAACTATGTGCTCACTGGGAACGGTGTTTCCAGTGCTCCCAGGGCCCCCGGGGCTTCCAGTCCGCTGATCGTCGTCTGCAGTACTGATCCCTAAGTGAGAGATCAACTTATCCAAATTTTCCTTGGCTTTTTCTGCTGCAGAATAGAGGCGTGTATGTTCAGAAAGAATATTCCGACAAAGAATCAGTGACTGGAACACGGTTGAGTTACTCCCTTTCTGGGCAACAATTCGTGCGTGGATTGTTGCACTAATATAGGTTGCATAAGAGAGCATGTACGGTGCACTGCTTAAAGAAAAGTGCTGCGAGTAGTCGTGGAGTATTTGAACAATTTGGTTCGCAGCTGATGTACATGCGTTCACTGACTCGTGGGCAGTTGTTGAATTGATGACCCCGTCATGGCCGATTATCAATGGACGATGTACCAAAATGATAAGCACGTTGAATAAAGCTCTTTGGAACAGTCAGTGACTAGCAATTAGTATAGGTCGGGACGAAGAGACATACAAAAGACAGGCGGATTGAGGCAGGAGAACCGCCTGCTCTGGGAACGAGAGATAATCAAGCCTAAGTGGCAAGTTTTGGCGCCAGATTCTCAGTTGTGACTTGATTTCCTCCGAGATATTTGCTCTGTGGGCTAGATTTGACTCTCGAGATTCCGAATAGATCTCACGAAGAATACGTTCCACAATCGTTGTCAGCCCGCACAAATTGGTGAGCAAAGAAACATTCAGTGAAGGAACCACGGCTCGAGGCTTGGTTGTTGTGTATGTTATAGCTTGGAAAGGTTCAAGTTCATCGTAGTCATCCAAAAAATTTAGTGACGCTCTCAAATTGACACGGTTGAGAAGTGGAGGTCTCCCTTGAAAAAGACACTGGATCTTATCAATTACTGCCGGAGAAGTTAGAGGTAATCCGTGGGAGATACCCTGGTACGGGGAAGTGATCACTCACGGTATGCTCCCCAGAGAACTCGTTTTCGAATTTCAAGTTCCTCGGCAGGGATACTATCAACATCAGGAAGCACATGAAGACCAAGATCAATGAACATATTGAATGCATTTCCAGCATATAGCCACGACAGACTCCGTTCATCACATCTGGAGAAAAGTGCATTGGACATAATCAACAATGCCTGGAGAGTAGTGATCTCACTTTTATCGAAGCAATCTCGCAACAGCTGCGTGAAGCGTTGCCGGAACTTCCATCCTGCGGTCGTAATGTCATTTGGGTCGGACCGAAGCTCTGGTCGGTCGCAGTGCTTTGAGACCACGAAAAATATCGCGTTCAAGAGCAATTTGGAAAAGTATGGTCCCTCGCAGGCCATGTCCCGCATGAAAGCTGGTCGATAGATTATCTGTGCCGTGTAGAGTTGGCGACTCCAGTATATACAGAGTAGATGCATGCCAATCCCTGGATCCGTACCATCAAAGTCGAGTTTTCCGGCGGCAAGATTGAGCGGCTCTAGCTGTCCTGTCGTTGCTCAATTAGTGCCATAATATTATCAAGTGTTACATGCGACCCGACTTACTCTGTCGCGCTGTCTGGGAAAAGAGAAAATGCCGTGTTCCCTCTTCGTTGGATTGACCATGTCTATTCTGCTCGTTGTGATCTGGAGTCGTATCATCATATACTGTACTTGTTGGGCCGTGATACAATGAAGTATTTCTGCGGTTGTTCTCTGGTACCTCCGGGTGTGATGCATCTCTAGTTGAAGTGGAGGAAAAGTCATTCCTTGAGAGACCAATACCGGCTACTCTCGAGGATGACAATGAAGTACATGGACTGCTTGCTGATGCAACAGAATTTTCCAGCTCGGATTGAACCCTTCCAGCAGTAATGGTGTTGCTGCCTCGGAGCTGGGCACATTTCTGTCGAAGGACTTCATTCTCCTTTTCTAATTCCGCAATGCGGTGGTTGGTCGGCCCAAAAGCAAAGCATCAGTAAATTGGAATTTGATCGTAGGTATCTAATTTGTACCTTGGCTTGTTCTGGACCACGCCTAGCCGACACTCGATACTTTTAGCTAGACAATTCCCACACTGGGGCCTCTGGGCATCACATTTCAACTACTTATTTAATCCGATGAGTTCAATGTCCGTATAGAGGCCCAGAATACGCACCTTTTTCTGCCGACAATGGACACATGCTGCTGCCGATCGGCTCCTTCGGGTTGGCATTGTGCTTGAGGTCCGGAAAGTCTCTTTCCGAGATTTGCTTCACCTGGGCATGTCCATTCGATGACGTCAGCCATAGCATGATCCATTTACAAGGTCTTATTTATCAGGCATGAAGTATCCATGGATGACGAACTAGTGATAGTTAACTACATTGCTCTACATATGGGTCAAGCTGCTAAGCTTAGTGCTCAGATTGTCAACGATTAAAAGGCCATCATAAACACTTCTCGGATATCACAACTCCCTACTATATGCGCTACCCGAAAGGAGAAAAAAAAAGCTTTGCAAGCGCCGCGCTCGATGCGAACCATAAAAACTCCAATGAATGCACCAGCTCCTTGCACTTCAAGCAGAACGGCTGAAGGCAAGAAATTCATGTTAAGGTTGGACTAGATCCCAGCCACAAGATTGACCCCTGCCAACAAGAGGCAAGTCAACCAATTAGAAAATGTCATACTTGCACCTATAAAAAGGCCTCAATTCCCACCCCCGAGTGTAGATGTAGCCCCAGCCCCAGCAACACCATCAGGCCCATCAACAGCCCCACCCGTCGTAGCAACCACCCGATCAACCTCTCCGCGACACTCAGGCATAGCGCTGCGCATCTCGCGAGCCAGCACGTCGCGGAAGCTCGCAAAAGCTTCGCGCTTCCCGCGCAGGTCCTGATTACCACGCTGGACGAGCTCGACGAACTCGCGCGTGTAGATGTCAGGGTTGCGCGCGGAGTCGACGTAGTCGATTATCTCTGGTGGGAGCTGGATGCTGGCGAGGGTGGGGTTGGAGGGGTCGGTATTGGTGTCTGATTGGTTTTCTTGTGTTGGTGGGAGTTGGGTGTGTGTTGAAAGCGTCGAGAGGGCGACAGTTAGGTTTTTGCTGGATCGTATTAGTTTTGGGTGGTGTGTGGGGCTGGAGTGTAGCAATGTTGCTTGTCGGAGGAAAGTTGTGTTTTTGGGGGGGGAACACTTGTGGGCATAGCGGAATCGAGAGGAAATATGATATTAGTGCAGCTGACGTACATTTTTCGCACAAGCTCCTGCTGTGTCTCTGGGCCCAGATAGCCGTGGACGGCAGATTGGATTTCGAATAGGTGCTGGATCACATCTTTGAGGTCGTCTACGTGAGGAATTAGCATGTGTACACTCAGATATATCTGCTTCTTGTAACTCACCGTCGACCGTTTTCAAAGTTACTGGCGCCATGATCTAAAATAGATTGAAAAGAGGTCTTGGCTCGCGAGCTGAAAGTGAGGTTTCTCTTACTCTTGCGGGGAGAAACAAAGGCGGTGTGGGGACGGTTGAAGTATACTACAACGTTTGTAGTTGAGGTCGAACGCGCTCTTAGCTACGATAGAAGATCGAAGCAGTGTTTTCAAAGTCATGTCCACGGGTTTAAAAGAGAATTTATGTAATATCCAATATGTCACTGTCTATATATGCATACCTCGTGGGAACCAATGTCATTCCTCGAGTTGTGCCCGCACAGCGAACACACGAACACACACTGATACCTTATCAGGTGAATTAAACAAGATTGTATCCTGTACTCTACACTTCCCGCGTCCTCAAGCTGGAAAGTTTCGGCATTTTGATCTCTGTCTCCATTTCAAGTCCGGACAAGCTTGGGAAACGCTGACTGAATTTAGCCTCCCAGTCCTCTCCAGGACTTGCTGGGGTCTCTTGGGAGGAATCATGGCCATGGCCAGTACCTGGTCGCGAGGTGGTTGCACTAGCGCGTAAGTTCTTCGGCTTTGGTGGTGCAGCTGGTCGAGTAAGAGGACGTTGCGTGGCTGGATAACTGGTAGGGGCGACAGTTTGCGGGAGACCTGCAGAGATATTGGGGCCATCTCGGCGATCCGGGAGTGTTGTTGAAATGTTACGAGGAGTGTATGTCATGCCAGATGTGTGAGAAGCGGGCAGCTGGCTGGAGGTAGTGGGTTCAACCTCACTCTGCTTTGCCTGCAAAGAAGAGGAAGTCTCCGTGAACCGTCCATACCCAGTAGCAGTCTTTGGAATGGTCGGTTTTTCAGACTCTCCAAGCAGTGACTGCACCTTATTCTGAATTGTACGAGAGCGAGCGCCATCGCCTATCATTCTTCCACCCCCGTCACCTGTTTCGGCAACCCGACGCCGGTACTCCGCTGCGGCATTGGCCACTCGCTTCTCCTCTTGGGAGAGTCGGCGACGTTCCAGCTCCCGGCGCATCTCTGGTGAGATGTCGTCCTGGTCCACATCTTCCAAGGCAATATCGTCATTTGGCGAGGTACCCTCGTCGGCTGAATCCGACACTCCAGTCAGACCATACCGAGGCGCATCCTCTGCTGACGGTGAAGATGATTTTTCTTGGTTGCCTGCCTCGAATCGGCGGAATGCGTCGCCGAACCGACTAGCAAACAGGTTCTTGCCTCCTGAGAGCGACAAGGTAGACAGGCTACCGCGCTTGTTGTGTTTGTGGCTACCGCTAGAGCGTTTCTCGCGCTTTCGATTGCTTTCTTCTTCTTCCATCGCGCGTAGGTAATCGACATCAGAAGAAATAGTCCGATCAGACTCTCGATCTACATCGGTACGCACTGACCGCAATGGCGCACCACCCTCGTATTGTAGGCGGGACATATCCAGCGAAGACCGTGGGCTCTCAGAGTCACGCGGCAGGTCATATCTCGCTCCTGACTGGACTGACATCGGCCGAACCTTTCCAGTGGCGGATTTGGAACGTCCCACGGGATCATTTACTTCCAATGTCGAAGGCCGTCTCAAGGTCTCCAGCGAGGGGCGCGCAGAGTTAGGCTGGCTAGATATACGGTCAGATGGCAGCCGTGAGCTTCTTTCCACATTCAAGCTCGACATCGGAGGGGATGGCGCCTTGTGCTGTCGTGTCACTCTTTGTTCTTCCTCAGTTGTAAACGGCTGGTTAAAAGATCGGGGCTCATTATCAGACGATGGGAATCGATAGATTGGGCGATTGGACAGCTTTGGTTCCGGCAAACGAGGTGTTTGGATAGGTGAAGTCATGGTGCCCGTCGACACCATCACGGGCCGCTGAGGAGTTGGTTGGTGCAAGGGGAGAGCCTGCGGCGCAGGAATTTCACGCAAATTAGCTGCTGGGATAGGAGACGCCTGTGATGGTTGCTTATAGGCTGGCTTCGGCGCACGTTCAGGCGAGGCACGTCTGGCGAAAGCATCGTCCGCTAGGGCGTTGGTGAGTCTTCGAGATAGATCCTCATCCTCGGCTTTGGATTCTACTGTTGGCTCGAATTCAAACTTGTCCCCTTTCTCATGCAAAATGTCAAACTGGTCCAAGGAGGGGAATCGTTTTGACATCTCCTCTGCCGTCTTCTTTCGGGCTGCGCTCCCATCCAGGGCTGCAAACGGATCATTTGACGAACCTTCAGGGGCGGCTCGATAGGGCGAAGGACTCGGTCTCTCAGAGGTAGGTTGGGACGACGGGGACTTTCCAGGTCGACCACGCCGCATAGGCGCAATCTCAGGGATTATCTCAGTCTCCTGCATCGGAGGCGAAAATACTGCGCCCACCGCAGGAGCCTCCGTCAACGTGGGGGGTAGCTCTTGATACTTGCGCGCCTCTGAAACAGACCGGTTGGAATAAATCTAAACGGCAGTGAGTGTCAATTTTGCACTTATGAGGCGTGTGGCAACATACGTCTTTGATAGGAACTTCCTTTCCTTGCATCTTACACACCTCGCGCACGACTTCATATATGTTGGGACGATTGCGGGGATCTTCCTTCAACATGGAGCCTGTGCGGAGTGTCAGCCATCAATGGTGGGTTATAGGCCAAATCGAAGTTCCAAACTTACCAATGAATAGCTTGAGCCGACTGGAAAATGCAGGGTAGGAAGGGTATTTGAAGGTCGCGTTGAGAATGGCCATCTGACCAACCTCTTCGAATGGGGTTGTATAGTAGCATAATTTGTACAAAAACACACCAAGTGCCCAGATATCGCTCTTTTCGTCAATTGGTTGCTTCCGATAGACGTCAATCATCTCTGGGCTTCGATACTGCAGGGTTGTATGCCGCTGCACATCATCTTCAATCAAGCGGCCCTCAGCGGCGGAAGTAGCAGCAGGACGAGGAGGTGCCGATGATCCAAAATCACACAGTTTGTAAGTGGCGGAGCTACCCTTGCCCGAGATCAAAACGTTCTCAACTTTCAGATCACGATGGAGGAGAGGTGGTTTAAGATAATGCATGCATGCAACACCTTCAGCAACATCGGAGAAGATTTTGATGATCTCCGGCTCTGTCAACCGGTGCTGAAGCCGGGTGTTCATGAAGTCGATAAGACCACCTCCTGCGCAGTACTCCATGACCAGGAACACCTCATAACCACCTCCGCGCAGCTGAGAGGCATGCGAATCAATATACTTCACAATGTGCCGGTGACCCTTGAGCTTCTTCATCGTTTCCACCTCAGTGCGCATGTTGGCAAGGGCCGCCTTATCAGGCACGGCCACCCGCTTCAGCACTGCGGTTTCGGACCCATTGACTGGCTGAGGCAATCGCACCACGTAGACATGAGCAAACCCGCCTTCGGATAGGTACCTCTCAACTACCACGCGATGGCTGCCGACTTGAATCTTGGTGCCCGGAAGCAAGGTCCCCGCAGGTGCTGTCACTGCGGCGACGGGGTTGTAGACGGGGAATTGACGTGACGGCGCGGGATGACCGTGGTGGGATTGTGAGGACATGATCTCGGGATGCCCTTCAAGGGCAGGTCGTAAATAAAATCTCGGTGGCTAGCGACACGGCATAGAGAGTAAGACGGAGATTGGGGGGGTTCAAGGTTAGCGGAGATAGGTGCCTGGGTGAGGGACCAAAAGGACAGCTGGGCGGGGAGGCGGAGACACGGGGTAGTACCTGACTACCAGACTACCACAAGGGGGATACAAGAAGATTTGAACCTGAGGTAAAATAGAAAGAAGACGATCAACACCCCGATGGAGAGAGAGAGGGTGTTGGAATCTCAAGTGGAAGGCCACCCAATCATCGGTTGCCGATCACGTTCTGCCGAGTCAAGGTTGTTTCTCACCATCGATTTGTCTCTCGCATTCACTTCTCCTAAATTACTCTCACTACATTGTCCCACTGTCAAAATACTGTCCAGCGTTCAGCATGGCCTAAGTGGGCCAGGATGACCTCAAGTGCCTCTCATTAGGCCCGAGATCCTCTACTACCTGGTCATGGTCCCGCACCTCATGCCCCGATCATGGGACATATATCACGGCACTTCCACAATACCCGTGGACGGTGACCATGAGATATAGCTGGCTGGCACTTTTTTTTACCTAAACCATGATCGCAGTCGAATTTTACCACAATCCCCGCACTATCAGCTCTAATCCAGTGAACAAGCCTCGGTCGCTACGTCCTCCAACTCGAATACCTTGGACCCACTACGTTCAACTATCTCCCCCAACCGCTTGACCGCAAGATCAACAAGGGCTCTCTCTAGCTCTGCCCCCAGCACTAAGTGTCGTTGGGGCCAAATCATCTAAGAGACATATGGTGTACTTGAGCCCAATGTTCTTTGCGCTGGTCCACAGCTTGAGATATAATGGGGTATAAAATTACAAATCAGTGGCAATCGCTTGTGTGAATTACAGGAAGGTCGCATGGTTGTACTCTTCTCAAAACGGTATGAATATCTGTGGTACTCCGTCCCGAGGTCTTTTCAAAATGTGCTGGGAGGCTCAAGTTGGCCGAATGCGAATACGAATCTCTCTCAACTACTCCGTACACAATAGGGAAATAACCTCAAATTGTTGTATAATCTATTGATGTACGGAGTAAAAGCATCAGAGATAATGTAAATCTGAACCTAGACTATTTGCCTCTGTCTGCTCCATCGCTCAGTATAAGCCAAGAAAGCAAAGCGCCAGTCGGAATTCGGAAGAACTATATTCCGCTTACTCAAGGCCTTTCCCAAAAGGGTAAAAACAAAACAAAACAGCCGTACTTTTGCCATGTTGACAGGACTCTGAGCATTGATGCTTTTGCAGGCTCAAGAAGCTATTAAAAGACATATCCTCAAGAACAAACACTTGTACAGTCATAGCTCTGAACAATTCCATTGCTATATAGGCAAAATCTCTCTTTGTAATTGTTCTTGTAATTCCATCCCTTGAGGCTGTTTCTAAGCTCGGTCACATAGCCCTACGTAGAATCGCGTGGCTTCCGAGGAATTCAACATAGTTCGCATAATAGATGGGGAGCCGCATCGAGATCTCTGGGTATCTCTCTCGTTTATTTGCTCGTTCGCATTGCCAAATTTCGTTTTTGATGTGATGGCCACGTCGAGTGATGCAGGAAGCGTTGGCGCCGATCCTTAGCTCCCACACTTCTCTTCCAAACAAAACCCCCCCGAGTCAGACTTAGGTTCTCCCGTACTTTCAACATCTTGCGTTGTGCTTTGGATTTCCCTTGGATTGTTGATACTTGCTGTGTACCTTCTTCTTGGTTTGGCATTTGAGTACCCTCCAAAGCACTGAGCGCCTGAGGCCTCAGTGCAATACTTGTCAGACTAATATGACCTGGCAGTTGACTCTAAACCGCGAGAACTTGTCCATCTAGGATTGATCCGGCAGATCAACCCAGTGTTGTAGCTATTCTTTCAATTGACGCTGCGCATCACTGCACTCCGTCGACATATATATATTAACCCTATCGTCACTCCGGGCTGATCCAACATGGACGGTCCGCCGCCGCCGCCACCACCTCATGGTGAAAATCCCCATACGACTGAAGGCGAATATCGCAAATCCTCGGGCCTGCCGGATGGCAACTACGACATCTTTATCGTCCCACCTCACTCCGCTGGCTCGGGCTTCCTCTATCTCCCGTCGCTGCAGTGCAACCGGAACAGCTTCCTAGCGGGCGTCGCAAGCACACTCCTCGCATGTTTCGTGTGGTCGTATATATCACCCATTGTGAAGGCATGGTATCTAGCCACGGTCGCTAGTGGCAGTGGTACGGGTATGGCGGTACTTGCAGTTGGAGTCGGTGTCGCTGGATGGCTTTTTGGCTCTGCTCAGTCCGGCAGCTCGGGAGACAATAAAAGCAATAGCAATGCTCGAGGTTGGCGGTTTGGATTTGGTGGCTTCGGTGGTGGTTCTTGGGGCCCAGGCGGTCCTGGTGGCCCAGGCGGTCCTGGTGGCCCGGGTGGCCCTGGGAACGCCGGTCCGAACACCAACCAACAGTCGTCCGGTGCCAACTATAGCAACAGCGGGGCAGGTCAGCAAAGACAACAAGGAGGAAACTTCAATGGGGGACAAAATTACGGCAACCAATATTCCGGTAATCAACATGGCTCCGGTCCTCCTCCAAACTATGATAATAACAAACGTGAAAAGGAGGAGGCTGAAAAGCGCGCCAAAGAAGAACGAGCTAAGGAGGAGCGAGCTAAGGAAGAGCGAGCTAGAGAGGAGCGAGCTAAGGAGGAGCGTGCTAGAGAGGAGCGAGCTAAGGAGGAGCGTGCTAAGGAAGAGCGTGCTAGGGAACAGCGTGCTAGAGAACAGCGTGCTAGGGAACAGCGTGCCAGGGAGGAGCGTGCTAGGGAAGAGCGCGTTAGAGAAGAACGAGCTAGGGAAGAACGAGCTAGGGAAGAACGCGCTAGAGAAGAGCGAGCTAAGCAAGAGCGAGCGAGGGAGGAACGCGCCAAGGAGGAACGTGCCAGAGAAGAACGCGTCAAGGCGGAGCGCGCTAGAGAAGAGCAGGCCAGGCAACGGGCCAAAGAAGAAGCTGAACGGGAGCGAGCAAGAGAAGAAACGAAGCGCAAAGAGGAGCTACGCCGAAAGATGGAGGAGTTCAAGCGCAAGCGTGAGGCAGAGGCCAAAGAGAAAGAGAAAAAGCGCGAGCGCGAAGCAATGGAGAAGGAGTTGAAGGAACGCCGTGAGCAGCTCGAAAGGGAGATGGCTGCTGCAAGGGCCGCTGCAGAGAAAGAGACACGGGATCGACTGGAGAAGGAAGCGGCAGAGGCCCGCGAGAGACAAGCGAAGGCCGAAGCTGAGGCGAAGGCAAAGGCGGAAAGGCTGGAAGCGGAAGCTAAAGAGAAGGCCGCGAAAGAAGCTGCTGAAAAAGAAGCTGCCGCAAAGGCCGCCGCCCAGAAAGAAGCAATGGCCAAATTTGCGGCGCTCAAGGAAGCGGCAAGCAAGAAATACGCTGAGAAGAAGGCGCAAGACGCGAAGAAAGAGGCCGCTGCTAAATCACCACCGCCCAAGCCAGCCAGTACGAGCAATGTGCCTCGCACACCTTCTCCCAAGAAACCACCGCCCTCCGCAACTGCCAAAACCGCTAACGAAGACGATGCGTACTCCTTTCGCCCCTACGACCGACCACGGCGGCCGTATGCGGCTGGCACCTCGGTGTACTCTGAGTCTTCATATACACCTTCTCACTCGACAGCGCGCACAACGCCGCCGCCTTCACATCGCAGTACATACTCCACAAAGGATCCAGATAAGATTGTGATACAAGGTGTATACGCCTTCAACAATGCCTTTATGAAGACACCAGTGGCGCAACTTGTATCAGGTCAGGGCATGGTCACCGATGGGTTGGTGCTGCGCATCACAACCGAGGGTCTCTTCATCGACGATGACCTACGCGGCGTTGGCCAACGTGAGTGGGACGTCAAGGCATGGACCCTCAAGCTAGCGGAGGTGTGGTGTCCACAGGTAAACGCCACTCAATCCGCTAAAACTGCGTCCAGCAACCCTTTCTCTTTCCGTCGTGGGAACAACGTTCCCACCAACGAAGAGTCAGAGGCCTTTCTTAGCAACTTGCTCAAAGTATGCAAGAATACTTGCCGTCTGGCTTCGCCCAGTGCGTGCTTTGCGCGCAGCGCGACTGCCAGCCATGGTGGCCCTGTTCACCCGCCCCAGGCGGAGCCCCGTGGTTTGCACGTTCTCCGTGCCAGTGTTCGTGACCAAGAAGGCAAGAAGTATGTCTTCGTGTTGCAAGATACTGAGGCCTGGAAGGTTGCCATCGGTCTCCAGCGGCTCCGGGCTGGTGCTCTGGTCCGCGCGCTGGGTGTCTCCGCTCTTCCGGTTCCTGAATGCAAAACTATGCTTAGTGCTCTCGGATATGTCTGATTGAAGACATGTTATGCCACCATCCTCCTTTTTTTTCTTGCATCTTCTCTAAACTCGCCTTTTTTTTTTCTTTACATGCCCCTTCTTGTACTCGGGTCGACTTGAATGTCATCCCTCATGAGCGGCGGAGTTTGCTTTATGCTCTTCTGTCCGGTTTATCCATTCGCTATTCTTGTCTTGATCCCCGCCTTTTTGAGATTCCCCTGATTTATTTGTTTTATATTTACTAGTACAGTTGTTCAGCATATTGAGGAGAAGTACATAACACAGAACATTACGACTGCTTATATTGTTTATTATGAATACATAGCATGACCTACTCTTTATCAGACAAACGCAAAATGAGTGAACTTTTTGCTGCCCTTCATAGCGGTAGACGAATGGAGCGGAGATGATATATTCGGAGATCAACACATTACATCCTAAAAGATACTTGAACCAAAGCTTTGCTTATTTTTCTTGGGCTTGAAGTTGACTTTCGAACTACATATACTTTGCTTGGCCCATTTCACTTATCATAGACTAACGTAAACAGCATATTCGCCTAGCAATCCCTCGTCGAGTCCTAGCCGGGGGATCGACCTAGTTCAGCTGCCCTCTTCCTCTCACGTCGGTGTGGAATTGGAATTTGGCCCTCAAACCATATACGCGAGTCCAGAACCAAGCAATATTTCCCACATTCCTATAGGCCAGTATTGATATCTTGCAATGGGAACCTACTGCCAATTGGTGCTCAGGATGGCCCAAGATGACAACCCTAAACGCTCACCTCCCTTGGATCGAATGCCGTCTCATCGACTGCAATGTTTCTCATGAGGAGCAGATGATATGATGTTTTTACGATGGTCTTGATTGTTCCTCAAACTCAATATACTTAGATATGTTGGAAGCATGGACCGATGGAGTCACCTATATGATTACGTTACTCCGGGGAGTATAGGTGTTGAATTGAATCGATAGAAAAGCATTAAAAGCAACAGTCAATACGTAGCTACGGAGTATAAGAGAAAGAATCATATCTGAGAGAAATCTTTGCTTCACAGGTGTCATGCAGGCGTATGCGCCGCAGATGCTTTTACCTGGCTATATGGAAACAAGTGCAACCTCACAAATTGCATCGAGAGCCAAAACATCTATGGATGCAAAGCAAATTTTCAAATCAAGAGCGAAGCCCACGAGAAGAACGAGACAATAGACAAACGCCGAAAATGATCAATCGGATGTAGATCTTGTAGGTCTTCTGTGCATATGGATTTCAAACCCCATTGTCCAATAAATGCACCGTTCTCGTATATCCATTCCAGATTGCAACACTGTATACAAATGTTCTGAAAGGGGCCACCACGGGGAAAAAGGCAAACGGGGGAAGTAAAGATTAGACCGAAGAAAAAAGGACATCAAATCTATCATATAGGGAATCATATGGCGTCTCCGCGGAAACATGATGGAAAAAAAGTCGTGATGTGGTAGTTGTCAAAAAACGATCCCCAATATCCAACAGATCAATGTGATATCGAGGTGCAACTCCAACTCCGGTGGAAGACATGCGAACTCCTATTTTTGGGGTTCGTCATATTTGGACGAAAGAAAAAAGAATCAGTGGTATCGAGTGAATAGAACGGAATGGGTGGCTTCATCTAGAAACCACCGAAGCCGCCACCGCCGTTCATCATGTTTTTGAGCATTTCGGGGTCGATTTGAACGCCGCCACCGAAACCGCCGCCACCGAAGCCGCCGCCAAAGCCGCCGCCAGGGAAACCACCACCGCCGCCAAAGCCGCCTGCGCTGTGGAAGCCGCCACCGTGGAAGCCGCCGCCGCCAAACATATCAGCTGGGTCCCTCAGATCATCTCCGTTGTCAAAGGCAGCACGTTTCCTAAAAACAAAATTAGCTGTGTCGAATGGTGTTAGAGTTGTGGCAGACTTACTGAGGATCAATCAAGTTCTCATAAGCTTCACCAATTTCCTTGAACTTCTCATCGCCCGCTGCACCGTCGCGGTTCTTATCTGGGTGGTATTGAATAGCCAGCTTGCGGTAGGCCTTCTTGATCTCCTGATCGCTGGCATCCTTTTCGACCCCCAAAATCTTATAATAGTCCTTGCGTTGGGACTTCTTCAGCTCGAATTCAGCTTCGCGAATCTCCTCCTGAATGCCGCTCTCGCCGGGGTTGTTCTCAGCAACGCTCTTATAGTCACGAATAGCCTCCTCCCAGTTACCGGCCTTGCCGTTGGCCTTGGCACGGCACTTCATAGCCTTGACATAGCCGGGGTCAAGGCGGAGGGCTTCGGTACAATCCTGGATGGCCGAATCATACTCCTTCAAATTGATATACGCCTGAGCACGGTTACCCAGAATCTTGGCATTCATATCCTTGTTAGAAGGGTCAACCTCGAGAGCCTGGGTCCAAAGCTCGATAGCACGGTGATAATCCTTGGCCTTGAAAGCAGTGTTTCCTTCCTCCTTTGTGCGAGCCAGCTTCTGCACAACGCGCAGCAGCTTGATGGCCTGCTTCATGTCTGGGTCCAGCCCGAGGCAAAGCTTCAGAAGCTTCTGCGCCTGCTCGGTCTCACCGAGGGCATAGAAGGCGCGAGCACGGATCATCATGGCATCCGGGTCCTGGCTATTTTCGCGGAGCAAAGAAATTGCAATGTCCTGGGCCTTGCCTAGCGAGTTGACGTTGTTCAACTTCAGATGAGCCTCGGCGGCCAACAAAGTCCACTTTCGAGGCTCCTTGACACCTTGTCCAAGCCCTTGTCGAGCCTGGTCTAGACAATAGATTACCATTGACACACCGCGGTCTTCTGCTAATGTCTCTTCGGCTTGTTTCACGAAGCGCAGCATCTTCTCTGCGGCGGCCCGGTCAGTGGCGGCCACTGGTGGCTGAATTCGTGACAGCACTTCGAGGGCCTCTGCGGGTCGACCCAAGCTCGTCAGGATCTTAGCCCATCGGTGCATGATTTTTGGGTTGTTAGGGTCGAGCTCGTTGGAGCGCTGAACATCCTCAAGCGCATTGACAAATTGTTTAGCGGACATGTAGGCCGCCGCTCGGTTAGAGAGATAGGCCGATGAGTTAGGATTGATCTCGATGGCTGCAGTAGATAACAAAAAATAATCAGCGACCCCGCTCATTCAAGGTCAATTTGTATGAGATATTGCGTCCCTGTGAGATAAGAAAATGCGTACCCTTAGTGTATTCTTCGATAGCTCGTCGATAGTTGCCATCCTTGAAAAACTTGTTTCCGGCCAGCTTGAAGGAGTCGGCCTCGTCGGCAGAAGTTGAATTCGGCAGATGCGGTGGCGGGGTCGGACTCCGTTCCTCAGTGCCTTTCACGCCATTATTCTGAGGTTCCTGAGAATCGATATCCATTGAGCTCCGCTGCTCTTCATTGGATGCTGCCATAGCGGACAATCGACGACGTAACTCGTCAGGTGGAAGATTAAGTGGGTGTACGTCCTGATCACGCGAAGACCGAGACTTGAAATTGGCGGTCGGTCCGGAGTTGGAGGATGACCGACTGTGGGAAAAATAGGACTTGGAAGATTTGGAGGGTTTGGTAGATTTGGTGGGGGAAGAGGATTTAGACGGAGATGAGGATTTGGAGGTAGGAGATGTGCGAGCGGAGAAGGAACGGGGACGTATATCAGGGTTCTTCTCAGTCTTCTCCTTATCCTTATCCTTTTTGAAGATGTGGGCGAGTTGGACCATTTGGGGTGGGGAGGATTTTTTTTTTTTTCTAATCGAAGGCGGTAGAATCGGGGAGATTCCTCAGGTATGTGAACCACGGGTTTGGGGGGGAATGGAATATCAATGAACTTTTGCTGCCTCAACTTGGAAGAATGTCAATTCAAGTTTGAGCCATTGCCTTGTTTCACTCTTTGTTCCCTGTCATAATGTCAAGAGAAAAAGGGATGTTGAGTGGATATGGCCTTGGTGTCAGATGGATGAAAACTAAAAGAAATCCGTCGGGCACGTCCTCTTATAATATATAATAAAGATATATTTTTTATATTCTAGCATACGTCCTATCTTTGCTACTGGCTGGTAAATAATCCAGAGGCTGGAGAGCTGCTGGTCTGTGTTAGCGCGCAAAAGAATTGGAGTAATGGAGTCACTCATTCCTCGACTGGGATGATACCCAGCCGCGAGATAAAATAAGAAAAAAAGTCGAAGTGATTCGAGAATCTTCCATCTTCTTATGATCATCCTTCAATCCCATCACCCCCTCAACGAAATCTGCAGGGGTGGTTAGCGAGGCTGTCGATAACTCGAGGTGGAGCGGTGGATCCAACATGCAGCTTGCTAGTTTTCTATGCTGACGGGTGACAGGCATACAGCAGTGCCGTGACTGGCGTCTCAGAGGAGGGAGCCCCTGCATGGGGGACCCTATATTACTCACACTACTATTATGTACTCATATAAATCTTGTCAGGGCCTTGGCTTCATCTCGGCTCCCCCGTGTGAGGGTATATATCTATGTATCAAAGTCTTGGCTCCAGTAGGACTCTGGTATAAAATCATCTCTTGGGAACGAAACATGAGTGAACACCTGTCATACAGTGTCATAATTCTGATTTACCAATAAGAAGCTGAAAACTTAGGGAAAGAGCTGAACAAATTGAAAATAAGTAATGTAAGGCTAGTAAATGGGCAGGGAATGAGAGAAGCATAAGTTATAATAACGGAGTGACGAGAATTCCATCGATAACTACAGGGTTATTCCATCCAGATATATATACCCAGTACACTTAAGGCCAAAATGCGTCATCATGGCCTCAGTTCACGGTATCCCCACGGTTAATCATTTTGTCCTTACTGCTTTAAGAGGTACATGCTAGCAGAGCAACATTGAGAATTCTTTGATTGACTTTCATATTGCCTAGTGGAGATGGCCATAACTCCCCGTTGTGCCGATAGCGCATTTCCATCCAAAAGCCAATACTAAGTGGGACCAATAACAGTCGAGCTTGTTAACGGTTGGACTTGACTTCAAAAAGATTTGATATTTGACATATATCTCCGATCCCACCAGAGCAATCTCTTCCTTGACCATATCCTCTGTATCAACAATATCGCGAATCAATCTCTCTAGAATGCTACGGCCAAATAGCCCACGGTTTACCGGCCAAAAATCACCTCCCGGTCAAGAGTAACGGTCCCACCACAGACTAATTCGAGCCACTTGCTCACATCGGCCTCGGCGCGGGACAAGACTGTAGCCGTGTTTTTATATCTAATCTTAACCGGGACCGAGATACAACTTATTCCTAGGTTATGCTGTGCCGATGCACTCACGATGGCTCGCCGGGCTCGGATATTATGAAGCATGTACTTCATGATCTCTTCATCGCTGTGGGTATGATTCATTTCCTGAGGAATAATGACAGTAATCCAGTGAGCTTCGTCGTTATCTGGGTCCTTATAGACTTGAGGGCCTGCGTCGACCCAGTCCTCATCCTTAAAGCCATCCAGCCCTCTCAAAAACTCAGAAGGTATGATGAATACACTGTCCTGTCCCATGTCTGTTAAGATAGGTAAGTGAATTGAATGAAGTTGTGTATAGATGCTTTTCTATTCAACAAGCCCGAGAGAAGGTCTCCTTATATAGTAAACATCCAGACACAATGGAATCCCAGTTTTTGGGTGAAAACAAAGTCTCTTTATTTCCATAATAGCCTTGTCCTGTCTTTGATCGAGTCTTTGTATACCTTGTTTCTATGTTTGGTTAGAATCCCGCTCTTTGATCTCCCTCTGTATCCACCAAAGGTCCCCTCGGGCATGCATATAGTAATGGGCGAAGGGCAAGCCCCCAACGCTCGATATATAGGATAACGGGCTGGAGATCCGACACCGTCAAAGACATGGCTATCACTGTCCTTCGATTTTGTCATCTTATATCAGGGCATTGAAGAAGTACTCGGGATTTTGAGTCAAAATGGGTTGGGTGCCTTTGTCTAGAACGGACCTCCGCCGTAACTGGAGGCCTGATAGCGTTTTTCCTTTCTGGGGGGGCCAGATATACTCTAGTAAGACGCTAAAAGAAGGCATATGGAATTCTCACCCTACATATTGGGATACAACTTCATAATTTGAAATCATGGCAGCCCCTGAGCCATTGGGAGAAATTAGCTGACCCAAGAGTTAGACAGTCTGAGATTATAACCCCTTTCTCCATAAACAATCTCCAGCTTCTTCTAAAAATGCCGTTCCAAATGGAAGTCAAAGTTGCTTTGCTCAACACTAGACATCTGGCATTATCCATAGATGTGTAAACTAAACCTCAAACCAATATATTCCCATGACATATCAGAAAAGGTATAACGCTACACCAGAAATCCATTATCACGCTCAATCACATCCAATTCCGTCGATCTTCATGCATTCTTTGAGTAGTTGCAACCCAGCTGGAAACTCGATCATTTATATCTGTGTCATGTGTCCGACCAAAGCTGTGTCGATCATAGAACTGGGGTTGGTTCAGCAGATTCTCCTGACAAAGGCGATTATTGAAATTGATGTGCTCATCAAGGCGCTGAAAGACGTTCTGCCATGGTGTAGTTGGCGATATGGGCGAAATTGGTGAGACTGCCGATCGAGTAGACGCCATGTCATCTTGGGTCCGAGACTCATGTGTTGGTGGCATATATATCTCCCCAACAACCCATTTCTTTTCATCCTCGAGCCAAGTGAGGGGCACACAGCTTCTTGGTCGTACAGGAGGATGTGGATTATGTTGTATACGTGGGCGCATCTCGCATTCATAATGTGAATCATGGTTGGGAGACAGCTGGTCCGATGGATCGCGCGCACGTCTACGAGCCGAAGCCCGCCTTAGATTGCCACTGATTTTAGAGCGATTGGGTGTCCAATCATGTAGTTCGTTACGATGCTGTGTTGGCGAGACAGCGTCTATTGAAGCAGGCCTCGCTGGCAAAGGTTTTGAGAGCAGATATTGAATGGAACGCGAGTCTGTATGGATATAGGGAATCGTTGTATCTGGCGGAACAATGCATCTTGGATTAACCACCGGCGCGCCCTCGAGGGATGAGAGATCCATGAGAGGATAGTTGAGATCGGAGGGCGGTTTGGGAGGCTCGGAAGCTCGTCGCTGAAATGGACAGAAAACCATTGTGCGGTGGAATACTCTATAGGGATTTTGACAAGTAGATCAGATATCGTATGGCTTGGTATACTATTCTTAGACATGAACTATGCTCTGGAAGGGTTCGATAGTGGGCCGTCACAGAAAGCTCGTATCCAAAGGTAGAATATAACAGAACTTGGCATGAAAGCCTTCCTTCCTGGGGCAGATAGCTCTAAAAAGGCTACCCCTCTTCCCCAGAGAAGGGATTACAAGACATGTTGTGCAGGGTATACACAAAGAGGGAGCAAATCAAAGGATTCACATGCAGTTCAGTGGTGATTCTCTTAGGGCTAAAAAAAACACTGATGATCTTTCATTGTTCTTAGCTGTCCCTCGGACATCCGAGATAATCAATGAAAATCCATTACCCAGAAGCGAAATCAAACAGGACCTTTTCAGGACAATGGTCATGGAGTCCCACAGGGATAAAACAAAGGATACCAAGAAAAATCCACCATAATCCTAAAATTGGTTGGTTGCTCGGGATACAATTTGGGGTCCAAATTTATCCACACAGGGTTTATGCATCTATTATCACTGCGATGACCTCAACTTACTGTGTACATTCGGGCTTTGCAATGTGTCTTGGGAAAGTAGCAACGGGGGCTGTACCAAGGCCAACTCTGTCGGGGTCTGTATGTTGCATCGAGAAGGGGCCGTAGTTTCAAGATCCGCATATTCAGGACTCGGATAAGATATGCAAAGTCTGAGAGCTATCGCGGGTATTATACAGTGCTTTCATTTTTCTTCTTTCGTTCATTTGAGTGAGAGTGTCCGTTCACGACACTTGATTCGAGGGTGAGAGGCCGCTCGATCCTCAATATGTACAGCATACGACTTGCGATTAAGCCACTAGACTCGCGAGTGGGGGTCTCTATTTTTGGCTGCCAATAGTTGACTTCAAACAGCTTTTATGCTCGTGTGCCTGAACTCCGCACTTCGTCTGTTGCACGGAGTATATCATACAAGAATAGTCTGCTTATACATCCTTGCCATGTGTCTATTATAGTAGTTTTTTCATATGTAGATTTCGTAAGGAAAAAACATACCCTCCCCTTGTATTAAGTCTGTAGTGAAGGACTGGTAAGAAGAGTTAGCCGCAAGATACAAGATGTGGGTGGCGAAAAATATCGACTTTCCATGTATGACAGGTAATATTGTCTTTGTCTAGGTACATTTTACTCAACACTCTATGCACAAACAACATCAAGCGCACAAGTGTTGAGAAGGAAAGGCTGTTATAAACTTATCAGTGATAGTAAACAACAAAGCACGCAGGGAGATTGGGGGGACTAGTAATTAGTAAGACACAACAGTGGCCATTAAAGAGCAAGATGTTTTAAGCAGCTTGAGTGGCATCTCTATATGAACCATAAGACAAGCGTATATCCTCAGTGAAGCTGATTTGAATCATGGGTATTGGGATTGTGAGGCTCAAAGCTGTCATGTGTTAACTTGCGTTCGGCACCAACAGTAGTTGGATTTAAATTTTGAATTTAATCACCTAGTTAGGTTTACGACTCTGAGTGGCATATTCAGCCCTATGAAGTAAAGTAATTGGGGTGGCACGTGGAGTCAGGGGTAGAAAAGCTTGGAATGCTTCAAAGGGTCACCTAAAATGATTAATGATATCAATTTATACCCCATAACTATGGACACAAAAATGTTTGCAAGGTTATATAGAGAAAATTATAGAATCAAAGTGCAAAAAGGAGACATTCCAAATAGGCTACGTGCGCTGGAGGGAGAATGTGAAAAGCTGTCATGGTTTACATTAAGGTCGTGCTCAAGCCACCAAGCGAGCTTCGCACAACTCCGAAGCTATCCAGGAGAGCCCGAGAAGAAGTAGAAATATGTATATCAAAAAAGCAAGAAACGGATAGACATATCCAGTCAGAAAGCAACAATTGTTAAGAGTAAATCACCAGAAACCCTAAATAACACAATCCTCATCTCGCACCAACTCTAATCAGCCTCTCCAGTCTTGACACAACTACACCAGGGCTAGACCCCAAGGGATCCAGCTAGGTGCATAGGTGCATCATCAACCCGGAAGAAGTCATTTATGCCAGGAAGAAGGCGGCAGCGGCGGCAGCACCGGCGAAGCCGAGGGAACCGCTGAGAGCACCAGCACCGTTGAAGGCAGGGGAGGAGGTGGCGGGGGGTGGTAGCGGCGGTGCCAGTGGGAACACCCTTGGTGCCGGAGGGCACGTGGGGGACACCACCGGTGGGACCGTGGGGGACGACGCTGCTGCTACCGACGGGGGTGGAGCTGGGGGCAACGGGGACGGTCGAGTAGATCACGGTGGGCACGCAGGTGGTGATAGCAACCACGGTAGAGGAGACAGGGGCGGTCTCAGCAGGGGGAGCAGGGGCAGTCTCAGCAGGGGGGAGCGGGGGCGCTGGAGACGCTAGAAGGAGCCCAAGTGGGGACGGAGGACCAGACAGGGGTCTCGGAAGACTGGACGGGGGTCTCGGAGGCCTGACCAGCAGAGGTGGTGATAGCGACGGGGGCGCTGGTGGGAGTGGTGCTGGCAGTGGGCTCAACACCGGCACCGTTGCCGGGGCAGTCGGTGACGGTGGGAGCGCAAGAGGTGATGGTCACCTCATCGGTCTCGTAGACGGTCTTGTCAGCACCGGGGGCAGCAATGGCCAGACCGGCGAAGAAGGCGACAGTGACAGCAGTGAAACGCATTTTGAATGTTATGTACGAAAAACGTAGAAAGTGATGTTCAAAAAGGTATATATAAAAAGCGGAGCTTTTGAAAGAGAGTGTTGGTTTTTAAAGAGTGGAAGACCGAAGTCGATAGAGAGTGAATATGCGAAGAATGTACTTGGAGAGAAGAAAGAAACAGAAACAGCACGGGGGAGGCAGGGGGCCTTTGTATGAACGGGGAGATTAGCGTCAAGATCAGCAGCCACTTGCTTCTCGTTGTTTTGGCCCATTTTGGGACCCTAAAAAAAGGGGAAAAGAAACAAAGGCTGTTGGTACAAGGTACTTCATCCACCACTAACACACACCGCAACCTGTCATGTACTCGGAACTTGACCCTCGTTCATTCAATTATGTGATTGGTTCGATTGCCAGGGGTTGTTTCTCATTACCAAGTTAGCTTGTAATTTTGACCCGCTCATGTTTCTAGCGTTATTTGACGATCGCCTTAAGACATTGATATCTGTACGTCCGGAGTTATCAAATGGCTACAAACTCTACTGAAGTACATAGGTTAAAGCTATCGGCAATACTACTCGATAACCCTTTTTCTCTGTCTCTCTCGCTTTCTCCCAAATGTCTTTTGTACACGTTTTTTCTTTAATGATGTTTCAGACCGCATCGCTGATCCACTACCCGTTCCTGGCGTCCCAATTGTAACATCTCCCCGTGGGTCTCTTTCATCTCCACTTACCCCTGAACAGCCCGCCATTTATTTCGCCAAGAGAACTTACTGTGCAAGGGCGAATCCACGATGATGTGCACTTTACATGTGAAATGGGATTGGTTCTTACTCCGGACGTTCATCTTAACATGGAACCCAAACACCATTTGCTCACTGTCGGAGCGAAGCGCCGAGACATCCTTTTTATTATTACTTACTACCGAGTACGGAGTAGTAATATCTTTACATTACCTTGGAATTATTTATTACATCCAATTCATGTATTGTGTCGAGAGCAGTGTATTATCGTCCGAGACTTGCTTAATATGACCATATATCCTAACATACTCGGGGAAGGAGAAATGCCTCTTACTACATACACTCATCACGTAGTTAGCTACTGTAATTACATAAACTCGGTCTCTATTAGCAAAAAAACAGCCGATACTGGAAGTCCGGAGAACGCCACTCCTCAAGTTACTGCGGATTGCCCCCGCAACGGAAAAGTCTCGCTTCACGCCATAACGGCTAGACCGCATTATTTTAGTTGCGGGTACAGTGCTTGACGATGCTTGCATGTCGTGCCCCTGTTCTAGACTATGTGAGTGTCAATGCCGCGCAATTTGAGAAAATATCGGGACCTGGCCGTGTGATTGGGTGTCCGTGACATGGCGCATATGCAGTATGTCTGAATTTGTTACACCGATTAGCCGTACGGAATACTCCGTACGATCGATTATAAATACTTTCTTCTGCTCATACGGAGTACCCAAAATAGGTCGATCGCACGGAGTATGGTGTACAGTGTGGTTGGGTCCTGCAGCACCAGAGCATGTTGATCTTCATCCTGTTCCTGAGCCGAGACCCTGGATCAGACTCGAAGCGGTTCGACCGCCAGGGAAAATCAGGGTGCTCTGTACCCATGGATGATGCTGCATAACCAATGAACGTTTCGCCCGTATTTATGCCTTTGACTTTGGCCCAATTCGTTGTCCCGACTCCATGATAGGGCCGACTCCATTATAGGGGGTTGCACACACAAAGCGATTTCCGTAGGCCTCGTGGCGCCCCCAGACTCCACATGCCGCTATTGAATTCTTGCGCTTCGTGGCCCCTTTTTCAATAGATCGGGCCTCTACTATTTCATTTCAACGTACTTTATATGGTCGTGCTCTTATCAACCCCATACTTCTCTTTGGTACTATCTTTAGCTACAATTAACTTTGTGAGATACATATCATTATTGGTGGAGTGTTTTTTATAAATAGCATAATGTTCCACGTCAATGATAGGGTGTTCGTAGGATAATGATTTGAGTGGATCTGGACTTTTACTGAAATTCATACATGGAATGTTCCTACCTTACAATATAGGTAAGTTTGATGTTCAGGAGAAGTGGCTTTCGCCTTAGCCCATCGCTTATACCGCACTTTGGGACTCGATGGGCACAACTTTTTCACATTTCTTGACATATCCTGATCATTGCGCCATAACCGAAAGAAGGAATATCAGTCTAGTCAACAGACTCGTGTGATAGACATACAATCGAAATTTCTGCTACTCAATGGCTACAACTTGAAAAGATAAATCCCATAGGGCTTGTTCCCACTCACGAAGCACTGACAGATTTTGTTGTACATTTTGGCGCCCACCCAATAGTATATCAATTCCACATCTGAGACTGTTCTCATCTGCCACCCCATCACATCGATAATCCGACTTTGCGGAATCCCATTTTACGTGATCACTATCAACAATCACCTCTCTGTCATCTGAGCAGACCGATCAGCATCGAGACGTACTTTTTTTAGCGCCCATGACACAAGCGAGCGGCACCAAGAATAATATGTACAGCTTAGACTTGTTGGGCTTATTCCTTTCGATTAATCCACTCCGTACAGGATCCAGACACGCACCATACGCGGAGGCAGTTTTGTTTGTACCATAATGGGCTTGGTGGTACCGTGTAATATAAGACAACACCGTGGATGCTTATACAACATGGCCTGTTTCGAAAGGATCGGGAGAATTGGCTGCTCTACGCGATGTCTTTCAAATGCAGGGTTACAAATATGCCAATGATCATATCGATGCTCTCTGTGGCTCTCAAATAGTTTTATTGTCAGCACGGTCATCTTTGAAGAGTCGATGAGACCGTATTTGGCCTGGGTATCCCATTTTACTATATAACGAGGTTCTCGGTTACCTCAATCTGTTTTTGATTGATCACTAGGACTATACTATCGGGATCATTTGGATAAGCAAGCTTTTAAAGACAAGGGCATGATCTTGTTGGATATTTTCGTGATCTTCTTTTCATATGGGTTGTCAGGCCGCAATCAAGATCAACTATTCCGCTGTGTGCCGAGAACGTCTAGGTTTTACGTCTGTAGTATATATAAAAACTACTGCATCTGCGTTCTCCGCCATCTTGGATCTCATCGGCACCAAAATTATGGCGAGATTCATCAGGCGCTTGTCTTGGATAATGAAAACAATTTGTACCCAGAGTAACCTCCGTTGTGGGACTTGGCACCGGTTCTCCGGCAAGAATCAGGTCTAATTTAGATCACAACCTCTCTAATTAAAGGCTTGGTCAGTATATATCTCCGTAGCCAATTCTGTCCATGCCCCAATTTCGGAGAAAAAAACAGTGACATGCGGATCGACTAGGGCTGTCGGGTCCATGTCATCATTGGGTATTGCGTGGCCACAAAGGGCTAAGCCACATCTTTCCGCATATAATCTTAGCCTTGGAATTAGCTTGAAATTAGCCCCTCAATGACATATACCTGTATAGTAGTTAATCTGGTTTTTGAATTTGGATATGGATATAACTGGAGATTACATCATAAAATACGTTTGACAAAAAAAGAAGGTAAGGCTGTACAGGGTAAGACACGGCCTGTGATAGGTCTTTTAATGGGGGATCTATGTGTTGGCAATGTCGACGCCACAGTTTCTCTGTAGGTGTGCCCAGTGGGTGCGGCTCCAAGGCAACAACGTAAGTTTACATTGAACAGTATGTTGTAGATCGAGTTTCTGTACTTTTCTATATATTACAATATATATATGTACTTATATATATACACAAATATATAGGTAAATGTAGATGTATATACTTCACGGATGTATACCAAAATCAAGGAGAGAGAAACATGAACCATGGTACTCGGAAGAATTCTCTGTTGATATTCCCGACAGCAAAGGAAACCGACCATATCTGAACACCCAAAAATCAAGATAGAATTGTTACTATGTATGTTGTAGAATTGTTTCAGTTCGGGCGCTTTCTGAAACATAAGGGCCCCACCACCACCCGATCTCTGTTGTCGGCTGTGTTGCTCTATTAATATTCTCTAGAGATCAAGAGTTTTCGCATGTTTAAACTACGGAGTACGCAATTAGACAATTCCTTGACATATACTACAAGGTACGATTCCTTATTTCTTATATGGTGGAGTAACAGGTCACCTGCCGCATCTCTCGGTAACTTCCCAACTCCACTCGTTTGTTCTCTACCTTATCTCTTCTGCTTCTGCTTCTGCCTCTCGGTCTTTGCCTGCCTTTGCTTGTATTTCTGCTCTACATTCCACTGCGTTTTTTTATTCACTTCAAAATCCGTCTTCACCCCCAACCCCTTCAGGGTATCCCAAGGCGGACTGGTCCAAGGTCGACACTCTGGCTACTCTTGCAGACCCGAACGAGTTGTTCTTGCCTGGGGAAAGGCAAAACAATCTCGCCATGTCGTCCCCTGTTCCTCTTCTTCGTCCACCAGTTCCTGGCGCTCGCAACAATAACGGCAGTCCACGAGCCCCGAAGCTCACGTTAGGCATTCCCCCCTCACCTAACGCCAAACCTGTCAACAGCAATGCCGCCCCCGCCCAAGTACCTCAAATCCAAACCCAACCCCAACCTCAGCCTCGCCCGTCGGGTCGACCAGCACCACCCCGACTGCAACTCGCGACTCCTATGAGTAGTCAGCAGAATGTATCCCAGCCAACACTCATGCCGAACGGTCGACCAGCCCCGCCCCCACTGAGTACAAATGGCCTAGGAGGTGGTGGTAAAACTGCGCCCAGTCTACAACTCCAGACCAATGGACCAGCCTCTTCAAATCCTTCATATTCGACGATTAACTTCGCTATGGGCCTCCGGCAGCCAGAGGGATCGTCCGACCCGTCCTCGGCCATTAGTTCAGTGTACTCAGATCGCGAGAACGGAGACCGTGAAAACAATGTGAACGGCCTCCTTCCCGATCTGGACAAATTGAGCCTGGAGAAGGGCCGTCCCCTCGATGTGGATGATCTCGATGATGAAGGCTGGCATGCGGCTAGTGAACAGAATATGATAGTCGAACTAGGGAGTCTGGGAGAGGGTGCTGGCGGAGCCGTCACCCGATGCCGACTTAAGGAGGGAAAGACCGTTTTTGCATTGAAGGTGCGTCGCTTTGACTGATCAACTCCTGTACCCGCGCTCGGATCTAGAGGCTAACATCCCATTTTAGATCATTACTACGGATCCTAACCCTGATGTCAAGAAACAAATTGTCCGTGAACTTAACTTCAATAAAGACTGCGCCTCGCACCACATCTGTCGTTACTATGGTGCTTTCATGGACAAATCCACCGGCACCATATCTATCGCCATGGAGTTCTGTGAAGGTGGAAGTCTGGACAGTATCTACAAAGAGGTCAAAAAGCTTGGAGGCCGCACTGGAGAGAAGGTCCTTGGGAAGGTGGCAGAAGGTGTTTTGAATGGGTTGACCTATCTTCACAGCCGGAAAATCATTCATCGAGGTACGGAGCATGATCCCTCTAGTATACGTTGACCACGAGAGGCTTACGTTTTCTAGACATCAAACCGTCGAACATTCTCTTGTGTCGTGATGGCAAGGTTAAACTCTGCGACTTTGGGGTCAGCGGTGAATTCGGCACCAAGGGCGACGCCAACACCTTCATTGGCACCTCTTACTATATGGCCCCAGAGCGGATCACTGGCCAATCATACACCATTACATCCGACGTTTGGTCTCTCGGGGTGACTCTGCTGGAAGTCGCGCAGCACCGATTCCCCTTCCCTGCCGATGGGACTGAGATGCAGCCCCGTGCAGGGCTGATTGATCTCTTAACTTATATCGTCCGTCAGCCAATCCCTAAATTGAAGGATGAGCCACAAAATGGCATTCGATGGTCGGACAACTTCAAATACTTTATTGAATGCTGGTACGTAATCTTTCTTGGTGTGGTTCATATCTTTTTATACTAACTCGATCACCAGCTTGGAAAAAGAACCCCCTCGACGTGCGACACCCTGGCGGATGCTGGAACATCCATGGGTGCAGGATATGAGAAACAAGAAGGTAAACATGACAAACTTTATAAGGCAGGTTTGGGATTGGAAAGAGTAAACAAATCCTGAAGGACCCCTTTTGAGGGTTGCTCTCATTGCTTTGCTGCATTTCTTTTGATTATGAGTGGCTGGACCCCAAGGATTGACCTGGCTGTCAACAACTCAATTTCTCATGACTCTACTTCGTATCCATCTGCGTTTGTGCTTTCCGCTGGCTTCCCGGGCCGGAACTCGCGGGGCTCGACATCACTCTCATACCCCCTTATCATCTGCAAATGCTTTTTCCCCCTTTTTTTTCCCGGCATGAATCTCATCGGCTACGCTTCACCTCCTACGATCCTTGATGGCCTGACTTTCTCCATGAATCGCATACCCTTCGGTCATTTTCGCCCTCTGCTTCGGTTCTCGCTGTTTCTTTATCTCCCTTACGATGACCTGCTCTCTTTCCATTTGTTTTGGCCTTTTCTCATATTTCGAGCCTGGACATATTCTCCATCTTCGTACATCGATTTTCGTTTTTGTGTACAGCTCGCCTTATCCTGCTGCAGGGTTATATTTTGGGTCCATTTCTCGCATTGCACTAGATGCGGGAGTGTTGCAATGCTTTGGAGACTTCCTTTGGAAAATATTTAGGTACTTAATACCATTGCATCTTGTCGATGAGTTGGTCATATGTATACGGATATATGAACAATATACATACATGGATTGACTCGTCTGTCAAGGACCGTCCACATTCTAGTAGAAAATGCGTATCAACTCGAAAGAGTTTGGCAGCTTCCTACAGCTGTGTATACAACTGACCATGCTATGTGTTTACAGCTACCATTTTTTTATTGACGACTAGTCCTCATGCATCTGAAAATAATATGTCTCATTGATTTCATAAAAGCTACATGCAGCTTGAGTCTCATATGCATCCTCATGGAGCACAGAAGCAACTATAAGGAATTCCAGCCCCATATCGCCCCCTACCTCCCCTATTTCTTGCTCACCGGGTCAGCGCCAAGAACCCAGCCAATCCCACTGACCAATCCCCCGGTCATCATATTGCTAACCATATCCCTCTTCCTAACACGGCCCTCACTATCCGGCGACAGCGGCCGATCGTCGTCCCGAGGGGCAACCGACGCCGAACCATCAGCAGCACCCCTCAACGGGAAAGCATTCTTGTGCAACGCTAAAGCCGCGCCACGAGCAACCTCAAATAGACCCATGGGCGCCTCGTGGCGATGGGAGTTAGGCATTGCAGCGCGCGCACGTCGTGCCGCGCGTTGCTGCTCGGTGTCAAAGGCATCACGTTCTGAGTCTGAGGGTCCGAATCCGCCCGGGACGGAGGTCAGTGTATCTCCTTTTCTGTCCCAGAGATCTTCTTCTTGCTGCTCTTGCGCGCGCAGCGAGGTCAGTTCTTCGTCACAGCGTCGCCAGGCGCCGAGAATTTCCGGGAGCGGGTCTGGGGACGGGACGAGAACAAGGGCGAGGGAGAGGAGTTCCATCCGCTGAGAGAGGTGCGAGATTTGGGATTGGAGGGTGGGGGGTGGATGAGTTGGTGTTGTAGCGCGGTAGCGACCTGCGTTATATACGGCGCGCCAGGTGATGTCGTCGGGGACAGAGGTGGTGTTTAGGAGGGGTGAGGAGGTTGAGAGGAGGGACGGTGGCGTTAGTCGGGTTAGGATGTAGGAGTAGGCTGTGCCGAAATCATTGGAGGATAGAGCGGAGGCAATTGCTAGGGAGGTGATGCGGCGTTCTGCGGTAAGAATAGCGTGCTCCTTCGGTGGTTTATGGTGAGCTGGCTCGTCTTCGGCTTCGTGCGATGCCCGCTGCGTGGGAACGCCTGCAGCTACTAGGTTTCGTCCAATAGACAGAAGGTCGTCTAGTTTGGTGTAGCTCTTCGCGTTTTGCTCGAGTACTTTCTCAATTAAGAGGATGGGATCGTGATGAACACGAATGCTGACAGGCTGGAATGGAACACCATGTTGCAGGGTCAGCGAGTAGTATGAGAGTGCGTGTGTTGCGGCTATTAAGGCGTGGATTTGTTTGAATACAACAGACTCTGGGAAGTGCGATTCGAATGATTGTAAACTAAATTACTGTTAGTACCAAGTCCATGTATGCTCTTGTTATTGTACCACTTACATGTCATAAGCTCTCTTCATTCCTCCCCGGGTTCTGTTTCCGTTGCTTGCATTATCATACACTGTGAATATGGATTCTTGGACTGCAGCTTCCACCTGGGCAGGGTTAAGCGGCGCTGATTTAGAGTTGATGTAAATATCGATAGCCAATTGATACTCTAGAAACAACATCAGTATTGAGAACATAGGATGAATTTTGGTGATATTACCCTTAGCTGCCAGCAGCGCTTTCAGGATCTCTACCTCAACCGTGTCGTGCGAGATCCGCCAGAAAAGTCCATGGTACGGTGAAGGTTCATCCCAGGCGTTATCTGAGTGTTCCGCCTGCCAATCTTGAAGCCAAAGTAATCGTTGTCGAATCATAGACCAGTCTTGGTTTGCGTTCGATTGCTTCACAGCAGAATCTATCACACTTTTGAGTTCGGCCAATTGCATTTCCTCGGTGCTGTGAAGGCACATATTTGCCGCAACGCGGCAGGGAACCAGATGACCAAGCTCAGTCAAGATACGAAGGGAGAGAAGTAAAGCGCTAAGAAACGAGATCGATGAGGGCGATGGTTTTGTAAGAGGGTTCGTCGGTCTCAAAAGAGAGTTCTGTAGTAGAGATGCGCGGGATGTCGAGGAGATTGACTCAGTATCATAGTGCACAGACGGCAGTTCTGAATCAGGAGCAAGGTACAAGCAGTCTTCAAGAACGAGGAGCTTCGCGACTCTCGTCAAGACCTGGAATGAGCCCTCCAACACAGTGATCGATGAGTCTGCATGGGCATACACCACAGCAAGACCGGACTGGCCGTATCGAGCCCGTAGATCTCTCGCCTGCTCTTCGGAGAATTGCGTGCCAGCGTTGTCATATCCCCCCAAGTCCACATCTGAGGGTCCATCCCAGTGAGTGAATGCGCTCACAACGCTGTCACGGTCGACAAGACTCCGCGACAGTAGCCATTCGTTCACGTGTTCCCACCCAGCCAATTCGGTTGCTTGGGGTTTCTCGGAGCCTTGAATCAAAGAAACTGAACTCTGTTGAGCTGCTTCATTAAGCCTTCGCCGTTTTGACCTATTACCACCATAAAGCCAAGGTCCAATCAGACCCCTCAAGTTGTTGACCAGATCCATGTTACTTTCTTCGGGGCTCATCAAAGACAGAAGAATGTTGACCGCGGTTTGATCATCCATAGACTCCAAGATCTCAAGAGATAGAGTTTCGTCGCGATGGGCATAGAATTCGTAATTTAGTCGGAGTAGTGGTAATAAGCTCGATATCAGCCATGTTCGAATGATTGGCGAGTTCTCGTAAAACGGGAGGATGAGTTCAAGGACAAGGGGCTGCAATGCTGTTTCTGAGTCAATCAGATGTGCTCGGTGGATAAGAAATTTGGTCAAAGGATCTGCTGAAGCTATCTCGTCTTCCTCGTCAGGACGTTGCAGCGGCCGTAAATGAAGCTTCCGCACGCGCTTTCTTGCGACCGATTCGGACAAGTCCTGGACAGCAGATGTATTGATCGGTCGATCGGGTGAAAGGCTGGAGCTATTTTCCAACTCCTGTAACACTGAGATATACCGAGAGGGCTCTGTGCACTCTGGGAGAAAGGTCAAGATGATGCGCAGGAGGCGTTCCAACGGAAAACAATGGGGAAACCGGGCCTGTAGAATAGGCAAATCCGCTACATTACCATCTGCACAGAGTTGAGTGGCTAGTATAATGGCATGCGCATCAGAAAGCTCTTCGAGAGCCATGGTCAAGCTGAAGAGACGAGGAAGTCGAGTGAGGTGGCCTCATAGTTGATGATGGTCATGTTGCATACGGCGGGGCGCACAGACCAAGTCGGAAACGAAAGGGAAGAGTCGCATCCGCCGGCACTTCATCACTACCTTTTTCGCGGTCTCTGTGCCTACCACTTACTCAATTACCTCCTTTCACACATCAAAATGGCTTCCGGTTACGGTAACAATGGTGGTATGTGCTCATTTCCCCCATCCCTGGGGAAGCTGCTCGGGTCCGCGCCGACATGCTCTCGGATCACAACTTGCGGATGCAGTTCCCTCCCCCGCGAATAAAACCGGCTAACGTACTATGGCTGTTTCTTAGGCCCCGGCCGCTGCTACCCCTTCTGGCAAGAGGTTCTTGGTTGCTACGTGGTGAACTCGGGCGATGGTGCGAGCGGCAAGAAGAAGTGTGTGCCCGCCCTGGATGACTACTATGAGTGCCTTCACCACCGGAAAGAGGTAAGAGCAATCCCCTTTCATTCGAGATACCTCCACAATTGAAATGATGAACCTGGGTCTAATGAAGGGAAATTGGAACAGGCTCTCCGCACCATGAAGATGCAAGCTGCCTATCGCAAGGCTGAGGCCGCACACCCACGAGAGAACGCCCCCAAGGCTGAGCAAATTCGGAGCTTGGGTCTACTTGGGAAGGAAGAGGAGGCAGCTAATGTGCTGAGCCAACGGTGAATGGGAAGGATGTGCTTGTTATTTTTCAATGCGTGTAATTCCGTGTTTCCGCCCCGGGACTTTTGCCCGGAGCCTGTGACTGTATAGAAACGCTCGACTGGTTGACTTTCAGGTCTGTCAGCGAAATGATACTCCAATTCAACGACAAACAGTGCTTTATCCTTGAGCTCGATCTGCTTGATCCATAATGGAATTCGGAAATAGCAGGCGCTGCCATGTAGAACGAGATATACCCGATCTTAGACGTCTGATTGACACGAGACAAGCATGGATTTTGATTGGGCATGGGGGAATAGGTCGAATTGCCAGTCCCACATGTCTAGCCGCTTATGCCGGGACTCCTTGTATCGCTGGTTCTCTCTTTTTATAGTTCAAGGAATCATACTTGAAAGATTTTAGAACACCGTGAATCCATGACTGTCTTTATAACAGATATATGACCTCGTATGCATCGCTTGCTCGTATACTTGAATCGAGGAAGAAGGGGGAAGGTTAATGTAAGAAGGAGACCTTGTTGAATATGAGGATCTATATAACTAATATATATAATATAGTTCGGCAGGTCGATCGATGTGCAACAAACTTGGATCGCACTATACATCTATACAAGTATAGAAGACCGTCGGTTCTGAAATCAATATCTGATGATCTATCTTTCCAATACAATAAAACTACCAGCTACATTGATGTAAATGCACTGCTGATCCTTCATGATACTTGAACTTTGAAGAGGCCATCTGGCATGTCTTGGCATTGCTCCCTTCCTTCAGAGGCCTTGAACGGATTCTTGAGTAACCCTTTACTTTGAATTATGTACGGAAACCCTCTCAATCACAACAACTTCAATACATTGAATTAGGTATTTTTGATCAATCTAAATGCTCTATGTCATCTAACGCGTTCCTTGAACTCACGTGATCCTTTCAACAGCAGAAAAAAAAATCAGCGCGCTGTAAGTGGAAGCCCACCGCCCGCGCTAAACCACAAACGGCCTAGGCGGAGTGACCCAAACATGGACCAGCGCGCCGGACAGAAGCACCCCCAATGATATAAACCCGGCTGCGTGACCTCGACCCTCGCTCTTGTGTACTAAATCTAAATCCCCCGCTGACTCAGCATCGCGGCTTGAGGTGTTGGGCGTTTGGTCTTTGTTTTTCATATCGAGGTCCTTCCACCCTAATTGCGCGCTTTGTCGCGCGCAATTGCTTTTTTCTTTGCGTTATCTTCTTTTTTTCCCTTATTCAGATTGTGCCGCATAGTCGGGAGAAAAGTGAAGACCCGCGATGGCTTCCCGGTAAGCCCCTTCAGCCAATCACCACGCGCCTGTCACGTGAATGCTAACTCAGTTCAGACTCGACCGCCTCGTCACGTGAGTATCGAAATATAATGCGTGCAATCACGTGAAACCAACTGACCACTGACCAATGACAATACAGGCTACTCGAGACGGGCAGTACTCAGTTGATTCGTAATACTGCTGCTCAGCAGCTTGCAGATGTGCAAAAACAGCATCCAGATGAACTGTTTAACCTACTCGGGCGTATTCTGCCTTACCTCAGATCCAAGTCCTGGGACACAAGGACAGCTTCTGCTAAAGCTATTGGACTGATTGTCTCTAACGCAGAGGTGTATGATCCAAATGAGGATGATGGACTCCAGATTAAGTCAGCAGCAGACGAAGATGATGTGGAGATTAAGTCCGAAGTCAAATCTGAAGAGCCAATACTGGCTGATGATTTCCTCAGACTCGACACCTTGGACATCCCTTCCGTATTAAAGTACGGCAAGCGGCTGCTCGGCGGTGCAGGCAAGGAGTATGAGTACTCCCTCGCATCCATGGAACCAGCTTCACGCCTGCAGCACCAAAAGAAGACTTTGACTTCGCGGCTGGGTCTCGAAGGGGAATACCTTGAAGAAGACCTGATCGAAGACACCGAATTGGCTCCTAAAGTGGTAACTCCTGCTCCAAAGCATGAACCGAATATTCCACCAGTCTCTCGCCACAACAGTCTGCATGAAGCTCCCTCCCGCCAGCCCTCCTCGCCTCTTGAAAGTGCGACAAAGGAGGACGGGGGGCTGAGCAAGCGACAGCTCAATCAACTCAAACGGAAGAATAAGCAGAATGCTAAGATGGGGGCTAACAAGGTCCGTGTCGTAGATCTGTCTTCCCGTCGACAGTCCGACAATCTCACAACTTCTGCTGCCACAACTCCTCACCCCGTCAAAGCAGAGAACGGCGATGACCAGAATGGCGAGGCAAAACCTGATTACTTTTCGCTGGAGCGCACTGAAGAAGATGACGACTCTAAGCTTGTTACTGAATACAAAGGAGCTGCCATCCCAGAGCGATCTCATATTCAGCCAGACATTGTGGAGCAGGGCGGAGGATGGCCTCTGGAACACATGTGTGAATTCTTGACCATGGACATCTTTGACTCAAATTGGGAAGTCCGACATGGCGCCGCAATGGCTCTGCGGGAAGTCATCAGGGTCCAGGGTGTGGCGGCTGGCCGGCTGGATGGAAAAAGTCGCTCGGAAAACGATGCACTCAACCGCCGGTGGCTGGATGACCTCTCATGTCGACTACTCTGCGTTTTGATGCTGGATCGATTTGGTGATTATATTTCAGACAATGTGGTTGCCCCAATTCGGGAAACCGTAGGCCAGACTCTTGGTGCTCTTCTCTCACACCTACACCCGAACTCAGTCCGGGCGGTCTATCGATGCCTATACCGGATCATAATGCAGACCGACCTGGGACTAGACCGCCCGGTATGGGAGGTTTGTCATGGTGGTATGATCGGGCTGCGCTACCTTGTCGCAGTTCGAAAGGACTTGCTTGTCAAGGATTCCAGCATGATGGATGGCGTCCTGGAAGCTGTCATGAAAGGCCTCGCTGACTATGATGATGATGTCCGGGCTGTAAGCGCCGCTACCCTTGTTCCAATTGCGGAGGAGTTCGTATCATCTCGGACTGGCACTCTTGGTCCTCTGATGAACATCGTCTGGGACTGTCTCTCCAATCTGCAGGACGATCTTAGTGCCAGTACAGGCTCTGTGATGGACCTTTTGGCCAAGCTGTGCACATTCTCTCAAGTTCTGGATGCCATGAAGGCCAATGCCGCAGATGATCCGGAAGCGTCCTTTGGCAAACTTGTCCCCCGCCTTTACCCATTCCTCCGTCATACCATCACCAGCGTTCGCTCTGCTGTCCTTCGGGCTCTCATGACATTCTTGAAGCTGGAAGGCGAGGGCACCACAGATTGGGTAGATGGCAAGGCATTGCGGTTGATTTTCCAAAATCTCCTCGTGGAGCGCAACGAGAGTGTTTTGAAACTGTCTGGTCAAGTGTGGTCTGAACTTCTCAACGTTGTTGAGTTGCGCGGTTCACTCAAATCCGAAGAGGTGTTATCAGATTCCATCCAGCCGCTTGTCACTCTGACTCTGGGCGCTTTCGGCGTTCCCCGGTATCCCATCCCCATGAACGCCTCGCTCTTTATCAAACCGTCTGGTCTGCCATTCTCCACCGCTGCCCCGGCCCCTACCCCTTCCAAAAGCTCTCCTCCTGCCTCAATTCCAGGCGGAACTGAGAATAAGGTGGGACGGAGGCGTAAATCAGAGAAGAAAGAGAAAGAACCACCTCCACCCTCGGCTCACAACGTGGACGGACACATGCTCTCTGGTGATATTGACCTCGTTGGTGCAGACACTATGCTGAGATCCAAGATTTACGCTGCGAAGGCGCTGGGTGAACTGGTATATCTTTGGGATAAGAATGACCTACCAAGCCTTTGGCCGGCAATTCTGGATGGCCTTGATGTTTCTGCTTCCACAACGCAGCTTGCCTCGGCCATGGTCATAGAAGAGTATGCTCGCCGATCCGGACCAGCGAGCAAATACTGCGCGTCTCTATGTGACCGGCTTCGACCTATTCTCGAAGGCGAGCGCCCACCTTGGTACGCGGACATTGCGTGCTACCTTCATGTCGCACGCTCCCAGTGCCATTCACTATTGAATACTTTCCGAGATCATGCGCATGTGGCACCTTCCCGGCTGCCAACCTTGGCTGTGGTCGTCCAGGGCGACTCAGAAGCCGGACCTAATGCATTTTCCCTGGCAGATGCTGAGAAAATTGTTGGTCCCGACTTTGATCGACTGAAGAAGAACCTCACACCGGCTCAACGAATCACTGCTACTCAAGTCTTGAACGATACTCGGACCACTGCACAATCTGCTGTCGAGGAGGCACGACTGATAAGGGAACAGCGGGACATGCGTGTCCTAGCTGCCACTGCTGGTGCACTGGTCGCTTTGCGGGATATCCCCAAGAAGCCTGGTCACATCATCAAGGGCATGATGGACAGTGTCAAGAAAGAGGAGAATGTAGAACTTCAGCAGCGCTCTGCAACAGCAGTGGCAGGCCTTATCGAACACTACACAGCTGCTACGAAGCGTGGACCAGTGGACAAAATCATTGGGAACTTGGTCAAATACTGCTGTGTGGACACTTCTGAGACGCCTGAATTCCTGCACAATGTGCAATTGGAGAAATCAATTCTGTCGCTACGCAAAGAAGAAGATCGACGCGACCATCCAGATGCGGCCAAATTCGAAAAAGAGGCAAGGGATGCACGGATTATGCGTCGCGGTGCGAAGGATGCGCTGGAGCAACTGGCAGTCAAGTTCGGCGCTGAGCTTTTGGAGAAGGTCCCGAACCTCGCGAAATTGGTTGAACGGCCACTGAGAGATGCTTTGGCAGGGGATGAACTCCCCGAGGACATCACTGACCCAGAGAATGAACTTGGCCAAGAAATTGTGGATGGCCTGTCTACACTGCGGGCTCTGCTGCCCAAGTTCGATCCGGGTCTTCACGAATGGGTTATCGACCTTATGCCCATTATCGCCAAGGGTTTGCAGTGTCGACTTTCTGTCATTCGCTACGCAGCAGCCAAATGTTTCGCTACAATATGTAGTGTCATTACCGTCAAGGGAATGACGATGCTGGTTGAAAAGGTCTTACCAATCATCAATAATGGGCTGGATGTCAATCACCGCCAAGGTGCGATTGAGTGCATCTATCATCTGATCCATGTTATGGAAGATGGAATCCTCCCCTATGTCATCTTCCTGGTGGTTCCCGTCCTTGGCCGGATGAGCGACTCCGACAATGATGTGCGTCTTCTAGCAACAACATCATTCGCCACCCTTGTTAAACTGGTTCCCCTGGAGGCTGGCATCCCTGACCCCCTGGCTTTTCAGCAGAGTTGCTTGAAGGCCGTGACCGAGAAAGGAAATTCATGTCTCAGATGCTGGACGTCCGTAAGGTCGAGCCATTCGAAATCCCAGTCGCGATTAAGGCTGAGCTTCGACCTTACCAGCAAGATGGTGTCAATTGGCTTGCTTTCCTCAATCGCTATAACCTCCATGGTATTCTTTGCGACGACATGGGTCTCGGCAAGACCCTGCAGACCATTTGTATCGTGGCAAGTGACCACCATATGCGAGCGGAGGAGTTTGCCAAGAGTCAATCGACAGACTCTCGAAAGCTGCCTTCTTTGATTGTCTGTCCGCCTTCTCTATCTGGTCATTGGCAGCAGGAAGTCAAACAGTATGCTCCATTCCTCAGTTGCATTGCATATGTCGGTCCTCCCGCGGAACGGTCGAGACTCCAACCCCTGCTCGCCAACACTGATGTTATTGTAACTTCCTACGATGTTTGCCGCAATGACAACGATATTCTTTGCCCTATCAACTTCAACTACTGCGTGCTCGATGAGGGCCATCTTATCAAGAACCCGAAGGCCAAGATCACGTCTTCAGTTAAAAAGTTAGCTAGCAATCACCGTCTGATTTTGTCTGGTACTCCAATCCAGAACAACGTCCTTGAACTTTGGTCGCTGTTTGATTTCTTGATGCCCGGTTTCTTGGGAACAGAAAAGGTCTTCCTGGATCGGTTTGCTAAGCCCATTGCAGCGAGTCGTTTCAGCAAGTCCTCTTCCAAAGAACAAGAGGCAGGCGCTCTAGCAATTGAGGCACTGCACAAGCAGGTCCTGCCATTCCTACTCCGTCGCCTGAAGGAGGAAGTGTTGAATGACCTCCCTCCCAAGATTATCCAGAACTACTACTGCGATCCAAGTGAGCTGCAGAAGAAACTGTTCGAGGACTTCTCCAAGAAGGAACAGAAGGAATTGGCAGACAAGGTGGGCAGCGCAGACCGAGGCGACAAAGAACATATCTTCCAGGCGCTTCAATATATGCGACGTCTATGTAACTCTCCCGCGTTGGTTGTCAAGGAAGGACATAAGCAGTACAACGAGGTGCAATCCTTCTTGACTGCGAAGCGTTCGAATATTAGAGATCTTGCCCACGCGCCCAAGCTCAACGCTCTGAAAGATTTACTGGTGGATTGCGGCATTGGCCTTGACCACACAGCAGAGGGTGAACTGGACACAGGCGCAAGCTATGTCAGCCCCCACCGAGCCCTTGTGTTCTGTCAGATGAAAGAGATGCTGGATATTGTGCAAAACGATGTCCTCAAGAAACTTCTCCCCTCCGTTCAGTACCTTCGCCTGGATGGAGGCGTGGAAGCAACTAAGCGCCAGGACATCGTTAACCGATTCAACACCGATCCCAGTTATGATGTCTTACTCCTGACCACCAGTGTTGGTGGATTGGGTCTCAACCTTACGGGTGCAGACACCGTCATCTTCGTGGAGCATGACTGGAACCCGCAGAAAGATATCCAGGCTATGGACCGTGCCCATCGTATCGGCCAAAAGAAGGTTGTCAACGTGTACCGCTTGATCACGCGAGGTACCTTAGAGGAAAAGATCCTGAAGTAAGTCATTATCATTTACATGAACTCCGCAGATGCACGAAAACTAACATGAACCCCGCCACAGCTTGCAACGATTCAAGATCGACGTTGCCTCCACCGTGGTCAATCAACAAAACGCCGGGCTCGGAACAATGGACACAGACCAACTGCTCGACCTGTTCAATCTCGGGGAAACGGCAGACACAGCCGAGAAGCCAAGCGACACAGCCGGTAACGAAGTCGACATGGTCGATATTGATGGCGAGGTCAAGGAGAAGGGCAAGAAGGGCTGGCTAGACGATCTGGGCGAGCTTTGGGATGACCGCCAGTATCAGGAGGAATACAACCTGGATTCGTTCCTCGAAACCATGAAAAACTGATACATACTGCGCCGCCCATCCCATTCGAAGCTTACTCGAGTCCAGGCTCGATGCCTACCTTACTTTCCTTGCATCTCAGATGCATCTCTACCATTTTCCGTTTCCCTGCGTTACATTCACATCTTCCCACCTCTTCGACCGAACCCTTTCCGAAAACTCCCCATATCCTCACATACCCAAATGATTGTCATGCTTAATGCCACTGTACCATTCTCCGTCTATACCATGGAGGCTCTTGTCTGCACGACAGACAGGAGCTTAATCGCTTATTTAGTATCTGTTCTACCGCTGGGAAGGCCCTCTGATCTTTGCTCGTTTTTCTTTATTCTTCTTCGGGACTTTACCATGTATTGCTAGCTTTCTTGATCTCTTCCCGCGATGGATGGAGATTCTAATTCCTGTATGTTGTACATAGCAAGTCCTTTGATTCACCTCCTGGATACATATTTTCTCTTATAAACCAAACATGACGTAAAATTGCGGCTTGGTTATTTTGGTCGTTGGGAACATCAACAGCCTAGAAAGCATACAAATTACTATCCTTTACTGCCTACGCTTTATTTTATCACATAATTGATTTGAATTTTTGCCCAGACAATACATACACAGAAAAAGAAACACCGTGGCACCTTTCCAATGGCAATAGCCCGAAAGCCTAATCGCGAACGCCATATTTCCCACAAAGGGGTTATCCGGAAAACAAGCAGAAAGAAAGAAAGAGGGACGACACCAGAGACGAAAAGAAGATATTCCGTGAGGTGGGAAGGGTTGAAAGCCCTCAAAAATGGTAGTGTAGATACAAATCAAGAATGAAAATATTCGTTCGTTGACACTGCAGAAGAGCATTACTGCAGTGTGAGCTGGATTGCAACAGCCCAGAAAGTAAAAAAAGGCAGCAACAAAAGCCGGGTACTAGGTTGATCATAAGGCTGAAAAGAAAAACAACAACAATTCGTTAGAGACGCGGCCTAACGCGCCAGGCATGTGCCCATCAGGTCATTGCGTGTCTAAGTCTGTCCCTTCGGCTTCGAAAGCATGTTGAGGCGGCTCATGCTGAGAACACCACGACTCTTTTGCTTGCTAGCGGGTGTGCTAATTTTGCCAGAAGGACGAACAGGAGTCTTGTTAAGACGTTTCTTCGCCGGGCTTGGAGTAGGCGGATTGGACTTGAATCTCTTGGTGCTGCGCTCATCGGATTGCGTATGGGTAGGCGGCAGATTCTCACTATTCACATTACCGGGAGTATCCTCGTCGTTGAGCTGATCGCGGTGTCTCTTTTTATTGGCAATGCCATGAGCAATGCCGTGAGTCACCACAGGAAGCTCCTGATATGGAGCGGGTTGGTCAGCGGCATCCGATTTGCGGACATGACGAATAGACTTGAAGGCAGAAGAAGGTGTCGTGGAAGGTAACGTGGCTGAGTTCTTCTCGGGAGTGAGAGTCGGTAGAGTGGGATAGACCACATCTCCGGCCATGGAACGACGCTGAGCCGAAGGTGCCTTGGAAGGAGAGGGTGACGCGACAGCAAGTTCGTGACGAGACTTGACACTCGGAGTGAATTCAACGTGCTTCTTCGGCGAAGGGGTAGGAGCCGAGTCACTTATATTACCAGCTCCTCCAAAGAGTGAATTGGGGTTGAAATCAGGCGCCGCAACGTGGGTTCCAGACGCAATTTTGGCAGGGTCGCGAGAGAAGAGTGGTTGGCGTCGACGAAGAATAGATCTAAGGCTACCGAGGGTGGGCAATTTGCTCTTGAGGCGGGGGTTGAACTCAGTGCGAGGAGTACGAGGTGAGGCCGCGGTTTTGGCAGCTGGAGAGAATTTCAACGATGGGATCATTGAGGTTCTCGGCGCCTTGATGCTGGTAGAGGTCGTACGAGCAAGCGAAGCGTGTGTAGGAGTCATGAGGGAACTGCGAACGCCTGCGCGAGGGCGAGGGCGAGGACCTGCGGGTCGGCGAGGAGTCTCGACCTTGCGTGTTCGATCCTTCTGCGTTTGATCCGTCTGTGACTCATGTCGAGTAGATGTATCCTCGCTTTGATTGCGCTTGACACGTTTAGCTGTTGTGGCGGCCGTGGGGGCGGATAGGGTTGAGGCCTTGGTGGCAGAGCGAGAAGGTGATGAGTTCTGGCTCTCGGGTTCGTCAAGCTGCGCCTTGGACTTGGATCGCTTCAGGGACTTGGTAGCAGGCTGGAAGCGACCGGGAGTAGCGCGGAAAGATGAAGCGTGACCAGCAATGGAGTCCATCTTCCTGAATTCGGCCATGTGGATGTCGCTGAAGCGGTTGGCCTTGCCCTTTGGCATGGCGATTTTCCGGTCTCCCTGAATTGGTGCGGCCTCGTGATCTTCATGTTCTTGCTTTGAGACGCCCTGAACCATTTGCGCCTTGATCCGAGCCGCATCGGCGCGCACGCTTTCCATGAGCAGTTTGGCCTCGTCGCTGAGTTCCGTTTCTTGGGAGTGAAACTTGTATTCGAATCCTGGGGTCCCAAACTGGTCTGTCGCAGGAGACGCCTTGGATTTGGTCGGGGTGTTGTCACTGATGCTGTGCTTGACTACATTGCCATTGGCATCTTTCTTGATTGGATTGAATCCAAGGAGAAGGCCTGAGTCTGCGTGCTTGGTTGTGCTCTGTTGCGCCTTGCTGGGGTGCATTTCTTCGCGGGACGGACGGGCCGCAGTCACACTGGTGGGGGTCCTCATACTATCGCGATTTTTTTTAGCAGACGCGCGAGGGGTTTTTTGAGAAGGAGTTTTCGCCAGGGGGGTTTGGATGTGCGGGAGTTGGGAGCTGTCAGTTTCCTCGCGCTCGGCAACAGAGGGAAGTCTAGAAGCTGCGACTGGCTGAGGGGTCATTTCTTCAACCTGAGTAGACTCAACCTAAACAAAACAATGGTTAGCTTACCCTTACTTCAACGGTTGTCAGGACTTCCCCTAACGAGCGATTTTACTATGCCACTCACATCTGGGGAATTCTGGGCGCGACGAATGCGCGCGGAACGGCGGATCGCCATGATCAAAAAAGCAAATGCAAGGAATCAGCAGATAACAGTAAGAATCAATAGCTTGGAGAAGCAGGGGTAAATGGGTTGAGATAGGGTGTGGGGAGACATCGAAGTCGAAGCGAGCCTAAAATGTAAACAACGCGCTTGACGTCAGATGACTCAGCACAAACGCTCCACCTGCCTAGGCAGGGGTTTTATACTCCAAATGTTCCTTTATATTCACCTTTCCTACAATTTCCTTATGTTATATCAATCAAGCTTAGACCAAACAATATATTCAAGTGTTGCTCCATTGAGGAATAAATAAGAAATTCAGTCCATAGTAGCAAGTACCTTAGGCCTGATCCCTAAGGCCAATACTTCAGGCTAACTTTAACCTCGGGTCACTCCCTTTTTGCTTCTGCAATTCAACAACTCCTGACTACTCCCTGCTTGGGAATGCATGAAACAATGAATACCAATAGAAGAAAGAGAAGCAATGTGGCGCTCGACTCTCCTCAAGTGAGACGCGGGAGAAAAGCAACTTCCTGTTCCGAATGTCACGTCAGGAAGCAGAAATGTAACAGAGAACTGCCTTGTTCTCGTTGTATCCAGCGTGGAGTTCCTCAACTATGTCAATGGCCGGAAAAAGAGAGGGGCCATGTGATGCCACCGGAAAGAGTGAGCACAGCAGGTACCGGATATCCCTGCTGTCAAAATGTGGATGATATGGCTAACCATGAGGCCTAATAGCCGATACCCAGGGCACAGAGCTGGGGCAATTGTATATCGCCCGGGGAGCACCTAGCTTCTTCGGTAATTCATACTTTGGCCACCAGGTGGCGGCACGCATGATTCAGGAGTCAGCTCCCGATCTACCCCCTATGAGCTTGCTGTCTAGCAAAGATTCTTTGGAATCATTTCAAAATGACTCTGGGCCATTTTCGCAAGTTTGGGATTTACTTGGTCTCTTACCACGGAATAAAGTGACCGTTGACCGGCTAATCGAAAGATTCCTGACCGAGATCAACTGGGCGATTGATACGGTTCACCCCGACACTTTCAGATCTCAATTTGCAGAATTCTGGGGCCGGAAGTTTGGATTTGACGAAATTGCTGGAGTAGATCTTCGTTGGCTTGCGCTTTTATTCATTATTCTCGCTTTTAGCGTCCTCCTGGATAGTCCTACGACTTCTTCGCCCGAAAAGCGGAAAGAAAGCGAAGAGGCTTCTCTTCGCTTCTACTGGGCTGCCAGGAGAGCGATTGTTATCTCACCCTCTTTTCATGGCGAAAGCTTAGATCTTGTCAGAGCAGGTTTGATGGTTACACGATATCTGCTATACACTAGACAAGTTGCAGAGAGCTGGCTCACGATCAGCTTTGCCATGCGCATGGCCCAAGCACAAGGCATGCATATAGACGGAGAAAAATGGGGGTTGTCGAGAAAAGCCACTGAAACCAGGAGACGCCTTTGGAGCAACCTGTACTTGCTTGACAAGACTATTGCCCTCGCTCTTGGCAGACCATACGCGATCTCGGATCATATGTGTCTTATCAAAGCACCTGAAAATGTATGGCTCGATGGATTGACTGATGAAGATTCCTCTCTTGCTCCAGCTCATCCATTGAGCTACCCCACAATGAGCACAGCCACGCTTCTGGGTAGTGGTCTCGGTAAAATTGCAGGTGAAATCCAAGACCGGTGCTTTGGTTTATATCCTGCATCGTACGACATGGTAATCGAGATGGATAACAAGCTTGTTGCATGGAAAGAGCAACTCCCACCCTACTTTGCTGTGGAAGACCCCGACCTGTCTTTGGATGAGTCGCATACATTTTTACCTTGGCATCGTCTCTATTTGCACTCTGCTTTCCACTTTGCCAGAATCACTCTGCACCGACCTTACCTTCTGCGCGAATCCATGACCAATCGGTTCAGCCTTAGTCACGAGGCATGCATCTCCTCGGCGTCTTCCGATCTGAAAATTAGATTGCAGTCTTTGAACTATGGCACATCAGAAAATATGAGATGGACCCTGGGCACCCACAATATGTTCAACAGCGCTTTCATCCTGGGCATTATCGCCGTACGGCGCCCAATTGCCCCTCAAACTGCGGCAATCCTGAACGACCTTGAAGAATATTGTGAAAGGTTACGAAAGGATGTTTGGCTAAACGAGTTTGGTCTTGCGGAGGTCAAAGTGGTAGAGTTGTGTATAATTCGTACCACTGGGCTTGCTCGAGCCACCGACCAGCCAGGTGACCAGGCCCCAGTGAGTTCACCTGAGATATTGCCAGAATTTATGGCACAGGAGCGTGAAAGGAATCCAATCGTGTCCACAGTCATGAACATCGAGTCTATTGCAGCGGGTGCATCGCCTGACATGATGTGGCCCGCAGTATGGGAAGATCAGAATTTTGCATTTCCGCAGGCTGCTGATCTGGAAACCTGGGAGCAAATGATCTCCGAAATTGCATATCACACCTAATATATGAAATTCCTTTCGGTCATTCTCGTTGGTTGTACAAATATCTGTTTATTCGACTGCCTTTTGACAACTGTCCAAATTGAATGACCCGCCATCTCATCAACTATCAACTGCCTCGCTCCCATTTGCTGGAGTGGACTTGTTCTTATTCTTCTTGCTATAGTACAGTGAAGGGAAGAGATGGCTAGAGCGAATCAATCTGAGACTACTCCTGGAAATACTACCAAAATGACTTGACAAACTAATCTTGTAGTATAGTCGATAGCTTTAGATTGTGTCTCCTGCCTAATGTATAATTTGATTTGAAGAATTCGTATATATGGTAACATTCATAGGATATAGCGGAAGTCCGGATGGAAATCTCCGCCTTTCTTTTCGTATGATCCTGAGCTGACAATGCGCTCTCTCTCCTCCGGTGATAGCTGGTCTCGCTTCTTATTGTGGTATCGGAGCAAAGCCCACATACCAGCATTGCCAAAGAATGCAAGACAGATAGCAGCAAGTGAAACGGAATGACCGATCACATATCGTCCATTTTTGGGCGACTTATAGATTTGACCAGCCTTGAGCCACGTTAGTTTGAGGTGTTACAAAATGGGCACGTTATTGTGATATTCCACTCACGATTAAACCGGCGCAATTTCCGATAGTCTGCTGCAGGCCCACTCCCATCGCACGCTTGTAGTAGCCAGAATGGCTATTGGCGTTCCAACTAACCCCGAGACCAACTACAGCATAAATGCTTTTTACCAAAAGGTTAACAATTGCTCAACAGATATCCCGCAGGAAGATACATACCCAGTAACACAAACATATGTCGCGAAATATAATGGACCTCGCGCGTGGACATCCACCCCGAGCAGCATGGCATATCCAACAGCTGTCACCAGACACAGTGGGACCATGAAGGCGGCTCTCATGCGTACTCGGTCAGACAGATTGGCAATGACTAAGTAAAACGCGGAGGCCCAGATGTATACGGGAACAGTGAGCAGTTGGGTCTTGACCGAATCAAACCCAAACCCTCGGATAATTGTAGGCAGGAATGTACTGAATCCGAAGGAACAAGTGTTGACACAAATTTGGTTGAAGGAAGTGAGCCAGCTCTTGGGGTCTCGTAGCGTTTTCCACACTTCCTTCACATCGAATTTCTCAGTATCAGCGTACCGTGCTGACTGTTGCATGCGCATGCGCATCAGCTCTTTATCTTCTTCATTCAAGAAGTAGGCGGATTCGAAATCGTTTGGAAGAAGGAAGAACGTGGCAATACCGATGACCGCACTCATGATGCCCTCCACAATGAAGAGCCACCTCCAACCTTCAAGGCCAGCGGCACCATCCAGGCGAATCAGTCCAAAGGCGAGCCTAAGGTTCATGTTAGCTATTAGTGTTCGTGATAGAATAGGTAGAGATGTGCATACAATCCACCGAAGCCTCCACTCAGAGCTGCGGACACAAACAAATAAGAAATTCTTTGTGCTTGTTCCTCGCGCTTGTAAAAAGTGGTCAAGAGAACAGTCAAACATCTGCGCTATAATTAGCCTCTATCTAGGGGGGTTAACAAGAAAGCTGATAGTCTCACGGGAATAGGCCACTTTCAAAGACACCGAGAAACAGCCTGGTAGTATAGAGCCCGGCAACATCCTTGATAAACCCAGCAGCCAAGATGGATACACTGAAGCCAAGGATCAATGCAGAAATGAGTCTGTTGGGGCGTAATTTCTTGAGGAGCATAGAGAACGGGATCTCAAAGAAGACGTAGGTGGCATAGAACAAAGATACTGCATCTGGTTGGGTTTTGTTAGTTATAGCTTCGAGTATTGGACGAGAATAACCTCACTTCCTAGTTCGTTTCCAACTAGACCGATATCTTCCTGTAAGGCCTAGGTCAGTAATCCACTGTTCCACAACTTGGGGACTCGACCTTACCGGCATTCCAGCAACAGCTGCATTTCTAGCCAGGAGTCAGCTGTGGGAGAACTACTAAGTGGATGGAAATCTTACCCCAAGTTACTCCGATCAAGATATGCAACCAAGAAAATGAGCATCACCAACGGACAAATGTAGAGATCAAGTTTCCATAATAGCTTTTTCTCTCGGACGGGGTCAACTACGAAGTTGCCCATTTGAACATCGTGATCCGATGATAAGTCGGTCTGTTTGATATCTGTCTCCTTCATTTTGGATATGTAGATTGATTGTAACACTTGGGATCCAACCACATGGGTTATATATTTATCCAAGTTTAATTATTACAAGCGTTATCATCGGGAAATTCTTCGGTTTATTCAGAACTTGGCTAATGTGTGAAGGATTTCCCGAAGGCTGCAGGCGACCAATTAAATCTTATGTCACCAAGAGATAAGCTGGAGGATAAGCCGTAGATGTGAAAGTTTTTCCTGCATTAGCTCGTCCATAGTCTGCTTGAGGGCATTTTAAGCTTAAACCTCATAGCTTACATTGATCACTCCCAAATTATCACTCTTTCTCCTCTTGGAAGTACCTGATCTACATGATTGTATGCTTTTTCACATCTATATCACATCAGATCAGCTTCTCGCTATCTTTTACCCAAATGATTTCCCCGCATTTTATTGTCTTGGCATCGGCAAAATACGAACTTTAACTTATCTTATCTATCAATTTCCCGATGAATTTCCCGACATTTTGGGGAAGCCCATTGATAAGTAGACATACCACACTCGCACTTTTTATCCGAAAATCTTTGATGTCACTATCTTTCAAAATGGGAATCTCAAGCGCGAATGCAATGGAGTGTGAAGATGCTAAACATCCAGTAGGTGCTCCGCCGGGAACATGTTAGGGGTAATCTAATGTACTACAGGTTTGGAGGCGATGGGTTCGCTTCAGAGCGGAAGATGGTGAAATATATGGTGGTGAGCCGGTGAATCCGGATATTGATGGTATTGCATACTTAGCTTCATCGAAGTTCAAAGTCAAACCCATACTGATAAACTTATAGTGGGTCAAGCCATAGAAAAAAATGTCAGAGTGGCAGTCAAGGTTGTGGCTGGTAACTCGGCATTTGATTATAATGCTTCATTCACAGGGGAAGTTAAAACCATCGATGAACTGCTTTCTCCAGTCTCGCAAATTGAAGCTGGGACTGTTCGATGCGTCGGTCTAAACTACAAGGAGCACGCAGCAGAGATGAAGTTGACTCTTCCAAACACGCCAACGTTGGTATATCTACTTCTACTCCTAACGCTTGCTAATTATATGCAGTGTTTTCCTGAAGGCCAACACATGCATTGCATCTGCATGCGAACCGATTATACTTCCCTCTAACGTGGACTACGATGAAGCAGACTATGAAGTTGAGTTGGCCATAGTCATCGGCAGGCAGTGCAAGAATGTTTCAGTGGCTGAAGCAGCCAACTACGTTCTGGGTTATACAGTCGCCAATGACGTGACAGCCCGCAAACATCAGGAGAAGACATCACAGTGGTCATATGCAAAGGGAATGGTATGTCGATATGCTCCATGCCTAAGACGAACGTCATGACTGACTTCTATCAGGATGGATTTTGCCCACTCGGTCCATGTATCGTGTCTACAGAACAAATCCCCGATGCTGCAGTTTTGAACTTAAAGACACGTCTCAATGGAAAGATCATGCAGAACGGATCCGCCGATGACATGATCTTCAGCATACCAGAAATTGTATCCTATCTCTCTCAGGTACAGAGCCACCCTATGCATCCCAAGCAAACATAACTAATACTAAAGATTAGGGTCACACATTACTGCCCGGGACCGTCATCATCACTGGAACACCCTGTGGAATTGGTATCTCACAAAGCCCACCACAATTCCTCCAACCTGGAGACGAGCTGCGGATAAGCATAAGTCATGGGCTAGGCACTCAAATCTGTCCGATTGCGAGAGATTGAGCCTGAAAGACAAATATACATTTGATCCCATGGTTGTTGTAAAATAAAAATCGCCATGGCACGTATTCTGAACTGGAAGTGGTCTTTTCTGCCGTGTAAAAACAGGCTTGCGGCATTGTCATGCAAGACCTAAGTCTGAGCTCAAGACCGGCAAGCACTAGGGAGGTGTGGCTATTATACAAGAAACCAAGACGATGTAACTCGAATGACTAGGAAGCATGAGTAGAGTGGTCATGCGAGTGATTCATTTTTAACTGTTCATTCATATCAGATCAAATCATTAGGACTAGATTACGGAAATGTTCTCAAGTCAATGATTGCCTAAGTTGTAGTGGTACGAATGACGACCTCTAGCTCAATCACAGTTTCTGCCACAGTGCTTACTGTGGTGTCGGTCTAGGCTGAGAATCGTTAGTAGTGGCTGTATTGCGCTCTTTTTGTCGTGGAGAGAATGAGATCTCTGCAGTATCGGTAGAGCACAGTGCGGCTACTGCCTCTATTATTGAGCTTTCCGAACCCGTCCCGTATGCGTTGCACTGCGAGGAGCTCGGGCTCAAATTGGTCGAGCACATTACACAGCAAGGGAAAGGGATGAATGCCAAATGCGAAGTCCTTGAGCACTTGGAATTGCTTTTGGTAAGCAATTATGTAGTCCTTCATAGCGCTGAACTCAAAGACTAAGGGGGCCCTAGGCATCAGTCATAGCCTGAGGTCGTATCATTAATATGACAAAGAGAACCTTACATTTTAATTCTGATGACTGCTTAGTGGTATAAGAATAGCGAGAGAGATACTCAAACCAAGGTAACAGGCGCTTACAATAACATTTATGGGAGACTCATCTATGAGATTAGAGCAATTACCAAAGCAAGATTTAATTCAGTGGATGCAAGATGAAGGGGCTAATGAAAAAGCAGAAACATTGGCCAAGGGAAGTTTTCTGGATACAATACTGAGCCTATCCCATAATCGTTTCCAAATTCAAATCCAGCATAACATCCAGCCAGAATACTTCTAAACCAGAGTCCGCACGGTCCCAGGTCTCATGCACAACGTTATAAATGCGTTGCATTGGTAGCTTTGGAAGAATTAAGATAAGTTCAGACAACCGCATTTTGACCTTTCGTCTGGCCCGGGCAATATCAACATCCAGCGTACTCAGACTGGGGATCGTATGTTGTGCAGCGCCCAACACAAACCCAGACGAGAAAACAAGATCACTGGAGACGCAAGCCAAAACGATGGGCTGCATAACCTTTGTTCCAGACGTGGAAGGAAGCTGCTCCAAGAGAGATACAATGTGCAATGCCAGGGTGTGGCGTGCGTTTTCCACCGAGCACGATGACCATCCAGTGGCAGTTGGGAACAACAACAAAAAGAGGGCCGGAATAGGGCCTTCGCAACCCGCAGCTTGGTTACTTCGTAGTCTTTCTTCGAGGATATCCGGAAAAACGTGGTAGATTTGCAACAGTGCCGTACAGCGATATGCCTCGGCCAAAGTAAGAAAATGCGACGGTGGCGTGTTTGTATCACCGATGTCAACAGGCCCACAATAGAATGAGAAGCCAGTAAACAGTATTTTGTCCTCGAGATGTTCGGCTTCTTGTCTGAGATCGAGTTCCTCGGCCATGGAGCTCAAGTCAATCAAGGTGGGATCTAAAGCCTGTGGCCTTCGGCGGTGGGAGGTTCTTGCGGCCCGGATCACTCTTGCAGTTCGATAGAAGAGACCCAAGGAGTATCTGAGGGACCCTGTCCAGGGATGCGGTAGGACCTCCCCATCGACAAGATAGACAGAAAGATTCGTGTCGCTAGTTTCTATGGAGTTTTCTATGTCAAGAATGGACGACTCCTCTGCCACAAAGGCAGCCAGTAAGTTCCACCAAAGAAGACACTGCTTGAAGAGTGGATGTTGTTTTGCGAGGGCAGAGTTTGCATTCTTGCACTGGCGTTCTTGTCTCAGAAGATGGTCCTGTGCCGCCCTCAGATATGGAAGCCCCAAATCGGAAGCATCGTGCCACCCAGTGGTGGATCCAATCATCAGCAGTGCTAGAAAATACTCATCATCCTTTGTCTGAGTGGAGCCCTTTTGGACACTATTATTCAGACACGCAATTGCCTGCTGCTGAGTCTGTATTCCGATGGCTCGCATGGTTGGAAAATCGTTGGCCAGCGAGGCAGCTGACATGCTCTGGATAGCAAAGTAGATCGCCGCACTTCGACTCCAGAGTCGGCTGACAATAACTCGGAAAGGATTGAGAGGACAGTCAAAAGATGACCATTGGTTACAAACTGTATGAAAGTAATATTGCACCAACATCACTGGCAGTTGGATGAGAAAGGAGGGGACGGTTGTGTTGGCCAGTCGTTGACGCAAAATCGACAACCCATCCAGCTCGTCTTCAGGTTTCGCTAAAACCGTACTACTCAAACCCGACTCAGTGTAGAGCCAAACATCTGTTGGCTCATTAAGATTCGGCAGCTGGTCAAAAAGGGTTGGGCAAGCCGTATCCCAGATGCTTTGGGTTTCATTCTGAATGTTGTCTTTTCCCTGCAATGTGGAATTTTTCACAGGGAACTCGGAAAATTCGGTCGCAGCCGTGTCAGGAGACTTGGGTGGTGGTGTTGGCTGATTTGGCTCTTCGCTGCCTTCATAAACATATCGCCATTTCAAGCTCTGCTTTTGGTACCCGGGACATGTGTGTCCTCGCTTGATACATTCATGACAACTCGGTTTTGCCTCGTCACATCTGCGCTAAATAAGTATTAACTAATTGGAACTCAAAGAGGGCCTTCGTAGAAGAAGAAACTGTGCAAATTTCACCTCGACTTACTCGCCGCTGCTTGCACCTCTGGCAGCCCCCTCTTGATTTTGGTCGGCACCGGTTGGGATTCTGCCTTTTCCTCTGTGGAGAAACTAGCTTGTCTGTGCTTTCCATTCTACATAAATCAAAGATATTGAAGGTGTTGTTTTCGCTGGGGGAAAAACTTCTGAGATGGCGGGGCATCGGATGAGAACCCGATCAAAGAACCCGAAGGTCGGTGTGTGAACCGGAATCCGATCACCTGCTGATAAGCAACGCCTCATCTCTGCCCAGGTGAGATTGTGAGGTCGCCAGGGCTAGACAACTCTCCCCGCACCTTTCACGCTAATCCGAAAAAGGATCAACAACACGCCTCGAGGGTTCGTTTTCTTCATGGGTACTAGTGCCTTTTCTATGTAGTAGCATACGCGTGACCTAGTATGTCAAGCGTGACCAAGTAAAGTCTCCTTCGAGAGTTATTGACCTTCAGGCTGTCAGCATGCCCAAGCTTGGACCTGGGCATATGTACTCCGTATTCCCCACCAGGTACGGAGTACATAGCACTAACCCGGGGGGATAACGAGTACAATTGCTTTGTGAGGACATGATTTGGGCTATGTGTAAGAGTTGATATTGGATACCTTTCCATAAGTAAGCATACTCCAACACAATTGTCACTTCGCCCTTGGTGGAAAAACATGATCCCTATCTAGTATGTTCTAGTTCCCATTGGCAGGTCGTGTCTGAACCGATTGCTCTCCGCACCATTCCTTACTATGACGTCGTAGATGCGGAGACATTTAAGTCCTTCTAATTTCAGCTTTCTCCATATTATGAGGGGCATTTGCATGGATATTCAGCTGATAAAGCTCATTGACGTTACAACTTACGATCATGGTCTATTATTTCAATGTTTGATAGCATTCTTTTACCTATTTCATTTGCTGAGTTGCATCAATCAAGCATTATTAGTCTATATGGACCTTCAAGTCAAGCAATACTAATCTATGCCCATATATTCCTTCACAATGTGAGTTCCAGAGCCTGAAGAGCCCGAGAGTGAACTCCGGACCAGGACCCACATGTAGGCCAGCCATATCTGGTATAGCGTAGCCGTCATGCATTAGCGTTGTAACCCTAACCCATTTCGGACTAGTTTGAGGACCTAAAACAGTCAAACTTCAAATGAGGAGAGGGATCGTCTATGTTTCAGCTCAGGCATGTTATCGGATCTCTTTGCTAGTCTTATCTTCACATATGTGATTACCTAGGTCACCAAACTTTCCTGTCGAACGTTATCTTTCCGAGAATCCGTTCTCCACTCGGTAAAAGACCTTGCAAAAATGCCTCGGGCAAGATATAGGATAACGGATTGAGTACGTCGTGGTCAATGTGCTCAAGCTTTTATGAGACCAATAGAAGCTTAGCCTGTACATAAGCTCCTCTTGCTGAATATGTGATAAGCCACTCGATTTCCCTTCCAATTCTTGCATTCGAAACTTCCTTTGTAGGTGTCATTGTTTAACTACACCGGTGTATGCCTAGGATTTGACTCCTTGCAACTTAGCCATTTGAGCCAGAGTTGATTAAAGCTGTTTATGAATCCAAGGAGCTTCCCACTCTTTCGTTACTCATCCCGATTTCGCCAAGCATTTCTCATGGCAGACAGAGGCACTGCCCACCAGCATCATGTTTCGAAAAACAAAGCTCCCGATCCCGATTCACCCGCGGAGTTTCCCAGCATTGAAGAAGGCAAGCAATCCTCAGCAAACGGTGTACTAGAGGCCCTGGGATACGAAGCTGAACTCGTTCGAAACCGCTCCGCGCTCCATGTAGCTTTCATGTCGTTTGTACTGGCAGCTATCCCATATGGACTGGCTACGACTTTCACCTACCCTCTTATTGGGGGAGGCCCCGTCAACATAATTTGGGGATGGCTGGCCGTCTCTTTGATTACTCTATGTGTGGCTGCCTCACTTGGCGAAATAACCTCTGTCTATCCAACTGCTGGCGGGGTCTACTACCAGGCTTTTATGCTGTCTCCACCGTCATATCGAAGAATCGCCTCGTGGATTTGCGGATGGTCATATGTCGTTGGAAATATCACCATCACACTTGCAGTTAACCTTGGGAGCACTCTTTTCTTCATCTCATGTATCAACGTTTTCGAGTCCGCTCCAGGAGTGGGAATCTTCCAAGCGGAAACATATCAAGTCTTTCTTATATTTCTCGCAGTCACACTTTTTGCTAATGCAGTATCTGCTTTTGGAAACAGATGGCTACCTTATCTTGACGTATGTTTGAAAATCCTTGTGACAAACCTACAGTGCTAATACAGAATCTAGACGTTCGCAATATTCTGGACTCTTGCAGGACTGTTGACTATTGTGATATGTGTCCTTGCAATTGCGAAAGAGGGCAGACATGACGCCGCATATGTCTTTACTAGTTTTGAGCCTGAGTCTGGTTGGCCAGCAGGCTGGTCCTTCTGCGTCGGACTCCTACAGGCAGCTTATAGCACTTCCTCCACTGGCATGGTGATTTGGTAGGTGACGTATCTACTTTCCACCCCGAAAGAACACCCTCCCTCCCATTCTTCACGATATAAATACTAACTGACCCTTCAAAGTATGTGCGAAGAAGTCCAGCAACCATCAACACAAGTCCCAAAAGCAATGGTTGGAACGGTCATTATAAACACCCTGGCTGGATTCCTCTTCCTTGTGCCATTGGTTTTTGTGCTCCCTGACACAAAACTTTTAGCCACTCTTGAATCTGGTCAGCCTGTTCCGAGTATTATCAAGTCTGCTATTGGAAGTCCAGTTGGATCTTTCCTACTTCTCTTGCCATTGGTAGTACTCGCTATGTTGTGTGTCATAGGCTGCACTACGGCTGTCTCCCGAAGCATATGGGCGTTTGCTCGCGACGGGGGTATACCAGGCTCCGTATGGTGGAGGCAGATAAACAGCGATGGCGTACCTTTTAATGCTATGATGCTTGGTATGGTTGTTCAAATATTGCTCGGATTGATCTACTTCGGGTCAAACACGGCATTCAATGCTTTCACTGGCGTCGGTGTTATTACGTTGACTGTCAGCTATGCCTGTCCAATCATTGTGTCACTCGCTGGAGGTAGACGACACATAAAAAATGGTCAATTTGACCTTGGCACACTTGGACTGGCTTGCAATATTGTGGCACTGGGTAAGTATGAGCCACCTAGCACAATTTATCATCATCGCTGATCGCATATCCGTTTCTAGGATGGAGTCTTCTTGTCATTCCATTATTTTGTATGCCTTCTTCAATCCCTGTAAATGCAGATACGGTCAATTATGCACCGGTGGTGTTTGTTGCGTTTATACTAATTGCCTCTGGGTGGTACTGGGCTTGGGGGTACGAGAAATACGTTGGGCCACCAACACTGACCGATGAGTTTCGCTAATCAGTTTGGTAAAATGAAGAATCTGGGATGGAATAAAGGCTTTGATATAATCAATCTCAAACTCGAATTGAATCTGTTTGGCTGCACAATTGAGGCTGAGGGAGCACGGTCCCTCTCAGCGACTTTCATCTCCCCCACTCGGTGAGATTTGTTCACCCGTGTGATTTCTTCAAAGCAAAACCGGAATCTTCTGGCCCAGAGTGCTCCTCACACCGGGTGAAAGCAAAATGCAAGAGCAGAAGAGCCGACACTGTGCTAATCTGCTGATATTGCAGCGAAACGAAAAGGATGCAAGCGATTGGCGACAAACTCGGCGGGTGAACTTTCACCTTGAAGATCCAAAAGACCTTTCTGATACTATACCTGCTTGGTCTAAGATATGTATCATGTATGTGAAATGGCCCCGATTAAGAGGAACTCCCTAATTTTACAAGTGTGGCCGATTTTGCCAATATTGAGAGATGTGCACAATGTCGACAAGCCTTCACTGATGCATTTTGTATGCCTCAATTTTGGTGGTCATATTATTTTCGTAAAGGGAACGGCAGCTTTGGGTGTGAAAAGACGCGAGATTTCGACGTCACCACTGGTTTCAGTAAGTATACTAAAGATGAATGGCCAAGCAAAACTAATTTCTTTAGATACCTGGTCTAAATTCGCCGTGAAAAAGGTAGACCCTGATACCAGTTTCAAATGGTATCATACAGATATATTTACACGATGGCTACCCTCAACTAATCAAACTGTGATCCTCGCCTTCGATCTCGACCCGCCCGTCAAAGAACGTTTCCTAAGAGCAGTGATGAGACCGGATGAAAGATGGCTTAACGATCCATTCTGGATCTATCCACATTTAGCCGAGCTGATTGCGTTGATTGAGGAGCCTTCTGTATGGGCCATCCGAGATCATGTCCGACTGACCGAGACAGAAGCAAAGCCGGAAGGGAGACCGCAGCCCGACTACAGACGACTCCACGACATCGCTCGGCATGCTATTCATGTGAACGAGACACTCGACATTGCCTTGCAAAATATGGAGCACATCTTGATACAACATGAGAGCTATATCTCGAACCCAGATAATGACTCTGCGTCGTCCGAAGACATTCACTTCCGTCTCCGATCCTGGCAGTCTTTCATTGCCAACTTACGATCCCGGTCCATTTCAAATGAGAAGAGGCTGCAAAATGAAATCCAATTGGCTTTCAATACTGTGGCTCAGCATGACGCCAGTGTTACGCTTGAAATTGGTCGGGCAACCCAATTGGACAGTGCCACGATGAAAACGATCGCCTTTGTCACACTTACGTTCCTCCCTCCTACTTTCATCTGCGCTATCTTCAGCATGTCATTTTTTGATTTTGGTGGTGACTCCGGTTGGACCATGTCAAACAAGTTCTGGGTTTATTGGGTCTTCGCTATACCAACTACCATTCTTACAACGCTGGTATGGACTTATTGGCCGGAAATCCGTCGCATATTGTTGTCCACAAATGAATAGATTTTGGATCCTTTTCAGACTCTAGATCGGAATAGTAGAGGAAAACATTGAACGATTGACTTTCCTTTCATCCAAATGATTAGGACAGATTTTCAGTGTAATTGAAGAAGCATATTCACTTACCAATATAATGTCTGTATCTAGCAAGTCAAGGACATCCCTTGGTTTTTGAAAACAAAACCCCCATTATTCTTGGGTGATGGTCTTTCCCCAGAGTCTGTATACGGAGTAGTCAAGCACAGCCTAAACAATTTCATTCCTAGTTTGCACGCGGTGCAGGCGGACTCGATTCATCACACCTCTTTTTGCGCCTTTGATAAAGCAAACATCTACATAGCCTTAGAATAGTAGGGTCACCTGAGAGCAGGCTTGCCCGGTATTATGGCAAGAAACGAGCTGAATGCAAAGAAAGATATGCACGTTAAGGCTATTAGTCTACGATGTTGCAAATATCGGTTCGCTCACCTGATGTTCGATCAGGGCCTGAGGCCCGTGTCTCATGCATGCGTGGATAAATCTGTTGATCAATCACGGCCACAGCCCTTGTCCTATCATAATTGAAGAATAGGTTGCGTCCCCATAATCACGACTCGCTAGCTTTAGAAAATCATAATTGGAGCCTGCAGCGCTTCCAGCGTCAATACACAAAGTAGACAGCCCGTTTCAAAAGTACGCCAAAAGGAATTCTATATCCTTGGCTAGAGTTGACCATTTCAATTATTTTAAATAGCTTTTCGGCCTTTGGCTCAAGTTTCTGCGACTTGGCGCTAGTCTAATATAAGTATCTATGCCCAGAAATAATGTGCGGATCTTATGAATTGCAAACCGTGCTTTCGGGTCAATTCAGAATTCAGCCTCTTGTCAAAGCAACTCTACAAGCCAATTCGATACCATGCCATTCTCACGCACATTGTCAGTTGTTGATGCCACGCCGAAGGTGAAGTCGGCGATGTGATTATTGGTGGATTACTTGGCGTCCCAGGCACTACAATGTATGACAAGCTGGTTCACTTCCTGAACGAAAAAGCCATACGTCAGCTTGTACTCAACGAGCCTCGAGGCCGGTGCTCAATGAACACGAATCTGATTTTACCCCCTTGTGACCCACGAGCCAATGCAGGGTTTTTGATCATGGAAAGCGAAGAATACGCGCCCATGTCGGGATCTAATACAATCTGCACCGTCGCCGTACTACTGGAGACCGGCATGGTTCTGATGAGAGAGCCTATCACCGAACTGACCCTGGATACCGCCGCCGGTCTAGTCACCGTGAAGGCAGAATGTGAAGCGGGAAAATGCAAGAACGTGGCTCTTGACAATGTACCTGCTGTCGTATTCAAATTCGACTATCAAGTCCTGGTCCCTGGCTTTGGGGAGGTCTCTGTTGACATTGCTTGGGGAGGAATGATGTACGTGCTCGTAGATGCAGCTTCTGTGAGACTGAAAATCGAGTCTCAAATAGCACACAGCTAAGTGAGATTGGCGAGCGTATCAAACGTGCGGTCCAAGCCTCTTACACGCCTGTTCACCCTGAGAATCCCAGAATCAAGCGAGTCAGTATTCTGGAGCTTACTGAGCCTCACACACAAGATGGCGGCTGTAAAGCTGCTACCAATACTGTTGTTGTGTTACCAGGGCGCTTTGATCGCAGCCCTTGCGGTACCGGCACATGTGCTCGACTTGCCGTTCTGCATGCGAGAGGTCAGCTAGCGGAGGGTGAGATTTTCAAACTTCGCAGTATTATTGGCACCGAGTTTACTAGCCATATTCGAGGAATCACACAAGTCGGCAGATATCAGGCTGTTCTGCCGACTGTTGCTGGAAGGGCTTGGATAACTAGCTTCAGGCAAATAGTTCTTGATTCGAGTGACCCCTTCCCAGAGGGATTCAGGGTGGGTGACCAGTAGCGAATGGTACCGAGTTCATCAATTCAAGGGTAGGGGAAGAACAAGCGCTGGTTATGGCTGAGCTGATGCCTCTCAGAAGTCTTTAGCATCCTTACAACCATTATACTCCCAACCCAGGGGTATACCAAAATACAAGATAGGTATTACCATGTTCAAAAGCCAAAATTCAACTGTTATTAAAGAGCATGAGGGATCGATATATACATAATTCCGAGTACGCGTTTCGTTCTTCCAACACTGTATCTAAGAACAGAGATCACAAATCGACTATCACAAAAGAGCCTGTGAGCTTGATAGACACATAGTGCTGTCGTCTTCAACTGGTCATAACAACTGTTCTTCCACGTGCTTCTCTGACTGTTCGCTCAATCAGAGAAGAGCAGTGGGAGGGTAGCTCTGGTCGGGCTTGACGACCTCTCCATCGGCAAGCTGCGAGTCGGTGTAGCCAGCCCAGATCTGCTGCCGGAGCTCGTCGTTGACAACAGACAAGGTAGTGAAGCCGTTGGTAGGGTCGAACTGGCCGCTCCAACCCGAGCTGATGGAGTATTCTTCACATTTACTAGGGCCTCCGTTGGCGTGAGAGGCATCGTCGGCCTCCACGACGTAGGTACAATCGGTAGTCTCTGAACCAGAGTCGATGCCAAATGTCCAGGTGCATGAGGTGTTTTCGTCGTTGCAGACGCGCTTCATCTCTCGTATGGTCCAATCGGAGCTGGCAATAGGGGCAGCAAAGATAGAGGGGGCAAAGAGGCCAGCGGCGAGGAGAAGCTGAGAGAACTGCATGCTTGCGATTTGGGAGTTCTTCGGGTTGTTGGAAGAAGAGGTTTCTGAAGCAAAAATGCTCGATGTTTGAACTGTGGAAGGCTGTTTCGAATAGAGTCTTGCGGATGAGAATAGAAAGGCAAGCATCAACAGGAGAAATGAAGGTATTTAAGTGTTTTCTCAATTTTCAGCCGTTGACCTCCTATTTACCAATGCATAGGCTATGATGAGGCCTCCCATACTTTGAGGCTCCATGGTCACTCCGCCATGATCTCTCAAAATAGACTTGTTAGATTCTTACGCTATGTTAGTTGATGTAACCGTACAAGTGGAACACATAGAAAAACCTCCATTCATTGCTGGACAAGTTGACTATCAGGTCTCACACGTGGCAAAGTAAGAGTCTGTAAGACCTCTAGACATTATCTCTATGCAAAGTACATAACTCCCAAAAAAAACATTGAGCATATTCTAAGATGCGTTCACAACCCAACCAATCGGGTCCTGTGGGGCTCAAGTTAGGCCGCCTATCTACTCGCCAAGAGAGTTATTTCTAGATACATGTTGGAGCAAGAGGCTGAGATCGAGCTGTCCACTGTGGCTATGGCTACAGAGGATATTCAGGCGGCCCAACTGACACACCGTCGAAACCCAGGCGGATCCAAGTCATGTTTGTACGCAACCTATCATTCACTTAGAAATTCTCAAAAGGTGTAAAACAAAAACTGTTCCACTGATGTGCAGATCCCTAGAGATATGAGGGCTAAGGATTACGGGTGCTGCGCCCCAGGGTGCCAAAGAACACCTGCAGGGCAACTTTCAGCTCAGCAGTTTCGGCCTGATACTTTAGGCGTCCATTTTCTGTGAATTCTGCCAAAGCTACTCTCCAACTTCAAGTCACACACTTTCTCTGCTCTTCTGCTCCGCTACTCTTCTATTTGCCGGACAATGGAATCTTCAAAAAAACTCAAGATTGCAAGTCTCGGTAGCTCCTTTGCTGCCGGTCCTGAAATTCCCCCACAAATCGAACCAAAAGCTGCGATGCGATCAGGGCAGAATTACCCACATCTTCTAGCGCAGCAGTTGAACGCCGATCTCACTGATCTATCCGTTTCTGGTGCAACATTGCTCAACATAACAGTCGATCCACAGTCTGCCACACACATGACCTTCCCGCCGCAAATCTCCAACCTCCCCAAAGATGCCGATATAATCACCGTGACTGCTGGGGGTAACGACATAAACTACATTGGCGGCATGATTGCCGACGCTTCCCATGCCGACGTACAATCATCCGCGCCACTATCACCCAGAGAGTTGGCAGAACGCCTAGGGGGAGTCCTCGACCAGATACACAAACGGGCCCCGGGAGCTCGAGTCTTCCTTGTCGAATATCTTGCTGTCCTGGGACCTGGCACTCAAGCTGGTCGGGACATCCCACTGACCCAGGAGAGAATTCAGCACTACCGCGGTGTTGCGTCTGACCTGCAACATGCATATTCTGTCGCTGTAAAAGGTCGAACTGATTGGTGTGAGACAGTCCCAATTCACCAACTCAGCCAGGGACATGCACTTGGCAGCAAAGAACCCTGGGTTGGAAGCTTTACATCAGGGCCGCGGTTCCATCCCAACCTTAATGGGATGAAGGCCGTAGCGGATATTTTAGTTCAGACCATCCGCAGAAGCACATTGTCCAAAGCATTGTTGTGAATATACTCATGACAATACGCTCTGTGTGTGATTACTGGATGATCACGATTAGCAAGTTAGAGCAGGTATGAGATATCATCATCATCGTGATCACCCTGTGACATTATGCTCAGACCGCCCTAAACCTGCCAAAACAAGGGAGTTTGATTCGTGTGACCCTGCCGTGTTTGGACCATAGAGTGCCTGCCTACTATATTGACTGAGATTAGTGTTCCAACTGGACGATTTTGATGCTGGCTGTTTGGGGCTCAAGGAATCACCACAATCCTCCTCCTATAAAGCTATAAACCCAATACTAGATAAGATCTGCAACATACGAGGATAATCCAAATCATGCATCAAGATCATGTCGCTCGGGGTATTATTACGTAGGCACTTTCGAGGACAACAGACCTCGGGATGCACCAATCGGATTAAAGCCCGTTACTCCTTTGCCTGGGTGATCTGGGGTAGGGTGAAACGGGAACGCCGAGGGCTTACGGAGTACATGGTTCTCAGCCCTCCCCCCATAGAGAATTACTAGCTCTTACTCCATTCGCCCTTGCTACTCATCTTTTTCTCAGAGACCTCCTTAGAAAGGAATAGGGAAGCTTGCACGCCAGATACAATTGTTGCATCGGATATTTGCTTGCAGTTAGGCAGAGTGCAAACGTACAGTGTGCATACTTCTCGATTGTCGGTGAGGGCTATGCATACTTGGCACTTGTTTCCCGTATAACGAACAAAATCTGACGGAAACATAACCAATAGGACGAGGTCTGCCTTGGGCAACGGGGCGATCCAGGCAAGTAAGCAACTAGTACTCCGTACGGAGTTCAGAGTACGGAGTATGGAGTAGCGCCAACAAGTCCAAATCATCAATGAAAGAGCATCGCCCCATATTATTTTAGGAGATGTCCGAATTTCATCATTCTAAATATTTGTTTTTTGGTCAAAAGTATATGCTCTAAATTATGCTGCGAATTATGTGGGTTGACCGTTTTGGGTAGAAGAAAGACAGCATAACATATCCCGCTTTATTATTATGCAACATATACAGTCTCTGCTATCAAGCACCCAAGCCCTATATCAACGATACAAGTTGCATAGTCCGAGTGTTCTTGCGAATTACCAATGGTCATTTTACTCCGGAAGTTTGCGTTCCATATCGGGATGTTATCTTCCGGCTTCATGCCTCGCGTACAATAAAAGCGCAGACGGTCTCTTCAGACACGTTTGAAATGTTTCCATTCCAAAATAAGGTACCTTGATTCACTCGTCATCTACGACGTCTACATCAATCCACCCATATAGAGATATCGTGATCATATATACCCCGCATTGGCCAACGGCCCCCTACAGACAAAACCACAACATGGGGAAACGCATTGTGATCACTGGAGGTTCCGGCAAAGCCGGACAGCACATCATCAGATATCTCCTCCAACAAGGTCATGATATCCTGAACCTCGACCTCGTTGCTCTTCCCGCTGAGCTGGAAGAGCGAGTCCACACGATGCGTGTCGATCTGACAAACACCGGTCAGGTATACAGCGCACTGGGCTCTCATTTCCACTTGACAGAGCCGTTTCGCGAGCCACTCGGGCTAGTCCCCGATGCAGTCATTCACATGGCCGGGTATTCGCGCAACATGATCGTTCCAGACGAAGAAACCTTCCGCGGCAATACCTCGGCAGCGTACAACATAATCGAGGGCGCCTCACGCCTCGGCATCAGGAAAATCATCATTGCCAGCTCTATCACAGTCTATGGAGTGAGCTTCGCAGAGGGAGACGTAGATTATCCCTCCTTCCCAGTCGAGGAAGGCGTCGACGCAAACCCGATGGACACATATGCCATCTCAAAACTGTGCGGCGAGACCATTGCACGTGGCTTCGCGCGTCGTTATGGGAGCGACATCTATATACTACGTATCGGGCGCATTGTTGCCCCAGAGGAGTACAAGCAGTCCATGTTTCGTTCATATGTTGAAAATCCCGAGAAATGGGCGCCGCATGGCTGGTCGTACATCGATGCTCGCGATCTCGGGCAGATGTGTGATCTCGCAGTTCGGAACGATGGCCTTGGATTTCAGGTGTTTAACGCTGTCAATGACGAAATGACGAATTACGAGAACACTGCTGAGTTCCTAGCGCGGGTTTGTCCCGATGTCCCGATTACGCGAGAGTTGGGGGCCAGAGAGGCACCCATCAGTAACCGGAAAATTAAGGAGCTGCTTGGGTTTCGAGGAGAGCATCATTGGGTGAAATATTATGAATGAGTCTGGAGAAATCAAATCTGGTTCATATCAAATCATATAGTCGTACGAATCCTTGCAACATAGGGATTAGAGGCCCTGGCTAGGGCTGTGTTATTAAGCATGTCACGCGCCAGTTCCCGATGACATCAGCAGATCGCTTTGTTGAATGTGTGTTTCCAACGCCTTGGCCTGTTCACTTCTCTCCACATTGTATTGATACCCTCGAAATTGTCTTTGTTACATTTGTTGAATTGATGTTTGGAATCTTGAGAGGCACTTTCACTTAAGCGAACAAAGAATTCTCAGTACCAAATTATGGGAAGGCACTTATCCGCTGTAAACGAGGTTTTCTATGTGGCGTAATGAAGCGGGCTATGATCCTGGCAGTGAGGCTGGATATGCCAAAAATAATAAAAAAGAAGCCTTGGCTAGCAAACAGGTTGCAATATTCAATACTCCGTAATAATCCCCCTTTTAGCCGTGTGGCTTTTGGAATATTTTCAATATATTACCCCCCAAACTTAAGGGTTTAAGAGACGTGAAGATAAGTTCACAATTACATTGTAAATAGAGACCCCAGATGAACAGGTAACACAATATATGAGTAGAGAAGACAGCTCCAATCAGATGAAGTCGTGTGTTGACTGGGGAGCGAGTCCTTCGTTGCTTTTTTTTGGGCTCTCATATTTTCAACATTTCCCCATTTTTGATTGATTATTATTTTATCACTATGATACTATAAGACGATACTACGTTCTATTATAAACTTGCATCTTCTATTATTTACTCCGTACTCAAGTCTGGGGTACCCTGATCGCCGGCCCCCGCATGCAATATACGGGGTGCGCCAGTGCGCCCCAGCTTCGCCTTTGCCTCTTTGTCCCTTTCTCTTTTTTTTACCTTTTCTCTTTGTTGCATTAGCTCTCTCTCCAGGGCGTTCCCCCGAGTCCCTAGATTTTCCTATATCTCATACCCGCACACCTACTCCGGACTCCACACGCCATGCCGCTATTCCCCTGACACTGAGTCAACGCCATGAGCAATTTCAGTGCCGCCGGAGATGGCATCAGCGGTCACTATAATGGAACTTCTCTGGAAATGAAGATCACGATCGCCACTCTTGCTGGTGTAACTTGGTACAATGCCTTCGAGCTATTGATCCTCCTCTTCGTCACCTTTGCGGAATATCGAGGACTCTACTTTTGGAGTTTATTTGTTTCCTCCTCCGCCGGTTTGCTTCCCTACTCGCTAGGCTTCCTACTCAAGTTCTTCAAGGTCACCGACAGCATTCCATGGCTCCCTGTCACTTTGCTCACAATTGGATGGTGGTGCATGGTCACCGGCCAGTCCATTGTCCTGTACTCGCGCCTACACTTGGTCCTATCAAACCATCGAGTCCTGCGTCGCGTGTTGATTATGATCATGATTAACGCAGTCATCCTCCATCTCCCCACCACCGCCCTCACCTACGGTACCAACATGGTCTACAACAAGGTCTCCCTGGAACCCTGGAAAAAAGGCTACAACATAATGGAAAAGATCCAAATGACAGGCTTCTGTCTGCAGGAATTCATCATATCGGGGCTATACATCTGGGAAACAGTACGCATGCTACGTTTAGACCCGGACCGTACCAAGCGTAAGATTCAGTACCAGCTGCTGGTCATCAACTTTATCATTATCATCCTGGACTTGGGTCTTCTCGTCGCCGAGTACATGAACTTCTACATTATGGAGACCATGCTCAAGGGCGTCGTATACAGCATCAAGCTGAAGCTCGAATTCGCCGTCCTTGGTAAACTCATTCACTTGGTACACAATCACGTCTGGAAACCCGAGTCTTTCTCGGCGCCACGCGACCTCCCCGATTTTGTCGACGCAACCCGGGTGACCTCTGATGTGACCCATGCCGCCCCTAGTCTCATCCAACGTAGACCTTCCCGGATGGATGCCGAGGATGTTTCCATCGCCATATTTGAGCATTTACCGCCCGACCGCATACGAACCAACTCCGATCTCTCCAACTCGTGGAGCAATGAGGCTCGCGCCTATCATGTGGATCACCTCCCAATCGACTTTACCAATCCATTCTGCCATTATCCACGTCAACAAACTCGTCGAAATATGCCCGAAAAACCGGGATGAGAATACATCCTGGGGCAGCAATGTCGTCCGGACTTCCTTTCCCTTTACGAATCACGGCTTATGATATATGATCATCATTCATTGAGACTGCAAATATCCCACTTCGCCCTCCGTGAACATCACACCTCCACCTTCTACCCGGACAACCCCGAGGAAATTCAACCTCTCGTGGTCAAACCTCGCGCCTCGCGCCCAGCTCCCTGGGTCACCACAATTAAACTCAGAGTACACTCAGAGTTATTATACCGCCGAGCCAGTAGCTTGATGGGTAATCCACAGATATCAAATCCGATCCGGTTTGTTCGCGATGGGCATTATATATGCATCACCACATGTGTTTGTATATAGAACCAGTTCCAGCAGTTATCTCCTGAGATACTGTAGTTATCAAATATGTCCCTTATCTCGATTGCATATACCTCTGTTTTCTAAAAAAATACAGGTCGACTTACATTCTGTGTGATGATTTCTAGCAAATTATGGTCTTAAATTATTATTGATCTCTGTCGCTTGTGTCTTCACTTAACGTGTGACTTCAATATTGTAGGTCTTGATGCGAACAAGGCAATATTTTAAATCAGGACAGGGCTTGAAGCTAATGTGCCAGGCTTTCGGAGTACAAAACAGTTCAATGTACCTATATGTAGTCCACGGGTGTATATAACTTTAATGTTTGGAATTTACTAAAGATCTATGGAGGCCCGTGCTCTCCCGGATGAAGTTCCATGGATAGCAGGAAAACATACTCTAGCTATACCCTTCCAAGGTGAATAACTCTGGACAGTTCCATGGTTCAGACTCTTGTGGCTCAAGCTTAAATTGTTGAAATTGCCTCGACATTCCATTCTGGGAAGGTTGGACCCTGTAAATTGAATAAGACAAGAGGAATGGACATATTTTGCGCTTTTTAGTTGAATAATGTCTGCGTTCCCAATTCCAATGTTCGCTTCCTCTTCTCCCAACTCTGCCAAATCTGGGCTCTGCTTGGTGCTCACTTCCCTACCGTGGAGAAACTAAAGCTAAAAGGTGTGGACTTGGTATTGGAGATGCCCTTCGAGTATTTAAAGAAACCCTATTAGGGGATGGATACCAAGGCCCCAGAAAAGGTATTCGAACAGCCACAGAAGGCATGCGGGTCTCTATAAAATTGCTCGCAAACGTGGAATTACTGTCGAGTCTATGCCTTCAGAGCCCGATCAGTGGATCTTGGGGCCCGTGGATGACCGGTGAGTAGTTACTTGCTTAGAGTAAATAGTTGCTCCTCGTCCATCCTCTACTTCTTTTCCTCGGTCCACTCGATAGCGAAATATAGTCGAATTGCTCTCTTTCCTCTCCTAGAGTTCTGACATTAAGCTCCCTATCTCTTAGATGTAGTCAAGGGTATGTTATGTCTCGACCGAAATATAAATTGACAAATACCCCGTCGATAGGATGATACATAGCACGGCACAATAAAAAATGGACGGGAAAACAAAACAGCTCATAAATCGTACAAAGAAAAGGGTGTCAAAGACCAGGTTCCTCCTACCACTAGGACTCAAGACCCCAAAGCGCCGAGGCTCGAACGCTTAATCTCGAATGACCGAGATCCCTCAATCAACCCATCAGAGAACTTAGTCACAGCCACCCACGCCGGACTGAACTGTCTCACCTCGTCAAGAGCGGGGATGAGGCCGATTCGGTTATTGTCGCTCCAAAGGCAGGTGATGCGGCCCCTAATAGAGGACTCGTCAACCTCATGGGTCTCAGATGAGTCATGTTTTGAGAAATCAACATCAACTGTCCATTTATTGTCCCATGTACGACTCCACAGTTGGATCCGGTTCAGACCATCCGGAGACGGGTTTAGGAAGCGGTGGTCCGGAGCGGAGGAACCAAGGACACTGAAGTTCGTGATGTAATTGCCGTCCATGTTGATGCGGCAGTTCCGTGTATTCTGGCCTGATACCTCGAAGCGGACAGAGGAACTATCCGGGTGAGGGTGGGAAATGCTGAAGGAAATCCAGTCCGGCGACAACTCAGAAGCCTCAAGCAGAGAGTCGGCATTCTCGTTGAAAACGGAGAGTGAGTCAGCACTGGGGACAACATGTGGTACTGGCGCATTCCAGGAGCATCGTTGAACTCGGCCTTTGCCGCGGAAAATCCAATCACAGCTTTCATTTTGTCCTGCTGCGCTGGGGAGCCCGTAGGTAACATCCTTTACAAAGGGCGGCATGCCAGTCAATGAAGCAGTGGAGATCCCGTTGTCGAGATCGACCTCTTGCAGGAAGAACAGCTTCAGGCGGTTGGAGTCTGCGAACGGGAAGGCGACTAGATTGTAGATCATGGTTCCGATGAAAACAAAGAGGAGGAAGATGGGTAGGTGGTACGTGTAACGGTGGATAAATGGCAACATAGGCGCAAAGAGAAGTGCCGTAAGAATTGAAATGAAGAGATAGACAATTAGCTGGGGGCTACCATCCTGACCGGTCTGGCTGAGGGCGCTGGTAATGAGAAGAGCCAGCGGCACGATCAGCATGAGAATCGTGGGGGTTGAGATAAGAAGTTGCAACAGCCACGTCCATCGCGGTAGCACGCTACTCCACCCCTGCTCGTGCGCATACACGTTCGGGTCTTTTTCTTCTTCCTCTTCGTCTAGTTCGTTGGATGCGCGGTCTACCCCAACGCGGACGTAGTTGGCAAATGTGGTGCGGTGTCGGCCATGCAAGAGCGATGTTGACTCAGTCGGATCCTCTTCAGCATCATCGTCCTGGTGCTCATCGCCCGATGCAGCAAGTCGGCTTCCTTGAGTACTAGGCCGTCGTGATTCAGTTAATGCACTGGCGTACTCTGACTTTGTTGGCAGAGAGAACAACTCCAAATAGGAGATCCATGTGGCCAAGAAAGTACCGGCAAAGTAAAATAGCATGAAATAGCCACCGGCAAGCCCTTCCTCGTGTTCATAAACAGTACCCACTACCATGAGAGACCAGGTAAGAACAAACATCCAAGTCCAGGTATAGACTCGGTGAAAGGCTGATGGGCGTGCAAAATCTGCGACGCGTGACACAAACCAAGCCAAGAAGATCCAAGCTGAGATCATCATACTCCATACAGCGTATGAACTGCTGTGAGCAATCAAAGGGTTGACTTTCGTCACCATGTAAGCCAACCCGACAGTCACCGCTGTAGGGATTGAGATCAAGAATGGAAACCGGAAGAAGCCACGTAAGCCACGCAAGGGAATGTTCTCGTCGTTGATCTCGGAATACACTGATGAACGGAAGAGATACATCTTGTCAGCCCTTGAAAGAATAACACTAGTGATAAGCAACGTCAAAGGTGCCAGGATCAGCAGAGTTACAGACAACGCAAAGAGCGTGTGAAGACGGAATACGGCAAAAGCGCTCCCAAACAGGTCGAACCAAACAGCCCGGGTACCTGAGCCGCTAGGCACAGCTCCATCGTCGCGGGGATGTCCGTCAAACCGATCGGTGGTGTCAGAAACAAGCGCCTCCGTCGTAGCAACAGCAGTAGAGAGCATATGCCAAAGTGAGTCTATACTGGTGTGTCGAGCATCATCCTGATCTGTATGATAACGAGCTCTGGGTTCGAAGAAAGCGACATCCAGACCGCGCAGGCCCAAAATACCGTCCAAAACAACATAATCCGTCTGGCTGCTGACAAGACCCTTTTCAAACCCGTTGGCACTTAATACTGAGCCGAATGGGTGCTGCGATTTCGCATACGCCTGGGTGACCTCCGTATCCGAGCTGCGGAATAATGTAGCACGACCACCAGCACCCGCACCCTCCAAATTCAGGAATGTGTGTGCAAAATGCGCCATCGGATGCTGGCTGTACGCGCGTGCGCCGTTCAGATAGTCCTCCTCGCCATTGTTGAGGAGGACCACCAACCCGCGGCGCGGCGCATGACCCGGTGTCAGGAAGTATTTCACTAGCTGCAGACACGTCACAACGCCAACTCCATCGTCTGTTGCCCCGTACCCGGTCGAAACGCTGTCGTAGTGTGCGTTGACAAGTACTCCTCCCTTGCCAACGGGCATTCGGCCGGGAGTCTCCCACCAATTTTCTTTCTTATCTTCCGAGCCGCGAATGTAGACAAGAATATTGTTGCCTTCGAAGTAAACGCCAACACTTTTATCGATAAAAGTCAGGTTAGACACCAAGTCGTCGAAGACAAAGACATCGGGTTTCTCCTCTTTCACGTCACGGTATTCCTCGATGGATGGGGCGGACTGCTTGATCGCGTCGATGCGCTCGAGCAGCCACGAGCGAACCTCGTCATTCTGATGCGAGTTGTAGGGGTGAAAGCCTTTTGTCAGGCTTTGGAGATCTTGCCAGGCCTCTGTGAGGTTGAGGCCGTTGGGGCTCGTCCGAGGCGCAGGTGGGACGTTGTGATGGATTACCAACAATGGGATGATCAAGGCAAGGTACACGGCCGTTGTTATGATTGTTACCGGCCATGGCGTAAATGCCAGAGGGTTGCTAGCCTTGTAGGTAGCCATACCCTATGCTGTTCGAACTGAGTGGCAATGGGTGGAGTGGAGGTTGAAGTTGGAGTCAAATTTAAGGCAAATGCGGGGGTAGCTTGTGGTACTGTAATTACGGTTACATACATTTATGTACATATATGCAGATAAGCTTAGCTGCACAATCCTACTACTCGAACACAACTGGAATAATTGAACTGGGGAAATAAGTGAACGAAATGAGAATTTGCTTAAATTCTATGCGATTACACATTGACAACAAAAAAAAAGATAAACCAAGTCCGTAATCGCTAGCGTACTAATGCATTTCCCACAATAACACAGAATGAAGGGTGAAGTGATCTTTGCTCATATGGGTAGTAATATGTCTGCTTGTTTGATCCAGCTAGGGATCACGAATAAAAGAAATCAGGGAATTGAATAAAAGGAAGATATGCGAGGGCCTGGGGTTATTTTCGACCGCAAAGAAAGGGGGTATCGTATCAAGTATTCAAAGGCCCAACGTCGA